CAAACAGGTCGATGGCCAGGTCGGCCGGGACTCTGCTGGGGGCCTGGGAGTAGAGGTCCCGCGGGCGTGACACGTTCTGGTACTTGATGGCGGTGCCTTGGTTGGCGGGCACGGCATCGAAGGGGAGGGAAGAGAGAATGGGGGAGTTGGGCACGGGGACGGGCAGCTGGAGGTTCCGACGGGGGTTTTCGATGACGTCGCCGAAAGGGGCGAAGGACGAGGCCGTCAGTGGTTGGGCGGGGACTGTGAGGGAGAAGTGCCCGATGGACACCTGGAGAGACATGGCGGCGGATGAGATGGGATGAACGGGGTGAATGAGTGGGGGTGGGTGGTATGGGCGGGATGAGTGTGAGATGGGAGTGAGAATGAGACTTTGGGAGTGATCAACGTTGCGGTGAGATCAATTGATGCGGCTGGTGGCTGGTCTTGTCTCGGATTTGACGGCCTTCGATCCAGAGGATTTTGGCAGTATTTTCGCGAAAGAATTGATTTAGCCTTGAGTGGAATGAGTGGAGATCCCAGTCGTCCCCGGCGGCGAAAGTATTCCGGTGTCGATGTGATGTTGAGCGTTGTTGACTGAACTGTGTTTCTGGGGGTTTTCAGGGTTGTCGTCGTGTTTTGGTAGATCGATTCGATTCGACACGCAATTTCCTGAGATGAGGCTGGGAATGAGAGCAATAATGTTAATAAATGTTAAGGAAGTAGTAAATATATCGTATGGCGGCTAACAATTCCAATCAGGCTCTTAGCGTCGGGGCTCCTTCCCCTTTTCGCATCGCAGCCCAAAACACTGCCGCGTTTGTCCGGGCAATCATCAACCACAAACCACAAGTTAAAGCACGAGCACGACCCATCATTAGGGCCGAGAGCCACCAATCGATCTTAATCGTGAATACCGAGGCAGATCGACGGAGTCTCGAATTGATCCATCACATGAACTCCATACAATCTGTTCCAATCCATCAATCCAGTTCCATCCGATCTCGTTCAGTTCATGCCTAGCACACTTTAAAGAATTCGGGACCGGAGACTAACCTGAACCAATCCATTTATTCAATGACATTTCCGGATTGATGATTACTTGTTGTACTCTTCGGACGGGTGCCGACTTACTCCTGTCCAATAAGCCGTGAGACCTGTAATTGGACCGACCTGAAGCCGGAATCGGAACTGAGGTATCTTGCGGGCCGGGAATTAGGCCACGGTCTGCCTCTGCGGGTATCAAAACCGGAATACGGAATACTGAGGGCTAGATGGCATCTGACGTCTTCCATGAGACCAGACTTTCACCAAGATCTCGGCGATGTATCATGCAGTTTAGTGGCTCCGACCTTTTCTCTTTCCCCAAACACGCACGCCGGGCACACCTCCTTCGACACCGCCGCAAGAACTCCTGCAAGATGCCGTCTAGTTCACGCGTCGATCGGCCACGCAGTGTTGCATCGGAAAGCAACCGCCGCAATAGTGGCAGAAGAGATCGCAGGTGGTTCGTCGGCTTCCAAGGCGGTTCTGTCAAGCGGTTATAGGCAAAATTTCCACAAGCGTTGGAGATCCTTTGTTTCTGCTGGCACTTTCATCCGCCGAGCTCAGAGACGAAGCAGCTTCGAGATGACGAAGATGAAGCCGACCATCGTACTCCACCCTCCACTGATAGTTCATCCCATTCCCCCCTTTTCTTCTGTCTTGTTAGCTTTGAAAGGAAGGAAAATGAAAGGTAATGATCGCCAGGAAATGGAAATCTCCGCTCGAGGAACACAAAAAATGGGAAGAGAAAAATAAGACGGAACGTGTCATTTTATCCCAACTTTCCTCCTATTATCCCGGCGCAGATCTCGAACCAAAGGTGAGTCCGGGCAAGTAGAGTGGAAAGAAATGGTGCAAACGCTTTCTTCGACGAACCATTCCATGGCAGTTTATGGGAGAAGGGTTCATTCGACCATGGAGTATCTCCGGCTCGATGGTTCAAAGGTGGGAAGTCCTCCTTCGCGCACCGCTCCGTTTTTTTCCTCCCTATCGTCTTTTGCTCGTGGCAGGTGTTCATCCCAGGCGAAGTCGATCAAGCTTCAAAACATCATTTTGCCAGCCCGGCTGTTTATAGCGAGAGGCTGTGTGCATCATTCGGCTGCAATAGCCCTTGCTCTATATCACATTCGCCTTCGTCGTTCATGCGGATGCATTTGGGTGTTGGGAGTGATTAGAGAATTGGTATATAGACTGACCATTTCGTGAAGCCCCTCGTTTGCGCATCCTTTGCTCCCTCGGGTTTCCCCTCTTGGATCTCGTCCTTTAGGTCACCTTCGTTCGTATAACCGCTGGGTGCTCGTTCTTTTAATCGTTTTCCCCCATTGCTCGACTGTTTTACTTTTATTGCCTCTTTGCCGAGATCCCGGTTCCTTCTCTCGTTTGAAGGATTCCTGGTGGGATTAAGACCGGAAACATTCGTTCTGTCGGCGATATTTTCAACTTTACGCGAGACAAGCACCGCAGCAAGTCTGAAAACCCTCAGGCCTCTTTCCCACAGCATCAATGCCCACTCGGTAGCAAACCGCTGCCTCACCTGCAAACACAATGCGCCTCCCAAGGATACCAACAGTTCCCGAAAACTCCAACATCCTCCTCCCAAGGCAAGACGACACAAACACCAACGACTCCAACAACCAAGAAACCACAATCATAACCACCAGCACCAACCCCTCCGTCGCCATCATAGTATTCACCGTCATCCTCGCTATAACTCTCTTCTTCGTTCTCATCCTCACCCTCTACTGCGTCCTCTCCAAACGCTGGGCTTCCAAGCGCCGAGACATAGAAGCTGCGCATGGCCGTCCACCGCGGACCGCCGAAATCACCACCGAGATTAAACCTATCACGAAGAAGAGTGGGGGCAAGCGCGTCCCTACACTCGTGTTTCAGCAGCACGAGCCCGATACGCATGGGTACTTTGCGCCGCTTTACCTGTCACGCGAGGGCAGGCGCAGCGGTGGGGCGGGGGGTATGGATGAGGATCGGCTGGCGGATGTGAAGAGGGATGTGCTGGAGGTTTTCGATCCTGCTGTTTTGGAGGTGATGGGAGAGGAAAAGAAGAAGGCGGATGAGAGAGTGTCCGTGAGGGATTTGGTTGAGGAGGGTAAGGGGAAGAAGAAGAAGAAGACGAGGCCATGATGAGGAGTTTATGGGTATGATGGTATTATGATTGAGAAAGACGAGATGAGGCTTCATTTTTGCTTGGGCGTTGAATAGGTTTTGGCTTTGGGTTGGGACCATAGACATAGACGGCGAGTCAGGCATTTGCTTAGGTGTTTGAGTTTATTTTACGAATTACTTTTTAAAGCTATGAATATCATCAAGTTTTTCTGCGGTTTACATTACTAGAATTGATGCTGATGCTCCATGGACGTGCTCTTCAGTCTCGCGCCTTCGGAAGAGGATAGAGAGCCTCTCTTCTCTTCGTGCATCCCGGTCAGATCTCCAGTCTCCTTGGTCACCATAGCCTCGACAAGAAGGGACCAGGAGCCATCCTCACCCCGTCTTATGAGATTCAATATCCCCACTTCCTCTCTTGTCCAAGACGGTTCAGCTCCCGGGTTGACCAACGCCACTTCCATCTGCAATCTAACTGAGCCACGGCCACAAAGCTAGGAGCATCGCATATCCTTCCCATCAAGGTCACTTCCCTGCTGTAATAAAAGCATACTTTAGACACAGGTCGTCATTACGTTCCCGCTTTCCACGATGTCCCATGACACACACCCCGGGCAAGGAATGAATCACGATATCTTCGCGGGAAACGACATCATAACAGACACGACACGACCAGGACGCTCAAGATCATACCAAAACATATCAAAGACGAGCTACTCAATAACTTCATCAATAAACCAAACTAAACCAGGAAAAAGCCTCTCCATCCTCTTCCCCCCCTCGCCGAGCTCGCTTCCGGCTGAACACCCCAGCCCAATTACCCATCCCAACGGACAAGAACCGAAGCAGTCTCCAATGCCACCCGTCTGCGTCACCCTTATCTCTGGTCTAGATCATCATCCAAGCAACCAGGACGCAATTTTTGGAACCCATTTTTCTAAAAACAGCATTGCGCTCGTGGTAAAACGACGTACCGGATCATGAACCCGAGAACAGGACGTGCGATGAAAACCAAAAATCAAATATACCCGTCCGTAGCTCAAATGTGCCGCGTCGAGATGTATAATTAGAAACCGCCTTATATGGCCATGACTTATTTCTCGGGAGAAACGGTTTGCTCCCAGCGGCATGTAATATCTCGTGCCGTTCAGCTTCTGCGTCTCAGCGTATGCCGCACAAAAATATCTCATTGAGAGCCAACGGGAGTATTTCCACTTCATGTTTCCTTTTCACTTTTGCCTAGAATTGAGATACATTTCTCCCTGTTCCGGGTTGGGGGCGGTCAGATGCCAGTGTCAGAACGAAGGCTGATTCGAGTCCGTATCAGGCCATGGTAATATGGAGATGCATGTAGATATGTGTAATTAAAGAAGTCTTTGTTTGCATGAGTATGAGGATCTGATTGCCCATCCTGGCCTTCTGCAGGCCACATGGAAGTGAGGGAGGTAAGAAGTGTTGGCCAAACGATTGCCTGTGCTCTTGGCAATCAAGCCTGAGTGTGATACATCCAGTAGACTGTATCGGAGGGTGTCACAATCAGATGCCCCCAGCCTTGCCTTAACAACTATTGCCAGAAGCTGTAGACAGCTAGGGATTCCCATCGCTATAGGTGCATGGATAGATTTCACTATTCATGGTTGGAAAGTATATTGATAATAGAGAGTCATTAGACTATGCTTTTCCGCCTTGCTAACACCTTCATCGCCTTGATGAAAGCGTGGTAAACAACATGTTTAAGAAATAGACATCAGAGCAGGCATCAGCTCAACAATGAAATAAGAGTAAAGAGAAAGAGAAATATAGGAAACAGAAAAGAAGGGGAGAAAGAAGAACCTCCCATAATGCCATTCTCCTCGCAATTACCACACCCACCGCCTCCTCTGTCTCAACCCCGAATCCAACATGGGCAACCACGGACTCTTCGGCGCATACTCCCTCCAAGCATTACAATTCGGCACCATCTGATTCAAATGCATCAACTGCGGGATATCGCTCTTCCTCTCCAAGAACTGCATCCCGAACCCCTGGCTCACATGCCACCCGATATGACAATGCAACAACCAAGCCCCTGGATTATCCGTGTAAAAGGCAATGACCATCCATCCGCTCCCGGGCATCTGCTCGACGTCCCTCCTCGGCGGGTTATCGAACTTGAGCTGCGAAAAGTGCTGGTCGCGATCGAACCGACCTTCGCCCTTGCCCAGGACGAGGAAGTCATGGCCGTGCAGGTGGATCGGATGCGGCAGGATGAAGTTGTTCTGGATGATCCAGTACGTCCAGACATCGGCGTGTGGGATCTCGATAATGTTGTGCTTGGGCTTCCACGCGTTGTCGCTCTCGTAGATGTATTCGAGGATGGGATGGTCCCACTCGATCTCGATGTCCACGTCGTTGATTTCCCATCGGAACACTTTGCCGCGGAAGTCGACAACGGGCTGCTCGAGATCGACGCGGAGCTCGCCGGGGTCGAAGTCGTTGGGGTCGAGGTGCCTCTCGAGGTAAGGCACGAGGTCCTTCTCATTCTCGCACGCGGCTGCGAAGGACACGCCCTGGTCCGTCGGCAACGCGTCGTCGTCGGCACCTTCGTATGAGAAAATGGCTGCGGGAAAGGGATTCTGCGTTCGACCGCAGTTGTTGCGCGCTTCCATCGTCACGTTGAACCAGTAGTTGTCGACGGGCTGGTTCGCCTCGATGATGACGTCGTACCGCTGGCCAACGGCTAAGAAGATCCGGTCACGCACGGTAGGCTCTGTGACGACGAGATCCGCCTGGATGATCTTCATCGTGTGGCCTACGAGGCTGACGGTTATGGAGTTGTCCACACTCGTGTTGATGAGACGGAGCCGGTGAGTCTTGCCGGGCGTCAGCTTGATGCGGTCGTACGCGCCCTTGGACGGGTCCGCGTGGTGGACATTCTTGCCGCGGAAGAGAATGTTCTGGCTGTCTGGCGGGCCGGAGATCTCGGCTGCTCGTCCGAGGTTGTCGGCCGTGTCATGGTAGTAGTCGTTGATGACGTCTACAAGTTGTCTGCCGCGTTAGATGGGCAACATCCTCTGGAGTAATAAGTTGATTCTGGACACTTTGGGGTTTTCCAAACTTACATGGGCCAAGATCGATATCGTAATTTTCCACTGCAGGGCCATTTACAATCATCGCTCCGAAAACACCATTACCATATTGTCCAGAGTAATGGCTGTGCCACCTGTTTCCGCGAGCCTGGATTAGCTTCGCCTGAAATGGGCCACTGCACCATCTTTCCGTCTTTGAAAGAAAAAAAAAAAAAAAAAAAAAAAAAAAAAAAAAAATTGGAACTCAACTTACCAAGAGTTTCCGTATTGAACCACATGGAACGAGTACGTCTTGCTTGCGCCCGGTGGAATGGGACATTCCGTCACTCCATTTGCTCCGTCTTGGTCACTTTCCCCAATCTGCCTGATGCCGTGCCAATGGATCGAGGTACTGCGGGAAGAGAAAAGAAAAAACGAGAAAGGTTAGCTTTTTAGCCGCCAAAGAGACCACCTACAAGATCCCCCGATTCTCGACAAAACAAGGCAGGACTCTGCGCCTAGTAGGGCACTGAAAAAAAAAAAAAAAAAAAAAAAAAAAGGGAAACTGCAGCCAACACACGGCCTGGGTTGGAATTAGGAGGACTGCAAACCAGAAGACAAGATAACAACAACAAGAACAGAGGTAGGCGAATGGCTGGTCGTGAGAAAGCGAGAGCGAGAATAGAAACCAACTTACCCGTTGTCTTGCAACATATTATGCACGTTGACGACGATGTAGTCACCCCAATCTAAATTTGTCGTAAAATCGTCAGAAATCCGTTTCCCAAGATAGGCAACACGGGTCGGGTTACAAGGCCGCCGTTTCCCCAATCCCAGTGTTTGCCTGCATTGTCGGGGTCTCATATATTGCCCACATTAAGCCGGAGGGCAGAAAGTGGGTTGGGATAAGAGCAGGGTCTGAAAATGACAGAAAGGCGCCCTTACCAGCTACAATTGTTGGTCCGGGATATTGTCCTAGGGGGGGATTTAGAGTTAGCCTAATGAGGTTCCGTGATCCCCAAGCCCAACCCCAAAGAGAAGGAAGCAAGCAAGGTCCAAAACCGGTCCAACCGATTATGGGCCTTTCAGGGTTCCAAAACACGGATGGAAGTAGACAGGATCAGAGCCACGAGGCGCGTGTCGGCGTGTCTCCAAACTTACCATTAACAAGCATGGCATGCTTCCGCACGCCGTCGGGGCCGATCCAATCGGTCTCATTAGTGATATAGAAGTCATAAACCCTATTGTTCTACCAAAATGAAAGTAAAGAACACGTTAGCAATCCCCAAGTACGCCCATCAGCGCCAAGAAGGGGATGACGGGGATGATGGGGATTCAAACTTACAAACGCCGGAGGAGGGTCAATCTCATTCTCTTTGTCAATCGTCCAGTTGTTCTTCCAGCACCGCCTATTGGTAGGGCCATGCTCGCCACATGGCTTGCCGCCAGGGGTGATCGTCTGCCTAGGTTCAAGCGGTTCTACCCTGGCACTGTCGGGGAGGGGCTCAGCGAAGACGCTGCCTCCCAAGGCCAGGCCGGAGAGGACGGCCTTGAAGAGGCTCCGGGTATGCATTGGGAGTCGAACTGAAGGGCAAGATGGGGAGGAATGAAAGGAAAAAAGAAAAGAAAATGGCAAAATATGAGAGGACCTCAGGATGAGGAGAATGAGTATTCAGAGAGAACGCCTGGATTTTGGGGGCCATCAAGAGGCAAGCGAGTGATGGTGGAAGAGGAGGGCTCAACTTAAATATCCAAAAGGAGTTTATGAACAATATACCCAATATAAACTCGTACATTCTTTACGTACGGATGGAAGAGGGAAAATATTATACTAGCAATACGGGAAGGATAACAGCCTTCTGGGCGAGGTGTGTAGTGTATACGTGCCTTGACCTCCTGTAAAATCTTCCAGCCCGGTTCATGTCCCGGATATGGAGAGTATGGAAAGGGGCGATGCTCGGCGAGACGGCGGTAAGTCTTATTTCCCCTTCCCGTCTTTCTCACTCTCTTCTTTCGCTTCCTCAACATTGAAATTAAAAGATCGACTGCTGTTCCCTGCATGTGGGAGGATCTCCATGGTAAAAACCTTGTTAGTATCGATCGATCTATCAGAGGCGGAGAACGCTTCGTAGACTTGGCAGCAGCAGGAACAAAACATAGCTATAAGGACAAGGAATGCTTGTCGATGGTCCATTCGGATTACGCGGGATGTAATATTCTTTAGGATGTAAACCTTTGTCAGAGAGAAGTAGTTATGTAAAAGTTACAATTTGGATAAGCTGGGGGCGGGAGGGAAGAAGAATAGTAGATTACTACCGAATCCTATTATTTGCTAACTTGTCCCTGGAAGATCCCTCGGGGCCGAACAAGAACGTGGGAAACGCGCGGCATCAACAGGAGAAGAGAGCGAAAAAGCCCACAACACGATGGGATCAAGCAAGGGAAGTGCTCACGATTAGGAACTTTAGAGTAATCAAAGGTTCACGAATCCCCGCGTCCTTGAAATTGTTCTGCTTCCAAGACGGCCCAGAAACACGTTGGAGCCGTACCGTCGGCCGCCGGTCGGGAACACTGGCCAGTCTTGTCTAAGATCGACGAACACCGTCAAGATTCGTCAAGCTTGGCACTTCTATCTAGGTGCCACACCTTTCTCTCGCAGCCGCGCATACGCAATGCATATCCTGAATTTTCTCGACGGGGCTGAGCTCGTCGATCGTATCATATTCTGCTAGATGATATTACGATACAGTCAGCCGAGATGGTAAACGTCGTCCTTGTTACTTCCCCATCTGAGTAATTCATGGTGATGTAGCGGTCAGGACAGAGACCTTGAGCTTCTCACTGAAGCCCATTCCAGGACGACTGCTAGCAAGAGGCCGGCAGCGAGAGTGGCATGGCGATGTCCTAAGCACCGAGGCCAAATTCCTCAAACATCTACAAGTCAACTGCGCTCTTCGCTTCCTTCAGAGGGCCCAGTAGTCTAGGGTTTGCCTCGGTCATGCGTCATCTCGTACAAACCCGAGATTAGCTCTATGCCACGAAGATGCCCAGCCTCTGGCACTTCTGGAAGGCTCAGCCGCTTTGGAAGCATCCGACCTTGCATCTTGCCGAAATGAATAACGTATGCGTATCGCCCTCAACCGCAAGCCCAAGAGTCCAGAAGGATCTGTTTCTGCACAGGAAATTACAATGATCAATCCGGACTTTCAACTAAGCATTGATGGTTCATGCACGTAGCTCTTGAGGCAGGACAAGACTTGAGATCACCAACCGAGCAGCTCGGACAACTTTGAATCGCTTCTCTTCATAGCATACTTTTGAAGACCATGCCATGACATTGAAATAAGGTGAAACTAGAGAGAGGGGCAATGTAACCACAAGGTTACCTTGATGCGGGACCGAGCGACGATGACGAACGCTTACTCGCGTGGAGGCCAGCCAGGATCCAGGGTTGGCGTATGTCGACCCTCAATCAAGCATGGATCAGCAGGTGAATAAGCAGACCATTCCTTAGCGTGGTAGACGGGCCCGTGTAAGTCAGTCGCAGGTCGGAGTTTTCATCCTACTAGAGCCGAAGCTCGAGTAAGAATCAATGTAATGTCTTGTTTTGTTGCTAGATTTACTTTCTCTTATTCTCATGGGCTAGGAGCTGCTAGTGACCGATCTAAAGCTCGAGAATAGAAAAACTACGACGCCCAACGACGAGCTTATCTGAAGTCTCAAGTTTCAGCAAGGAGGTGTGGCACCAGGTTAGAATTTCCCGACATAGTGGTGGGTTGGGGCCCTATCGAGCCCACCAAAAAACGCATGGTTCCATCGAAAATGCCGTACCTGGAGGTAAGGGAGGGGCCGTGTTGAGCTAGAGTTAGCATCAAGCCCAAACCGGGCTGCAGCATTACGCCTGCAGAGCATGGTAGGTGACGGAGAGCTTCATCGCGTTCGCGCGGGAATCATACGAAGTGTAATCACCATCTCGGGATACGTTGAACTTTAACAATGCAGTGTCTCGAGTTGACACGAACATAGCCCGGATTAGCCCCCCGATGCGTGGCCGGCACCGTCGGCACCGTCATCGCTAGTATAGATACTGAGATTTATGCCTGCGGGTTAATATGTAGGACGGAGAAACTTATTTTTAGAGGATACTAGGTTCAAGATTGAAATTGCATGATCTCATGGCCGAGGTGGTGGGTCATTTCATCTGGGAATACTCGGTCCCGGAGAGGCCTGGGAAAGGGAAGGGATCAGGCCGCTATCATAGAGATCCGTTAGCTGAGGCCTTCTCGGGCAGTCAAGCATGGTCAATGACCGGTCAATCATCCTCTCCCGATTTCGTATCAATGTGGGAACGACTTTGATCTCAGGACGTTCATTTAGCCATCGCAATCTCTTCCCTCCCCGCGTGATAACTCGACGGACAATCCACCTAATATTCGTCGCGGTCATACCGAGCGAAGGCAGCCACGAGAAGCGATACAAGGCCATGAACACGATCGACTTGGGAACTGCGGTCAAGAATTGGTGTTGGGCAAGGTGATGAAAAAAAATCGCTGTCAGGAACAGGTTTGGTGTGCATTGTCCACATTCGTCCCTCCGCATGTGTTGGAACAAGAGGCGGAGCAACGATTTATCCCACAGGCTCGGATACGAACTAGAGGTGGCCCGAACTGTAAGGATAGATGTCAATAACATTGCGGGTAATGCACTTGTCGAGGGAGACACGGGCCGGCAGAATTCTAGGTGGCATGGCCAGACCCTACTAAAGGCGCAGCGGTCATCGAATCGGGGCCGCGAGATATCCGGAGATGGTGAATTAAAGCGAATAATATGGGACGGGTACCTTGAAATGGATAAAAATAGCTTCCTCAAGACTTACCTCCACGTGATCCTAGACGGAACGGAGCCAATTGCGATAAGATCAGCTAATAGATGAAGTCGTCAGGGCTGGGAACACGTGCGGCCCTGGACGAGAAACGCTTCGCCGAAACGTCTGCATACAGCAAGAGTTTGGTCATGTCCGGACACAGACGAAAAATGAATACTCTGGGAACACTATCGTCTTGCCCGTCGTTAGAGGTAAGACCTCTAGTGCCAAGTTGAATCAACAAGACTAGTATCTCAAGCTACTCAGCTTACTCCTCACTGCTGACCTCTCTTCCTCGTCGATCCGGTTAATTCGCGTTATGCCCAGCCACCTTGACATATGAACCGGGATATGGTCGGTCAGACCTTCTGCAGATGGCCACCAACCCTAGCGGATCAACCAGACCGCCGAGGGAGGCAAGCTCTCTAACCGAGCGAGGCCGCGCAGCCCCTCCAAGAACGAAGGCATGAAGGGGGATTTGGAGGGGAAAGGTGATTGATGCCTTGATTCTGCGGTCGGCTGGGCCTACCGCAGCTGCTCTTCGAATTAGCCAGGCAATGCTAGAACGCCACCACTACAGGCCGTTGCCAAGCTCCTATATCTGTCGTTATTATCAGCAAGTCCGACTAATCAATCATGTCCAAGAACGGTGTGTGGTGTTGGGTTTGCTGCTGGCATGGGCAGAGCAAGTGCCCACCCAAAGGGACCAATGGTCAGCCCGGTTCTAACTCGGAGCTTCCCCGAGCTTCATGTAAGCTCTAAAGCTGCTTTCATCGAGGTCAATATGGTAGAGCTCCAATTTCGAAACCATCAATCGGTAAACACTCCACGACGATCCATTAGCTGACAGAGATTTACTAACAGGACTAGAAATTCTTTGCCACGAAGAAGCATTTCTGCAGGATCCATTGAGCTTTTCTGATCGTGACCGTTCTGGACTTCGAGAGCTACTGGTATCCTGGAGAGCTTCTTCTGGGAAGGAAACCCAACTCACCCGATCCCGTTTCATTGTTTTCTTCGATCGGGCAGGGCCAGTCGTGGGAGACCCAGCCTACGTAAGTTCAGCATCTCCGGCTTGGAGCTAGCAGCTAGCCCGTAGTTCTAGGTCCATACTTCTATCAGCCCGTTCGATGCTCCAGCGGCTGGAAGTGAAGGAATATCTCGCGCCTAGGTCTGTGAGAGCGCCCTGGGGCGGTTGATCAATCTCAAAGAAGCAGGTACCGGTGTCACCGATTTTGGAAGCAAAAAGAGCTTCTGGAATTTACCCAGTACCGTGAGTACGGGGGACCGCCTAGGCTTGAACTCGGACGGGAAGCATCGGGAGATCCAGCATTCCGTCGAAGAATCAGTGGGTGTTGACTGTCGAGTCAAGGAGGAGAATCGAGCATAATCTAACAATGGAGTCAGGCGTTAGCTTAGAAACTCTCTCTCAGAAGGCGGCACTCCGAAACTGGGAGTCCGCAGATGAGCAATTCAAAGGCAATTCAAAGGTGACCAGGATGCCCTCGGTCACCGTGGATCGTCCCTTCTGCTGGGGGGGAGGACGAGCGCAGGCAGCCCAAGTAAGCTCGGTATGCTCCTGCCTCAGCTGGGTGAATCGAGACCCATGTGGCTTTACCATGAGTCGAGAGCTCAATGTTACCAGCTGTACGACGGTACCGAGTACATTGCTCACCGAGAATACAATCGCATGGAAGATCGCCATGGATGGCAGGAGCTCCAAAGGATCATACTCCCTCAGCCAGCCACTCCTGCTTATTTGAGTAGAACGTACCTTCGTAGACCCAGAATTAAAGGCAACCAAGTTGCATGTGAGAAGATGACGAACCCAATTGACTTGACACTTGAACAATGGAAGGAGCACCCAGTCCTCGGCTTACATATGGGCTTGGACTGAGACAAGCGGTTCCATCCCAGAACAACCCCAAAATCTCCGCCATCGCTGCATCACAAGGTGGGAAAGATAATAGAATGAATGCCATTGACCAATCTACAATCTTCTGGCGAGTTGCCGGGCATCAGCCCGTCGACAAATGGCGAACAGGTATCCTCATCGCCATGCCTCCTCCACATCAATCGAGCGAGGACAGATCCTACCTGACAATGCCTTCAATTCTCGTAAGTCTCCTTCGCCGCCAGATGCGGGTTCATGCGTACAATATTGACCTTTGCTGGCAATAGGATATTCAGTCCAACCACAAGAGCCAACCTCCGCCAATGCCGTTACCCGGTTCAGCATCCTCATTTATCTCGTCGACGACTACTTCGTACTTCACTCAGATCAGGTTGGCATTTTCCCACGCCAACTACTCGCCCACTATATCGAGAAGAAATAGACTGAACCCCTTTTAGGGCGACGAATATGACGATTTCGTCTTGGTTCCACGGGTGTCGAGCGGCACGGTGAGGTACACTGACACCTACATGCAGCCAGTTCATTTAAACGGGCCACGGATTTGCACATTCGCCGACGGCAATGGTGAAGATAACTCATTTGGTTGGCTGGATACATCCACCGCATTCATCCTCGTCCGACATATACTCCCATTCCCATTCCCGCTCTCCCAAGCGAACGCCGATACACGACAGGGTTATCACCAGCACCTCGGTTGACCCCTCCTCCAATCCGCATGTTATCCTGGTGCTCGCTACCGTCCCGCCCTCCCGGTCCCTCGCCGTATTCGTCTTTTGTTCACAATGCCCAGACATGAGCTGGTCTTAAACCCTTTTCCCCTTTGCCGTATATGGCCAGGTTCGCCAGCCACGATATCGCAGCTGCCATGGGCGAGGTGCCTGACTCTCCAGTTCAAGACCTTACCGAGCCACCTGATCCAGGCGAACCCTAGCTCTCTGCAACGGCGACACTTTGCCTTAGGCGAGCAACATACGAGGATCACAAGTCGCGGCCCCCCTCACCCACTTCGGCAGTCCCCAAGTCCGCAGGCAGCTCCCGCCTCCCCAATATGCATCTGCTTATTCTTCTTTGACCAAGACGTAGTGTCGTCCCGACGTCGCCTAAGGCCCGTCTCTTGATCACAGTTCCTGGTATTGCCGTCTCAACCTGTTTTAGACTCTTACCCTCTTATCCACACCCGAGTCTCTTGGGGAGCCGGGACGAAATCCGAACGCGGGTCATTTCCTCGCCGAGATGACTTCAAGCCTCTAGATAAGTGGTGGCAGTTTTTGTCCTCGGCTTTTATCCACTTTTCTCGCTCGCTTCTGAGCGCAGGAAAGAAACCTCCGAGCCGTGGCCATCGACGTGGTAATATCCCTATGTTGCCTCCCGCTCCATCATCAAGATCGTCTTCTTCAACACCCTGCGAAACTGCCCACGACTTTATTCTACCTCAACGGTCATGCCAGCAAACCCGCCTCCCTGCCTCAGCAGTTAGAGTAATGATGCTTGAGTCAGAAGGGCACGCCATTTCTTGCCGGGCTCTTCATGGTGTCTGGTTCACCTGGAGCTTGCATTTCCGCTAGCTAAGCGGCTGGCTAAAGGCGTGGGATGGCAGACCTATATGTGGGAGCTCGCTTAGGACCAAAGCTGTCCGCGATACCAAGCCGTACTTCGTATGCGAACCTTACATTGCAAAGATTAACTGCATACATTCGTCAGCAGAAAAATGCCCGATTAACTGGCGTACGCTGGTAATAGGCAGAATTATCCCCCACCACCAGTTTCTTCGCACGCCCCCATCCACACCACGAACCCGTGCATGCACCACTCCACCAGATTCCTCCCTCTCATCTGCAATCAAGTGTTGCCTCTCCTCGAATCAACATACCATTTCCACCATGGCATATAGAATACTCCTTTACCCCTGAACTAAGGGTGCCCGTGTTTCCCACCTCTTTCTCCCCGTCGCATTATGTTGGTTGGCCCGTGGCGGATACAATAGCCTCGCTACGGTTAATGGACAGCAAGACCAGGAAAGCTTGATGCTCGTATGCTTTGAGTACTCCTAGCGGGGACCTCTCGGGGTCGAGGAAATGTCATACAGCTCGAAACAACTGAGTAGTTCAATTTTAGCTACCGCTCGTTCATCAATTACATCTATTTCGAGAAACAGGTCCTATAGTCACCAAGAGCACCCCATTTCTCGGACACGGAAAGCAGGGCAATCTCCATGGACAACAGTGAATGCCCTTGCGGCCTCCAGCCAGCTCGGTAGTAGAGCTCAAGCGACCTACGCATTTAGAAGCCCGATTCATATCCAACTACCTTATTCTCGTCCGCGTCCCGAATTTGCATTACTGCATTTTTTTCCAGGAATCGCGCGGCAATAACCGGCTTCCCTTGGGGCAATCCCCGGACATGTCGGGCCCATGACCGAGTCGTGCAGGACGATCTTGTCAAGCCCATTCTCCCTCGGTGATACAACTTTTCTTTAGGTTTTCTACGCCGGCACCACGCACAAGTGAAGCCGTCGGTACCTCGTGGCAGATGCGTCGGAATTGTGTGGGAGCAGTTACCCACTTTGTGTCGCCCACGTCCTGGTCGCTCGGAGCAGCAAGCTCTACTCTAAATTGAAATATTCCAGCTGGCTGGATACGAAATCCCTGTCGGTTACTCTTTTTTCTTCAAATTCGTGCCGCTTGCGTTGATGTTCTTTTTTAGGGAAGTAACTAAGCTTCCCGCCTTGTGCTGGCCAACCTTCTTGGTTCCTGGTAACCGTCTCAACACAGGCTGAATTGCAAGGTAATATTGTCCCGCAGGCATGTCAATATGGCTCTTTTGACTTGCTCCAAATATCACCTGGTCTCTGGAGAGATCAAGTCCGTGAAAAAAAACATCGAAACGATATCCCACTTGCCACTAGGAAAACACGCACGCTCGTCCATATTGATGATGCTATTCCTGGCTATAGCCTCGATATTACCCAATATCCAACATATTTTGCTCAAGCTATCTTTATTTTCCCGGTCACTCTTTTCGTTTTTTGACTATCAAGATCGAAAGCTTCACGCCCCCTCCTCTTCGCGATAGTTCGTTCCCACCATGAGGCAATATGGCGACTGCTCTAGTAGTTATAATAATGACCCCGGCCCAACCGATACCCTCGATCCCCTCCTCATAATGAAAGCTTTCCTCCTTCGGAATCTTATCCTAGTCGTTCACTAAGAAGACTGTTTTAATCATCACCCAGTTGTAAACTCTTCCTCCATTCGCTCGTTTTCGTTGTTTTCTATTGTTTTCTTTCTCATTGTTCCACTATCTTTGGATCTTTCCTTACCCTAATCGAAACGAACGCGACGACTGGAGAAAAGCAGTTCATAATGGCAACTTCTTTGAGATCGTTTGCGGTGCTATTCGCACTCCTGGCCGTCCGGGTCATGGCGGACTGTGTTAGTTACGGCATTGACTATGCCAACGGAGGCCAATACTACATCGACGCAGGCTCGAACCAGTATTTTAGCTTTGTCTCCGTCTTCCAGGGTATGTGGCCTTTGTGTGCACTCTCCGATATATGATGTCTGCGGGTAGCCTGCGCTAAGCTTGAGAGCTCTCCGAGGAGAACCTGTGTTTGACTGATTGGTATGCAGGCTGTCAGCAAGAAGCCATCAACCCCGTCCTCGTGGACCCCTTGGACAACTACTACTCCTGCTCCACTATCAGCACTCAGCCCGATGGCCAGCAGGTTACTTCCACTTGGTAAGCGCGTCCCCTGAAGTAGGAGGCTTTCCGGATATCAGCTCGAGCCTGATAGGCCTGGCCAATTCGGTCGAAATGCGAGGGTATGCTTTACACGGGCATACAGCCGAGCGCCTAGGCCAGCAGACGACATAACTGAGCTGGAGGAAGCGTCTATGTGTCAGGAATGATCACTAATATGACTAACTGGGCAGTGGTATTCCCTTCTCTGCCATGCGGTCTGGTAACTGGAAGATTATTATCTCTGGCGACCAGGTCAACGTGCAGCGGACCATTAGCTTGACCGTTGGCCTCCCCGAAACCTCTACTGTCACGGTATGGAATTCCCTTGAGCCAACAATTTACTCATCGCTTTGGGACGCCTTCTCTTCTTATTCTCACGGCCATTATTCATTAACAAATTACTAGGCCACCCCCACGATCGTACTTGGAATCACCAGCACCCCCAGGGCAGTTACTGTCCACACCACCGTCGACCAGACAATGACCCTCATTCTTGTGCCCTCGACCGTAACTGCTCCGTGCGGCGCCGGGCAGACCCAAACCGTCACCGACTACCAGAGGGTACCGACAGTCGTTGTCGAGGAGACTGTCACTCGCACGGAGACCAGCGGACAGGTCACCAGCTACTGGCAGACGACCGAGACCACTCAGGCTAGATGCCACTACCCCACCAGTATGTTTTGCCCCCGTTTAGTTCCATGTACAAGTACACCTACCGGCAGCTCCAGGCCGTCTTCGTGCTTCGTACCACTGACATTTCCTTTCTTCTTGCTGCAGAGAAGCGAGATCTCGAGGGGCGCGAAGAAGCCGCCGTCGCTGCGCAGACCGTCACTTACACGCAGACGACCTTCACCGTCACACAGACTGTCGTCACCACCATTCCCCCAAAGACCACCACCGAACTGGCCTTCAGGACACTCACTACCACCATGTAAGTTGCAGACACCCTACACGTTTTTGACACCCCGGGAGGATTTTCTAACAGGGATTGCTTTTTTCTTAGCCAACCCCCTCCCACTACGGTTTGCCAGGGAGGTGGCGGCCAGAACGCCGTCATTACCGTCAACCCCAACCGTCCTGCTGTCACGCAGACAAACCTTGTCTATACGACGATCCGCTCTTCGGGTACTGTCTGGGTCGGGTATGTATTATTTGATGTTCTTTTGTCTTCTTTTCGACTGCTCTTGTCGCATTTTCCTCCCACTGCATTCCCTTGACCCTGCTGTTTTTCGTTTGCCCGTCAAGCCGGACCAAGCCCGGGCCCGGTTAGTTTCTTGTCATTGGCTCGGTTCGCGGCATTTTCGGCGGTGGTTCCGGTCATGATGCGGCCGATTCCTCGTTCCGCACCTGCACTCGCGTCCCACGTTTCATTTCGTTTTTAATCTACTCACTGCATACACTTTCCGCTATCTCAACTCGACCTGCTAACTCTACTTCCTCTTCAGACAAACTGCATACACCACCATCAGCAACTCCGCCAGCGCGACTCAATGCTGGAGGGCCGGCGGCTGGTATGGTGCTTAAACGGGATACATCTCCTCTGGAAAGGTTCCTCCATAAGAAAAGGAACCTTTTCTCTCTTGTTTTCTTATACAACCTATCTGGCTCCCTTTTTTTTTATTCATCTCATGTAGGAAGCGAAGTTCCTCCCTTCCAAGTCTTTGCTTCGCACAAGTCACAAGGTTCCTAAAGGGCAATAGGAAATTTAGTAATAGGAAACGGGGAAGAGAAGTGGACTGGTGTAGTTGGTAAAGTTGGTGTCAAAACAAACTTCCTTTGGAAAGAAGATTAATGGATCTTGCTCGGGTCTTGTGTTCTTTTCGAGGGGATGTTAATCTTTTTTATTATTAAGTATTTTTAGTTTATTCTTCATTACTTTATTTATATTACTCTCTCTTCTTCTTCTTCTTCTTCTTCTCTTCTTAAAAGTAATTTCTGAAGTCTATGTGAATGTTAGAAAACTAAGCCTGTCGAGGGTCTCTTGACCCTCCTGTCTTCTCCAGACCGACTAACATCAAGCCATCGTTATGTTCTGTGATGGAACACTTGAACCTTTCCCTGAGCGAGACAAAGAGAGAGCTTATAGAGCTTCTTTGGGAATAGATATTAACTTAATTATTTTTTTTTAAAGATAAATCGCCATGACCCTGCCATGATCCCTTCATACAAAACCGAAAAACGCCCCCAAACAATAGACAAAAAGAACCCCATCCATAAATATTCAATCCCTCAAAAATTTTTTTCTCAATCTTTCCCCACAGAATATATGTTGCTTTGCCATCTCTTCTCTCTTCCGAAGTAATTCAATAATCTTACACAAAATCCCTCGTCGACTGCTCAGGACCCAGATCCTGATTCCTTGCCACTCTCGTAGCATTAACGTCCATCAACCCAATCTGCTGCGGCGAAGGCGAATACTCCCTCCTACCGAGATCAATACCGCGTTCACCGCCGCCGCGCTTCCCGGAGCCTTCGCCGCCGCCGGTGACGGAATCACGATATGGCACGGCGTCGTCATCGAGGTCTCGACGCCAGGGTTCGGGTGGGTTGTTGTAGCCCTTAGCCGCGGCCGAGGAGGAGGGGAAGACGAAGCCGGAGCCGGCGGAGGCGCGGTGGCCGGAGATGCGGGCGCGGAGACCCTTGTGGAAGGTGAGGAGGGAGACGGTGGCTGTTAGGAGGAGGATGAGGATTGCTAGGATGATGTTGAGCATGCTGGCGAGTGCGAATTGGAAGCCGCTGTGGGAGAGGGTTAGTATTAGGCAGTCCAGGGGGAAGTGATAAGGGAAGGGAGGGGCAGGCAGCGTACATGAATGCGTCGACGGCGCCGAGGAGGATGACGATGCGGCCAAGCCAGAGGTGGACGGGTCGTAGCTTGCCGGGGACTTGGCGTTTCTTGAAGCGGAGGTGGTGCAGGACGCCGATAACACTGAGCGAGGTTAGCATTTTGATGTTCTGGGAAAAGAGAGCAGGAACAATGAGGCTTACAATTGTCCGATGAGGCCGGCAATGACGATGAAGCCGATGACTTGGTGGGTCGAGACGAATTTCCGCGACTTACAAACAATGTCAGTGAATCCAATAGAGGCGTATCAACTGGATTCCACTTACCCTTTGATAGTGGAAACTCGTGATAACACCCAACCCAAGTCCCCCAAGCGCGCCAAGGAGGGAAATTCCCTGAATAACAGCATGTCCCTTAACCGAATTGGCAACCCTCAAAACAAACACGCCAATGGGCAACAACACAATAAACACCAAAATCATAGCAACAGCGTGAAACGTAGACTTGGCATCAAACTTCCCACTCTTCTGCTCATGCTGCTCCGTAAACTGATTCTCCGACTTATCCGACAGCTCAGGCGCATCAGCATGGCCTAGCGTCTGGCCCATCTGAATGCCAAAGGAGCCGTAGCGCGAGTGGTACTTGATCGGGGCGGCGGGGTCGTTGGAGCGAAGGGACTCGCGGGGGCCGAGGGCGTAGATGCCCTTTTGGTTGTTGTCGTTGATGTCCATGTAGCCGCCGGGCCAGGAGCGGCATCCCGAGAGGCAGTGGGCGGAGAAGACGAGGTGGTCGTCGGTTATGCCGGTGCCGGGGAGGGTGAGGTATTCGAATTGGGGGTAGTAGGTTGGTTCGTAGTCGCCGCGGGAGTAGCGGGGGCTGAAGGTGACGTTGTTGCCTTCTTCGTTTCTCTGTGTGTTTGCATTGGTTAGTTGTCTGTCTCTTCCTTTCTAGGAGTATATGGTGTATAGGTATCGGCGGGGAGACATACGTAGATCATGAGCACGAGGGCACCGTCCATATCTTCGGAGCCGAGGCCGATGGCACCCCAAGAATAGTCCTTGGGGATTCGGATGGAGAAGAAGAAGTCATCGTCGGTGACATCAGGGACTGTGAAGCCAAAGGCGATGGCCTTGTCTTCGGAGACAAAGGTAGCTTGGCCCTCGACGACATCGGCGAGAGTGGGCTGGGAGAGGAGGCCTTGAGGGGAGATTTCTCGATTAGCCGGAGCATGATGGAAGGCGGACTTGGATGCGAGAGTCGGCCAGACGGTGAACTCGTGTCGCTCGCTGATCGGGATTCAGGACTCACCTCCTGCTAATAAAAGAGCTCCCGCTGCAGCGGAGCCTATCCGCCGTATCCTGGACCACATCTTTCGGGCGTGTTTGGGGAGTATTCGGTGTTGGATATCGTCCTTCAATTGGAATTCGCGAATTCGAGAACAAGATAGGGGAAGGACTCGTGTTCCTTGCGCGTGCCTCGGTCAACCGTCGTCGTCGAAGGTCGTAGGGGACGAGCAACCGGTGCAAAAAGGAGCGAGGGGTGGGAAGTGATTTAACGAGCGACGTGGGATGGAAGAAACACCATCGCGAGGGAATGAGAACAACTCCACGAAAGGCAACAAAGTAATTCAATGCCAGTGATTGCTTTCTTCACTTTCACGCTGACAGTCCGGTTGGTTTGTCCCCCCTAAATCAATAAAATTGGGGAAGCATGGCTGTCCGGTCCAGTGTGGGGAAGTCTCGAATGTCACTCTACACGTAATATCAGAGAGAAGGTACTTTTAGCTACTAAGGTACACTGATTCGTATTAATGAGACCCCCTATTAGACAAAAGTTGAGAGGGGAAAAATGAATGATGGACTCGACTTGGTCAAGCTCCAAGTTGGCCGCGTCAACAGATCATGTCAATGCCCCTACCTTTGTACAAAAGTCACGCCCTTGTATATCATATGTTCCACCGTCGATTCTGGATTCTTGAGTCTCGACTCTTTGATTCAGTCTCAATACGAAGTGCTGATGCGGACACGCAAAACACCTGTCATTCCTCGTGGTGTCAATTGGCTCAGGCACAAAACACGCTACTCCCGCACGATGCATAAAGCTAAGTTCAGAGCTGCGAACCAGTTTTAATTGGGTTTTCGTTTTGACAGCCCGCATAAAATTATGCACTATATTCGGATGTCTGCTGATATGCGCGCCCCGTCCTAAGTTTTGTCTCGATCTCCCTTTTAGGAAGCGACACGAATATTTGCCTCTCTGATTGGATGGAATCTGGGCCATTACATATATCCGAGACGTGATTGGATACTTTTTCTTCGTGTTCTAGATCCCAACTGACATCAAGTGCTCGCAGCAGACTTCGGATTGGGCACGGGTGACGACCTCGTCGTTTCCTGAACCCAGACTCAGGCGTGTCTAAAACCGTCTTTCACAAGGGGTGCTCCACGAAGTAGCCTCATGGACGGAGTTACGAACTAAAATTAAACTTAACGGGACTCCGTTTATGCCAGCGTCGATGTAGTTCGGCATTCGTTCCCCAAGCCGTGTAAGCACGTGACATCGCGACTGGTCTCTGAACGCGTCCTGATCGTTGAGAGTTGAGACGCGTCAAGTTCAAAATCTGACCTTGCCTCGAGAGAGGACAGCACATGGACAGTAATCAATTTTCAAATCGAGTGCTTTTTTGTGGTTTGATTCTCGGCTTTGGTTAAAGGATGATGATGGAAAGCATGTCGCTCACTTGTCTGCGTCAGGCAAACTTATAAAATAAGAACAGAGAAGTCTGCTCTTCCACATAGATCAAGAGAGCATTCCAAACAGGAATCAATCCGAACTACGGCAGGAATAGGACAGCAGCCCAAAGCAATAAGTGAATAAAACCGGAGATCGTCCGCGCCATCAACCGCAACAATTCTTGTCTTGCAATAAGGGTACTCATTAGGCATTAACGGTGAGGTATAGCAGCAGAACTGATCTCCCCTCTCCAGTTCAGCATCCCGGTTAGCATGCTCGCACCTTTCAGACACAAGAGAGCAGGCCAGCGCCCTAATAGCCTCTGTAGGGTTGCGGGTAATATCGACGGACGGCCCTGTTAGGGACACGCCCAAGTTGACAAAACCGTCTTTTGCTTCCACTCTCCATTTCAATTTGTAATCAGGATAAAGGTTAAGAGGCCGAATTACCTCTCTCGAGGGCAGCACCCTGCCGCATGGTGGCGGAGTGTTCTGTCGCTCGATCTCCGACTTAACAACCTCGTATTTTTCGGACTGGAATTGCAATAGGCCGGGAAGCCAAGATAGCGCGAGGTATCCTCTCCTCTTCACGCGGCGGGTGTCGAAGATGGTAGGATAGACGGCCTGGCCCTTGAAACAGGACATTGCCCAGCGCGTCGTGGATACTTCCGTCCCGACGTCGTGCCCTATCAACGTCAGGGCCCAGGCGAGCAGACATTCGATTTTGCAAGGCTTTATAAGGCCGGAGCCGCTGCTTCCGTAACCGACAGTCTGACGCGTAAAGACGGAAAAGACCGTCGCGTGGTAGTCATCGCGACGACGGTCTCTGCCATTCTCAATGCGAATGAGGAGATTGTCCGACAAGTGGAATAGGGATAGCGCGAGGGCATCGCTGAGGAAAAGGGCTGCATCGTAAAGAAATTGATCTCGGAGGCACCACATGGGCCCTCTCCCGGTTACCATGTCTAGAAGCGAGCTGGTTGTGCGGGCACACGCCTGGCATAAACAATTGTCCTTTAGAGACTTGAGATGCAGCTTTACCAGAGGCAGATCGGTTATTCGCGTCCCTGGTGTCAGTTTCTCCAGCTCTAAGCTCGCCCCGTCCTTTTCCACACCTAGCATACGGGAGATCATCTCCGCCACCGAACTATCACTCCCGAAAGGAACCGTGCGATAAGTTTTCACCACCTTCGCATCTCGCTGTCGGGGATTCATGGTTATGGTTTCTTGGCTGGTCTTGCTCGCAGTAAATCTGCACCGGTCGAGATATTCCTTTGCCGCGTACGGAAGACATTGCTGGAGGGCACGGAAAGCTTGGACTTGATCGAGGTTATATTCCTTCAGCATCCATTGGCCGTAGTTTCCGATTGTTGTCATGCCTGCCCAAGGTTTACCGCTGCCCTCAACGATAAGTTCCTCGGGGTCTCCGATATCATGATAGATCGTTACCGAAAAGGTCTCGCCGTTCTCCGAATGCCCGGTGTTGATAATGATATCAACGCTCAGGTCGGGTTGTTCGAGTATGGGAGTGCCATCTTGCAAGTACACCGATGGGGGAGCACCCAGACACCACCTCGTGAATGCGATTACCCACGGCGAGGAGGAGGTCACATGGATGACGACCTTGGAGACACTGGAGTCGCCGATCCGATGAAGTTGCCGAAAGGCATAGACTAATTTCTCGGTCGCCTCCGCAGAAGGATACGACGATGCACGTTGGAGAACTTTCCTGCTGGCGTCATCTACATCCGGATGTTTGTACAGATAGCTGTGCCAACCCAAAATCGAGTCGGTGAACCTGGCACGAGATAATCTCGCATCCAGCACGGACAACAAGTCTCTCAACTGCTTCGTCGTCGGAAGCAACGACTTATCCGCAGTTGTATTCCTCAACATGAGCGACAGCGCAGTCGCCGACTCAAAGGCACCCATAGTCGTCACGAGTGCCGCCGCGAGGCCGAGAAACTGTACGCCGGATGCCGTCGTGCCCAGCTGCGTGGCGCAGTCGTCGCGCGAATAGCCCACGACGCCTTGAAGGAGAAACTGGATCGGGGCGGGCTTGTCGGTTGGGAGGACGGAGGTCTCGATCTTGCGACATGTTTCGTGGCACATGGCGATTGTGCAGCCGAACTTTTCGCAGGCGAGGAGGGCTAAGGGTTGGATGTTGTCGCTTGTTGCGGCGTGGATGATGCCGCGGGAAATGGAGAGGGCGGAGTTTGCTGTGACGTCGAGGCTCCATTGTGCTGAGACGGACATGTCGGCATCTGCGAAGGAGACTTTAGGGGAGAGGGGGATTGGCGGTTCTGAAGGAGATGTAGAAATAGAAAGGAAAGGGTCGAACAGTCGTTTGATAAAGATCTATTGATAGTTGAGAGAACTCCTGGAGCGTAGTATTCACTAACAAGAAGAGCTGGGAGAGTGGCAGTGCTAGCCGCGGATGCCCACGGAGAGCTGGATTTAGCCCATCCTGCTGGAGACCGCAGCGACCGTAGCCGAGTAGCTAAAGGCGTCTTACGCTACCTTTGAATGCATCCTCTACAGATATGGGAGCGATATAAGCCAATGGTTAGCCGCCCAAGTGTGGATGGAGGGATGATTGGGCGATTGGGGGATGGGCCAGCCTGCTCTGCGATTCACTCTCAAAGTTCGAATCTGACCACACCCGGCACCCTTCGTGTCCCTGGAGGGTGACATTATATCCTAAATAAAGGTTCAGTGACTCAGAGCTTAGAAGTGGGTGGAAAGGACTCGAATTCTCGAGTCCTTCAACCTGACTGCGCTTGTGCGCAGTCTGATGGGCCTGGACGCGTCCTGACACGTCTGGGACACGCCGGGGGACCACCCAGACACGCGTGGGTATAAATACGACTCATTCTTCTCGCAGGCAGACAGATTGAGGGGAGCAAACTTCAACTTTTCATTAACATTGAAATTGCGGGGGAAACGGATCCATTGTGAGATTTTGTTGTCGGTGGACACGCAACTTTCTTTTCTTTTCGTGGGCAGTGAGTGTCAAGCACCCTTAACCCCCCTTTTTTATTTCTTGTGGATATAAGCTAACTTGAGCAGGCAAGGGATTGCCATGGGTTACAGCAGAAACGATTCTAACCGCCGTGGCTATCGCGGGCGGTCTGGTGGAGGTTACTATGGAAGATCACGCCGTGTCTCCTCGGCTCAGAAGGCTAAGTACTCGAAGAAATACAAAAAATACTTGTTCCAAGGTGCCTGGTTCGTCACGAGTGCGCGGTCTCCCGTCCAAAAGAGGAGCAATGGCTACCACGCTCGCTCAGGGCGGTCTGTGCCTTTCGACGATACCACGGCCATGCAGAACTTTTTCCGCACATTCATTCGATCCAACACGGTGCCTAAGCAGTGTATCTTGGTCCACGAGACGAAGGAGTCCGCCCTGGAAGAAGCTCGGCGCATGAAGGCGGAGGCGCACACTGATATCGAGCTCCATGAGATTGAAGTGCCCAGGCCGCCTCGATATGGGAGATGGGAGATTTACTATCGAAACTTGTCCATTTATGGTGAGGGTCTTAACTTTTACAGGGATGATGGCTTGGGCGACCACTTCCTCGTCGCTGGTTACATCGCTCAGAAGTTTGTTAAGCACAATGAACCTTTTCTTGGCTGATGGTACGTTTCTTCTTCCCTTCCCTACTCTAACTTCAATGTCAGTTAAACTAATAACATGTAGTAGTCTTTCTTCTACCTCGAAAGATGTGACGTCTTTTCTAACGGTGGAGGACTTACACAATAGGTTTGTTCTTGTCTTCCCTCGTCAAGGCAAGTAATGTCGGATGGTTCGGTTCCCTTTGTTCCTTTTCCGTTTACTCCAGATTGATATTTGGAAATGCGACGCTCGTTTCTTTCTGTCACCTAGGTTAGCCGGTTTTCATTCCCAGGGACCAGATTGGAACCTCTTCGCCTTTCCCTTTTGCTTTGCGTTTTATTATTTTTCTTTTTTTTACGGGTTACGGTGCGATCTTCAGTCGCCGGTGGAGGATTAGGGCACAGATTGTTCTCAGATAGCTCAGCAAGTGCGAAGTATGTAGGATATTGATTCACGCTCGCCCTCTCTCTTCAATCTTGTCGCGTAAACATTTCTTGATGAAGCAGACAAGTGTTCAGCTCGGGAACCCGAACCCGGTAAGCGTAGATGTTTCCTGGCTTGGCCATCAACGGCCAAGAGTTGGGGAAAAGATGGGATTGCAGACGATTACTTTGCGACCAACGTCTTCGAGAATCCTCCACTTCAAACCTCATCACTAACAAGTCGAACACGCCTCGCCTCGAAGGGAAAAGCCTGTAGTTCCCAATCTCAGGTGCGGGACATGAATCTAGTTTATACATCGTGGCTAATTCCAAAGCCACCGAGCAGGTGTGAGCCTGGGATGCCGGGCCTCTTGTCCAGCTGTAGTCTTCATTACGGGCGCGAATTCCTAATGAGAGACTCGATAATTGGCCGTTCCGTTGTACGACGTAGAAAAATCAAATAGAATAAGAAAAATAGTCTATGAATTCTCTATAATACGCATATGTTCATCATTATCATCATCACAAGAAGGAAAAAAAGGTCCCCTACGCCTCAAACGCCTCGTCCCTCCCATTTTTCCCATCCCCCAACCCAACCACACACCTCAACCTCCCCAAAACCCGATAAATAGACCACGCAGCATCGCCAGCACTATACCCATAATCCAAGATATAATACCCCAAAACAACCAACAGAATCAACGGCGCCGACGCCGCAAAATACACCCAAAACAGCTCCTGCCCCGGCGCATACGGCTCCGTCATGCTAAACACCGAAGAAGTGTACGCCAGCGGTATGAAAATCAGCCCGATGAGCGTGATGGCCTTGGTGCTCTTGGCTTCGCGGATCGACCGCTGCTGCTCCTTGTACGACATGCGATTTCCAGTGATACCCGCGAGACCCGTCACGGCGGCGTTGAGGGAGGCCGTGCGGTGTCTCAGTTCGCGGAGGCGATGGAGCAGGAATTGGAAATCGGCCGAACAATCTCTCCACCACGAGGGATCGGGCCCCTGGAATTCGGGGGATGCGTCTTTCTTATAGGGCGGCGGGTTGGAAAGCGGACCGTGAAAGGAAAGAGGGGCAGACGCCGGATGGTGGTGGTGAGTGGGAGTAGGTTGTTGCTCGTCAGTCAACGGGATACCGAGCTGGATCATGATACCCTCGAGATCCTCGAGGTACTCTCCCATGCGCCGTTCCCAGGCTTGCATGTCGCTCCAGAGGGCTTCGACCTTGCGCATCGGCATTCGCGTGAGATCTTGTTTCCGCGTGAGGCCTCTTTGAACGGCAATGAGGGCCGAGCGCACGTGTTCAATCTGCACCAGATATTGCGAAGCGACGATCTTTTGGACGAACGTGGCCACGCCTTCGGGGGTGGGTTCGATGAGGTGGGAGTGTGTGGAGAGGTAAAAGGTTAGGTCATCGAGGAGACAGGTGCGTGGCGGGCCGGAGAGGGCGCGGAGTTGTTCTTCTTCGGGGACGAAGTCGATGTAGCCGCCTTGGTAGGGGCGTGTTCGTACGGAGAAAGAGTCGGTGTATCCTTCCCCTGCGTGGACGCGGCGCACCGGAGGGTCGCAAATGACGAGACAATCCCAGCCTCCATCGGCCTTCCGTCGAGACCAAACACCACACTTTCTAACCGTCATCCCAACATCCAGGAACTGATCCCCCTCATCGACCGAATCCCCCCATTTTAACTCCCTGGAGACCCCTATGTGCTTCCCCGTCACTCCGCAAGCCCACTTAAACGTCTTGGGCGTGACATCAAATGCCATCACCTCGTGGTACCTCATCCTCAAGTGCGCTCTCCCGCCCCTCAGAGTCGAAGGAAGGGGAACCCCATCATTTGCGCCTCGCCAGGAGATATCGTGCACCACCACACGCTCATGTTCCACGAAGATCGAAGGGTGAAGGGAGAAGTGCTCGCCTAAAACGCTGGCGAACCCGGGGCCTAGTCCTTCGAGGATGTATACCGCCTTCCTGCCGGGTTGGGCACAGACAGAGGAGGCGAGGTGTTCTTCCAGGGATTCGGGTGTCGTGTACTGCGCCTGGATTGAGAAGGAGTTGTCCTCCTGAGCCTCGAGAACTGAGACGCGGACGTTGTCGTCTGTGAATGGGACGTGGATGTTGATTGTCTTGGGATCACGCTGGCGGAGGCGGGGATCGGAGGCACAGAGACGATTGACGGTCTCTTGGTAGGGCCCTTTGGAGAGCCAATGCCCGTCGTTGTTGGGTGATTTGGACATTTCTGTTATGTCAGGGCGGGGGAGAGGGTCTGATGACCCGGGAAGCGTGTAAGTGGAACTATGGAGGGAATGAAGAGATCAATGTGTGTAGGAAATGCTATAGCTGCTCAAAAACTGCGCGGCAAGCCATGGTGAATTTTAAGCTTATTTCAAACGAATTTATTTGATTATTATTCATTATCGTCGAGAATCTAGGCTCTCTTATATCGATGAATCCAAACGGGCGGTCTCCAATAATCAGCAATCGTGAGGCGAGGCGAGTCGGGTCCCGGATGCCGCCGTTGATCCAGTCCAGGTCCTGAAATTGGCTCACCGCGAATGTGGCTGAGCGAGTCCAGGAACAACCACACCAATTCGGGCCACCGAGTTTGTCCATCATGACTTGAATGACAGACGCAACCACACCAAATCCTTCGCCAATGCTTGTTCGCTTCCGGCACCTGCAACTGGCTAGTGTCCTTTGCTAAAAACAATTCCTCCGTCCTTGTCCGTAGGACCTCGAAACGTGGTTTGGCTCGTCTGCATGATGCGATTTAATTTTGGTCTCCGTGGGCCCCTGCTCCTTCTAGAAAACAGGGCGGTGCAACGCCAACCACCCATCATCTTCACCCACACGAGCAGGAGGCCTTTAGACCGCCTCGCCTCGTCTGGAGAGGAGGGGAATCCCTGACTTTTTGTGACGGGCCATTCCGACTTCTCACGAAAACTATGCGGGTTGTGATAATACCACTTCCTCAACTTCACAGAGCGACCGAGCAACCCCCACAAACCCAATCTCTCTTGCATCCTGCAAGGCGCCTTGCATTGAGTCTTATGCCTCCAAATGGGTATCCTGCGCGGTAGAATAAAAGAAAATGCTCACGCGACAGCTCATTCCCCCCCAATTCATCGCGTGCGCTCGCTCTCAATCGGGCCACCCCACACACAGACTGTAACCACGAAACACGTCCGCCTCATTCTTCCACTTCTTCCTCCTCCTCCCTCTCTCTCCTCTCCTCCTCAGCCTCTTCCCGCTCACGTACGCGTAAGCCCTCCACGAGCGCAACGCCATCAACGCCCGCAACATCCCCATTCCTCCCCTCCGCTTCCACTTTCCTCGCCGCGCTCTGCGCATTCGCGATCCTCTCCCTCACCAGCCTCGCAATAGCATTATCCGTCCTCACGTTTAATATCTCCAACTTCTTCTCCAAATCCCTCTTGAGATCCCAATTCGGTTTCTTAGGCTGTAGCTTGAACAAATCGATGCCCTTGTTATCCTCCTGGGCGTCCACGGCCGCTTTCCGCTCCACTTCCTCTGCCACGTCGGCCGCTAGCTCTTCTAACGTCGGCTGGTCCGGTTTTATGGGGGCTGATTCGAAGCCGAGTTTTGGGCCGCGGGTTTCGGGGTCGTAGTTGCGTCCTGAGAGGTGTAGACGCGCCACGTCGGCTTCGGTCTGGGCGACGAGGGTTTGGGAGGAGTGGGATTGTGTGGGCGGTGAGGGCGAGCGCGTGAATTCGGGAGGGGCGATTTCGTCGGCTGGTTGCTTGCGTTTGAGGGATTTGAGTTTGGCGAGGCGGGCTTTGCGGTCTTCTGCCGCTGCGCTGAGGCTGCTTTGTGGGGGGGCCATGGTTTGGATGAGGAATCCCGCGGGGGTAGTTTGAGTGGGAGATTTGGAATAGAATAAATTTGTAAAAAGAATGAGTTGTTGCGGTGGTGATATTTGGGCGGGAAAGCACTGGTGGATGGAGAGGACGAGGAATTCCTTCAAAGGAGATTTTGGCGATGAAAGTTTGCAAGGCTGAAGAGAGCCGAGATCGAGAGAGCTTCTTCGCTGATCAGTGGTCCAAGCACAGGGCAGTTTAACTTTTTCATACAGTGCTCGAAGGGCCTAAGTTGCTTTGTAGAAAGTTCAGCACCAGCCACACTTGAGCCACATCATGAATTTTGAGCCAATGAACGACAGGAGCCAATCAAGCTTTGAATTATTCTCTCGACTTCGGCCTGTGAAAGAAAGTGCAGCCAAGATTTCTGACCTCACTGAACTTTTCGACATTAAGAGCAGCCTCAATCTATTCTCCTCTCGACGACGAAGTAGGCAGGGAAATATCTCTCTCGCCCTCTCTCTCACGTGTTCCTTCCCTTCAGAGTCTAATCTCCGGAGTACCGTCGAAACCACACCCCACCCAACTGCGCATTCAGTCGCATCCAGCCACATCCTCAAGAATGCTTTTGGCACCCTCTAGATCATAGCCCACTGCGGCGATGAAGACCTCGCGATATCTTCGACATGGTTCGGCCGTCCGGCTGCGGAGGGATCAGATTGCGAGCAATTCGATATCTCCAATCTTCTCCCGGTCGGCCCAATGCACTATTACTACCGAAAGCCTTCCTCGACTCGGCAGTCCCTCCATCCTCTCCTTCGATCCCGCCCTCTACCCACCTCAACCTCTTCCACCGTCCAAGCTATCTCGGCCGCGAAACCTGAGTTCTGCTACACTCCTAACCTCTTCCCCTTCCTCTTCCTTCTCCGCCCCAATATCGACACCCTCTACCGCCTTGGTCACCTTGCCCACCACGACCGCCTCGACCGCCTTGGTCATCTTCACCGCCGACACCACCGACACCACCTCAACGTCAGATGATTCAGCTTTCTCCACGATTCCTGGTCCCAGACCAAAACCTGGTAAACTCGAATCCTTCCAGAAGTACGACAGGGTCCTGTGGCGCGACTTCAGACCCAGGCGAGAAAGCCTAGGCCCCGAATCGAAACGCCAGCTCAACTCCCCGAGCAACAAACAACTAGCCATCAACGAGGATAGCCCGAAAACTCGGCCGCAGCTTTCCGAGATCTTTCTCGACGAGGTGGATTGGAAAAAAGGTCTGCACGACGTTCGGTCCGGGAATTGGTACTGCCTGCCAGGCTCGTTGCCGACAGTCTCGGCACTTACATACTGCCGTACCGTTGCAGAGGCACGCACGGTTTGGGAGAATCAGGACCCCGAGGATGCGAGGCATGCGTGGGCGCCAGTGATGCTGGCGCTGCTGAACGATGATTTACTTCAGGCATGTCGGTTTTTACAGGCGTCGTTCCCTTCTTTGAACCCTCCGCTTTACGCGCTGCAGGACTCGATTGCGTTCATTTACTCTTCTCTTAAGTTATCCCCTGCGACAGAAAAGGAGGATGTCTGGAATGCTCTTGCCGATACGATCATATTCCTACTCCGCAACCACCCGGACGCACGGACCATGTTTGAGCGAATGGACTTCCATGCACTCCAGAAACGATTGTGCCCGAAGAAACTGGTCGAGCTTTATAGGGGGTTGCGCGCTGTGCAGGTGCAGCTCACCACCTACACTCTGATGCACATCGCATCGAGTCTCTCCAGGGATCCAAGCCTCAAGAGAATGTCTCTCGAGGTCATGGCCGAGGGCCTCGCGAGAACGAGAGACGAACCTGCCAAAACCCAAGAACTTCTACGGAAACGATGGAGCAGTGTCTTTACCACGATTCTTACCTACAGCCGGCATTCGATGGTCGACGCGGAGGTTGTATCGCCCGAGGAGATTTGGCATTTTGCCATCGAGCATGGAATTAAGCCGAATGCCATCCAATTGACGGCCCTCGTCCAGGGCTTTTGCGCCACGGGACAGGTCGAGGCCGCTTGGCAGGCCTTCGACATGTATTCCGAGCGGGGGATGCCCGTCGATCTCAAGTTGTTGACGGCGCTCCTGCAAGGCTCGAAGCTGTTAGGGAGCGTCTCCTACGTCATCAGGGCAATAACGCTGATTGCCGAGACCGGCAACGTGGACGGGCGAGTGGGCAACAGCATCCTCCACCTCGTGCTTTCCATCGCGTTGAGGGACTCGAATGGGCCCATCACGTCGTTCCCGCTCATGCTGCGGATATACTCGAGGCTATTCATCCGTGAGCCCCTCGAGGCCATCATTCCCAAGAATCTTCTAGGCGACGTGGTGAGGGAGGACAATGTTCTGGAGGACATGGTTCTCGACCCGGCCTTCACGTCGACCCTCGACCTGCTCTGCCCCCCCGGAAAGGCGCCGTCGCTGGAGCCCACAATTGCCACGCTGGAAATCATGGTGCTCTCGTGGATATGTAGCCTCCGGAAGGAGTACAAGAGTCCCGCCATAATCGCCTTCTACGGCCACTACCGCAAATTGCTGCAGGATTGGCATCCCATCGCCACCAAGATCGTCAAGAAGCGAAACACAGTCATACACGATATGATCGTCAAGGCCTTGACGACCTCGTCGGGTCACCTCCGTCTCGCGCTTGACGTCGTTTCGGACATGCTTCGCGATGCTCCGGCCCACAGCAAGTCTGTCCCAACCTCTGACAGCTCTATTATCTCTCTCCCCAAACGCAACTCTGTCTCAGCCTCTGGCAGCTCCATCATCCCTCTCCCCACCACATCTCTCTCCTCCTCCTCCTCATCCTCCCCTAACCCCGACTCTGATTCTTCCACTTCTACCAAATTATATAAAAAGAAAGTCCCATGTCCGGGGCCCGTCCACCCGGTCCCCAGCGCCTGGACGTGGAATATCCTCCTCGACTCCTGGATGCGGTTTAACCGCCAAGACACCGCCGGCCGCATCGTGAATCTCATGCGTCAGCACGGCGTCGAGCCGACGATCGTGACGTGGAACACCATCCTCTCGCGGGCGGCCGGCGTGGGGAACATTAAGTTGGCGGTCAAGTCGGCGCGGAAGATTCGGGAGTCCGGGCTCGAGCCGAACGAGAGGACCATCCTGGCGTTTTCGAAACTCGTTGAGAAGGAGGAGTTTCTGAGGGAGTTTGGAAATGTGCTGCCGGAAAAGCCGGGGGAGTGGGGGGAGGACACGGTGGGGGTTGGCGTCGGGAAGGGGTTGGAGGAGGTGGTTGGGTTTGGTGAGAGGGAGAGGGTGAAGAGCAGTCCTTCGCGGGAGAAGAGTGAGTCACAGGAGAAGAGCGATCCGTGGGAGAGGATGGAGAAGAGTTATACGCCGCAGAAGAGTGATTCGCAAGGGAAGAGCAATTCATGGGCCAGGAGTGATACGTGGACGAAGAGAGACCTATGGGAGACGAGTCATGCGATGGGGAGGAGTGAGAGGGCTCCGCTGAGGAAATAGAATAAAGTGTATATATGTATTGTATAGATTTTAAAAAAGTGTAATGTACATCACTTAGATTTAGATTTCTTTTGGAGTCGAACGCATAGATGATATCGGCATCCGTCACGCCCACCTCTCCGCACTATTTGAAGCGTTTATCCTTTCATAGATTCGGGCCCGGATCGCTTTTTTGTCATTCGAGTCCTCAAATAACAACAAACAAAAATGCAAAAAGGTTCAAAGAAAAGAAAAGAAAAGAAAAAGAAAAAGAAAGAAAAAGAAAGAAAGGAAAATACAAAAGAGCAAAAAGGAAAATCGGTTGGACGCACCCGGAATCGAACCGGGGACCGCCTCTATGCTAAAGAGGAATTATACCACTAAACCATGCGCCCCTTTGCCGTTGGTTACTGATAACGGGGCATTTTCTTAAACGCGACCTGATGTTTCAATCAGAACGTTACCCTAGTCAAGCAAACCTCTTCACAATGGATGCAACAGCATTCGATGATCGCCTTCGAATCGACAACGCATGCTGTGAATCCGACTGGATTTTTCCTCACTCCGGACAATATAATGGAATCCAGATAAAAAAAATCATAATATCCCCTCAAAAATAATGGCGCGCCAATTCAGACCTCGGACACTCCTCCGGCTCATCCCTTCCCATTATCGCTTTCTCTCGTCAAAGACATCAGACCCATTGCGAATCCTCTTTTGCGGCTCCGATGACTTTAGCTGCGCGTCGCTTTCCGCGCTGGATGGGGAGATGAGGAAGGGGAACGGGCTGATTGAGTCGATTGATGTGGTGGTGAGGCCGCCGAAAGGGACGGGGAGGGGGTATAAGAAGATCCGAGAGGGTGAGTCTTTCTCTGGAGTTTGGCCCATTACATTTCATAAACTTTGAGGTGATGGCGTTTTTTCTTGCGAATTTTCTGGTTACTGATGTGGTGTAGTTCCCTTGAAGCTGGATGCGGATAAGTTGGGTCTGAAGATTTATGAGAGGGACACTCTCAAGGGATTCGAGGTATGAGAGTCTGGTTGATGAATGTGTCTAAGTGCCTATCTGACTGATTGATGTAGCCCCCGAGCGGGATAAACATCATCATCGCTGTGTCTTTCGGTCTGTTTGTGCCGCCTGAGATGTTGCGATCGGCCAAGTACGGGGGTCTTAACCTCCATCCTTCATTCCTTCCTGAGTACGTGTCTAGCATTCTTTCTTCAAAGAGCGTAAGCGCGCTTTAAGTTTTCATTTTCAATTTTTTTTTTCTTTTTTTATTCGTTTATTTTCTTTCTGATATCCAGTTGCTAAACATCCACAGCCTCCGTGGTGCCGCACCCCTCCACCACTCCCTCCTCCAACAACGCTCCCACATAGGAATAACCCTCCAAACCCTCGACGAGCACAAATTCGACCACGGGGTCATCCTTGCCCAAACCCCCCGCCCGGGAATCCCCATCCCACCGCAATGCACCGTCCCAGAACTAACGAACCTCGTCAAACAACCCGCGGCGGAACTACTCCTCTCGGGCCTACGCCAAGGTCTACACGTGCCTCCCCTCGTCGACGTAGTCCGCGGCAAGAAAACGACACCCTCCGAAGACGAGGTGGCAGGGACAGACAAGGCATGGCGGTACGCACCGAAGATTTCAAAGGAGGATGCTCGGATCGATTGGGAGGGGTGGACGGCTGAGGAGGCGGAGAGGAGGTTGAGAGTTTTAGGACAGCTTTGGATGGAGGTTTTGGGGGGCAGGGGGAAGGATGGGGTTGAGAGGGTGATTTTGAGGGATGCAGTTGCTGTGGCGGAGAGCGAGGGGAGAGGAGGAGGAGAGGAGAAGGAGATTGCGGTGGTGTGGAGGCCCAAGAGTAAGGGGTTGGAGAAGGGAGAGGAGAGGACAGTAGTAGTGAAGTATGCCGAGTTGGGGGGCGGCGCGGTGCTTTTTAGGTTTCCGAGGGGCGGATGCTTGAGGGTGGAGAGGATTGTGGTTGGGGGGATGGCGGGTGCGAGGGCGACGAAGGCGTTGGCGCCTTTTGTGGTGGGTGAAGGACGGGCGTGATGTCTCGGCGGAGGGGGGGGCTTCATCCTGGACGCCGTGGTTTGAAGCCATGGGCCGTGTACGATCAGTATTTGCTGTGTACTATGTATCTATGTATACTATGAAGATAGACTGCTTTACATCTCTGCCATGGCAGCCAGGTAACATGCTTGGAGCTGTATCTTGTCCAGGTGTACCCAGGTATACGTTTAAGATTTACTCGCACAACCCTGCTCCACAAGCTCCTCGCCTGCAGAAACCGAGTAAAATCTCCTGCATCCTTATTTCGGGCAGCAGACTGAAGTCTCCTCCAGGAGGAAAGACGGAGGTCGAATTCTTCTCTCAGTTGCGGCTCTTCGGCCACGCCTTTCGAGATTTCAATATTTCGTCGAAGATGAAATTAACGAAGTTTTAACTCAGATATTTCGTATGTAAACGGCTGTACAAGTCGGTTAGGTGAGCCTTTCCAATTTCCGGCTTATTGAATAAATCTTGAGTCAAGCGACCCACAGTTGACGTCTCGATTTGTTCTTCAAGGGAAAAGATGGTGACAAATTGAACACCATTAACCGATTTGTAGGTAATAGAACGCCAAAACGGAAACAAAATGGGGTCCAGTTTGATGGGGAAATGCGACAGTGAGCCAAATTGGGAAAGTTTGGAGAGCTCCTGGTTGATTGACGGTGCCGTGTTTCTCTTTCCGTTCCCTCCCTCTGGCCTACAGCAAAACCAGCCAGATGAGCCATACGACCCATTACAAGAAGCTATGAGGTAGATAGACATACCACTGCCGGTCTTCAATCACCGCCCTTTTAAGATGCGTATTATATCCACACATCAAGCCGGTATCTGGGCTGCTAACCCCTGTTAAATCCCGCGTGGTGGTATGGGTGGTGTGGCGATGCATAACTGCAGGCCGGCAGCCTGACCCGGTTGAACTGAACCCCTCACCTTTCCAGCCAGTCTGGCAACGCCACTCTCCGGAAACTTTGCATGGAACATCGAATACTAAGCATGGCATGGCAATCTGAGAAACGGCTTATCCCAGCCTAATTCGATCCGTAAGTTCCTGATCCCTTATGTTCGGTCTGTCTAAGAAGCATACGACGATGGGTATGCATCTGTGCAGGCTAACCTCAGAATTGGGGTACAGGATCAGGCTCGGTGCCGAAGATGGCCTCGCCAGAACCAAAAATCACAGTCGGATGGATCGCTCCTATGGCATTGGAGCTGGCGCCCGCCCTCAATGCGATACGGGAGGACTACAAAGAAGTATGGAAAGATTCAGTTCTTTATCATACAGGGCGGATAGGTCCCCACTGGGTTGCAGTGGCTGTCTGTCAGGCAATCGGCACTCAGGCGGCTGCCATCGTCCTATCCCGGATGCGCCAGTCATTCCCAAGTATCGAGCATGTTCTCGTCGTTGGGATAGCGGGAGGAGTCCCTTGCTACGGCCCCGATAGGCAACAAATTGCTTTAGGAGATGTCGTCGTCAGCTACCCACGAGGAGGTGAGGGCGGTGTGGTACATTACGAATTCGGGGCCTGGGAGGGAAGAAACGAACTCAACCCGAGCGGCCATATGCTTCATCCGTCTGATTCTCTACTCGCTGCAGTAAACAATCTTCGAGCCAAGCACATAAGGAGGGGCACCATGATCCCAGGAATCCTAAGCGATCTTAGAGAAAACCTCACCGAACAGGAACGCTCTGAGTTCTATGACCCTGGTGATGACGACGATTGCCTTTTTTCGGATGATTACGTCCACAGAGATGGGAATAAACTTTGCGAAGGGCTTTGCGACTTCACACAGTCAAAACGACGGTGTGAACGAGGGAGAAAAGCGATTCGAGAACCTGACATACCCTGCATCCATTATGGTAACATCGGCTCGGCTAATACCCTCGTCATATCAAGTGAAAAACGAAATGAACTTTACAAAAAGCATCAAGCAATTTGCTTTGAGATGGAAGCTGCCGGCGTGATGGCAAGCCACCAGGCTCTAGTGATCCGCGGGATTTGCGACTATGCGGATTCGCATAAAAACAAGCAATGGCAAAAATATGCCGCAGCCACCGCGGCAGCCTACGCAACGGAACTCTTGTTAACCTTGCCAGGTATGATGATCCATGGGGGGTCCTAATCGATGTAGTTACGCCTGAAACTAATTGCTGTTATAGCTTCGCGTCCATCTGAATCTGCGCCGTATTTTTCTAGACCTTTTAGTCAGGATACAGGTAAGAATAGCATGTCGCGCCTCTTTTGGAATGAACAACTCCCAGCTAATCCTGTCATCTGAAAGGGGGTAACAAAACACACCGGAAAAACGAGATCCTCAAGAAACTGAAAACCTCACCTTACCGAGACAGGAAGGAAAGGAACACGGCGCGGGTCCCGGGAACGTGTGAATGGTTTCTGACTCACAAGTCCTTTCAGGAATGGCGGCAAAGCACATCATCAAGCATGCTCTGGGTGTCTGCCGATCCTGGCTGCGGCAAGTCAGTCCTTGCAAAGCATCTGGTTGACTTTGTGCTTCCAAGCAATTCTTCCAGAACAACCTGCTACTTCTTCTTCAAGGATGACTTCGAAGATCAACGAAGCGTGAGAGGTGCTCTCTGCTGCATCCTGCACCAGCTATTCACGCAAAAGGGTATCCTTTTCTCGGATAGAATCCTTAATCAATTCGAATCCGACAGAGAAAATCTCACTACCTCATTCAGCGAACTTTGGGACATTCTTATTGCCGCTGCCGAAGATAAGCATGCTGGTGAAATTATCTGCATTTTCGACGCCCTTGACGAATGCGATGGGCAGGAAAGGCTTCGTTTTGAAAAGGCATTGACCGATTTGTATGGCACCAAGACGAGCTCGTCTAAATTGAAGATCCTCATCACAAGCCGGCCTTATTCAGAGATTCGGCGGGGCCTCCCTGCCCCGGACATCCAGGGACTCTCTGTCATCCACCTAAGCGGCGAAAGCGATAAAGAGAGAGAGATGATTTCCCAGGAGATCGGCCTCTTTATCAAGTACAGAATTCAGAACATCAAGCAGCAACTCACACAGAGCGAGCGAGACCTTTTGTTGCAAGCCATTCTGAGTATTCCTCACCGGACATACCTATGGGTTTACCTTACTCTTGATCAGGTCGACAGAGAGATCGGCAGTAGTATTAACGAGGCTAGAATATCGGAGATCACTTCTCGTGTCCCCAAAACGGTCGATGAGGCATATAACAATATCCTCTCCAAGAGTCGCGACGTTGTGGAGACTAAGAGGCTACTGCACATCGTCGTTGCCGCAACGCGACCTCTTACACTAAAGGAGATGCAAGTAGCACTCGCCCTTCGGGAACACCACAATTCGTATACGACCCTGAGTCGTCACATTGGACCGGAAGAGCGCTTTCGAGAATTCGTGCGAGACCTCTGCGGCCTCTTTGTAATGATCGTCGATGGCAAGATATACTTGCTTCACCAAACTGCGAAGGAATTCCTTGTTTCAAAGCCCCAAGTGAGCGTCGATACAAACTTCCCTGGCAATCTCAAGTGGAAAGATTCATTGCAGCCACAAGAGTCTCATAGAGTCCTTGCTGAAATTTGCGTGAGGCATCTGCTCTTTTCCGAATTTGAAACTCATCCTCTCGACAAACATAATGACCCGGTCGAATACGCTAAGCATCACGACTTCCTCGATTACTCTGCTAAAAACTGGGCCATCCATCTCCGTCACTCACAGATGAATCTTGACCCAGTGTTTGAATCAATTCTAAGGATCTGTGATGTGGGCTCAAACTGTGGCTCGACTTGGTTTAAGATCTACTGGACAACTACGGACATGGATTTTCCAAGTGGCTTTACATCCCTTATGATTGCCTCCTATTTCGGGCTCACTGAAGTAGTGAGACGTCTGCTCTGGATGGATGGGGTTGACGTAAATAGCGGGGATGTTACATATGGGCGGTCTGCTCTGTCTTGGGCCGCGGAAAACGGCTTCGATGAAGTTGTCGCGATTCTGATCAAGGGCCGTGGAAGCAAGAAGGTGAATAGGACAGTGCCAAGACTATTCCGTCAGCTGTTGAACCTAGCAGCTGTAGTCGACTCGGTGGACAAGTTTGGGCGAACACCGCTGTCATATGCCGCCTGGAATGGACATGCTGAGGTGGTTAGGCTGTTGCTGCAAAAGGGCAAAGCTCATGTTAACAAGAAGGATGACCTTGATGCGACGCCTCTGTACTATGCTATATGTTGGGATCATCAGGACGTCATCGACTTACTTGAAGGCGACACGGAGAATTCGGCCGCGATAAAAGCAAAGGTGCTTCTCTCCGCTGCAGAAAAGGGCCATAAATCCGTCGTTGAGCGGCTAATTGCATCAGACATGGTTGACATTAACGCGAAGAACCAGTTTCGCCACACGCCGCTATCTCTTGCTGCTCAAAACGGGCACGAGGGTATTGTCAAGATGCTACTAGCCACAGGCAAAGTTGATGTGCACTCAGTGGACAGGTTTCATCCCTCACCATTACACCTCGCTACTCAAAATGGGCACGAGGGTATTGTCAAGATGCTACTAGCCACGGGCGAGGTTGATGTGAACTCAGTGGACAGTCTTAATCTCCCGCCATTATCTCTCGCTGCTCAAAACGGGCACGAGGGTATTGTCAAGATGTTACTAGACACAGGCCAAGTTGAGGTGAACTCAGTGAGCATCTTTTGCAACCCGCCGTCTTCTCTTGCTACTGGAAAAGTGCACGAGAGTTTTGTCAAGATGCCACTAGTCATAGGCAATATTAGCCTGAGGAGGTATCTTGAATGGACACAGACTCAGACACCACTATCTTTAGCTGCAGAAAACGGACATGAGGATGTTGTCAAGGTGCTGTTAGCTACTGGTGAGGCTGATATTAACTCACTGAATGATCTTCGTCAGACACCGCTATCTTTAGCTGCTCAAAACGGCCACGAGGGAGTTGTCGAGGTGCTGCTGGCCACAGGCGAGGCTGACGTTAACTTTTCGAGCGACTTCGGTCAGACACCATTATCTTTAGCTGCAAAAAACGGCCACGAGGGAGTTGTCAGGATGCTGGTAGCTTCAGGCAAGGCTGACATCAATCGCGAAGACCGATATGGCAACACGGCGTTATTTTATGCAAAGAGCAGGGGGGATAAGAAAATCATTAAAGTGCTCACGTTGGCGCAATCTGCACTTTTGGAAACCACTACTGCATCGTTAGAATAGTTTATAGATAAATATATATTTCACCCTTGAATTCTCTACGGCCGAGGTATGTTGAGCGGGTTTGTGTTGTTCGAGGGGCGAGTTGAGGCTGCGTCTGTCGTTGCGAAATCAAGACTGGAGCATCTTTGGCGAAATTCGTTCCTTTGAGATAACCTCGAGGCGCTGGGCCCAATACGGTTTTCGAAGCTATCGTTGTTTTCCGGTTGGCAGGGGGTTTTGACTTACTGATGGGGTGGAGAGCCGGGAGGAGGTTCTTGGCCAGATCATGGGACACACCATGGTCGTTGCTGGATTTCAAGAAAGAGTTGCTGTTGTTGAATACGCAGGTATTCTCTAGGGATCTTGTACAGATTTATTTTTCAATTTTCAGATTTATTTTTTAACTTCTTCATCTTTCTGTTCGATCTCGTTCTAGATTTCGAATATTGGAGAGCTCTGTGTTACAATCGGGACCATTCCTCATCATAATGCTGCTCCCACCGACCTTGAGCCGCAACTTCAAATTATCAGTGCCGATCCGGGCGGGAGGGTGGTTGATGCCGATCTTTTCAAGGCTGTGCGTGACTGCGAAGTCTGGAGTGCATGCGTCGGAAGGCAGCCGGATCGGCGACGATGGCGGACAGACAACAGTGACGATACAGAACTGCAAGTACAGTTGGTTGATCTGGGCTCCTGCGCACATCAATTGAAGCGAGACTGGATGAGGCGCACGTCGTACGAAACACATTTTTTGCAATACTTGGGATAATATTTTGTGGCCTTCATTTCCACTATCCTTCCCTCCATTTTCTCGTTGCAGTCAAAGTCTGCCCATATCATTAATAATACTTCGTAATACCCTCAGCACGACAAATCGATCGGGAGGTTCTCGCTTGCATTTAGTGGAAATCAATGTGCGAAGTACTAGACACCTGAAAGACACTGGGGACTTTATCTCCTACGCACACTTCGCTGGCTCCACCCGCAAAACGCCATGCACTAGTACCTTATAATTCTCGATTTGCAATGTATCGAGTACTTACAGGACCCCTGCCCCTGGCTAAATCGATCTGTCAATAGTCTGGGCATCTTCTGCATGAAGGACCAGTGAAAATTGAGGCATGCCATCCATATCATTCCACACAATCCCCGCTGCCTGGCTTTTCGTGTAAGTTTATTTTCTCGTAGAGCATACTCGCCGTACGAAAGACGCTGCGAGGTACTTGTCGGTGAGAGTAAACGAGATTGCATTTGAGATATTTTACAGCATGGAAGTTGAGGAAGACTTAGACATGGTCACAGGCTCGCAATCCATTGTCTGGGGTACATGGGGTGCGTAATCAAGGCTTTGGAGGGTCGGTCCAGTAATATGGAGCAGGACCTCGGTATTGGATGGTGAAATGTATTTGACTACACATTTTGCACGTAAAAGTACTTCCTTCGGTGTACGAGGTACACTAAGCATAACGGAAGTTGGGAACCCACAATTACCGTCCAATTCAGACTGTTGTTCCATTGTCACTTGCCGTCGTTTGCCGTTGGCGCGGTGGGACCTTCCTCGACGGGTTGAGTCGATGGGATTCTCGAGGAAACTGCGCCCTTCTCTTGCATGTGAATGAAATTACCAACAGACCACTCCAGCGTTGTTCATTGTTCGCTCCTCGTTCTTCGTTCTTCGTTCTTCTTTCGCTGCCTCACTTCATCTCCTCGACGAAGCATATCAGAGCGGACCGAGTCAAGCCAGGGCAGACCACACAGAGTGACCGCGTGTGCTGGACTGTGTTGGTGTTGTGCTGTTTTAGCCCCTTGACAACTTTCGTACCTTGCATAAGTCAGGTTCGAGTCGTCCACTGAATGATAGTGCCATGAGATGAGCTTGTACGACTACGACTCTAACGTACAAGTTCGACCGCAGACGAAGTTGGATGCAAGCGCCCACACCAATTCGGATGGGGCGGGCTTCAATATTCTCCACTCGCATCAATGTGAGTGGGCTCTCAGTGGCTCCCCTCGTTCCTGGCACCTCAGAACCAACCAGTTCAGTTCGTCCAAACTCTTGCCCCCTTTTTTCGCATTGCATTGGTTCATGCTGGCTGGGTCCAGTGGCTGTGGGAAACCAACGACGAGATCCACTCCCTCCAGTGACACTCTGCTGGCCTAATCTCGCTATTCTAGAATGAGCCTCTGGACGCGTGGCGTTGGTTGGTCTCGAGCAAAATCTTCGCTCTCCTGGATATCCTCTGAAAAGATACGAAAATAGGAGCAGGAGGAGCCACCATGGGCCGAGTTGCTCTGGGATCAGGGACCCCGATGAACGATCCTAGCCTAGCCATAAACTTCTGTGGCTCTCTTGTTGCTGTTGCCACTGTTCTGAAAGACTGACGCCTTCGCAATACTAGTACATCCCGATGCCCGAATCTTTCACCTTAGCACAAAAGGAACTCTTGCTAACGGTTGTTCAGTGCCAGCACTTCCGGCATTCTGATCCGATGGACCTCTCGCATTGTTTCCCCTTCGTACCTAAGAACCAATGGAAGCGCAGCTTTCCCTGGTGTCACCGTTGCTTCAATGCACCCGCAGGCCGCAAGGGTCGAACTAACAATGATGTTGCCCGAAAAGGGAGCTGGTTCCAAATAACGAGCCCGGATCGGGACCCGGCCATCCCTTGCCCTTGCTCTGTCCCACATCATCGGGGCGCCTGTTAGTGACGGCCCATTCTGGAAATACCCCAGGAGAGTAATCCTCACGTCGAAGCACGAAGTATTTGTTGTGAATGGTCTGCCGTGGATGCATCGAGGACTCCACTAGTTGCCGAAAGCTCTCTGCCTCAATGTCATGGATTCCTTCAGACACTGTTTGGGGGCCCGTTGTGCTGATATCGCCCAGCCCAGAGCATTGCTATTCTGCTCCGGAGACGGTCTATCCAGGGAGCAGTGGCTCGCCAGACGAGCCAACGTCCAGCCAGGCCAGCCACCTAATATGATATGCTGCGGATGGCCCGCACACCTCGTACTATTACTTCCTAGCCAGGCAAGCCCCCATTCCCAAAGAATCGTATTGGGTGTGGATGCTACCCTTCCCCCTGTAGTCTCCGTGCCTTCTCCTCCTGCCATAATCATGTAAACTACACTTAAAAAGGACGTATCCCACCCTCCCATGAGGCTAATCCTTTCCTTTCCCTCTCAGCTGCTAAGTTGCCAAGATTCACCTTCAGCCCTATCAATCAAGAGTCCCTTGTTTTCAGGGCTCGTCCAGTTGACGTGTGCTAACGTCACCACATTCGTTTTCACAACTACCATTCGACGTTCCTTTTGATACATTCTCTGTCTCTGTGTTTACTTTCCAGCATCCAACATGACCCCTTCTCTTCGATCCCTCAGTGCCGCCCTGGCCCTCGCCGGCACTGCCCAGGCCGCCACCTGGACCCTGAGCGAGACCTATGACAAGACCAACTTCTTTGACAAGTTCGACTTCTACACCGTCAGCCCCGATCTCAACCACGGTCACGTCCAGTACAGGAACCGAGCTGATGCCGCCGCTCTTGGCATGATCGGTTTCGACGGCGACGATGCCTTCATCCGACCCGAGTCCAAGACCGTCCTCGCGAGCAACGCCATCGGACGCAGCAGTGTTAGGCTGGAGTCGAAGAACAGGTACGACCACGGCCTCATCATTGCTCGATTCTCCCACGTTCCGGTTCCCACTTGCGGTGCCTGGCCCGCCTTGTAAGTAAAAAATACCTTTCATTCCGTCTTCTCTTTTCTCTCTCTCCCATGGCCTTCTCACTTACACACGCCTTACCCAGCTGGACTTATGGAGACCCGTGGCCCACGGTCGGTGAGTTGGATATCATGGAGAACTGGCACGACTACTCCTTCAACAGGGCTGCCCTCCACACCTACCAATCTTCCGCCAACGGAACCTGCGTTCTTGATCCCGCCGATCAGAACGGAGCTGTCCTCACCGACAACTGCGACAACTTCTACCAGAACCCTCCCACGCAGTGGCTCAACCAAGGTTGTACCGTCCAGGACCAGAGCGGCCCCCGCGGCAGCGCCTCGAACGCTGGCATCTACGCCATCGAGTGGACCTCGGAGTACCTCAAGATCTTCTCCTTTACCGGCGGCTCCGTCCCCGCCAACATTGGCTCCGCGAGCCCCGACACCTCTAGCTGGGGAAAGCCTGCCTTGATGGCTAGGAACGATCTTTGCAACATCGACTCGCACTTTGCTCGCCAGAAGCTCGTCTTCAACATCAACTTTTGCGGTGAGCCTGCTGGCGAGGACCAGTTCTGGAAGACGGAGTCTCAGTGTAACGTCAAGACAGGCTACGACACTTGCATTGGCTACGTCAACGCCAAGCCTGGAGACTTCGCGAACTCTGGCTTTAAGATTAAGGACATTCGCGTCTTCAAGGAGAGCCCCGTAGTTAGCAGCAGCAGCAGCAGCTCTAGCTCTTCTACCTCTACCTCCAGCTCCAGCTCTAGCTCGACCACTTCTACTTCCACTTCTGCCTCCGCCTCCACTACCTCCGAATCCTCGTCAAGCTCCAGCCTTGCCTCGGTCAGCGAGACCAGCGCTTCCGAGACTAGTTCCCCTTCGGCTTCGGCTTCCGAGTCTAGCTCGGCCGTGAGCAGCGAGGGTGGCGTTTCCAGCACTAGCACCGCTTCGGACTCTGCCGAGTCTAGCTCTACCGAAGCTGCTTCCAGCGATAGCCTAACCGCCACCGATGAGGCCAGCGCTTCCGAGACCGGTGCCTACTCGGAGTCGACTGAGGTTCCTTCTGCTACGGACTCTGTTCCTACTGACGATACTTCGGCCTCGGCTTCTCCTTCTGCTTCTGACTCTGCTGCTGCCAGCTCCACCAACGATGCCTCTGACTCGGTCTCCGCCACCGGCAGCGGAAGTGGCCCCGCAACCACTGAAGCCACTCAAACCGACTCTGTCGCCCCCACCTCTAGCTTCGTCACGTCGACCGTCTACACCACCACTGTCTCGACCATCACCTCCTGCCCCCCCACTGTCACGGACTGCCCCGTCGGCTCCGTCGTCACCCTTACCGTCCCGGCTTACACGACCGTGTGCCCTGCTACTGAGGGGGAGCACCAACCTGCGACTACTCTCCAGACCTCGAGCCGCAGGGGTAGAGGTACCACAGTCACGACGCGCATCACGACCGTTCGCACGATTACCTCTTGCGCTCCTACCGTGACGAACTGCCCCGTCGGCGCTGTTACTACTGAGGTTGTTGATACTACGTATTATCAGAGCTATGGTACTTCTCAGGTGTCTCCTCAACCCTCGACTCCGGCTGGTAACAATGGTGGTAACAATGGTGGAAACAACGGTGGCAACAACGGTGGCAACCATAACGGTAGCGGTGACAACAACAACAACGGCGGCAATGGCAATGGCAATGGCAATGGCAATCAAGGCCAAACCCCCGGCAAGAACCCCGGCAACGGAAGCCAGAACCCTGGCAGCAACGGCAACGAGAGCGCCAGCCCCATCGGCAACACCCCTAGCAACAACGGCACCAGCGGCGGCCAGATCCCCAACTCGCCCTCGACCAACGGCACCACGACCCCCGGCTGCACCGGCCCCAACTGCAACACGCCCCCGATCGTCAGCGGTGCCTTCAAGGCTAGCCTCAGCATTGGTCTTGCTGTCGTCCTCGGTGTCTTTGCTCTCTAAGCGAAGATGGTCTGCTGTGTTCTTCCTCCCGTTAAAATGGTTCGGTTGTTTTTTGTTCTGAGCGTACATTTGCTGGATGTTGGGGGTTATAGAAGTGAAGCTATTGGAAAATATTGGGAATATAATTCGGCTTTTAGGTTTCTTGAGTAATGATGATGTAGGCGGAGAAGAGACCACCTAGTTTGGTCTTTACCTTTGTCTTTCTTAATTTTATCCCCTGTTCGAGAGAATAGGTCTTTTTTGAATTTCTTAAGCAATCTTTCATCTGTTGTTCACGGGTTTAAATGTGATGAATTGGTTGTGTTGACACCTGAATCCAATCCTTGGCCCGAGGTTTGAACTGTCTTGATTCCCAACTCGACAAACCCGTTTGGAAGGTCGACGTCGAATCTGGACGCTCCTTGGTACGAGCATCCGTTCTTTCCGTGGGAACAAAAGGACTCTTTGAAATAAGATTAATGGTATTCCCAATGGTATGTGAAAACGTTCTGGCCAGCCCAAATCCAGGAGTGAATGATCCAGATCCCATAAATCAAGACAGCCTAACCCATATTTACACCCAAGTATGCGAGAATCTTCCAAATGCTGTTGAAACCTAGATTTTTATAACAAAGATACCTAACTTGCCGTGTTCCCATCCTGTATATATATGTATATAATAGCCTATGGAAAAAAAAAAATGTAAGAGATGGCAAAGAGAGCCGAAACAAGACGCCAGCCAACCCAACCTTTCCCTCTCCTATTTTACTGCAAAAGCAAAGCCTCCTCGCTAAGAACCCCGAATAACCCCTCAATCTCCTTCAACACCTTGTTCAACTCATCCGCCACCTGCGCGGTAAGTAGGGTATAAATGTACAGCAGGGCATAATCCCTCTCCTTGACGACGACGAGTCCGCCGTCCGTCAACGCGGAATCGAGCCCCGGCGTTTGCGCGGAAGAAGACATCTCCCTCGTAAGTGGAGAAGGGAGTGGTGGTGGTGCGGGGCGGCGGCCGCGACTTTGGCTTCGTTCGGCGTAGGGGGAGGGGATGCGTCTGCGCTGTCGGACGGGGGATCGACTCGTGGGACTAATGGGGCTCGCGGTGATGTCTTCCTCTTCCATCTCCTCTTCCTCCTTGTGGCGCGGTGCTTCGCCATCATTGTTCCGCAACGAGCCGCGCCTCTGTTCCAGCTCCCTCTCGACCATCTCGGCCTGCTGCTTCCTAATCTGGTGAATCTTCCCCAGCAACCTATCCTTCACCCCCGTAATGTTCGGTATCGTGTCCGTAAGCGGATACTCGAGCATGATGGAGCTAGCGACGACCTGACACACGAGACAGATGCGATCGCAGAGGAGCGCGCGCTCGGGGGCCGTGTATTCAAGGAGGGCGCGTTCGCCGGGGCTGAGGTGCGCGCGGCGCATGGTGGCGAGAGACATGGCGTGGAAGCCGTCGAGGATGCGGTTGGTGGATTGCATTATGCGGGCGTAGGCTTCCTTGGGGAAGGGGCCGCGGAGGGAGAATTCGGATTGGGCTGCTGTGCGAAGTGTTTCGAGTTTTTGGGCTGGAGGAAGTTGGTAAATGAGAGAGGAAATCAGGAAAAAAGAGGGGGGAAGGAGAAGGAGAAGTTGTTCTTACCGTATCGTCGGAGAGCGGCTTCTTCACCGGCCCTCAGGTAACCCGTCGAGTTATTCTGCCGCAACAGCACAGCCAAAGGTCCTCTCTTCCAAATGAGCCCGAACTGGAGATACAGCACCGACACGCCCTCCCTAAACTTCTTCCTCCCCGACAACGGCCAAATAATCCTACACACGACAAGCCCCCACAAAATCCCTAACGTTACGGCAACAAAGCGGTGAAAACAAATCTCAAAGATAAGCGGCCTCGAGTCCTCGTCGAGGTCGTCCTGGTCGTCGTCGTAGAGCTCGCGCGCGAGGCTGAAGGCGTAGAGGACCGACACGTTCCAGGTCAGCAGCGTCATGCGCGCCAGCTGGCCGCTCTGGGTCTCGAAGACGAGGTAGAAGTTGTACAGGGACATGATCCAGCAGAAGAAGGCGAGGAGGTAGGCGTCGCCGTCGCTGAGGAGCCAGCCTGTGAGGGCGCAGATGGCGCCGATGACAGTGCCGCGGAAGCGGGCGAGGGATGTTGTGTTGCTGGCGCCGACTGTGGTTGCGATGACGATCATGTAGGTGAGGAGACCCCATTCGCCTCGCCATTGCTTGTAGGTTGGGCGGGTGGTGGGGATGAAGGCGAAGGCGGCCCAGGCGATGGCTCCGATGCCTACTTTGATTCCGAAGAGAACTGACATCCGACATGTTAGCTTGATATCTAGAAAATGCAAGGAGCTAAGAACACATACTGTCATCCTTGGTCAGCCATCGTAGTAGCCCCATAAACTTCTTCGCAACCTTTCTCGCCAACTCGCTCGTGTTCTGCGCCGCATCCCAATTATAGTTATCCCTCCGCATCAACATCTCATCAGGAATACCCTGCGGAACAGCAGATTTCCTGATCCGTCTCACCCTCTGCTGAGCCGGCGGCAGCAAATTGTCGGCTTCGATATCCTCCGTCGCAACGGCGCGGGACTTGCCCGACTTCCAGAGGTACCTCCAGAACTGCAGCCACTCCCAGCTGCGGAAGTTGGAGTCGACGATGAACTTGAAATCGTCAATGGCGTCGAGGTAAGCGGTAATCTCGTGCGCGACGGTCTGGAGACTGTAGCTGAAATGACTGCAGGCCGCAGCCACCTCTTCGATGTCGGCCTGCACGTCCTCGGACCTGGACTTCTCTAGCTCAATGTTGTCGTATAAATCTTGAAGAGCGCTGGCGCGAGCCTGCTCGTAGAGCGCCAGGGCCTCGGCGAGACTCGTCTTGAAGTTTTCGTTGACGATGATCTCGAACCCTTGTGCGGCTGAGGCGAAGGGTGGTTGACGAAGAATCTCGGACAGTGTATACGCGAACGATTTCATAGATGGTCCTAGCGTAAGGATGAACACCTCGAATATCTCCGACGGCATGCGGAACATGGAAGGCAAGATTCCCGATTCGGAGACGTCGAGGTCTGGAGACAGGATGGGCTCCCGGTCTAGCTCGACCGACTCCGTAATCGAGTCCAGTGCTGCTACTCGCTCACGGGTCTGGCGTAGGAAGCTCGAAACCGAGCGGTTCAGGCTCGGTCGGCGGGTGAAGCTTGTGTTCGGCGACATGAGCGGCGGCTGTTCCTGGCCCGGAGGTGCCTCCTTTAGGAGCACGAACTGGGCATCGCAGGCGGACCGCAGACCGCCGACGGCTTGGGAAAGCTTCTCGACGCTGGCGACAATGGCCTTAGCTGCGACATATTGTTTCTCACGGCCTAGGAAGTAGTACTCGAACTTGGATTCCCGTAGGGCTTGGTGTAGTGTCTTATCAGCAGAATTATACTGCTCGAGGGTGCTGGAAAAGTCAGCCGAATTCACTTCGTCCTCTGACCCGGTCAGGAAGCCTCGAGTGATCATAGCCAGGAGGTCGCCGAGACTGACAACGGCCTTTGACATGGCGTTCCGGAGAGCCTTGCGGGCGGAGGATCGCCAAATGAGCATGTTGACGCTGGACGTAATGGTGATGCCAAGTATAAGCATCTTAAGGACCTGCTCGTTCTTGGCTGTTGAGAAGCGACCGCCATAAACTACCTCCTCTTTTGTAATCGAGGTTATAATGGCGATGGACGCTAGAGTACAAGCGACATTGACGAGCGGTTTGCTAAATTTTTGTTTGACCCAGCCAGAGAAGCCGAGACCGCCGCCGATGAATACTATAAGAACTACAAACCGAGCCAGGGCGACCATTCCGAACTTTGTCGAAAGGACAAGCGAGGTGGCCATAGCGAGCAACGAAACCGTCTGGGCAAAGAGGACGGCGGCGATGGAGATCAAGATGGCCTCGAGCATGGACCCGACGGTTCGGGCGGGGTGGAAGTAGACTGTAATGGTGGCCACGATGTGCTTACCATCGAGGCGACCGAGGAAATCGGCGAGGGGATCCCAGAAGGTAGCGGTGGTTCCGAGCACGTAGGCGATTGAGCATTTCAACACGGCTTTGCCATTGGGAGACTGGAGCCAGGCCCAGATGAGCGAGGCCAGGGCAACGAGATTATGGATGAGCGCCGCGATGCGCTCTCGTATGGGGGTGTGGCCATGGGTGAAGACGGACCGGAAAGAGTTCGTGGGTGAGTTCTCGTTGCTCGCGTGGGAAGCGCGGAGGGAGAGGTGTCGTCGGGCTCGTTGGCCGGTGCTAGGTATAATGAAGGTGCCCGTTTGAAGCCTCTAGGATTGGTCAATGTTGATGTTAGTCGACCGTGCATTTAATGTCATTGTCTCAAGGGTGTTTGCATAGAACGCAGGCATACATTTCTCCTCGAGGGCCGACGCGGCACCCACTGGCCTGAGGAAACGGGGGTGTCGGAAGTCATCCCGAACCGAGTTCAACGAAGAAACGGGGAGGATGCGGGGGTTTTATGTTCGGAACCTAGCATCACACGGGAAACGCTTGCAGCTTCAGAGTTGCGGATGGCGATGCGGCGCAAAAATTATACATGATTCCATCAAGCTAGATCGAGATAGAAAAAAAAATTCGCATAGTCGAGCTCATTCGAGGGGCAGGATTCAAGCAAACGTCCAACGGGAGCGGGGCCGGAGCGGGAACGTCGGAGGATCCAGCTCCACGGAGATGGGGAAGAGCTACAGAATCTCGGGGAGGGCAGTTCGGAGAGCTTAAAGTGCTGCCTGGGGAGTGGGATGTATGATGTCGTGGAACGGATGGCACTCAAAAGCAGCTTCCCCAAAAGATCCGGGCGCATATTATGCAACTATGGGATTGAATGGCTTAGTGGGTTATCAGGATGTGGGGGTGAATATCACGTGGTGATAAGTGTCAAGTTTGTACTTTGTACTTGCAGTACTTCGCCCTTTGTGGACATTAAAGTTTGACTGGGCTTGCGACCAATTCTGCGTTCAATAATACCTCAATTCTTGCTCCTCCAATGCCTTGCGATGCCCCTCGTCCTGCAACTGCTCGAGCTCCCTGTCTGTTTAGCGTGGTATATCCGCGTTCCGCACCGCATCCGTCCGGTCCGGTGCAGCAGGGCTGGCCACCCTCCAAGACAAAGAGAGCAGGACAAGCAGCACGTTGTGTGCTTTTCCCATGCACTAGACACAGTCTGCACATTTGCGTCATCAGCCACTGCCTGCACTTGGCCCCGGCGTAACTGCCACTAAAATGATGTGAAGTGAACGTTTTGTGGGAGCCTGCCTATGGACACCGCTACTCTTATGCGTACATTCCGTTAAGTCTTGGTGATAATGCATGTGGGATCTGGGGGACGATCTTAATGTCCCAACGCTTCCGATGCGCATAAGTCCACCCCGTTGATGCTCGGGTCTCGCGCTAAAAATAGAACAACGGCCTGGCCAAACCTTCCAGTCGGCGGAATGAGCCCTTTGGCATCTCTAATCTGTTCTGCCCAAGTTGCTCTTTCGAGTCATGAAAGAATGAACCAATAGGGGCTAGGCCCCTAGGGCCAAGGGCTTAAAACCGAGCCAGTGTTGGGCTGGGACTATGCACGTTCTGTTTAGAAAATGCCAAAAGCCGTGTTCCCTGGTGGTGATCGTCAAGGAGGCGTGCTCGTCATTCTCATTCCAGAAAGTGCTGCTTCTTTGACTCGTGATGCAGGAATATGCCATCATCCACATGCAGCAGGCTCGAGTAAGCTGCAAGGCGGGGATGACTCGGGGCTTTGCATTCAAGTGCCCGAGAGGTGCCGTATTTCCATTTTCTAAGAGAGCAGGCCTAACCAAAAAGTAAGACGCTGATTCAGTTCTTTGTCGTCCGAAGTTCCCTTCACGATCTTCTGGCAGGGCACGCGGGGGCGGCTAGGGAGGAGCCCCTCTCTGTCTGGGGTAAAAGACGGCAGCCGTACCCCGCCATGCTGGGGATCCTTGCCATCCCTGAGAGCCCCAAGGTTTCAAGTGTCAACTAATTTTGATTTCAACCCCTCCTTGAATTCGGGACGCTGCTAGCGCCGGAGTAGGATGGATATCGTGGACAGTAGTGTAGTGTAGTGTACGAATGTAGTGTACGAATGTAGTAGTGTACGAAGGTAGTGCAGTGTAATCCACGCGCCGACTTAGAACTGGCTTGGGTCGCATCGAGTGGTTTTCACAATCGAAATAGTGCAGGTTCCTGGGGGCGTTTGATGCCTTAACTACGTCCCTTGTGCCTCGTGCCTCGTGGCAGAGCAAGCGGAATCAAGTGAGTAGCTGCACCGCAAGGATGGAGGATTTACGAGTGCCCCTCGGAACCGCACATTCCCGCCAGTAGTGCTACCTTCAACTATTTGAACGCTCATGGCAAAAGTGTTCTGTTCGTCTATCAGCAGCTTTGGGGGTTCCAAGCTTCCAAGGCCTCCTCTCCTCTTGGCGTACAACTTCCTCTTGAGGCATCACCGCCCGGCTCGGGAAAGATGTGCAACCTAATTCGATGTCAGTGGGAGGTTGCACTTTCAAGTACGCCCAATGTGTCGATCGAAGGCAAACCCAGACTTCCACTTCCAATCAATTGATAGTTCGACTCGGTGAGCAGCGGTCTGGCACCAGAACTTGTCAGTGGCACCTGAGGTACTAACCCCCGCTGGCTTGTGCCCCTTGGTCTGCCCCCCTGCCTGGACCGTCTGTCCATCTGAAGCCCGTGTGTTTTTGGACTTGTATGTGACAAGGCCAAGCCAAGATAGCACTTTCCTCACTGCACTTCTCCTGGAATAGTTACAACTGTCATGAGGCAGGTATGAGGGACAGCCTGCTAAGCCGAACACAAAGTAAAGCACCCACCTGAAAGGAAAGTGCACTTCATCCAGTACATAGAAAGTGCAACTTCCTCATGGAGAATCCCCTCGAGTATCACAAATATCACGAAATCACATACCTTTCAATTAATTCCTTCATCCTTTCAATAACCTTGCGGGTATCGAACGAGCCAGTCAAATTCATCACTCGTGGATACCAATTCGTTTCCTTTCGTTTCCTCCTCAAGATATACTGCACTGCGTCTCCAATAATGAACGCCGCCTCAATGTTCCACCAAGTAACATCCAGTCTCGCGTCCCCTTGCTCTTGTCTGTCCCTCATCAACTCCCTGCTGCAGCTGGGTTACATCAAGTCAAGCAGCCCACAGACAAAGGGAGAACTTCGAATCGATTTCATCCAACAGCAAGGACCTTCTCCAGGCTAGACTCGAAAGCCAAGACAAACCACACGATCTCTGTCCTAGTGCTGCCACCATAAAACTAATTATTGCCGTCCGGACTAGTTCGCCAGTTAGCCTCTACGGAGGAGCAACGCCTCGCCTGGGCTAAAACGAGCGCCGTCTCCCGCTACGACCCGTCTGGATCGACCCCTCCAATACCGCTTCTCCATTGTTCGACTCTGGTGGGCCGCCGCCCCCTTTCACCTACGAACACAAGGAAGTAACCTTCCTCATTCCATCGAATTGTTTCAAGTCGACTGGAATACTCTCCTCTTCCCATCTCGCCCGACGACATAGGCTCTGTCTTTGCATCTGCACCTGTAGTTGCTCAAGACGTGCTCAATCACACAAGACGCATTCCCAGAGTTCCATACGCAAGCTACCAAAGCCAGCAATCTCTCTAGCGCCCTGTCCGCCACCTCCGAAATCCTGGTACTCCACCCCTCCCCCACCATCGTGGTGGTACCAGACCAAACCAATCTCGACCAGACCAGACGAAAGAGCAAAGGCCAGACCCCCTCCTTCCTCACCTTTACACGGTTCGGGCTTGGACTTTCAAACTTCATCGAAACCCCTTTCCTCCCCGAACGGCCGACGAAATCCTAATTCAACTGCAACCCTCTTCTTCTCGACGGCCCTCTAGTTAATGAGAAATTCCATTTCCTTCAGCTAGCATCTTCGCCTCCACGAGCCCTTTTTTTCTTTGAATTCCCGGAGACGCCCGACCCCTCAATCGAGCGCTTCCTCTGTTGATCGAGCGACCACCCCCGAGCTGGCATGCATAGCAGCGTTTCCACGACACCATTTCTTTGATAGCCTAGGTTCACAGAATTATCCCCGGAGCGGCGTTTATAATTGATCCCTTATCGTCGGTGCTGAAGTCCTCCCCTCCTAGGTGCGGAACATTACTGGACGACATCACACTTCGATCTCTGTGGGACAAGCAATTCTCTCCTCCCTTCCATACCCCGCCGACGTCCCTATCCTCTCCCGCGAGTGCTGTAACCAGCGCTCGCCACCCCATCTCTCTTGCCCGTCATGGCAGACCCATTTGCCCCTCGCTCTATGAAGCGCAAGAATCACAAGGGACTTGCCTTAACCCCCGCCGCCGCGAAGCCTCCCCGCCCCGCAGAGTCCAAGAACGAAGAGAGCCAGCAACTCGAGATCGGGATCGAATACAAGCTTGACCTGAAACCCGAAGACCTCGATATTCTTAAGGAGCTCGGGTCTGGAAATGGTGGAACGGTCAGCAAAGTCAAGCATCTCACCACTGGCACGGTGATGGCTCGCAAGGTATGTCCCCAAAGCTCAGGTTCCATCTCGTGCACCTTACGCAAGTGTCCGGGAGTATCTACACTTCGCCCGTTCTCTCTTTCTTTCTCTTCTCCACAGCCAAATACCCTTCTCCCCTCTAACCCGACGAATATGGTCGCTGACATTTCCTTCCCCGAACCAGGTCATCCACGTCGAGGCCAACAAGGAGATGCGCAAGCGAATTGTGCGCGAACTTCAGATCATGCATGGTTGCCATTCCGATTATATCGTCACTTTCTACGGTGCCTTCCTCAATGACAACAATGACGTGATAATGTGCATGGAATACATGGACGTCGGGTATGTGTAGCGCTTCCCTGCTATAGATTGCTAGCTCCTCTCCTGGTGTAGAGCGCCTTGCTAACTGCCGTTCTCCCATTTGCCACAGATCTCTCGATAAGATATCCAAAACGTTCGGACCCATTCGAGTCGATGTTCTAGGAAAGATTGCCGAGGCCACCCTTGGCGGTCTGACTTACCTTTATACCAAGCATCACATCATGCACCGAGACATCAAACCTTCCAACATCCTGGTCAACTCGAGGGGCGGCATCAAGCTGTGCGACTTTGGTGTATCGGGCGAGCTTATTAACTCTATCGCTGACACCTTTGTGGGCACATCTACGTACATGGCGCCGGAGCGAATCCAGGGAGAAAAGTATACCGTCAAGTCGGACGTTTGGAGTTTCGGCCTTTCCATCATGGAGCTTGCTATTGGCAAGTTCCCCTTCAGCTCGAACGCCGAACTCGAAGACGCCGACTGCGCCCCCGCCGGTATTCTCGACCTCCTCCAGCAGATTGTTCACGAACCCGCCCCCAGACTTCCCAAGAGTGACGCCTTCCCACCCATCCTTGAAGAAATGATTCAGAGGTGTCTGTCCAAGAAGCCCGAGGAGAGGCCAACTCCTCAGGAGCTTTTCGTAAGAGAACCCCGCTCCCCCTCCCCCTCCCTCTCTCCTTTCCCTACTCAGGCTGCTACCCCCCCTCGACAGTAACTAACCCACAAAATAGGACAAGGATCCTTTCGTCCAGGCCGCCAAGAGGACACCCGTCGACCTTAGAGAGTGGGCGGTAGGCCTCCTGGAAAAGGACAACCGCAAGTCTCACCTTGCGCCCCAGCTCTCTCCCGCCACACAAGAACTTTTGCGCTCGACCGATTCCCCCACCTTCTTCCACCACCAACAGCAGCAGCAGCAGCAGCAACAGCAGCAACAACAACAAATACAACTACCACACATCGAAGGACTATCGATCAACCCTCTCGAGACACCGACGTCGGGAGAGATCCCCATTGCCGGAGCCGGCATCATCTCACCGCGAGACCACTACGACCACCCTGCTTTCCACAACTATGCCCGCACACCAAACACTGCTGTACATCCCATGAGTGCGGGGGTGGGTAATTTCAATCTCCCCGGCCGGAGCGTGGCTCCTACCGGTCCACTACCCGGAGTGCCGCCTCGGAACGGTACGCCGGATGACGGCAGGGGTGAGAGCCGCAGGCAAGCGAGGTTCGGCATGCCTCCTAATGGCAGCTACAACTATGGATATCCGTCCAACTAGCGCGCGGACGACGATATCAACGCGTGGGCTGCCCGCGACCTGGATCTCTGGAAGGACCATACTCTGTCCAACCCGTCCGGTTCTAAGGCGCGGTCAAGGAAAAAGGACCAGTCGGAAGAGGCGGCTAACTCAGGCGTGGGAGGAGGGAAGAAATGAACCGATATGGGAAAGACTGAACAGAAGTGAGTTGAGTCGGAAAGGAACTTAAGGAAGCGAGAAGAGCAGCGAACGAAAGTGACAAAATAAGGGGAGGATGGAAGACTTAGCAGATACGCGTATCTGACAACCTGTTGAGACGGCTGGGCGGAGCCGTAGGACTTTTCTATTTTTTTTTCTTCTCTTCTTCTCCTTTTCCTTTTTCTTTCTCTATTTTTCCGTTTCCCGGTATACAGGGAGTTTTCATGTCATGAGAAAACAAAAATCGACTTTTACAAACGAAGCAAGCATTATACAATGTATTGTCATCAATGAGTCTAGCGTAGGAAGTTAGCCCATGTGTATCATCGTTCCTCGTGAGCCTGCGTGTGGCTGCAGCACGTAAGAGATCTACGATCGAGAAGTGCTTCCGAATAATCTTGTCTGATTCTTGTTCTGTCCAGAGTGCTACCTGGCTGGCTGGCTGGCTGATAATGCGTGTGCTTTCTGCGATGCTAATGCAATCCATCCCTTGAAACTCGCCCTGTCTAACTTCAATCCTGGTCCCCTCCTCCATCATCATATCATATCATCGTCGTCATAATCATCACCTATCGCTCCTCAAGCCTCATCAGCCTCGGCGCCATCCTCGACGCCATCCCCAATCCCCACAAACCCCTCCTCCAAAACCCGAATCAACTCATCCAACTGCTCAATAACCAAATCCACCATGCCACTCCCCGCCACATCGGCGTTATGCTCATTCAAAAGCAGCACGGTAGCAGCCCCCGCATTCCTCCCGCCCAGCATATCATCCATGGAATCCCCCACCATGATCAACCCCGTAGCATCCACCTTTCCCCCTTCCTCTTTCCTCAAGCCCCAACCCTCGGCGATAGAAAACATCCCCGCCGGCCCAGGCTTAGGCTCACCTCCCCATTCCCTCGTAACCACGACGAAATCCCGTCCCTGCAAGAAGCGATCGAGTAAAGACTGTACGGGGCGGTCCCAGTTCCGCGTCCAGATGGCCTTGCGCACGGAGCGCGAGTCGAGGTAGTCCATGAGGGGTTGGAGGCCGGGTTGAGGGCGCTGCAGGTGCATGTAGCGGGTTTCGATGTCGCGGAGGGTCGAGTGGGCTTCAGGTTGGGAGGGGAGTGGGAGGGTTGAAATGTGAGTGAGGATGTCGGTTGTGGGGGGGACGGAGAGGGCGGAGCGCATGTCTTTGAACATTTGGGTTTGGGGCTCGCTTATTTTCGGGTAAGGGATTTATTTTTTGGATTTTTGTTATCGGGGGGATGGGGGACTTACCAGAGGGTGCCGTCCATGTCGAAGACGATGCCTTGGAGTTTTGGCGCATCGCTCTCTCCGCCCTTGAGAGGCGCGAATCTCCGGGGAGGTTTTTGGGACCCCGCCATGGCGTGACGAGGAGGGGAGTGAAGGTATCGCGGGGTTGAGATGAGGGTGGCGGGTCTTGCTCCGGCGACGGATATTCTCATGAGAAAATGATGCCAATTCGGTGAATTTCTGTAAAGGGAGTTCCTCGCGATGAGGGAATATATACCTATTTGTAAAATAGGTCCTTAGAAGAGACTTGGTGCAGTGCGCCTTAGCTTCAAATTGTTTGCAGCTTGAGGTGAGAGAGGAGAGGTCGAGAATGACTAAGACGAGGTGGTGATATGTGGCCCAGTCTTGACAATCCACCTTTGCGCCTTCCCATCGACATGATTGATAAGATTAGGATGGATTCGGGATTCCGGAATATCTTCGTCTGCTCTTGACGTCAAGACTCGCGTTACTGTTTACTCGTAAACATTGGAAGACACAACTCATTGACAGAAGAAATCAATTTATCCATGGGTCGAATCGTTGTCCTCATTATCTGCGTTTGACGTTTGATGAAATACTCGGGGCGTTTATCTGCGCTCTCTCCTTCACCAAAAATGGATTGTCCATGGCCTCTTCCTCCCCGCAGTCGGTGGTTTTTCTGCTGTAACCCTTCCGTATATTTCTATCCCCGGCTCAGTCTCTTCGAGGGAGCGGGTCGCGCCGAAGATGCCGCAGAGACGGATTCCTGCCCAATCAATATGCAATATGCACCTCGAGGATCCATCTCTCCCGCCGACCCAAGCGGTCTGGCTTTAACAGATACCAAGCTCACTCCTGCGCGATGAGATCGCTGATCCTGCAGTATTTTAGACGGCGATGAAGGTGAAGGGCCGGCTGAGAGATGTCATTGAGCGGCAGAGAGATAGGGTAAGATCCCTTCAGGCTGGCGAGCTGTGGTCCAAGACGGCTACTCTCATCCTCCCGGCATGGGAAGAGGTCGACAACCTCATTTCTCGGGCGTCAAAGTGCTACACGACTGCCCATATGCGAAGGCCGACGTCTGCTTTGTCCACGGCCTCCTGGGTAATCGGGAGACTACGTGGACTGCCGACGGCGAGGTCGCGCCCTAGCTGCAAGCCCTTCTCCCACCTAAGCTTCTGCGAGTTCGCGCGCTTACGTATGGCTACAATTCATACGTGGTGCGCAAGACAGACGAACGAACTCGGGGGGGGGCATGGGATGAATCTTGCTAACGACCTGAAGAATGAGCGATGGCTATGCGGTGCCACTTCTCGTCCTCTCATCTTCGTCGCGCATAGCCTTGGTGGACTCGTTTGCATAGAGGCTCTGCTTCCCTTGTGGGGAAATCCCGAGACGGAACGGTGGGGGATCTTTCAATCTACCGTTGGGATCGTGTCCATGGGCACTCCGCATGGGGGAAGATGGATGGCGCCTTGGGCGGAGATGACTGCCTCTATCCTGAGTCCCGTGGAGCCTACAAACAAGTGTTTGCCGGAAATTTTGGTAACGGGGAATCGGCCACCTCGAGACGACACCAGAGGGTAATGAAGCCCGTAGCAATGCCAATACGAACACGCAAGATGATTTGGGGGAGGGTATATTGACTCCACCATCTGGATCATCATGTAAAAGCAAGCCGTCAACAAGTACTCAGACTAAAACTGCCGGCAGCGGAAACCACTTTCCCGTGGATACGTTCGATCGGCGCGGCGTTTGCGTCCTCATATCTAGAAATTTATCCTTCTAACAGCCTACCAGGCATTTGGTGCGTTTGGCTGGCTTCCTGTTTCGAAAGCCGAAGGCGTGTCCCCTCCGCTTCTTTCGAGGTGCTCATAGCAGCGCTCGACCATATCATCTCGAGCCGGCCATACCGAGACCTGGTCTATGAAACGGCACCTCGCATCGAATTCGTACTGGCGACTTAAAATGTTCGGTCCATCGACGTGTAACTGGTCAGCTGATCACAGCCTGCTCTTCTCTATCTTGAACTGAGGAAGCTGCAGGTGCCATGCATAAACTTGAGGGTCTTTTACTGGCTCAGACAAGATCCCTTGCCACATCACCCGCTGCCATTGGGTCGCAGGTTACCTTTGTAGTATATTGTTGGTCTACTCTGTTAAAGCCTGCCACAGGCCCTGCCCATCGCATTTCCCTTCGCCCTCCTCTTTTCTCTCTTTTTTTCTCTTCCTCTCACAAGCCGTTCGACTCCAGGTGGAGAAGGTGATCCTCTGTCCTTGATGAAATCTCCACTTGAAAGATGGCAGCGGAGCGTGAGAATTCCCAGTCTCGGCTAGATCACCGCTCGGGATCGCCCCTGAACTCTCGATCGCACTTTGATGCTTCTACTTCTGGGCCTCGATTCAACACTGAAAGGGGTGCTCAAAGCTACCACAATGCCTCCAGTATTCAACCCGTCCATAACGGCGCGGGCCATCAAAACGTCAACAGTGGCTCCGGTACTCAGAACGCCAACAATGGGCTCGGGTCTCAATTTATAGATTCAAACTTCCATGCGCCGGTATACTTCAATCAAGCTCCACCAAGCCAAGGGGACGAGCGTCGGAGAGAGGCACAAAACAAAATTCTGGAGCGCCTCTATACATCGCCCTACAAGGATCGAAAGGATCGAAATCCAAAACGAGTCCCGGGGACGTGTCAATGGTTCCTCTCCCATAAACGGTTTCAGGATTGGCGCGAAAGCGAGTCCTCGGAAATCCTCTGGGTGTCCGCAGATCCCGGGTGTGGAAAGTCAGTCTTGGTCAAGTATCTCGTCGATGAGGCTTTACCGACCACGGAGCTTACGACTGTGTGCTACTTCTTCTTCAAAGACGACTTCGATGATCAGAAAAATGTGGTTAGCGCGTTGTGTTGCTTGCTTCGCCAGCTTTTCCTACAGAAACGCCAGCTGTTATCCGACGAGGTGCTGGATCGCATCCAGGCCGCAGGATCCAGGATAACGGATTCCTTCAATGAAGCTTGGAGTATTTTCGTTGATATCATGGAGAGAGAAAACACAGGGGAAGTCCTCTGCTTAATGGACGCGTTGGACGAGTGTAAGGACGAAGGACGCCGTAAACTCTTCGGAGCCCTAAAAAAGTTATACAATGATGAGCGAAAACATCGTCTGAAGTTTCTCATCACAAGCCGGCCTTACGTCGATATCAAGCGGGACTTCCGCCTACTACCAGTCATCCATCTAGGCGGAGAGAACGAGGAAGAAATGAACCAGATCTCTCAAGAAATCACTTTGTTCATCCAGGCCAGGGTCGAGAGTGTCGGCCAGCGATTGGAAGTTTCAGAGAGTGATAGAAAGCTTCTACTTCGAGAGCTTATGCGCGTTCCCAACAGAACGTACTTGTGGGTGTATCTCACCCTCGAAGTAGTCGAGACTTCCGTCAAAGCGGACGGAGGCCTCATCAAAAACGTCACTTCCCGCCTCCCACAAACCGTCGAAGCCGCCTATGATAGCATTCTCTCGCGCTGCCCAGATGTCGAAACAACTCGGAAGATACTCCATATTATCGTGGCTACCACCAGGCCACTGACCTTGCGAGAGATGTCATTCTCGTTGTCTTTTCGGCAGCATCATAAAGCGTATAAAGATGTCGAATTCGAGCCCGAGGACCGCTTCCGTGAGACTTTACGAAACGCCTGTGGACTTTTCGTGTCTATACTAGATTCAAAAATCTACTTGCTACATCAAACGGCGAGGGAGTTTCTGGTCCTAAATAAATGTATCAAGGAAGCTCAGGTACCGGGAACTGATTCCTGGAAATTCTCGCTCTGGCCGCAGGAATCCCATAAGCTTCTCGCCGAGATTTGCCTAGGCGCTATTCTCCTGGAAGATGTATATGTTACTATGCGCGGTGCGCCCGGGTACGTCTTTCTTGACTACGCCTTGCAATATTGGGCCCATCATGTCCGTCTCCTGGAAGCCGAAAGAGAGAACGCTTTGATCCCGTCGATAATGAGAGTTCTCAGTCTAAATTCAGAGAAGGGGTATCTCCACAGAATATATCCAGAGATTTGGCCTCCGTGGTTTGATAACTTCTCGCCTCTTATGGCTGCGTCCTACTTCGGACTGCCTGCCACTGTTAGGCATGTGTTATTAACGGATGACACTGATGTGGGAATGCGTGTCCGCTATACGGGCCGCTCAGCACTCTCCCTGGCCGCAGGAGAAGGGTTCGAGGCTGTTGTCGATATCTTGATTAAGTATATAAAAAAGCGACGTATGCGACGACTTTTCCTGAGCCGGAAGAAGGAGATTGACTCGCAGGACCTCCAGAAACGAACTCCGTTATCCCATGCCGCATGGTGCGGGCATCTAGGAGTTATCAAGCTGCTCGTCAACGCAGGAGCCGATATGCATTTGAAAGATAATGTTGGGATGACGCCTGTTTACTACGCTATTGCTCGAGGTCTCGACCTTAAGGACCTACATCAATATCTGTCAAAGGATGATTACCAGAATATTTCGAGAGAGAAAATCGCGAGGCATCTCCTACGAAATACCCCGCGAAACGACGAAGCGTCACCACTCAGTGTCAAGGATTTTGTTGACGCAGGCGTGGAAATATCTTCCTTAGAAGACATTGACAAGGCAGAGCTTTTATATCACGCTATAACACGACGCGATTTAGCCGAACTAGAGCTGCTCATTGAAGCTGGCATTGATCTGAACGTTGTACCGCCCGGGGGACAAACGGCGCTGAGCGAAGCGGCATTTCGAAACGAAACGATAACGATATCATGCGAGTACTCCTTGATGCGGACGCTAATGTGGAAACTGAGGACTTTGACGGAAATACCCCTTTACAAGTAGCTGCAGCGTGGGGTACCGTAGAATCCCTACAACTCCTCATCAGTTCTGGCGCAAATGTAGGAGCTAGGACTCGTTCCGGGCAGACGGCGCTACATTTTGCTGCGAGGAATCACAGTCGGGAGGCAGGGAAGGTCATATCTCTTCTCCTCTCTGAAGGTGTTGATGTGCAAGCTACGGATAGCAATGGGCTGACAGCACTACATATAGCCGCGATCCAGGAAAATCCGGAGCTCGTTAGACTCCTTATTGACGCAGGGGCTAGTCTGGAATCTCAGGATAACTATGGGCGCACACCACTCAATTACATGAGGGACGTTGACTGTATGGCTCAACTTTTGGAAGAGATAACCTGAAACTGTTGGTTACGAGTCAATTTTCTTTTTCCCTACCTAGTTGGTTGGTTCAGATGTTCCATGCAAGCATAGCTAGATGGTAACCTGGGAGAAGGCAGACAATGTCGAGCTCGAGGCGAACCTTGTATTTTTTTTTCCGGCGCCGGAGTTTAAGAAGTCGGGGTTTTATGTCGAGGATATCCCATGACATTACGGCCTTCTATTTATTCTCAAGAAGAAAATCTCATATTCACCTGTATCCATTACACCATCCTGCCGATATCATGATGGCAGAAGGTCGCTAGGCAGAGCCTGAGCAAGGCACTTCAGGACCGAGTTCACGGCATTCTTCCCGGCGCATCATCACAAGTCACCAATGCGCATTCTCGACCTCATCGAGAGAAAATCTCTTCATTTCAAAGTAAATCTAAATTCCATAGCTATTCTACACCGTCCCAAAAACACTCCCAAAAGACAAGAAAAAACAAACCCATCCACTTCAAATCTCCCCTCATCCTCAGCGAAAAGACTCATGTCGCGTTTTGTTCATATCATCTGCATCTATCCTCTCCCCCCGCCGGCCCCCCCCTCTTTCTTTTCCTTCCTCACCCTCTCCAACAGGTCCACAAAGTATTAAACCTCTCCTATTTTATACCACTACCACCACTACCTCCTCACATGCTTTTGCATCTGCAACTTAACCTCATTCTGATGCCTCAGCTTAAACCCGTTACACAACGCCCTCATGTCGGGATACTCCGACCCGAGCATCTGGTACGCGTGCGGGATCACCTTGACGACCCAGGACACGACCGGCGACGACTTGCTCGACTTAAAGCACAGGAAGAAGTAGCCGGGGCGGTTGGTGTCGAGGCAGAAGGCGTAGGTGGAGCGGTTGGGGTTGGCGTCCATGTATGTGGTGAGCCATTTCTCTGTTAAAGGAGTTGTTAGCAAATTTTTTTTTTTTTCTTTTTAAAAGGGGGAGTTGGGGAGGAGTTCGGAGCAACACATACCCAAAGCTGCCCTCGACACCTTGTGGAACTTTTCATGCTGCGTCAACTGCTCCACCTTCTTCACCATAGACTTAACGTGCTCAACAATCAACTCGTCCAAATCCGTATACGTAAACTTGCCGCCGACGCGCAGCGTCCTGCCCACCGAGAACTCGTTCTCCTTCTGGAGCTCGAGCACGTCGAGGTGCTGATACACGCCATCGGCCACCTTCCACGTGACGGCGAGGTGATCGTTGCCCTTGGACGAAGGGCGGATGACGACCTCGCCCACGGGCTGGGAACCGAGGTACTGCTCGGCCTCCATGCCGTTGAAGGGCTTGAAGAGCGGGTGGTTGATGACACGCTGGGCGCGGCCCGTCGTGCGGTCTTTTTCCTTGAGCTCTTCGCGGTCCTGGCGCTCGAGCTCGTAGTCCCATTGTTCGGGGTGGTGGCTGATGGGTTTGCGGTAAGGGCGGCGCAGTGCTTCTTCGCGCATCGTGAGCTTGATGGCGAAGTCCTTGTGGTTGACCTCGAGGACCTTGGCGTTGGTCGTCTGGCCTACTTGCAGCACGTCGCGGACCGAGTGCCGAGCGCTGATCTCGTGGCCTTCGACGCGGCCTTCGACGCCGCAGTCGAGCTTGACGATGGCGAAATCTTCACGAACGACGCGTACGTTGACGGGCACGATCATGTCGCGCGCTAGGCTCTCCTCCGTCTCTCCCGTGAACATGGTGAAGATTTGGATGGGGGTGAGGTGCAAGAACTGCTTCCGAATCTCTTCGTACGGCGCCTGGAGTTCCAATCTTATTGTCTCCAGCGTCGCACGCTTCTTCTGGCTGTAGCTCGACTCGAGCTGCTCGGCGTACTCCTCGAGGATGAGCTCGTTGACTCTTTCTTGTTCTTCCTCCTTGAACAGCTTGCGGACTACCGCGCCTGGGCCGTTCTCGTCGATTTCGGCCTTGACGTCCTCCTCGTCAAGCTCGAGCGCGTCGGCTGCCATCTTACGACCGAGTTCGTAGTCTTCTGGGTGGACACGGGTGTTGTCTAGAGGGTCGGAGTGGGGATCGGTAGGGTCGTACTCGATGTAGAGGAAACTAGCGCAATTGTTCCAGACGCGAGGGCCGACGACGGGGAGTTTCTTAGAATCCGGATCGCCGACAAGCTCGTCTCTGGAGTTGACTACACCACCATTCGCGTTGATGGCCTTCAGAACGCTTGTCGCTTTTCTAGGACCAAGACCGGCAATGTATGGAAGCAAGTTGGCCGTGTAGCTATCGTTGACAGCCTCGTTAATGTCGATACCACAAAGGTTGACCATATCTACCATTGCGGTCTCGAGCGTCTTCATAAGCTTGTCGTGCGGTAGCAACTTTTGGCAGGAGTGGAAGTTAAGCGACGCGATATCCTTTCCGAGAGCGGCGTACTCCTTCATAGGGTTCTGCATGTATCGGGCTAAAGCGAAGCAATACCGCGCAATGGGATGAAGGGACGGGTGATCAGCAACGGCGCGTGTGCTGTCCTTGTACAACCGGGCAACCTCGTCGTTGACGACTACAACCTCTAGCGGGTCCGTTCGATACTCCTTGTCGTCGGAATCGGGATCTTGGTACTCAGGACCCATCAGACGCTTCTCGCCGATGAGACCCTCAACGTCACGAACGAGCTTATTCGTGGCGGCCGAGAAACCACTGATACCAATGACGTCGGGTCTCCGCCTCTGCACGAGCTCTGCGAACTCCTCGCGCTGCTTCTCGTCCCGTCCGAGGTTCGTAAACTTGCCGTGCTCAAGGATCCGACCGTCTTCTTCAACCCAAGTCCAGAATACAGGGTCGCGCATGGCATCGCCCAGACCGTTGGAAAGCACAAGCACTCGGGGGGTTGTTCCCAAGACGAGGCCCTTGGGTTTGATAGGTGCCTGGTCAAGTCGCCTGTAGTATTCTTCACGACATGCGTTGAGGACTTCCTCCTGACAAGCGGTGCGGAGCGATTCCTTGACACCCTTCGTAATGATACGCTCGAGCTTGGAGCACGCAAGATCCAGAACCTTCTTACGCTCATTCCGCCACCTTTGCGCGAGATCACTGAAGTTCTCCGACTCAAACTCCATGTCGAGCTTTTCGCGGAATTCCGAGCGATTCCTCAGCCGGAGCTTGACTTCGATAAGCCCATCCTCTTCCGCCTTCATCATCTTGAGGAAGAGCTCTGGTTGACGGGCGAGATCAGACATCGTCTGTCGCATGAGGTACTTGATATCGTAGTAAGGGTGGGACTCGTCAATCTTGCGCAGACCCTTGTCAGTGCGGTGGCAGTCAATCTCTCCAAGCTGATAGAAGTGCATCCGGAAGAACTTGCGCATGCGCGGGTTGACAAAGAGCTCCTCGGCATACATCTGTCGAGCGGCTGACAGGACCGAATCGCCGGTGGGAAAATCGTCGTCGACAAGATCATCGGCGAGCTGATCGGGATCCTTTGCATCGTCCTCGGGAATAACTTTGCGGCCCTCACCCAAGGCATTCCGGGCCAGCTGGTCAGCCGACAAACCGTAGGAGCGCACGAATCCGTATGCCCTGCTCTTGCGAATGCGATCCATCATGGCTGTCCGAGACCCGGGTCGCTTGGTCTGTTGGCTGTTTCCATTGACCGAGGCTAATTCCCTCAGCTCGGCCGAATACCTGAATTGCGTGTAATCCTGGAGATCCTGTAGCTCTTCCACAGTAGCCGCCTGGGGAATCATATCCTCAAGCATATCATCTTGAACACCTGCGTTCGTTTTTAAGTTATCGTACATCTTCTCGAGGGCATTTCGGCGTTCGATAAGAGATCGAAATTTGATGTCGAGTTCTAGAATGCGCCAAAGGTCGTCTTGGTTGAGGAGCTTCTTAGCCTCGATGATGTACTCGGGCGCATCGGGGTCCTTGCGGTGGTCGGGATTGGGGACTTTCTTCGTGTCGAGAAGGTAGTCCTTTCGATGCTGGAAAACGTAAGGAACTTCCACTTCGTCGACGACAAAGAACTCCAAGACTTTGCCAATGGCCTTCGTGAACGGTGTGTGGGATTCTTGGGGGAGATTCTTCTTGGGCCACATGAGGGCAGAGATCCAGCGAGCCTCCTCCTTAAACTGTTCGCCCGTCATTTGGAGATGTTTAAACAGTTTCCTATCGATCTGGAAGCGCTCGGGCTCGTCGGTGAATCGAATCTCGTTATCGGCATCCGTGAGCAGCTTTTCGGTGAGCTGAGACGGCTCAAAGACATCCTTCAGCTCGATGGCCTGCTCAGCCTGCTCACGCTCTTCTTCTTCCTCTTCGGCCTGGAGGGCCCAGTCGTAGTCCGCACCGTCACCAAAGATATCCTCCATATCTTGAAGGGCATCCTTATCTAGCCCCGAGGTATCGATGACGCTGCTAACACCCTTGTCGCGGGTGCGTGCGACTTCCCTCTCCACGCGCTGACGTTCGATTTCCTCCTCGGACTCTGGGAAATCTTCTTCGATAAAGTCGGCGAATTCGTCGGGCTGAGCTCGGAAGGTCGAGCGGCCGTAAGGTCGATGATCGGCATCTTCTTCGTCATCGGAGAAAATTTCGTCGAGGCCGCGTCTTTCGGTTCGGCGATCTTCATCGTCGTGGTGACCGCGCTTCAGTCGCTTGAATTTAGGCTGTAGAGAGAGAGGATCACAAGGTTAGCCATGCTGTGATGAAGTCGCGACGCCACTGTTTCCCAAATAGATGACTTACCTCTGACGGAGCACCCCGTTCCCATCCGGGCAGTTGTTCGCCGATAAGCTCGAGATCTTCTTCGTCAAGCCGCTCTTCCTCCTCTCGGTCGCGACGTGCGCGTTTCCGCCTTTGTCTCTCTTCGGCTTCCTCGTCTTCTTCCACCTCTTCCTCTTCTTCCTCGTCTTCTACGATGAATCCTTCGCGAACCTGGCCACGGAAAGAATGTTAGAATATCAAATTGCCAAGAATCGCGAAGCGTATGATTGGGCGTGTCGTACCTTTCGCTCCTCCTCCTCATCGTCTTCTTCTTCCTCCTCACTAGAATCATCGATGTGGGCGGTTCTACGGCGACGGGGGGAGCCAGTCTCCTCGTCGAAGGACTCGTCCTCTTCCTCGGAGTCGACTTCGACACGGGAGTCGATAAAACCGGAGATTTCGTTACTCATATTGGACAGTCGGGATGGTCAAATTGAGTGAGAGGAGTTGGGTCAACAATCGTAGTGCCGCCCTTTGTGGGATGAGCTGCCCACTACTATCGTTCGCGGAAAGTGGATCGTGTCGTCGAGAAGGAAAATAGGGAGATCGAACTAAACGCCGCTCAAACGGCAATGCGCTGCAGGTTGGATGAGAAAAGGAGAGAGGGGAAGAAGAGAAGTGTTTGGGGGGAAAGGAAGAGGGTGCGTTCCCAGATATGATGGGAGCAAGATGGTGAGGCGAGCTTGCTTACCTACTCAAGTCCATCCGCAGGATGAATTTGATTTTGGTTGCTGCAGAGAAAAATCCAGCCTTGCTGCTCCCGCGCACGGACCAATTTCAGCCGTGGCAAGTTGAGAAAACAGCAAATTGCACGACCGAAATGGTGTATTGCTTAGTCACCGGATCGATTAGTCATTTACGGATCCATCATTCCCAGTCATTTCAACGGAAGGCGGAGCCCCGCGTTCTCGACTCACCGAAGTTAGAATGAGCGGAATTCGGTGACCAGAAGATTTCTTCTGGTCATCTACCGACTTTTTATCTTTATCTTTTAGCATCAATTTGTGCGCCTGGCCTGCAGGGGTCTTATGTCTAAGGAGCTGTGGATGACGGAGATTACTGAGACGGACAGGCCGAGGATTCTTCGCACCCAAGCTGAATGGTTGAAGCGTCTCGGATCTCTACATTCAGACCCGTCGTTGGATTGTTCAGCTTCATCAAAATTCCATCGACGGTCGAAGATTTAGGAGACGGTCGTCTGACACCGCATCTGATCCCTCCGCTGGAGACCCTCGACTGGCTCATCCCTCTTGTCACTCTGGAATTCTAGCGTCAGTCCGTTCCTGGAACTATCCAGTTTGATACTAGACGGTCACACGGAGTCGGGACTAGGACGAGCCCGCCTCGGTTCGACTACCACGCTCGGTCATCCGTCAATTCGCCCCCCGGGACGCCGGTACTAAGTCGACATCCATTGGGCGTCTGCTCTCCTGCTGTCACGCCGCAAGGAACGTGACTACTCGTTCGTTCCGGGAAGTCTCAACCCGTATGACAACCAAAGTCCCTCCTTGGTTATAGCTTTGGGCACAGTACCACTCTTTTGGAATCTGAATTCCGTTCCTTAGTCCTTACCCGATGAATGGAGTGCGTCCCGAGGGTGGTTAAAAGCATTCGGACCAGAAGACATCTTCGAAGTGAGCTCCACGGCCCCTACAGCCGACGTCCGGACCAGACCTGCCACCAAACCACAGAGGACCTCCTGCAGAATAGTCCAGTGCACCACGCCTGATGACGGCAAAAGCAGAAATCCTTATCTCTACCATACCGCGGCATGAATCCGCGCCGCGACCCACGTCCGGCACGGGCTCATTTCTTTTTGAAGCTTCCTGGTCTCCTGCCCAACAAGAGGGGAGAGCCGGCATGAAAATTTCATTCTGGCCCCCTTCCTGGAAGTCATGCTTCAAGGAACAATGCGGTATAAGGCGACGGGAAAGAACATACATCGAATATTCAAACTGCGCTCCTTGCGAGTAGCAAATTTCCAACATCAAAAACAAGTCCAATATCAGAAACAAGGATTTCCAGCCCATTTTGAACACTCTCAAAGACCTTCCAGCCGGACTGGCTGCGGACCGTTAAAGAGATGTTGGAATTGATGCTGCTTTTGCCTCTGTTCGATGGTAGGAACCTGGACTATCAGGCAGAAGCCGGGAAATCACCTAAAAATCTCAATGGCATGATATTTGTGGAAAAGGGCATTGGGAATCGGGATTTCTAGAAGGAAACACGATCGTTGGAATCAGTGAATCCAGATATAGAAATCGTTCTTTCAATGAATCTGGGAAGAACAGCTAAAATAGAGTGTCGAGGAGGCCGGGGCTGCGTTTTGGCCCACTTGTCCTTGAAGATGTAGGGGTAATCAAAGGTTGCCTGGCTGTTATAGCTGTGGGGGAGCGAGGCAAGTGCGAGGTCAAGTGTAATAAGCTGGCCAAGGGTGCTAACTTAGATGACTGCAAAGCGAGGGAGCCGGCTTCGAAGAGCATGCAGCTGCGGTTGGTCTGGGCCTTCCTGCCAAGGAAATTGAATCAAGTATATTATAACAACTCCTCCTTTGTGGAGGCCAGCACAGCTAAACGATGATGACTTTGAAGAAAATGGTTTCAATACTGTCTAGCTTTTGTAGAGCAAGAGGGTCGGTCAAGTGAACATTGATATCAGCCGCGTTTCATCACTATTGCCATTTAGATGCATACATTAATTGATATTGGTCAAACAAGTCTATTGAAATATCAAGAGTCAAGACCTATGCTCTTCCGAATTGGAGGGAACCCCAACATGGATCACTGGATAGAAAAGAAGAAAAAAGAAACAAAGACGAGAGCTGAATTCTTGACTCATGGTGTCATCACAGCCCAGAAACTAACCCTGAAGTGTGGGACATGAAACAAAGCTTGCTGCTAAGTGTTTGACGAGGACCATCCATATTGATCTCTCTTGTGTCTGTCTTGTGTCTGTCTTGATGTACGGAGTACAGCTTGGGAGAGTGATCAGGGATATCCCACCAAAAATTCAAATGTTTCAAGTCCAAAGGATTAATTAACAAACTGTTTTCGAACTGGATCGAAAACCGGAGTAGCAGCAAGTCTCGACCTAGAAAATCTAGACAATTCCACAGGCCAGGGTGAGCAGGTTGCCTTTTCGCCCCGTCATGCATATCTGCATCTCCCTGCGAGCATCAAGCCAATCAAGGTGCGCGAATAGGCTGAGACTGCCGCAACCAGGAACATCTGCACTTTTTGGGACCCAACGCCCTGCTTCCTCGAGGAGGGGACACTTTACGCGTGGGGACGCGAAGTTGGCTAGTCTGAGGCGAACACGATTTTTTTTTTCCTCATTTATTTGGGCATTATTTTTTTCCCCAATTATGGCATAAATCACATAGGATACCCTTCGGAGGAGACTAAAGGAGCGGGGGAAGGGTGCTTTTGAGGTGCAGCTCTCAGGGAGAAAGGGGACCATGTCCTCCAATCGACCAGCGTCGAGGAGGCCTTTCTCTTGGACAAGAAGAAGAACGAAGGGGGGAAGCAGTAGGGCTGGCAGTTATTCCTTTCTTCTGCCTGTTGTTTGGATACTAATGGAAACCAGGAGGCATTTATATCTTGCTCGTCGAGGCGAGATGATTACTCCTGAGATTCTTCCCTTTTCTCCTTTGTATATCAGTTTGTTCTGTTCCATTCTAGAGTTTAATCGGTGGTCTTTGTTTTCAAACGAGTTTATGAGTTTATGAACTTTACCTTTCTTGCCTTGCTTGGTCGCGGATATATATTAGTTACCCAGAGCCGTTTCTGTCGCCTTTGCTTTTACCGCAAGTGCTTTTCCCTCCTTGTCTCGGTGCACCTAAGGTTCTACAGCAAGACTACATACGAAGTAGCCGAGTATCAAAGCGACTTTTGAGCAGTCGTCGAGATTCTGCGAACCTTGCCAAAGACCTCAACTCCCTCAACCTCCCTCAACCTCACCGAAAATGACGAGAACACGCTTTCCAACAAGACTCATCCTCACCCTCCTCGCCCTCCTCACATTCTTCCAACCAATCCTCTCCTCCCCCGTAACCCAAACCGTATGTTCTCCTCCCCTTCCTTCAAAAGGAGCCGAGCTAACAGCCTCATCAGACCGAACCAACACCGACCCGACCAAAAGCAGCAGCCGCCACCCCACAAAACACATCCATGTTCTGGCTCGACTACACCAAATCCTACGACCCCCTCGCGCCGGACCCGACACCAGCGCCGGTGCGAGCCGAGAACGCGGGGAAGGAATTCGAGTTCGCTCAGACGACGTATTATACATGCATTACGAGGGGCGGGAATGAGCACTGCGGGTGGCATGTGCCTATCTTGTGGGTTGCTGAGGCTGGGGCCGAGAAGGGGAGGAGTGGAAGCGGGTTGTGGGGAATTGTGGCGGTTTCTGTTGTTGTGATTTTGGCTTTGGCGTTTTAGACTAGGGATGGGCAGTGGTGGATAGCCGTAGATATTGCCTGGGTGGGGATGGGACAGGATGGGGCTTTCGAGGCCCTCGGAGTAGATGAAGATGTATGACTAGATGTTGATGCTTGTTTAGATACCCACGCTGCTGGTCAGCTATACGAATGACATGAACACGAGAACTTGCCAACTTGACTCGACTCTGATAGAGCCTCAAGTCCACATCGAGACCCCACAGCATCACATAAAAAGACCTTCCATGTTCATAGCACATCAAGCACGGCGGAGAGAAGGGACAGTGAAGAAAAAAGAAACCCAGTACCATCCTCATCAAAAAAGTCAAAATCAAGCCGTAACACCTTGATTCATGCTAGTTTTTGTTATTGACCGCAATCGAAACTTTCCGAATATTGTCCATCCCTGCCCCGCGCCACCGAATCGACGTCTTTTCTAATAACAAGTCGGGTTTTTTGTTTTGTGTGTTAAGTTCGATTCCTTTCAAAGGGGGAAGAAGGGAAAAGAGGAAAACGAGAGGAAAGGGACGACTAGGGTCGAATAAAAACCGGCCGGGAGAGGGGTATGGAGGGGCGAAGAGACTCTATCACACCATCAAGGAACAAAACAACAGCGTAACAAAAGACACACCACCGAGGTAGAGAGTAAGTGAGCCCTTAGCCGCCATTCCTCCCCTCCCCCTCCAAAAAATTCCTCCCAAACACCATTCCCTTTTCTTTTTCCATCCCCGGGGATATCGTGAAGAGGTGGAATCGAGTTGTTTATTTGTCCTTCTTCGCCTTGGCGCCCTTGGACTTGGCGGTGCCGCGCAGCGTCTTTTGTCGGTTCTTGCGTTGCTTGCCTGTAGTAGGGAGAGATTATCAGTCCTCTGCCCCAAAACACATGACCAATATCCATTCCAATATCCAAGTTCCCGATTCCCTTCGTAAATAGAGAATACGATCGTTTCCATCAGATGAGGGGGAAAACCTACGCTGTTGTCGGGAGGCCCTCTCGGGCTTGGTGGCCAATCCGACGCGGACCAACCGGTACTGGGGCTCGAACTTCTTAAGAGCCTCAGGGGAGTCGTAGACGAGGCCGAAGCCGGTAGTCTTACCACCACCGTACTGGGTCCTCAGGCCAAAGACGGAGACCTGTTCCTTCGTCGCCTTGTACATGGTGGCGAGCTTCTCGCGGAGCTCCTCCTTGGCGATGTTGGGGCGGTTGGGGTGGAGGATGTCACTATTGAGACACAAAAAAGACGTTGGTCAGTCAGGGGGTTCCGGCAGAGATTCGCGAGATCCTATGGCCCCAATTCCGACCGATGGCCTCGATGAACAGAAACATAGAAATATCCTCCATATCCAATCCATCTCGAGCCATCGATCGGGAACAGCAACCGACAAAATGGGGTTGAAACTCACACGACCATCTGCTTGCGGCCAAGCAGAGGGTTTCGGATGAACTTGCGCGTTCGGAGCGTAACGGGAGCGTCGGAGTCCGCCATCTTGAATTATGCGAATCTGGTTCTGCGTTGACGGCGAGAAGGAGTTCGGTTCGTGAGGATGGTGGTGAGGGTGGGTGGTGGTGGGTGTTATTTTTTTATTTCGTGGTTTGGGTGATTGCGTCGAATTGGGGCGGATTATTGTCAGCGCGGGCTGCTGGTGCTTGGTTGGCTGTGTGGGTACTCTGTAGCCCTAATGGGGATTTGCCTAATTTTTTCCACTGCACTTTTCTCGTTTTTGCGGGTCTTGGCTGGGGGTGGGGATTTGATGGGCGTGTGGCTGGTGTAGGGTTGCACGTGAGGATGGGGGCTTGCATGTGGCGTTATGTGCTGAGGTACGAAGTACGAAGTATCTTCAAACCAGTTCGCGACCCGCCATGTCTGGACCTGATCCAACGATTTCCACCTTGATGCTGAGTCCTCTCACAGCACGGAGGTTTCGAAGTATCAGGCCCAAGGCCGTTTCAATTCTTCAAGAGTTGCAATTACACCTTTAGTTGTGTGTACTACTGAGAACCGAGACATGGAAGGCACCGCGAGAGAGTTCATCGTGTACAAATGATTGCAGTTTCCCGTTTGGGAATAGCTTCATCCTGGGCTTCGAAGACGGGTTTATGGGCAGCTGGTGTCAACTGGATGCTGAGAAGGGAAATCTCTTTCACCCCACTATTTATTTACTTGCCTCAGTCGCTCCATCTAAATGCCCCTCACCTCCAGAAGAGGGAACATTGTCGCAAGGTTAGAGACGGCTCGATGGACAATCGCTTCAAGAATCGCACTACTCTACGGTTCCTTGATGGAGAAGCTCTAGTATTTGGGGGGTAGTGTAGTTATCTTTTCTTTTCGTAGCCCAGGCTCTCCAGACTCGAGTCAGTCAACTTTTTACATGGCTCCATTATAGCAGAAGTGAAAGGCGACAGCTGCAAAGCACCGAATCATGGCGTATGCCATCGATGGCCCTCTTGGGCGGTTTTGCCACCAATACCTCCAACTGGAGATGAAGCTTGACTATCCGGACGCGGACCTCTTGCGACAATCAAGCGTCCAGGAAGCTCTATACGAGCATCTCTTCGCCGACGGGGCCGTCCCGTTCCCGCCTCCGCATAGATACCGTCTTCGAGTTCTGAAGGACCTTCTTTCGAGGATAGAAAAGAGTATCAATGACTGGGAGGAGCAGGTAAATTAACACTCCTCGTCTCCCATAACAGTCGATAAACCCGTCGCTAAAAAATGAGAAAATACTTCCCTTGTTGATGCAGGGGGTGTCAGACAACTTGATGGAAGCCTTTGCGGAAATGCTAGACGTCCCCGTACCATCTGAGACCGAAGCCGTCCAGAAAATGGACTACGTGACATACTACCTGTCACTTTTAAAGTCGGAAGAGAACCCCGAGGGCGACTCGAACTCTAGCGCAGTAAAGAACTGCATCACTGTTTTCGAATCCCGTGGCTTGCTCGCCACGTCCGGCACGACGGGAATGCGAACGTGGGAAGCCGGTCTCCACCTGGGCCAATATCTTTGCACCGCTCCGGAACTTGTCAAGGGGAAGCGCGTCCTCGAGCTCGGCACCGGAACCGGCTACGTATCCGTCCTCTGCGCGAAATATCTCGGGGCTCAAAAAGTCGTCGCAACGGATGGCTCGGAGGACGTCATAAGAGACTTGTCGGATACCATCTTCCTCAACGGGCTTCAAGAGTCGGCGAACTTTTCCATCATGGAGTTGGTATGGGGAAGGGCGCTCCTCGGGACGGAAGACGCGGAGTGGAATGGCGGCGAGGAGATTGATGTCGTCCTCGGGTCGGATATTACATATGATTCCAGGGCGCAGCCGGCGCTCATCGCGACGCTGGGCGAGCTGTTTGATTTGTTTCCAAAGGTCAGGGTGATCATTAGCACGGCGGAGAGGAACGTTGCGACGCTGAATAACTTGCTGGGGATATGCAAGGCCCAGGGCCTGTTGGTGGATTTTATCGATTTCCCCACTCCTACTGCTGAGGAGCAACAGGGGCCGTTCTATGATACAAGCGTTCCGATTCATATCGTGGAGATTCGGAAACAATGAGGAGAGAACTCGATATAGAGCTATCCGGCTAGACCCAATACAACGTACCTGAACAGACAGTGGACCAGGACTGTCTCTTTTGACATGGATTGGCAATTACAATGGTTATTATACAAAATCGTAGGTCGTTTCATGGCAGAGAAATTGGAAAAGGGAATCCAAATCAGCTAGATCCCTCCTTCTTTTCCTCCTCCCTCAGCCTAGCAATCAACTTTTCCGTCAAGAACGGACTTAACCCCAAGCTGTATCCCGTCAGTATAATCTCTTACAAACGAGAGGGAAACCCGGGAGAAAAGGAGGAATATGGGAAGAAGGAAAATAAATAGTGCTCACATTCCCTGATTCGTTATAATCCGATACGTCCCACTGGGCGCCAACCTCCCCACAATCTCCCCCGCCGCATCGACCTCCACACTCCCCAAAATATCCTCCGGCCACGCAATCCTCCCAAAGTCCGGTGGATTCCTCGTATCGCTCAAATGCACGTGTCCTCCCCTCCCCGCACCACCAGCACCTCCCTGCGCGCTCGCCCCTCCACCGCCGCCATCACCCGTCAGCTTCTTGGCCTTGCGCCGCTGGTTTTGATACAACCCTGCGACCCCGAGGCTGAAGGAGGTGCCGCCGGGGCCGGCGAAGGCGCGGGCTTGGCTTATGAGGTCTGGGTCATTGTGGGCGTTTTCGATGAGGACTTCATTGAGGATTGAGAGGAAGCGGGGGTTTTCTTGGAAGGATTGGGGTGTTGGGGGGAGGGTGGTCGTTTGGCCGATGGCGAGGGTTTGGGAGGGGGGTGTTGTGTCGAGGTAGGTGAGGAGGTTTACGCTGGGAGCTGGGTGGTCTTTGAATACTTTCTGTGCGTGGATATATTAGTATTTACTGTTTTCTATGAAGATTGCTAGGTCGGAGAAGAAGCTCGGAGCTTAACTTACGATCTTGGGGTTTGATGATAGTGTAGAGATGGGCCGGAGGAAGCTAGTTCGCGCCGGTTGGCTGGCGCACAACCTGGCGGAATGGGTGCCGTACGTCCGTAGGAGAACTCGAGACATTGTGAAAACAAATTGGATCCCCAGAGCGCATCCAATTGTCCCATTACTGGTCGAGAACAATGATGCGTTGATGGAGCGAGCTCCAAAAAATTGGCAGTTGAGGTCAGAGAAACTTGGCAGGTGGTTCGCAGCTGCCGGCAACTGGGTCATTGACCCCACAGCTCTTTACGCGACCAGAAATCCAGACGCGTCTCGAGCTCGACAGCAATATTGAAATTGAAATCGACATCCCACCTCAGAACCAGAACTTCAACGCTCGTCACATTTTCGTTGCTGGCAATCGGCTACACAGACCTCCAGTCTTACTCTACTTTTGTCCAAAATTAAACACAAAATGTTATAATACCCACAACCCACCACACAAACCGCCATGCACAAATTCATCACCAAAGAAACCCCCGCTAAGCGCGCCAACCCTCCCTCCTCCGACATCCCCTCCTCCTCTCCCGCCTTCGCAACCCCAGCGCACCCTCTCAAGTCCTTCTCCGCGACACCCTCCAGCGCCCCCACAGCAGTGAGACATGCTATCCTACCCATAGTCCTCCCTCCCGCGACGCTGCGACCCTTAGCCTTCCGAACCTTCACGAAGAAGCACAGCCTTACCCTCAACTCCTCGAGTTTAGCGGAACTCGCAGCATTTATAGGTCGGCACTGTGGCTCAGGATGGCGAGAAGAGGGTCTCGCGGAGAAAGTCCTCGAAGAGGTGGCGCGGAGTTGGAAGAGCCGGAACGGCGGTGTTATTGTCGATGGGGCGAGTGCGGAGTTGAAGGAGATCCTGACGACCCTGGAGGCGAGTATGAGTGGTGGTAAAATCATATCTGGCGGAAGGGGTCTGAGTCGGCAGAATAGCTTGATGCTGGACTCGAGTCAGGACTCTGATTTGGCGAATGTGCGCATGGGATTGCCGCCGAGTCGGGCCTTGACAAGGGGAGATAGCCAGGATAGCCTTGGTGCGTCGAACCTGGGGGTGGATGACGAGATTGACGATGAATCCTTGAACGATGTACGGAAATGGCTTAAAGCTATTATCGCGTACGAACAGCCTCGACTCGTCTACAACGTCGACAAGAAACACTTTGAAAGGTATACATGGATCCCAGCTTCCTCCGTCGCATTGTTTATCCGCTTCTAACCCCAGCCTTCTCCCACAGGGAAACATGCAAACCCTCCATCATGCCCTCGGCCCCCCGAAAAGCCCTCGCCTTCAAGAACCGCTTCAACGTCATCCACCAACGCCTCCTCCGCCACGAATCCTTCCACACATCCGCCGTAACCACCTCCCGCGCCGCCAACAAGCGACGAACCCCGGGCGCCGGCCAAGCCCTCAAGATTACACAAATAGCAAATATGCTAGGCCGCCACGGCACGCAGCAGATGTTGTTGGGCATGCTCGTCATCCTGCCTGCGGGCGAGCTAGCCATCAGCGATTTGACGGGGACAATAACGTTGGACTTGTCGCGCGCCGTGGATTATCCCGAGAACTCGGCTTGGTTTACACCTAGTATGATTGTCTTGGTCGATGGGATCTATGAAGAGGAGGACGAGGAAATTGGCAAGGGCCTCGGTGGGACGCGCGGTGTGGGTGGTGTGCTTGGCGGGAAGTTCATCGCGTCGTTCATTGGACATCTATCGTGCGAAACTCGAGCAACTTCGTTAGGTATGACAGGTGCCGATGGGGCGCAGGACCAGTCCATCGGTGGCGGGTTTGGATGGATCGACTTCTTAGGTTTGGGGAGCGAGCGCGCGGTGGGACAGAAGATGAGGCGTGTTGAGGAACGTCTTCTCCGACGACTTACTGCCGAAGAAGCGGCCGATCGCTCACGGCTCGTCATTCTGGGTGAACTCAACCTGGATAACCCTCGCACACTCCCCGCCTTGCGGAAAATACTGTCAATCTACGCTGCCGAGGACCAGGCAGCCCCACCCCTGACGTTCATCCTGATGGGCAACTTTGTCCAGCACCCCATCATGGCCAGGAGCCGCGGTGGGGGCAGCGTAGAGTACAAGGAGTATTTCGACGAGCTGGGAACCGTCCTGGCCGAATTTCCCGCCCTCATCAAAAACTCAACGTTCGTCTTCGTCCCTGGAGATAACGACGCCTGGATCTCTGCGGGCACTACGGGGGCATCGTCGCCTCTGCCTAGAAAACCGATTCCGGACATCTTCACCTCGCGGATTCGTCGACTCTTCACATCAGCCGCGAGCAATGATCAGACCAAAGCGAGTCCCGAAGCAATATGGGCGTCCAACCCCAGCCGGCTAAGTCTCTTCGGACCGAACCACGAAATCGCCCTCTTCAGAGACGATATGCTCGGGAGGTTACAGCGCAACGCAGTCGTGGTCGGCGGAGCTAGGGACGCCGCTGCCACCGAAGATGACGGCGAAGACGTTCCCATGATGCAAGTCGACGGCGAGGGAGACGCATCCATGGAAGTTGATGGCGCCGCCGGCCAGTCGGAAAAGGAACGGGTTGCTGCGGCGAGCCTTCGCACCGCGCAGAGACTCGTCAAGACGGTGCTTGACCAGGGATACCTCTCGCCCTTCCAGCCGAGTATTCGCCCCGTGCACTGGGACTACTCGTGGGCGCTGCATCTATACCCGTTGCCATCGGCTTTGGTTCTGATGGATAATACGGCGCCGGCGTTTTGTGTTACGTATGGGAGGTGTCATGTCATGAATCCAGGGAGTGTATTGTTGCCAGATCGGAGGAGCGTCGCAAGGTGGATTGAGTACAAGATTGGGTCGCTGGGTCAGGTACGGGAGAGTGCGTTCTGAAATGTAGAGAGCATTGGAGTGGCGATATGGGGTATTGGTATTTTTTGGGTCTTAATGATGATATTAGTAGATCTGATGAACAATGACACTGATTCGAGACTCGGGGAGTGCAGCTCTCTCGAATGCGTTTCAATCTGATGTTGAGGATAGTGGTTTAATGGAAGGCTACTGCTTCCTGGGCCGTGATGAAGTCTCAACATTAATCCATTGTGCAGAGACGTGTCATTTCTCTAGAATGCCGTCTAATACAGAGTGAAACCTGTGTAGTACTCCCGAGTGAATCTCAACAATGGTGAGAGCAATCCATGACAGATGGAAGAAATATCGCTCTTCCTTCCATTTCGAGGTCTGTTGCAAACGAACCCATTCTCTGCGCCCTCTTCCGGATCTTCCACCTCCTCTCGCCATACCTTGCTGTGAAGTGAAGTGATGACGAGCAGACAGGATTTGTCCTCGACTATGGCATATATTATTTTTGTCTAAGACCCTGCCATTAGCACTAAACACACAATCACAGACTCCCAAGTCGACTTGAGCGTCCTGAACATAATAACTGACATCTAGACGACAATGGAGCGACCGATCCATCCTACGTATAGAAACGAAGCATAACCATCATCCCATAAACGCCGAAACTTAAAAGCCGCAAAAAAAAAAAAAAAAAAAAAAAAAAGGTATTAGGATGTGATGAGCTGTCCTGCTGGCAGAACGATAGGCGTAACAGACCCATCGCCGGTGCCGCCCTGCGGCACAAAACACCCAACTTTGTTCAGTTCATCTTCCCACACCACCCGCCTCGAGACGGGGTCCCTATTGAGTGTTTTCAGGGCACGACGGTTAATCTTGAAACCTGTCGTTGGGTGAGAATCGACAAAATAAACCCCGCCAGTCAAGCTCTTCAGCCCCGTCAGCTTGGTAGCAACAAATTGTTCGATCTCCCTCGCTAGGTCACTGCCAGGACGATCAAGATATTGGTGTTGGGGCACGACAAACGCCGTGGGAAGCTCAGTAGCCGAAATATCATCCCAGATACCGACAACCACCACCGTGTGTACGGCGGGATGTTCAAAGATGATATTTTCGAGCTCCGAGGCGCTGATGCGACTTCCGTAGCCATCCCCAACGCGGAGGAGCTCCTTGAGCCGGTCGACAATATAAACGTTGCAGTCCTCGTCGATGTAGCCGTAGTCGCCGGTATGGAACCAGCCATCTTCGTCGAACTCCCGGTTCGCCTCCACGTTGTCCTTGTAGCCTCGGAAACGAGCGAGCGAGTTGCGCACGAGAATCTCCCCGGGCTCATTGGGTCCCAGGTCCTGCCCCGTCTGCGTGCTGATTACGCGCGCTTGCATGCCGTTGACTAGAGTCCCGCTAGACCCGGGTCGGCGGGAGACTGCGTCACTGATCTGGATGGCAATGAGCATCGTCTCCGTCGTCCCCCACTCGAGAGTTAGCTCGACAGTGGGGAATTTGGTCGAGATGGCCCGACGGAGGTTCTCTGGGACGACGGCGCCGGCTGAAAGAAGCCATTTGATGCTACTTACGTCTTCCGGGTCCAGGTTTGATTTGGCAAGCTTGGCTACCAGGGGCGGGAAGATAAGAATGAATGTGATCAGATGCCGCTTGATGATTGACGCGGATGTCTCGTCAAGCGGTTCTGGCATTAGGACTACGGGGATACCGAGGAGGATATTGAGCGACATGAAGAGCTTGGCGTTTATCAGGTATCCCAGGGAAGAGCTGGCCAACCATACATCTTTCGAAGGGTCGGTGCTGCTGGGTATTGTCCGTAGGGTCCCCTCGAGAGCTGCAATGTAATGACCGTGGGAAATGAGGACTGACTTCATGGTGCCGGTGGAACCGCTAGTACGGTTGATGAAGGCGTCGTGGGCTTCGGCGTCCTCATGACTATTCAGGTCGAAAGTCGCGACGCCTGGCTGTACTTGCCGTAGCAGATCCTCGAGAGTGGTGGTTTCGCCGTCTGCCTTGTCCAGAGTGATAATGGGGACGCCACCGATTAGCCCAGATGCGACTTCGGACACATCAAGAAGCGCTCCATCCGTTATGAGGAGCTTGGAATTTGACGAGGACACTGAATGGGAACAAGAGCAACGGTAGCCCCGGCGGCCAGTGCACCGAAGAAAGCGACGGGGTATTGTATCTACAATTTTTGCTGTGAGTAGGACGGTCTCATGTCCTTTCTGGATACGTGCAGAGAAGGGAAGCCGGGGGTATCAGTCACCTTGTCCTTGGCTACAATTGATACCACGTCGTTAGGTTTGATGCCATACTTTTTATTGATAGCGCGGGCAAACCTGAAACTCTGGTCCTCGAGCTTAGCTAGAGTCAACGACTCATCTGTACCGTCGACTCGATACACTACTCGGCTCCAAGGATATGCGCGCCGTCCATAATGGAAGATGTAGTTGAACACATCGCTAGAGGGCAACGCAGGGATTGGAAGTCTTGATTCAAACATATTTCGGCAGGCAGACACATCCAAATCGAGTACACGCTATGATGAGAGAGTTGGGCATAGACCATGAATGTTCACCAAATGAGCTGGTCGGTCAGCCTGCAAGTCTAGATCCTATATAAAAGCTGGCCCCCAGCCTTACGCCCTGTTAACTACACGACTCCCATCTCCGACGAAGGGGGGGCCCGCGTTACAACGTCAATACGACGTCCGCCAATGCGAGGCTTATACGTCTGTTGCATAAGAAGAATGGTGCAAGTGCCACGCCGACATGGCGCAATGCCGATCTTCCCGTCCACCACGAGGAAGATCACCAAAGCATGAAGAATCCTACCGGAGATGTTTGGTTTCTGCTTATTCTTCACCCACCTTCTTGAAGATCTGCAAGCACCCAATGCTGTTCCGAAGGGGTCGACGTCACACCAGCTGCGGCGCTATCTGCATCCAATCAAATCGCCTTTCTCCAGCGCGGACGTGTGTGTGGCCTTTGCTTCTCCGGCGCGGGCCGGAGTTTCGGATGACGGTGGATAGCGCCCGCCCCCCCACGTTTGACCCCCGTATGGGTTCGGCATGGTCCAGGGTTCCATCCAATGTGCTGGGGGCGGCAGCTCGTGTCCTCGGAAATGGCATCTGCAGTGCGTAGCTAATGGCTAGAGGACTCGCCAGCTAGGAGGCATCCGTGACGAGCTCTGCTCGTGCTGAGTCGGTAATGCATGGGCGTGGCAACGCCGGGATTCCTGTGATGGTGATTATCACCAATGCCAAAAGTAAGTAAAGGGAAATAGTGCCCTCTCGGCAAGCCGTAATCTCGTTCGGCTTTGTAGATCAACGAACTTAATCATGGAATCTGACAAAACCATTCACAGGGGGGAATGGACTCCGACATCATGGCGGCTCATGCCAATTCATATGCAGCAAGTCATATACGAAGACGAAGTGTTCTTGAAGCAGGTCTTGGCCAGGTTGTCAGAACTCCCGGGCCTGGTGTCGCCAGAGCAAATCGAAGCAGCCAGGAAGCACTACGCGGAGGCTGCTCGAGGCGAATCGTTCATCCTCATCGGAGGCGACTGCGCTGAGAGCTTCGACGACACCAAGGATCATATAATCGCTCAGAAGATGGATCTCCTTAATTACCAGGCCCATCATATCGAGTTCGTGACTGGCCTCCCTGTGCATATCACAGCTAGATTGGCAGGGCAGTATGCCAAGCCGAGATCTCAGCCGATGGAGGCATTACCGGATGGTCGTCTGGTTCATGCTTTCCGCGGACACAACATCAACGGGCCTGGACTATCCGAGCGTGAGCCTGATCCTAGACGGCTTTTGCATGGGTATTGGCATTCTCTGGCTGTCTTGCACAAATTAACTTCTTCGAGGTACGTGCGACGTGAACCTAGCCTCGAGGTAAAATCCAAGTGCTGATAACCTTGTTCTTGTTTTTCCTCGGCTCAACAGAAAATCTCTTGCCACAGGTCATGAGGCTCTTCTCCTCCCTTTAGAATCATCCTTAACCAAAGGCGGGTACAACACCTCAGCAACATTCCTCTGGGTCGGCGAACGGACTCGCCAGCTAGACGGCGCCCACCTCGAGTACCTCCGCGGTCTCAAAAATCCCATCGGCGTCAAGATCGGACCGAACACAACTCCTGTTGAAGTGCTGACCCTTCTCGAACTCCTCTGCGAAGACAACCCCAGTGAGCCTGGCCGCGTCACATTGATTTTCCGATTTGGCGCGGATAAAGTGAGCGCTGTCCTGCCTCCCATTCTCCAAGCCGTCAAGAATAGTCAGTTCAACCCTGTGTGGATGTGTGACCCGTGTCATGGCAACACAATCTCCCGAAATGGAGTCAAAACGCGAAGCATGGCTACTATGCTCGGGGAGGTGAAGCAGGTGGTTGCTACGCTTGCGGCGCATGGGATGCACCTCGGTGGCCTCCACATTGAACAGACGGGAGAGGAGGACGTTTTGGAGTGTGTGGAAACGGACGGTTTTGGCGAGGATGTCAAGCTTGGTGAGAACTATAAGAGTCTGTGTGATCCTCGCCTCTCCGGTGCACAGGCGCGGACCTTTGTGGCACGTGTGGCCGAGATGCTCGTGGCTGTTGAAAGGCCCAACTTGAAGGCCGGTGCAAAGAAGAAGCAATCGGTCCTTCAGATTGCGGCGTTTGCTCCTTCACTCACCTGGGATGTCTTCGGAGCTCGGCTTCCGAATATACTTGGCTTTGGAAAGACATATTCATGAACAGTTCCTGAAGTAGAGATTTATCATATGTCATCTCGATGTTTCATTCTATGAGCAGAAAGTAGTCTCTGTGTAGTGACTTAAGAGTATGAAGGCGCTTTACGTTGGTACCCTGTATTGTTGTTCCCAATGGCCTGGCAGAACTCGACTCGATACGATACGTGTTGAAAGATATCGAGCACATCTTTATCAAATGAACCGACGCAATTTCCACCCCTTAATCCTAGTCAACCACGTAAACCAGTAGAAGAAAACAATGTTGGATAGAGTGAAGAGAAGAAACACAGCCAAATACGCCCACATATTGTTCCCGAGCTGTCCATTGTGCAGGTTGAACTGCGCAAGATACTGTGTTCCTGTTGTGTACTGGCAAACGTGGCAGAAGCCCGTCGATAGAGGATTCGTCAGGTTTGCCTGTGCGCTTTGAGCCCATTTGCTAGCATACTCTCCGCATGTCTGGCCCTCGGGAGGCGGGAAAGTGAGGAGATCGGAAGGGTCACAAATCACATCGATTCCGCCATCAGCGGCGATAATCATGCCGCCAAACAGGTACGTAAGAGGGTTGATGTAGTACAACTGCGAATTGAGGTTAGAATTAGAGGAACCGGTGGGATTGAAGGAGGGAGCGAAACTTGCCCAAGAGCGCCAGAACACTTGTATCTTCTGGTAAGGTACTACGATTCCGTTGAACCAGTTGAATGTAGTAACCAAGAACACCAGGACAAGGCCGGCAACTTTGAGATCTGGACTCATAGAAGTAACCAACAAGCCAAGGGTCATCTCAAATATCTCATACATCACGACCATCAAGAACGTGTATGCCGCGGCCTCGCCAAGAGGCAGACCGGTGAGGAAATACCAGAGCAGGTAATAGACGACGCCTGTGATGCCTATGGCTGGGAGTTCTGCGAGAAAGCTAGCATTGCACAGCGCAACCCATCCGTAGGTTCGAGACGGACCTTCTCGAACTTGCCAGAGAAGCCGTTGTGTGAAGAAACGAGCCAGGATTGGGTTGACGATGGTGTTGACTAAGAATATGAGCGCGAAAGCCCCAAGCGCTCTGTGTCAAGGGGTCAGTCAATTTCTCTCTCCAAGTCGGTCGGATGCTACAAACGGTTGCGAAGGGACTCACCGGCTCTGTAAGTCCAACGGCGATGTGCCGAGATTAAAGAATGTAAACCCAATGAGGATCGCCTGGATCGTGTGGACCCAAATCTTGCTGTAGACGTAGGCGGGCCTCCTCCATTGGTTCAGAAGCATTCGCCTAGTCAGAAGTACGGTTTGCTTCAGGGTCGAAGTGTTAAACGTTCCGGGTGTCTCGCCGCCGTCCCAACGGACTTCCTCTCTTCTTATCTTGGCAATCGTGTCTTTAACGGCCTGCGCCTCGGGCGATGCTTTCCACTTGGCTACCCATTGGCCGGCGATAGTCTGTGACTTGCCGTGAATTCCAGAGCCAATGGCCTCAAGGAGGACCTCGGCGGGGTTTGCATCTTCCGGGTACTGCACGCCGCCCTGCTTCTCGATATAAGGCAGGACATTGTCGACAGATCCGTAGCTGACGCGAGTTAGCTCAAGGGCTAGCGGGCAGACAACGCTGAAAAATGCTCTAATAAATAAGAACTTACTAGATCTGCTCTCCGTTAGATGAGAGAGCCACGACTTTGTCGAATGTTCGGAAGAGCGAGGCGGAAGGCTGGTGGACCGTAACTAGTATTGTCTGACCCTGTTCGGCAAGGCGTCTCATGTAGCTGATGATGGTCATTGCGCCTTGCGAATCTAGGCCCGAGGTAGGCTCGTCGGCAAACAAGACCTTGGGCCGAGCAACAAGCTCTACGGCAATCTGTAACTACATGTATTAGACAGACATGCTATCACAAGATTTGCAGCTTAACCTACAGTCACTCGTTTCGTGAGTTCGACTCCAAGTCCCGAGGAGTCATAATCCCCAATCAGGGCGTGCTGCAGATGTGCCAGATCCAAGACATCTAGAACGTGGTCGACATATGCCAGCTTCTCGGCTCTTGAGTAGATTGACGGTTGCCTCAAAAGCGCCGAAAATTCCAGGGCTTCCCGTATTGTAGCAGATCCATCGTGCATGTCAGACTGCTGCGCAAATCCTAAAAAAACCCAAGCCAAAGGATCAGTTAAAATCTGCCATTACACCTGGCTGAGGAAGCGAAGTCCGAGGAGGTGCTGGCGATACCTGATAGCTTCTTGAAATACTCCCCCAGCGGCTTATTCCCGAACTCAATTCGGCCACCCATCGTTCCAATCGGGTTTGTCTGGCTCAAGTGAGTCAGGAGAGTCGTCTTCCCGGCTCCGCTTGATCCGCAAAGAGCAACGAGTTCTCCTGGGCGAACAAACCCCGTGATATCGGTGAGAATTCTCTTGGTTCCAATATCAATAGAGACATTCTCCCATACTAAACTGGGTCGGCCTCTACCCGCTGCTGCCCCGGAGCTGGGGCCGGAGTCTGAGGTATCCCGAACAACGGCAGATTTCTCCACGTCGAGAAGAATGGAGCTAGTCTTTGATACTTGGGGGTTTTCTCTCCGTGAGAAGACGATGGATGTGCCTCCCTGGATAGCAAAGCGCATTGTCTCGCTCCCAACAACGCCGACGAGCATGTACGCTGCAGCGAAGGCGACGAGTATTCCGACATTAAGCCAACGATTCGCGTCGCTGAATCCGAGAGACTCGACATATTGCAAACCTGGGACCGAAGCCTGCCCAGCTCTAGCACCCCGGACAGGACATATTCGATTTCCCGCAGAGGCTCCGGGAACGGCTGGTATGAGCTCGTCTTGGCAGGATATCCGCAAACGGCGAAACTCGTTGGTGAGGAGCGCCTCATACGTGTATCGTGGAGGGCTGATGTAGTGGAGCCATGACCACACAGGTCTCATTCGATCTATGGGGATGAGGAAACCGGCGAAATAAACGGTTGTTGTAGAGGCGATGCCTCCGAAGCGGAAACAGTCTTCTATATTTGGGACGTAGTCTGTATTCGGGAAATGGTCAGTACGAGCTCGCCCAAGGGGGGACACGCAAAGCACATACATGCGAACATTCGGAGCAGATTAGCAAAGTTAATAGTCGAGAGGCAAAGAACGAAGTAAAAGAAGAAGAAATCGACGGCCGTGTACTCAACCGTCTTGTGCGCAAGGAAGAAGAAGGCAATCATGAACCACGCGTGCTGGACAGCAATCATTGGGACATCTATCAGGACCCGGGCCACGGCAACCGCAGAGGAACGATACATGTTGAGCGAAGACTGACGTTCCAGCACCGCTCGGTTGGCATGGGCGTCGAAGAGCTCCGGGTACTGCATCCAGGCATTTGCGATGATGGCGTAGAAGATGACGCCTTGACGCGTGAATGCCCCGGAGGCGTCTGACGAGATGTTGGCGTACTCGCTGCCTACAATTAAAGAGAGAATCACGGTATTGACCCATTTCTGGTAGTACACGCCGCGTCGGCTATTGATTAGCTGTATCTCGCGTCTCAAGCATTCGATGATCTGTGCTGGATACGACAGGTTGATCCGATCCATCGGAACGAGAGAGGGCTGAGAAGTGTACGTGTCTGGGAGTTGCTTCAAGTCAGATTGCAACCGGTCGAATAAGTCAGACTGCCTGAAAGTCCTCGCAAGTGCCTCTGGCGTGTTCAGGGATGCCGCAGTGGAGTCTGGTCGCACGCGTCGTCGAACCGGGTCCGTAACTGTAGTTAGGAATTCAGAAGTAGTCTGTCCGGCCTCGCAAATGAATCCGAGATTCTCAAAGTATGGCTTCGCTTCGTCAACGGACCCGAAGAATATCTCGTGACCCGAATCGAGCAGGATGACCTTATCGAAGTGTCGAAAGACACTTTCTCCCGCTTGATAGAGCGTCGCGAGCGTTGTCTTCTGTGAGGCGTCGGTGAGAGTACGCAGTGCTTTGACAAAGTCTATGGCTGTCGATGAGTCGAGGCCTCTCGTGCTGTTATCGAAGCATTGGACCGAGGACCCCGAGGCAAGTACCTCCGCTATCGAGACCCTTCCCGCCTCATTTGTGAGCTGCATTGTCACCGATACCAAGAGGAGGGGAAGAGCTTATGGTTAAAGTTACCGTTTTCTCTCGCCTCCTGATACACCGGGAATGGAACCACCACCGACGGCGGTGTCGAGAGCGTGCTCCAGGCCAAACATAGTTGCCAAGGTCTTCGCCATTTCCCTAATATTCCCAGCGCTGCGCTCTTTCTCGAGGAGGCTCATGCGAAGAGCAAACTCCAATGTCTGTCGGACAGTCAGTGTTGGGATATGCTTGTCCTCTTCCGGAAGATAGATGGTTTCCCGACGATGCTTCTCGTAGAACTGGGTGTGAGAGAGGCCGGCGAATCGGATGTCTCCCGTAACCCTGAGCGAGGACCTATTCGCCGCGGCACGCAGAAACGTCGAACATCCACTGCCAGGACGACCAAGGACGAGGAGCATCTCTCCGGGTCTGACGAGTCCGGTAAAGTCGTGCAGAAGAGTCTTGTGTTTCGGCGGCTTCACTAGATACAGCGGCTGGCGGACATTTCGTATCAACCAAACGACTTGATCGTAGCCAAAGGTGTTGATGATTGCTCGAGGCAACGTCTTGACCGTGACCACGCCCGGGTCCGGAGCCGAGATGGTGAGGTTCGAGAAGGCCAGCGGGATAGGCCTGGACTCCCGAGACGTAGGAAACATTACATTTTGCTGAGAATATGCGGGAAGCCCGCTGTTCGACGTGTCTTTAGCCATTGTTTTTGGATCTTCAACTGAACTAAGCCAGACGACGAGCGGAGATTATTTCGACAGAATTCTGAGAAAGGTAATGGAAGGGGTTGAAGGACTTTGCGAGACAGAGTGGCCTCACTCGTTTAGCTCTCTACGACATCTATGATGTGCCACTACGAATTTCAATGGCCCCAGGCTGGATCACAGCTCTGAGTACGTCCATCTACGAAGCAAACGCAACTTGAGCGGTGGGAGCAACAAGGACAATGGACTATCCATTCCAATGCCTGCAGCATGGCGGCCAGGTACCGGGAAGGGCGGCCCAGCCAGACATTAGTGCTCGAATTACCAGCGACCACGCATGTCCGAGGCGACGAAGGGCCGAGATATGGGCGGATGGATGTACATAATGCCGTATCACCGGCCGTATCCGTCCGTAGTTCTGTGCCGTGTTACTGATCAGCAGTAGCCGCTCCCGCCACTTTGCTTCCCGATTTGTGGGCGATCGCCGGCGTATTTTATGGTACATTCCTCTTCATCCACATCTATCACGCAGTGTGGCCGAATTGTCAGCCAAGAAACATCTATAGATACTACCACGGGGGGGCGTTTTTGGGAATGGAGCTTTAATTGGGGTTCAAAAGAGTAACCTAGTCTAGCTATGTCCTTCATCAAAAATAAGAAATCGAATTGAACCTGTCTCGCCTGACTGCAATGGACTCCTAGATGCTGCGTATGTTGCCCATTGTCCAGCCAGATAAACCCCTTTTGGATCAAGCTTGCCCAGGAGCGTCATAACCTCGATCGAGCTCCTGGCTTGGACGATTACTGGATTAGTAGAAGAGTTGGTAACTACGCTTGCGCCCGCCTGCAGCATTTCCGACGCCTCGTAGGTATCATACCCGCGCGCAAGGAGGTCTCTCTCCTCACTTGGAGAAACACTAGACGCAACTTCAAGACCATGAATGATATCACCGAGGTCGATGGAGAAAGCAATGGAACTTTCAGACGTCGCAGTCAGTTTGAGCAACCAACTTTGCGTCTTCAGGCCATCATTCGGAGCTGCGGCGCTCGCCGTAATCGAAGCCTGCCAAGGAACCTCGGGGACCGGTGAAGATTTGAGCGAGCCAATGTCTATTTTGCCGCCCGCAATCCACGCCGGGCCACCGGGCTCGAGCAGCTTTTGTCCCGGTTCAATACACGTAAGCCTCGCCGGAATGTAGCGCAGCAGATTGGTGCGACTCTCAGAGAACAGCTTTGCGGGAAGCACGACCCCCGTGTTATACTGGAAGCCGTAGCCCCCAGCTCCGAGCCCAGGGGCCGTGAGGATCTTAGCCGTCTCCACAAGGCTCTCCAGAGAAAGTTCTCCACGAGAAACGTGGGAGAGAAAAGCCTGGCGAAAAGGTTCCATCGGTTCGCGTGCCGCGCCGAGACGTGTCGAAGAGATTAAGTACCACTTCCTCGAAGTTCTCAAACACGATCAAGTTGTCGCGCAGGCATGTGATTTGATGGAGCCACTCGTTGTAGAGCATCATGAGAATCGGCGAGCTGCGGTCGCTGCGGAGGAGTCGACCGGCCGGCGGAACCCACTTGTGGCCCTCGCAGGGGCTATACACGGTCAGTGCCGGATCTCCGGCGACGGAAAAGTTGGATTCGGTTGCGTAGCCCAAAAGAGTCTTGCCGATACGGAGAATGTGCTTTGTCAGGTCCGAGGGGTTCTCGCTATTCCAGTCAACTAGGGGGAGAGTGGCTTCACGGCCCTCGTGGGAAAGGCTGGAGCATAGGCCGTCCATGAGGATTGCGCGGGAGTCGGCATCCCCAGGGCCGTCCGGGCCAAGCTGGACAATGACGCTCTCGAGAAGGATTGCGATCTCTCGAATAAACTGTCTTGGTGTGTATGCGCCAGGGCGGAATCGCCACTCGTTCAGACGCGTAGCGGGCGGGAGCCCGGCCGAAAGGTTGCCATGGCTGTTAGGAGTAGTGATGCTACGGGTCTCGAAGAGAGCCCCGAAGCTGGATGGGTGGTGAGAGCTGACGGACATCTGGATTGTTCTCTAGGGTTGAAGGAAAGCCGCCGGGGAAAACTGCAGAATGGGTTGCGGCCAGCTGTAGACGATAGGGAAAAGTAGAGTACCAGTAGATGTTAAAGTTGCTCTGTAACAATGCGCTGGACCGCCGCGCCGGGTCGCCAAGATGTAGTCCTATCAAGATCGAGGAGATCAACCGTTGCTGCTGGCTACCCTGTCCTAGTAGAAAGTTTCTCGTGCCTGTGAAGCCGGGTAGCTAGCACCTCAAACGGCACCAATCACTCAAAGCTATGGCGTGATTGGCGGAGTGATGCGCCGACCAAAGACCTCCGAAGTCCGATTGCGTCAAGTGCACGGCACGGATGTGAGATGTGACCGGCCAGCGGGGTTTTTGGCATGGGGAGAGTAGCAATGTAAGTCCGACAGCAAAGCAAAATACGCTCCATGAAATGTTGCCGGGGTGCAAAAGGAGTCGATGATTCCAATCGAGGAGCAAGCTAGCTAGTCGCTATTCAAGGCACCTTACAACGCCGCACATTGATACAATTCACGGGGACGCACCAGCATCCAAACTTCCATTGACACGCTCAACCGCTTGTCCATATTCCTACGCCCAGGCCCAATCATGGCGCCGATAGAAACTAGTGGCCCACAGGCAGCCGACAAGCAGTCGGCCACCAACCTCTTCGCAGGTACAGAAGGCATCTATCTCCTTCCTCACCACGTCAAGGAGATAGAGCGACTGCGAACACAACACGATTTCATACTCTCATCCACAGGCGGCGTTTTACTGACCGCACCATTGGACCGGCCCAAGATCAAAGTGCTTGACTCTGGCGCCGCAGACGGTGCGTGTGTTTGCATGTCCCTCCGTGGCCTCTTCTATCTACCGCCGCCATGGGTCCATCTGACCGCAATACACAGGTACCTGGCTCTTGGATCTCCCTCGATTGTATCCGGCTCATGAGTGGTCCCTACATGGCGTCGACATCGGATCAGCCCTGTTCCCACCCAAGGCCGGGCCATACGCCTCCCTTGACCTCCGCCAATTCGACATCCGATCTCCCACCCCACCGGATCCGACATGGGTGAACACCTTTGACCTTATCCATCAGCGGCTCCTGATCTGGGGACTGAGGGGTCCCGAGTGGCCCGGCGTGCTCAGGAACCACCACTCGCTACTGAAGCCTGGAGGTTGGATCCAGCTGGTCGAGGGCCAATGGGTTGACAGAGATCATCCCTTCGACGCACCAAGATACCCCAACCTAGCCAAGATGTCGCAGATGCAGAAATGGAGCACCTCCAACTTTGGAATGGACATCGAGATCGCGTACCGCCTCGAGGATTTGCTGCGCGAGGCCGGATTCCAAGGGGTGGCGAAGACCCAGCTTAGCCTGAGTTACGGGGCCAAGGCGAGGGAGGAACAATGGAAGCAGAGGTCCGCAGACATGTGGGTTGACAAGTTCAGGGGACTGGGATCTAAACTGCCAGAGGGTGGCATCCCGGGCGTTGCGAGGAACGTGGAGGAGTTTTACGCGTTTTTGGATGAGCTGCACTCTGAGGTGCTTGAGTACGGGTACCAGCCGACTCTCAACTTTGTAATTGGGCAGAAGCCTGCATAGGACGATTCATTGATGTTGTTTATTATAAAGAAGCTGCTTGAAGATGATGCTGAATCTATCATTCGCGCTGGTTATTTTCTCCTCTCTTTTTTATTTTATTTTATTTTTATTTTATTTTTTCTTTAGGTGTTTATCGCTCCAGCTGTCAATTGGTTTCTGCCAGCTGCCAATACAAAATCTAGCAACTCTACCTCAGACGGCTGTTCACAACTGCTCATCGATGAAGCATCAACATGGCGGACCGAGTTCGACGACTCCAAGCACTCATCATGATGGCATTCTCCAGGCCTGAGCCGGCATCTACTTCGCAGTACGCAGCAATTGCATCATAGGCAAACTGGTTGAATCCCCATGTAAGCCATGCAGGCTGCTCGGTCGATCTTCTCCCATTCTGCATGGTCGTGGTGGTCCTCTGGAGCTTGATGTGACCCAGGTCTACCAGCCGCTTCATCCGTGGCCAATTTCCTCCGAAAGACAGACCTTTAGGGGCCCAAAAAGGCGATACGGACGGTCGAGCATCGCGCCGATCTCACGCTTCACCTCCGATTATCCACTAGCAAGACGCCCTTCCCGCCGGATGCTGGATGGCAGCACAGCAGGCTGCTGGTGATCGAGCCTCCGAGCCGAGCCCGAGACACGCTCTCTACGGCTCTCTCGTCGTAGCTATGGTCTTACCCAATAAGTATGTTAGAGAATGCGATTAGCCTGCGGGCAGGTAAGGGAATGAGCATTCATTCTTCTCGAGAACACCAGACGCAAAACTTATTTCCTCTCGCCAGCGGCTTCAAAAACCGACATTTCTACCTCACCGTCTTGCAAACTTCTTCCAGCCCCTCATCAATCATTAGTAAAATAGTCAATATGCGTGTCTCGTATCAGAACATTCTCATTACTGTTACCGCGCTGTACTCTTCCGAGGGCGATGGCCAGCCTGACCAACAAGCCCTCCTGGCCCCTCCGCCTCCGCCTCCTCCACAACGACCACCGCTGGCAGAGAAATGTGGTCCGGACACGAGCAAAATTGTGTGTATCAACAACTACTCCGCCGTGCTCCCGGGCAACTTCTCCAGGGCGCCTCCGCCCGACTCCATCAATCCCTTAGACCAGGCGTCCTACGCGCAGACCGAGATCCCTGGCGACGATTCGTGGAACTTGGTCAAGGAAGCCGACTTCATCGTCTTCGACCGAAAGCGCGGACTAGAGATCCTTGGTAACAGACCCACCTCCGAATTCAAGTATGGGATTGTGAACTTGTTTCATGACGCCACTGTCTATGACCCGTACACCAATGAGGTCTACTTCTCCCAGCTTTCGGGGGGTGAACTCTCCCAGAAAGTGATTGACCTTGGAAACGAAGCGGAGGGAGTCCGTAGAAAGGAAGCCAATCCACCACTCTATTCGCCCGTCGGTGGGATATACAGAAACGGACTCTTCTACTTTTGCGTTGGAGGCTCTAGCGACGAGGTTCCGGGGCCTGATGGTACAGTGGCACGGCCTGGTGTGTACACCCTCAATGCTACGAGCGGCGAGTCCAAGGTCCTGCTCAATAACTACTTTGGTTACTGGTTCAGCACTTGCAACGATATTGCCATGGATGGTGAGGGTAATATTTGGTTCACCGATGATGGTAAGTTCCCCCAGATAGCCACCAACCCCCCGAAGTAGGATTTCCTCACTGAGCATGGCTGCTTCTAGATTACTCCTTCGGAAACGGCGTGAGCCCCCACCGGCCAGTTCTGGCCCCTGCCATCTACAGGTTCAATCCCCGAACAGGATCCGTCCGCATCGTAGACCAGCGCCTAAAGCAGCCCAACGGAATCGCCTTCTCACCCGACTTCAAAACCCTGTACGTCGCCGACTCCGGCGCCGAGACGGTGCCGGATCACCCTCCAGCCGTAGGCCATGTCATATACAACCCGTATAACGTGACGGACCCTCACGTCGTCTGGGCATTTGACGTGATTCATGACGGCACGGCTCTGGGAAACGCTCGACCGTTTCATCTGACGCACAAGGTGAGTGAAGATGAATGGAACATCTCCAGGTAGTCTCTTGTGTGCGGATTCTAACGTAAGATGAAGTGGCTGCCGGACGGAGTCCGCGTTGCAGATAATGGCTATGTCCTCGTCGGTGTCGGCGACGGCATCGACGTTCTCGACCCGACGGGTGAGTTGATCGTAAAAATTCAGACAAACTTCACCGCCGTGGGAAATACATGGGCCGGCAAGGGCAGCAAGGACCTCTGGATCACGGGTGTAGGCGGCGTGCAAAAGGTTCACATCAACTTGCCTGGAGGAAGGGTGAACGGCTGGCCCGAGGAACTTCTCCGAGAGGAGTAAGATACGGCGCAAGCGCAAAGACCGAAGATGCATGTACAGCATGGAAAAAGAAAGGGCACGCACAAAGGCCCGCTGCCGACTTACGCTGTAGTTTCCCCGATCTGTAGACTTGATGCTATGGCCGATCCATTTGTAATAGTAGGGCGAAGATGCTCTTAGAACTACTTCGTGTCCTCAGATCTCCTTGACCGCCAACGGTCGTGTAGGATTTGGGCGGAGCTGGGTAAAATAATTAATAAGTCGACGGATTTCAAATTGCAGACAACTTGATCTTGATGGAACGTTGAATGGCTCCACAAGTCATCGCAAATCATCGGGCCCGGCTGTCTCGGATCCGAACATTTATAATCCAACACTTGAAGCGTTCACGATACTCGCAACGACGGTTGTCGGTGCCACAGCGCCGGTTTGTAATGAGACTGGTACCATTTCCCTTTCATTATGGGGCGCCAGCAAGACAAGCAACTCCGGTAGAGTCTCTTATATTGCCTAGAGCCTCCAGGCATGTCCGAAACACCTGCTATATTAGAATCTGATTCCCATCTCCCGTCCAGTCTGAACTCTCACTCACTATTCACAACCGTTATCTTTACGAGCCAGAAGACATCGCAACCGACATGACAGAGCCTTCGCCAGTCCGTGTAGCCATAATCGGCCTTTCGGCTTCCGCCGTGACCTCATGGGCAGCCGACGCCCACCTCCCAGGTCTTCAAACCAAGACCGGCCTGGGGAAATATCGCATCGTGGCCCTATGCAACAGCAGCGTTGCGGCCGCCGAGGCGAGTATAAAAGCTTATGGTCTTCCTTCAGACACAAAAGCCTACGGTAGTCCAGAAGATCTGGCGGCCGATCCAGACATTGACTTTGTCATCTGCAACACACGCGTCGACAAGCACTACGAGACGACTCTACCCAGCATCAAGGCCGGAAAAGATGTTTACATTGAATGGCCTATCTCCTCTAACAAAGCTGAGATTGACAGCCTTGTAAAGGCAGCAGAAGAAAGCGGGTCAAGGGCATTAGTCGGGTTGCAGGGTCGATGGACGCCTGTGGTTCTGAAGATCAAGGAGATTCTAGATAGTGGCGCTGTTGGGAGGTTACTGAGCAGCGAGGTCCGAGCCTATGGAGGCTCTAAGGACAGAGAGATACTCCCCGTTGGGCTGAAGTACTTTGCCGAGCGACGTGCCGGCGGGAACCCCATCACCATTGGGTTCGGTCATGGTATGTGCTTGCTTACCACCAAGCGGAGTAGTTCTTCCCTCATCTCCGAGAGAATAGATCAGCTAACTATTCGGGCTTGCTTCATCAGTTGTCGACTTTATTCAGTCTGTCGTGGGCGAGCTCGATCCGGCCAGCACCCACACCCACTTCCAGCTTCAGCGACCCCAAGTCAAGATCCGGGATCCCAAGACTAACGAGGCCATCGAGACGATCACTTCAGACGTCCCGGATCTTCTCTCGTTGCATGGTAGGAGCCGGTTACGAAACCGAACCCCTTTTGAGCCTCGCTTTTGCTAACCGCCCACCATAGGATTCGTCTCCTCGGCAAGAACCCACCACCAACCGGCCACTCTGACCTTCCACTTCCGCCGCGGCCAACCATTCCCTGGCACTCCGTCGCTGACATGGACATTGAACGGCACCGGCGGCGAGATCCGCGTCGTCGCTCCTGCGGGCATCTCCCTGCAGGCCGATGCCTACCAAGAGCCTGTGACCATCCAAGTGCATCATTACGACACCGACAGCATCGAGGAGGTGGAATGGCAATGGAACGAGGATCAGCAAGAGGTCCCCATACGAGCTAGATCCGTCCAGGCTGTGCTCTACGCCTACGCGGATTGGAAGAGGGGAGTGAAAGAGCTTGGGACAGAACCGGCGTGGGTCGAAATTAAGGATGCGGCCCGTCGGGCTGAACAAATCGGAAGTTGGCTAGATGGCTTCCAAGTGTGATGAATAGGAACGGGGTAGCTACCGCGTGACGGTCGGAAGGGGGGCATATCCAGACGGGGGCAAAGGAAAGCCAGGGGACGGGTTTAACATTCCGGACGGCCTTGGCTCGTATTCTCGACGCGCTTGACTCACTGTGTTAATCATTTGAAGGAAAAGATTGGGAATACATATCTTCTCATATTCTCTCAAATCTAGCCTTTTACTTAACATTGATTGAAGCAACGCTAATAATCAACCTGGTGAGCTCAGGGAGTCTTTCCAACGACCATTCCCTATCTTTATTCCTCCCATCGCCGTCATCCCGTGAATCCCCGTCCGTCAGATCGCTACTCCCCGTCCCTAAATCGCCAGCATTCCCCCTAGTAAACCTCTGCACAATCTCTCCCAGTGTGGGCGGCTCTTCAATTCCATCGCTCACGGAACCTCGCCGCGCGTTTATCCACTCACTCTCGCTCTCAGCCATCCACATGGCATCGCTACTGGGGAGCCTAATGTTCTCGAACACGTCCGGTGGAAGCAGTGGCTCAAAGTACGCGGGATCCAGTGTTCTAGTCAGTCCGAGGAGTTGGTGGATGACGACGAGAAGAAATATGGTCCGTCGCAAGGACTCTTGGACGACCCAAATGTCCCAGCTTATGTCTTGGGATGCGGGGCGTGAAAGAAAAGGATGCCGCATATTCTCGTTTTCAGGTGATCGTTCTTCGAGCCTTTTCACCAGGCGCTGAGTAGCCTACGCATATCCAATTAGTGACGCATCGAACCGCAAGTCGGGAATTGCGTTGTTTGTGAAACTGAAAGAGCACTAGAAGGGTGCAAGGGTGGCATAGCACATACTCTGACTAGATACTCGTGGTGCAGTACAGCAGTCGCTAACTTGGAGCTGTATCTATTCTCCGACAAGAGGCCTTCGATCTGATAGATGCACATGGCATGCAGACGAGCACAGACTTGTTCATGGTTATCAGTCAAGGCGGGCTGTGATTTTGAAAGGCATCATTAGCACCATCTCTCCAACGGATCCATTTCTATGCCATTAAGGGATGTTTCCGAGCTAGGAGAAGCCTACCAGCTCTCTGATCAGCTTGTCTCTCTGGTCACGAAATATATCGCAAACAAACGGCAGACCAGACTGATCCGAATGGAGTTTCATGCCCACGCACGCCAGGGCCACTGCAATCGGCTCCGGCATTCCCCTCGGTGACTTCCTACAGAGTTTCTGGTGTATAAACGGTGATCGAAATGTGGTGGCCAGCATTCGCAAGGGGTACTCAGCCGTCATTTTAATCGCCTCTCCGAGCCCAATCATGCCGGGCCGCAGGACGGTTCCGCCGCAGCTAGTCGCTGACATCCTGACGAGGTCGGAGAGACTATCGGACTGGTCCTGGATTGACCTGCGTCGGCAAATCAGAGGGACGGGATCCGAAAGGCTGCTGTCGGTGGATATGGCTGATGCCGCTGGTGCCGACCTTTGACTCTGTTGTGATGGGGACGCTGATGCGTGGATGTCTTCCGATCCAGATAATGACAGGACGGTGCTAGATGGTGTCGGAGCTATGGAACTTGCCGCCGCCATAGTGCCGCGTCCCTGCTGACCTAGCTGTCTTTCCCGGTCAAACGACAAGCTAGGCACCCTGTACCTACTGTCACTAGGAGACGGTGGGTTCCCGGGCAAACCTGCCGGTTCGCCATCGCCTCGACTACTCGAGAAGAAAGAAGGACTTAAAAGATCAGACATCCAGCCACCCTCTCCGACTATGGCTGGGTCAAGGACGGGGTTGCTTTCCACGGAAAGATCGGCGCCCGTTGTTGCAATGCGACAGTTCCAGGTGCCCTCATGCCGGCCGTCTGCGCCATGGGACCCCCATAGGTAGGAATGGTCGGCAGCCGGACCCATTGGTTGGCAGGTGGACACGATGGCAGAACCGGCATTATGGTTGTCGCTACTCACCATGCGAAAGACGTTGTCCGAATCTGTGACGGAAGTCCGTAGCAGATTCTGCATGTCATCGTCGATACCCGAGTGAGTGAACGGAGCTGAAGGTCCGGGCAGAGTCGGCACGGTCCTCGGCCGCAAAGCCGGGCCGGCTGGCATCCGGATCCGGGGCTCCAATTTGTATTCGCATGTCACGGAGCGGGAGATACATCGGCCACCTAAAATTTACAATCTCAGGAGCTTAATATAACATAAAATGACGACATCATTGTGAACATAGAATGGTGATTTGAGGATACAATAGTTTTGGGGTGGCTGGGGGCGGGGGATGGAATGGGACAAGACAGACGTACAAGACGGTTTCTCGTAGCCACATTTGACCTTTGAGGCGATGCATCTCTCACATGCTTTCTTTTTCACCGACATAGCTTTTCCGATAGACTTTTCGCACCGGCGTCTATGTCGGTCCCTCAAGTCCTCTAGAGAATGTAGGGAGCAAATGTCAGTAAATCTTAAGCAGGCCGATCCCTGAAGGAATGCCCTTTGAGCGGGCCAATACGAAAGCGCTCCGATGCTGGCCGGCTCTTTGAGCTTTCAGCATCCCCGAAGCGCGACGCTAGGGTGCTTGTTTGGCTATGAGATGGACACTCACTACGGCTGAATTCTTTGAGACAGATGGGGCACATGTGCAAATCAGTCTCGGCATTTTGGAGCCCCGGAGCCATGCCCGTCCCAGTGCCGGCTAACAACGTGGCCCCTGCCATCGGGGTTCGGCGGTCCGGCTGTAATTCAAAATGAGAGCTGAAGGAGACGACCTCTCAAGGAGCCAGGGCTTCGTGTGTTCTATGGGGTGGCGGCGGATTGACGCCCCGCGACTTCGACGTCTATCTCCTAACTGTGTCTAGGCCGTCGCTGTTTAACGTAGCGCTCGTTTTATGCTTAGGCTGGGTTATCCGTGACAGCGATTGCAGTTGCAGTTTGCGGGAAGACGAAATGTTGAGCGATGCAAAAAGCGAGAAGCCAAGCCAGAAGGTGTGTTGGCTCGATACTGAGGTATGTATCAAGATAATGCCTTCTTGCCAGTAACGAGCTGCCGATAGTAATCACTACAACTGGTGGCGTGAAGCCATAGCGTCGATAGTCAAATGATCAGTCACTACGGATGGTTCCAGCATGCAAGCTTGCCGTCAACAAAACTACAGCGAGCCCAGGTAACAATTGGGAAATCTAGGTTCTCCACCACGTTGCGTCCTTCGTGACAAGGATGCAATGGAATTCTCCAGGGCACGACTAGCTGTATACTTCGGCAGCGAGCGCCGACTGACCATACATGTTTGCAGTAGATTTTCTCACGCAGGGGTTGTAAGGCGTCAGCGCCGTTTAAACCGTAGCAGGATTTATTGAGAATCTGCAGTGTACCAAGTACTCGGCATCTAGGCTTGTAAGCCCCAGCTAAACTGCGGACGAACTCTTGCCGGCAGAGTCCAAGATCGGTGTGGGTGGGGGTAGAAAGATACGATCGAAAGGCAGTGAGTCCGCCGAGGCTCCGGCAGTTCGCTCCCTGGGAACTTCTGGAATGATAAGGAATGAACACACAGGTGGGGATTCAGAGATGTGCACTTATCTGAACTATGTATAATACCTGCGTCCCGCTTTGCCCTGGGAGTGGAACCATAGGATTGGAATGGCCTTCTCCTTCTTCTTGCTCTTCTTTTTCTTCTAATTCGATACCATCATTTCCAGGGCATGTATGGTGATCCAACAATTCGCGTGTGGTGGTAGCATGCGCCCCAGGAAGATTGCATCTTCCCTACGTCTACCCCAGATCAACACTCTTCAATCCGATGAGAGGACTGACGGCGGGGCCACGGAATGCCTGATGGAGGACCGAGCAGAGACCCGCTCTGGGCTCCTGGCTCTTGGCAGCGGAGTGGGTGGCGGACACTCGGCCGAGAGTCCGGGACACGGCGCCGAAACACAGAAACGTCCATGGCGAATGCTGCAGTGTAATTAATAGAGACGAAGCTCCAGGTCCCCCCCACAAACGAGTCGAGGAGTCATTCCACGCTCGGTACCGAGGTATGTAGCTCGAAACAGAACTTCTAGATAATTAATAGTCCCAATGTCGCTGAAGCTGCGGAGGGCACAAAGCGCTACGCTGAACTAGCTTGAGCCTATCCTGAATGACCGTCATCAAAATGGCGAGTTTCCGCGCTGAGATTGCGACGTGTTGGATCTTGGAATCACTGGGAAGGACACATGACGACCACTCACCTCCGAAACAGCGGCTATTTTGGTCCGAACAGGGCATGCTCTAGTTACACTGGCTCCTCCGTAGTCAGATAGGGAATGAGAATAGGCGTCAGAGGGATGTGGCTCAATACGAAGGAATGGATATCTTTTTTCCGCTTCCTGTCCCAAGCAGCCTTTCCACTAAAATTGGGCTTCCACACAAAAAGACTCCTCTCAGGAATATCATTGACACGCCCGTATTAGAGTATGGAGTAGTTTGTGGCGCTGGAGACACTCGAGTGCCATCAGCAGCCAGGGAGTCGAGGCCTTCACCGAGAGCGAACGTCCAGACCTGCATCGCGAAACCAGGTCCATTCATCTCCGAGGTGTTACCACCAAATAGAGCATCATAACCACAATGGCGGGATTTGCAGCATTCGGTAAAGTGATGCCTTTGGTTATTTATACACCGGCGGTTTATCGGCCGTATCTATCGTGTTTATTGTCCGCTCTCAACATACACGAGTATTCCGAGGCGGCTCACCGACTCCATCTCAATCAGTAATATGACCGTGCCGTTCGGGGCTGATAATGACAAAAAGTAAGAACCCTATTTGACCCATGTGGCTACTGAACCTGACTCTCACAAACAACCTGCCATCTCCAGAAGGCTGGAGCTCCAGGATGAGGAGCTCGCCGCAGGTTCGCTGTCTTCTAACCCGGAAGGACGCGAGCCCACAGAATCCGAGAAGCGCACGCTGAGGCGAGTCAGCGACTCCATCCCCAAAGTGGCCTACGTTGTTGCCGTCGTGGAGCTCTGCGAGCGCTTCACGTACTACGGCGCTTCCGCCCTGTTTCAGAACTATGTTTCCACCCACCATGGCTTGGACCAGCCGAGGAAGACGGCCACTGCACTGTCAACGTTTTTCATCTTCTTTTCATATGGTAGGGAAAACCCATTCAGTCTATCTCTTCCCCACTCTGCTTCTGTGTGTGTATGTCTGTCTATGAGCGAGTGATCGCTCATATAAATCTATAGTGACCGCCATCTTTGGAGCCGTCGTCGCAGATCAGTACCTAGGAAGATATAAAACCATCCTTGTCTTCTCTGGCATCTACAGCGTCGGCCTCCTCATTCTCTGGTCAACGGCCCTAGCCGAGTCTCTGGGAAATCAGGGGAAACTTGCTGCCTTTGCCGTTTCCCTGACCATCATCGGCTTGGGTACTGGAGGCATCAAGTCCAATGTGGCACCTATGATCGGGGATCAGTATAAGCATCGGCCTCTGGTCACGCGAACTGATTCCAAGACGGGCGAACGTGTCATTGTAGATCCGGCCATCACGTATAATCGCATATACATTCTTTACTATGGATGTATCGAGATCGGGTCGCTTTCTAGTCTTGCTACGCCTTTTATGGAACGAGATTATGGGTTCTGGCAGCCGTTTCTCATGACGTTCCTCGTCTTCTGCGGTGAGGTTTCTCTTTTCGTTATCATTTCTTTTTTCTTTTTTCCCGACTCTCGCATACCCTTCCAAATACCTCGGTACACCTAGCTAATCCTCTCGATAGTGGCCGTCGCTGTATTTGTATGGGGCCGCAGATACTACGTGATCGAACCGCCCCGCGGCTCCGTCATCGTCAGCTGCTTCAAAGCCGTCGGCATCATGATTGCCAACCGCTCCCTCGATGCCCCCAAACCCTCCCGGCGCGCCGCGCAAGGCATCACCACCTCCGTCCCCTGGGACGACAAATTCGTCGACGAGGTCAAGCAGACGCTCAACGCTTGCAAGCTGTTCGCCTTTTACCCCGTCATCTGGATCTGCTTTTCGCAACTGTCATCGAACCTCGTCTCCCAGGCTGGCCAGATGAAACGCGGTGATGTCCCCAACGACTTTATGCGGAGTCTTGAGACTGTTACTATTCTGTTGTTTCTGCCCATCATTGACCGGGTTATCTTTCCCGTCTTGCGGCGCCATGGCATCATTCTCCGCCCTATTAAGCGTATCACCATCGGCTTTGCCTCCATCGGCCTTGGTGTCGCGTACGCCGCCATCGTCCAGCACCTCATATACAACGCAGGGCCGTGCTACGATAAACCACTGGCGTGTCCGGCGGCTAAGCAAGATGGCAAGATTCTGCCAAATGACGTCCACATTGCGGTGCAGACCCCGCTCTACGTCTTCTTCGGCCTCGCGTCGCTCTTCATCAACACGACGGGACCCGAGTACGCCTATACTCACTCGCCTCCCGGGCTGAAAAGTTTCGTTCAGAGTCTTTATCTGCTGACAGTGGCTGTTGGGAGCGCCATTGCGCTGTCCCTCGTTCCCGTCACGGGCGATCCCGACGTTTTGTGGATGTACACGGGGGTCGCTGTAGCTGTTTTTGTGATTGGTACGGCCATGTATATCCTCCTTCGACATTTGGATGCCGAGGAGGACAAGCTTTATGAGTCGAAAGATTACTAGGCTAAATCATGGCGGAGAGCCACTTGGCGACACTGGCAACAGTTGGCAAGAAGTGGATTTATGGCTGGTGAGCAAGTGGTGCGTTCCGAGGGTCCAGGCCCCGACATTCTGCCCATTCCAATATCTCACGGAGGGATTTAAAGATGCAACAACCCCCGGCACGGACAGCATCATCTCATGCTTCACGGGTTCCGAGCAAAATCCAGTCGAGGATATGGAGAATGCTTGTGCGAATGTTAGTCCAGAACGAAGCAGGGATTTGGATCAGGATTAGTGATACCGAGGAAATGCTGAGCTAAGTAATAACTGATGACAAAGAATTGGTAAATCTCTGCAGGATTTGAGTGATGATTGTACACTACGGACTGGCCTGGCCGTTACCGTCCCGTTACCGTCTCCGTTACTCTTGCCGTTATTGCCAATATCGTCTCTTGCTCTAATCCGCACACTAGTAATGAAACAAGAACAATGGTTCCTTTTCAATGGTGAGAAAATCTATAGATAGATCATGGTATGCCTAGTCGAAGATCACATCAATTGGAAGTGTTATACCGTGCTCTCCTCGCCCCACAGATTTCCCCTGGTCGAGAATATTGAGGGGTCTCGGGAGGCTGCAATTGACCACTCTTGGACGATTAAATCGACCCCTCACAGAGTCTCACTCCACCGACGGCCCCTCACAACTGCCTCGGTCAGAAAGTAACGCCCCGCGTGCCGGTTTCCCACAAAGACCACAGTTGAAACTGGCACATGTCTCGGCCCTCGCTCAACCACGCCTTCGGCTGTGGGAGACAAAGTAGCTGTACTTATACATGCGGAGTAGCGCTGCTCGACGGATTGCGAAGTCGGTAACTTCGTCTTTCCTGGTGTTTCCTTCCTCCTCCTCAGTTGTTCCGTCATCATCTAGAACCCTGACTAATGCGATGTACTGACAAGTGAATGACCACGATTTTGCGGGGGCAATCGAATTGCAGCATTTTTGGTTAACATTGACTTTTCGCTCGGCTTTTCCGACCCTTCGAAAGTCGTTGCTTCAAAGACTTGTGCCGAAATCTTGACTTTTGGCTCGATGTTCTTTGCGAGGCCGGAATCAGAATCGCAGCCGCTCACATTCTTACTCTCACAGAGTTCGAGGTCAATTCCTTACAATTGACATTTGTCCTTCATCATCCCACCCTGCCGACCGCCCTGTGCCGATCTCGAATATCTCTGTGACGGAGCACACACAGCACGGACAAATCGACACACGACCTGGTGAATAAATACCCCGGCAAGTAGGAAACATCGCGCGTGTTACCTCACTCCCAATCCATCACCATGCCGGCGCAGTCCTCTACCGAGAGCTCTGGCGCATCGAAGGAATGGCCCCAGAGCAACTCAACGGCGGAATTGCCCTCCTTCTACTCGCCACCCTCGAAGCCCACCGAGGAGACGACAACAGACAACTCCAAGGCCAACGACACCACCAAAGTTATTTCCAACTCTAATGAGCCGAACCAGATCCTCTCTCCCATCCCTACCTACGACCGAATTTCCCTAGATACCCCTGCCCCTTCGTCCACTACCACACCCGGTTCAGTCCCACCTCCACCCTCGCTTCTCTCCCCATCCTTCACCCCTCCCGCGACCCCCGGCACGCCAGCTGCCGATGGTGCGCCCCGGCTAAAGAGCGTACCCGTCGACAGCACAATCCCCAGCGGCGGCTGTGGCGCGAAACGACCTCGGCTCCTCGAGACGTTGCCGAATGTCGAATGCATCGTGCGCGCACGTATTCCCACAGTGTCCGGGTCGGAAATGTTCCTGCATCTGTACACCAATGACGTCGACAACAAAGAGCACCTAGCCATCGTTTTCGGCCCCCATATTCGAAGCCACTCGCTCGATGCACCGAGGCCTGGTGAGACCGAGATGGATCGGATGATTCGGGGCGCGTATGTCGGGAAGCTGTATCCAGGAAGGACGAGCAGTCGCCAGACCGACGAGGCATCCTCATCTTCGACCCCGGCAGGAGATCCCCCTGCGTCCGCGGGCAGTAGCACAGGCTTCGGCACGCCGTTGGTGCGCATCCACTCGGAATGCTATACCGGCGAGACGGCGTGGTCGGCGCGATGCGACTGCGGCGAGCAATTGGACGAGGCGGCGCGGCTCATGGGCCATCCCGACAACACAAGCGGCGGCATTATAATCTACCTGCGCCAGGAGGGTCGAGGCATCGGGCTCGGAGAGAAGCTGAAGGCATATAATCTCCAGGATCTCGGGTCCGACACCGTCGAGGCGAATCTCTTGCTTCGCCATCCCGCGGATGCGCGGAGCTACGGTCTGGCGACGGCGATATTGAGGGATCTTGACCAGAAGGAGATTCGGCTGCTGACGAATAACCCTGATAAGATTCGGGCTGTGGAGGGGCCGAATAGGGAGGTTGTTGTGACGGAGAGGGTGGCTATGGTTCCGTTGTCTTGGAGGGGACAGAAGGGGATTCGCAGCACCGAGGTCCAGGCGTATCTTGAGACGAAGGTGGGTGTCCTCGTACATTTCCCCTTCTCCCTTCTCCCTTCTTCCGTTTCTTTCCTCCTCCCATTGCGCGGGTCCTGACGTATTTCGATTACTGACTCCTTTTCGTTCTACAGATCAAGAAGATGGGCCACATGCTCGACTTTTAAAGGAGATGCGCCTGCCTCTCAAACATCTACATTTTATTGCTCCGTTTCGATCTCTATCAAAATATCACTCTCTTAGATTCTGTATATGCATAGAGTTTCCGTCTCTTTTTCTTGCACATGGATGGCGTTGTCTATACTGGCCGGCTGGGATTTTCGACTCAGATGATTTATTTAAATAAACATATTTTATATAACCTGCGATATTGTTGAGTAACTTATCCTAGGATCAGAAATCGCCGGTCTTCTGTCAACCTTGCCTTAGCGGGCAGCTCTTGTTGCAGTGATGGTTGGGTTGCTGATCGTGAGGGAGTTCTGGGGACTCGATTATTCTAGATCTGCGCGAGCGGGAGTTATAATATTTTTGCTGTGTCGAGAAGTGCTATGAAGATGGTTTTTTAAAATTCCAATATTTCTTTTATACTCCATAATTCTCTCTTTCCTTGAAAAAAGTGATGATGTTGTGATGTTGGGGTGGTGCCTTCTCAAAGCACTTTATCCCTGTCTGTCGCCCCTTCCCAACATCGAATTGTGGGGGAGACGCGCTAAAGACACGACTTTTGGCGACTTTTTGGATGGACCCTTCCTTTTTCCACGCCAAAAAATAGAGCTTCCTTCTGCCTTTGCCTTCCGCCACCACCACCACGACACCACGACACTACGACACTCCGCCGCAACCTTCCACGTTCCTCATCTTTGCAGACTTGATTCTCCTCTTCTTCCGTATCAACTTGATTCTGCCTGTTCCAGCTACTTCTATTCCATCTCGATCAATTCCGCTTCGACTGGTTACCACCCATCGTTTGATCACTGGGCTTCGTCCCTCACCTATCGCAGATCAATTCCTCGACCTACTTCTCAAAACTCCAGAGCTCTCCGACCCTACACCCGGCCTGCCAAGCTAAATATCCCGCGCGAAGGGGAGTCCATACTCCCCTTCCTTCAGCCAGCCAACCATGCGTCTCCGACTGGCTGTTCGCCGCCACGGCATCCCCGAGGTCAAGCTGCTGTGGACCGTTGGGCCCAGCACCGACCTAACCATCTCCAAGCTCCTAGTCGCCGTTAACGAGGTCGTACCGCTCGAGAGCGGCGAGTGGGGATTAGAAGACTACGCTGTCGAGTACAGGGACACACAAGGGGATGGGTTTGAGTGTTTGCATTTTCAGGTTGTGCGAGATATTCTGAAGGAGGATGATCAGCTACTGTGAGTGTTTGCCCCTCCCCCCTTCCACTCCTTTTTTGCCCCCTTTGCAGAATATATGCTCATTCTTTTCCCTTGGCCCCTTACAGGATTCGACCACTGCTCGAAGATGACCTACGACGACGCAGAATCAGCGGTCGCCACCAGATATCGGTCGATGGCAGACACCTCGTCGACGGAGTGGCTTTTGGACGGCCCTGGCTTAAGGCGCCTGTGAACCGACCGGCCATTGATCTACCGCCAAGGAAGCGAGCGAGAATTACCTACGATTCCGATGAGGAGTACGATGACGAGGAGGAAGATGGTGATTACGACGACTATGCTGAAGACGAAGACGAAGAAGAGTCCGATGATTTTTCTAGCCTGGAGGCGGAGGAAGATACCGAAGACGAAGACCAACTACTTCTTGAGGCGCCGGGTTCGGAATCCGTCGTTGATGAATCTACGAACGCGACGCCGCAGCCACACATACCTGGTTCCGTCAACTCACCTGGCTCGCTGAAGCGAGGTCGCGGCCTCGATTCATCACCAGTTGTGTCTAGGTCGGGATCTACGAATTCTACAACGCCGCATCGCAGCCCTCGGTTATCCACCGTTAGATTTCTCTCGCCGAAGGCACCGGAGCCTCATCATTCACGGAACCCCGCAAAGCGCCGAAAGCTAGAAAACCGACTACACACGCCTTTGAAACCTAAAGCTGGTCATGTGGTGGATACGTCCAGCCCTGCTCATGCCACCCCGGATAAGGAACCTGGAAGTTCCAAAAGCGCGGAACCGGAGCCGAATGAGCCCTGCCCTGTTGGAGCAGAAGTAAAGTCCCCTACTCCCGAAGGCCCAGTGGGTACGGCTTGCCCTGAATCTAGCTCGGATTCCGGCGACTCTACTGTCAGCTTAAGCTCACTCGCTCGTTCAAAAGATGGCGTTGAGCGACAGGAGAACAGCACTGACGGCGAGGCTCATCTCTCACCCGCTGTGAATGAGGACAAGCCGGACAAGAGTGGCTACATCGCTTTGTCTAACAGCTCCTCGGACGACGATTCTGATTCTGATAGCTCGTCTGAAGACTCCTCCGGCTCAGACGATTCGGCCAGCGATGCTCCTGACCGCGTGAATTCCGACGGTCCTGGTAACAGCTCTGATTCTGATTCTAGTTCTGACGATTCCAGCGACTCAGATTCTAGTGATTCCAGTGACGTGTCGGAGTCTTCTAGCGATGGGCCCGTTTCGGTGGAGGGAGTGGGACCACGAGACTCTGTTGCTCAGCACGAACATGGAGTAAAAGCTCAGACTAAAGCGGCCCCAGCCAAGAAATCCGAGGCCGTGGTTAAGAAAGTGCCTCTTGCTGCAACGCCGTTCGCGGCCGTCACGCCAGAAGTAACCGGTCGCGATGCTAATGCTGGTCAAGTGCACCTTACTCGGTCCCAGAAGAGAAATTTGAGGCGTCGATTGGCAAGGCTGAAGAAGGAGGAGGGGGCTGTGGGATCCGCTACTGCCACTGGTACTGCCGCCCCCGCTGATACGGGATCGGCTGAAGTAGTAGCTGAGCTTCTTAGGCGGAAGCAGGCACTCTTAGAATCCATCGGTGCCGAGAAGAGCTCTCCCGCGTCGGCCAATCCCCTGAAGAGAAAGGCGAGCGATATCGAAGAGACCCCTGCGAGGGGACCGGATTGTGATGGTACTCTAGCGACCGCGAAGACCAACGGAACGGCGGAATCTGAGGCGGCTGCTACGCGCAAGCTGCGACTCGATCTTGGGGCTGGCCGACGTCTTTTGTTTGGCGCACTGGGAGTTCGCAATCCGAAGACGAGGGAGGAAGAGGACAAGGTCCGCGATGCCTTGGCAAAAAATGTGCGACCTTTGACTACGACTCGTACAGAGGAGCAGGCGGATCTTCAAGACAAGGTGGTAGTGGAACCTCCCGAGGACGAGGACCCCGACGCTTGGAGGCGCAAGATCAACTATCGCGCTGTTGAGTGCTGCCACGAGGGTGTTGAGTTGTCCGAGCCTCCCTTCCCGTTTGTTCAGAGATGGGATCCTCAGCAACGGCCCGACGTGTGGTTTGGTGGTAATAATAAGAAAAATAAGAGGGGCGGCAAGGGAAAGAAGAAGCTTCGAAACCAAGCGCATTACTACGACGGCGGGTACGACGTTGTTGACGAGACTCAGCTCTCGTATACGGCAGCTGGTGGTGTGACGGACAGCCGAAGCCTGGTTCCTCCCCAGATGGGCGACACTGTGATGGGGGAGGCTACTGACGTACCAAGGCCTACTACGCCGCAAGACAAGAATGCCAATGCCACAGCCGATGCGACCGAAGATGTTCCGGAGAGTCGAGACGATTTGCCAGTTTTACCCGATGACTTGTCGACTCTTGCGCCTCTCCTCCCGGGAGCGGCCACACCGGGAATGGTGATTACTTGGAAGAAGTGGCTTCTCTCCAAGGCGACACAGTGGCAGCCCCAGGTTAGTAACGTTACGGCTGTTGTCGCTAAGGTTGACGATGCCGATGCAAACACATTGAAAGTATTCCTCGCCAAACGAGATCGTGCACTCGACAAGCCGGAGAAGGACTACGATCCAGAGACGGGCGAACGAGTCTACGACGGATTCGAGGCTCCAGACACTGATGAGGATGAGCAAGGAGATGGAGGCGAAGATGACGGCGAGCGAAATGTGACGTTTGCGGAGATGATGGATCCCCGTGTAGTCCAGCCAGCGCTTCCGTCGGCAGCGGTGTTTGGAAGCGGTTTTGCGGGACAGGTCCCAGATGAGGACGGCGTGGGCTATTTGCAAGATTCCATCGAGAGTCAGGGCGGGGATGTCGCGGACAGCAACGAGGTCATGGGCGATGCTACGGAGCCAATGTCTCTCGACCTACAGGTTCCGTTTTCCGACCCGGTCGAAAGCGTGGGCTTGCCCGGGTCGTCTCCAGCCAGGGCCAGGGCCAGGGAACTCCCGCCTAGCAACCAACTACCGCAGATGAGCGGGGAAAACACCAGTTCTCTCAGGGTGCCCGTTACCGAATACCCGTCGCAGAATACGACTTCTCTTGATGCTTTAGGCAATTTGTCGGTGGCCGGCAGCGTGGCTAGTGGACGAGGCCAGGTGGATCCGAACTTTGTCGGCGTCGAGTCGTATGATTCTCAAGAGGATGCCATTCCTGACTCGGCGGTTGCTCTCGAAGGCGACGCGGCGACCGAGCAGAGCGGCCCGAAGGAGAAGAACGACGGCAAGGTGCGGCCCCTTTCCAAGTTGGTCTCATCCAGTCAACCGGTTCTCCCCTCGTCCTCTGCAGGTCAACGTTCTGCGGCTGTACCTGCGCCTCAAACGCCAAAGAGTTCTCCCGAAGCACCCGGCCGTGTCTTGCGCGCCAAGGAGACGATTCGGCTGCCCGGCTCCGAGGCTAGCTTCTTTGATGGCGAGCAGGCCGAGCTAGCGCGCGAAAAGTCGGCCAAGATGCGAAAGAATGAGATGCTGAAGAACTTGAGCGCTTCGACCAGGAAGAATACGAGCGCGCGTCGCCTAGAGGAGACGGTTGTCGGTGGTTCTCCGAATAACAACAACAACAACGTGCAACGGCGGATCTTTTCGTCATCGCAGAGCAGTGCAGTTCCGAAGATTGTCAAGATGGAGAAGCTTGACTTGTCTGAGCGTGCGGCGTCCCTTTCGCAGATCGATAGCCGCACTAACGCGGTGGTCTGGGGCGGAGGCAAGAAGAATGCGTCGAGGAAGAATAAGGTGGCTGTCGAGAAGGATGTGTTTGAGGTACCGGCTGGTTCGCAGGTGATTGATTTGACGAGCGATGGTGAGGGAGCTGCCGAGCTTGGTGGCAAACAAGCTACGCAAGGTACGCAGGGGAGCGGTGGACTGACGGAGGGGATTCCGAATGGCGGAGGATGGGTGCCGAAGAAGAAGAAGGAGAGGAAGACGAAGGCGAGGGTTTGAGTGAGGTGTCAGGGGTGTGCAGGTGTGCATGTGTGCGTCTTGTCGGGATGGAAGGGAGAGTTTCCTCAGGGAGCACACTGTGTTTCTCCAGAGATTGGTTTTGGTGATCAAAGGGATGTTTTAATTTGTATTATTCTACGGTAATAGGTTCTGGTGCATAGCATTGGCATCTCATCACTTGAAGGCGTTTGGCGGATGGTTGGTCGTGGATGGCATATCTGGATTGGAAGTCCAGTTTCATAGCAGACAGACAGGCTTGCTCAAATAATGGTACTCGGTACATGACTTTACGTTTCAAAATAGTTGTGGGGAGATGTCTACTGTACTTTTCATACTCTTCTCTCCCAGAAGATGTCTCTCTTTAATTGTTTTCACAGCTGCCTACAGTTGCCTCAGGCAACAGCGTCTAGAGAATGTCGTCGGGCCACTGATCGATCTCCGATTGATCTCATCATGCAATGTCTGAAAGCCAAAGCTTCATAGATTTCAGACCGACAGTGACGGGTCTCTTGGGTTCAATCAAGTCTCTCGTCCAAAACCCAGGATCCCGAAACCCGCATCTGTGCCTTGCCCACGAAACGATCAAGCCCTACCCGCCCGTTTCCCTTCCAACCTCTAGACCCTTGGCCATCCATCCATCCCATCCAGATGGGGTCGTCTGGCTCTCCGCGTCCGTCGCCCTCGACCCGCGTCTGTCGCCGCCAGGTAACCGAAAAATCAATTGGCTGAGACGCGCCCATTCCACCACCGCCGCCCATTCCCAGACAAGCACCGCGCCCACCCACGTCACCGGTGCTTTTGAAACCGCGTTTTGTGCGTGCAGGCTCATTCCGCAATTCGTAGGCTCCCAGTAAATTGTTTTTGCCAAAGTGACTGTATTTCCCGTGTCTGCCGGTCCCTGCAGGACAGTATCCTTCACGATGCCCGATTCAACTCGTAATATTGTAGATGGGCCCATGTAGCCAGATAGTTTTATTTAAATCGGGCTCTTTTCCTTCGCCACGTTGCTGTGTCTTGTTGGATCAGTTCAAGTCGTTCGGTTTTTTTTGTCTTTCTTGTTTTCCAGATCTTCCAGTCAGGAAGCTTCTCTCTCTCGTCGTCGTCCAAGTCCAGTTTCGATACCCACACTCTTTTTTTTTTTTTTTTGCCCAAGTCCAAGTCGGTTACAACTTACTACGAAATACATTAATACGCTGCTGGTCCAAGTCTCTGGACTTTGTCTTTCTCTATTCCCTCCTTGGGAACTTGTCGACTCCCTGTTGCTGCTGCCGAGAATACCACGTTTGGTTGCTATTTACTTGCTTCCTTTACTATTATTTTTTTTTTATTATTTTTATTGTTTCGCTCGAGTCTCGAGTCTTGATATACCCCGGCCCTCTGGTCCCCAAGTCTGTTTATACCACATTCATTTTCACTCTCTCCATCCACGACAACATCAACAATGGACCACTCCGACTTCATCGCCTTCCTCGTGCCCTCCTACGGCAACGCTCTGGCAATGCAGGCCATCCAGATGCCCCAAAACAAACCCCTCCACACAACCTCCCTCCCCGACCTCATCCCCTCATCCCTCACCTCCTTCGCCTCTTCCACCTCTACCATAAACAACAACAACCATCCCTTCACGAACACAACTACCGGCGGCCCCGCCCTCCAGCTCCGCTTCTCCCACACCCCCAAAACCCACCACGGCTTCCTCATCGGCACCGACCCCACAACCTGCGACATCGTCCTCCCCAAACTGCCCGGAATCAGCCGCCGCCACTGCCTCCTCACCTTCGACTCCGAATCACGCCTTGTCCTCCGCGACACCTCCAAGAACGGCACCGCGGTGTGGTACGATCACCGGAGCAACGGCGACCGACGCGGCGCGGAGTGGGTTCTCAGCAGCGGGGGCAACTACGGGTTTCCCGATCAGGTGAGGAGGGTAGTTATTGATATCCAGACCGTGAGGTTTCAAATTATTGTGAATGCGCCGCTGTTGGATGTGGATGGGTATGTGAGGCGGGTGGATGATTTTCTTGTTGGGCTTGCGGAGAGGAGGGAGGTTGCCATGGGGGAGGAGGTTGGGTTCGCGGCGCCTCTGTTTGGGGGCGGGAGGGGAGATAACAATGGCAGCAGAGGAGCTGAGAGGACGAGGTATGTTAAGTATACCGTCCAGGCGGAGGATGGGATGGCGGCGCAGACGTTCCTTTGGAATACGGCGAGGCCGTGGGACCCTATCATTCCGGTTAGCGAGTAGCAGTGGTGGTAGTTGTGGGGGGGTCTTTGGTTTGTTCCTCGCTCATCTGGTCGGTCTTTTGCTGAGCTGGTTCTATTGGTTTCTGGTTGGAAAGGCGTTTTTCAAATGGGTTTTTGCTTCTGTAATTTGTTGGAGTTATCACCCCTCGGTCTGTCTCTCTTTTTCACTCTTTTCTTCTGTTTATTCCCACCTCTCTCTTTTTTTCCTTCCTGCTGGCAGTTTATACTTGGGAAAGTTCGGAATGGTTTCTTTGTTTGACGAAATTGGATACCGCTCTTTTGAAACAAGATTGAATCGGTCTTTGCAACGGTCTCTGGTGCTTCGGGAGGATGGTTCGGTTCGCTGGTATCTTGGTTTTTCCCTGTTCGGATGTGTAGTCAGTGATTCAGGAGAAGGAAACGGTCCAATGCAATTGCGACGCTCACACTCGAGCTCGATAACCCCCCTTCGTTCAAATTGACCTCTATTCGCTCCTTACTCTTGTTCTGAACCCGGGAACCCGGCGTCTGTCTCGTTATCGCCGTCATCGTCGCAACGAAATGGTCGAGAGAGAAGAAGCGCGAGAAATGTTCGACTCGAATTGGCCCCAAAGCCAGTCTATTGAAGTTCCATTTCACACAAGGCAACAAAGGAATTGTTACAAGGGGAGGTTAAAGAATCCGTATGAAACCTCGGGAGACCATATACACAGGGGAAATGACTGTTCCCCTCAAGACCATATCCCCTCCCACCCTTTTATCGTATTCCCCCGCATCGTCTAGTTGCTCCTCGCACCGCCCTTCGCCGCGCGTAGCTCGTCCATCTTGGCGACTCGCTTCTGGAACTCTTCGTACTGGCACTTTTCGTAGCTGTGCCTCTCGTCCTACACTCGCAGAGATCCCAATGTGGTCAGTATCGCTCTCGGCTCGATATCTCGTTTCGCCGACGGGCCCGTCAAGAGATGAAAAGAGAAGGGAAGGGAGGATCGAGGCTCACTGTGCACTTCCACGGCAGGTAGTAGGTGTCGTATCGGCATCGGTTCAGAGGAATGAGGAGGTGGGCGCAGCTGTCACGGTAGGCGATGGGGAGCTTGGCATCCCGCATCTCCTCGCGAGTCGCCACTAGAGAAAAACAATATCGTCAGTAACGGGCCAGCAAGTGTCGTTCTCTCTGTTCAATTTCGGGGGAGGCATTGGTGGGGAGGTGAGTTGTTTGCGTCGGTGAGTGATCAATTCGACAGCGTGCCGAGCCGGGGAAAGGCGGAATGGGGACGATACGTACGCCTGGGGGCTTGGGTAGAGGATTCCGACGTCATTTCGTTGTAGTTTTCGAGTCCAATTGGGAGGGAATTGGAGGGTTCGAGGTGCGGCAGTTCAGGTGTCGTTTCTTTTGAGAATGCGGAATTTCGGAATCGATGCTGAAGATGCTGAGATGCTGGGATTGTGCCGTCCCTGATTGGCTGGTTTGATAGTTTTGACGCCTTGTTTTCGAGGCATTGCTTTTTGAATGACAAGGCAAACAATTTCACTCCTCCTGGTTTTAACATCACCAGTTCGAATTCCAGCTTCACATTAAAAAGATTGGATTTTTTTTTTTTTCTCAATTAACAAAAAATAACTTTTCCGCCCTTATAACCCCGTCGGGTTACTCGCGCGCCTGCAGAACCACCCTGGAATCACCCTACGGGATGGGGATCTTCTTTTTCGAAAAACAGGTATTTCTTTACTCGATCCCTGGGCACCGGCGGCCGCTGGGAGGATCGGCCCCTAAAGTTTTCCCCCTCGCCAGGGTTCGAACAGTGGTTCCTGCTCCCCCGAGCTTCCTCGCTGCGTCGTCTGACAATCGAGCCATCTGCTGCTGGTGATGATCCGGGGGCTTATTGTCACATATAACACATAAGCAAGTGCTTGTTTTGAGGGGCTCGTGGATTGGGAAGGAGCGGAGGGATGGGAAGGGGTGGGTGGTGAGAAGGAAGGTGCGGCCTGGTGGTGGACGGGTTACTGCTGAGAGGGAAGAACGTCGGACTGAGGTGGTGTGTGATATGGCTTAATTCCCACTACGAGCTGCTTAATAGAACATCGAGATATCAGCCGTCAAGAATACCACGCTCGAGGTTCTAGGGATGGAGTGATGGTGTCAATGATCTTGCCTCATTGAAGCCTCACGGTACACCGCTGAGCCCTGCGAGAACGTGATACTCGGAGCAATGGTAGGTCGGATTGTCCCATGATCCCCTAGAGGCCCTCTCCACTTTCCACGAACGAACACCTAGAAGAGCCTCAAAAGACTCGATAACCGAAGCACATACTGCAACCTCCCAGTCTCCGCCCATGAGGGGAGGCGATGGGTCAGACGAAAGCTAGACGTCGAGGAGCCTTATGAGCATAGCTGACTTACAAGGAGAGAATGCCTTAACACGCTTCGAGGAGCGTAAAACGTTCCACCGACCCCGTATCCATAACGCCTAGGAGGAGATTCGCCTCCCACGCGTCCTTATCCCCATTGAACTGTGGGCGAGTGATCGGCTCCCCAAAGAGCTCGGTATGGTTAACTTACCGCAACTCTTTTCTGGGCGAGACTCGAGGCACTGTTCCTGAAGCGTTTGGCTGCCGACGACGCATTCGGACGCAGTGATCCTGGGCCCCGTTGCCAAGGTTCGCTCGGCAGCTTAAGCCTGGGTTGTTTCATTCGTATCATACTTTATACATCTTTTCTATTTTCTTCCCACTGACTCCTTTGTGATATAACTACGCGGTGTACTGCCAGAAGCTGTGTTTCGAATGCAACTGTATGTCGAGTTCTTGGAGCAGAGGCCTGAACTGCCTCGATCTGTTTTGAATGAAGTCTATGACTTGATAGCCGCAAGCATCGAGATTAAGAGTCACACAATTGATGCCTTACTGTTTCCATATTTCCTAGAACCAGGTCTCTCGCTCTTACTGTGCTCGCTCGTCGCCCTCGTTTCGCCATGCCATGCCTCCAGTGCTCCCAATCGCCAATTCAATCAAACAATGCAAAATTACGATGAATAAATAACTCCTGGTCACCATAATTCATATGTCTTCCTTCCCGTCCTGCTCCTTCTCCTCCCAGGGCAGCACGACAAGTGAATCTTTCTCTCCGCCCTCCCCATCAAAAGTCGCCATCGAATCCAGACACAAATCCAATCCACCGACCTCCTCCACAAAATCCTCCTGCCCAAACTCCTCCTTTCCAAACACCTCCTTTCCAAGCTCCTCCTCTCCGCCCTCATGCCCCTCCTCCGAAGGTCTCGCAGCCCCATAGTCCGGAGGCGGCGCCCCAATGCTGAACCGCCCCCGAACCGCGGTCGTCTCCTTTCCCAAGTCAAGGGCCGTGGGATCGTACCTGCTCGAGAACCACCCGCGCCGGGAACACCCAGAATACTCGATAGCGAAGACCTTTAGCCCCGAAACCGTCCCAGAGATCCCAGAAGCTTTCTCGACGCGCCTCCCGCCTTCAATCTCTCCAACTTTTTGGCCTGCGGCGAGGGCGGCGGCCGGGATTGCGGCGGCGAGTTCGCCCGGAACGGTGACTTGGACTGTGACTTTTCGATCCTCGTTCGACGCGGCATCTGTACCGGTGCTGGCATCCATAGCAACCAGAATCCCCGTCACGAAATACAGTTTCTTAGGAGACCGCTTCTTCATCATCTTGCGGATTTCGACGACGGCCCGCTCATCGGCAATCACAGCCTCGAACGCATCTTCGATCCGCTGAAGCCGTCGCCGCTGAATCAACTTGGAGCTAAGAGTATAGCTCCCCTGCTTCTCCCTCGTCGCATCGTACATGAGGGCATCGTGGAAAGCGGCCCTGAGCGACGAGCTGTGGAGTTTGTTCGCGTAGACGTCTGCTCGGACGATGTCGAGTTTCTCGTCGAGGAAGGGCTTGATGATGCGGGTTGGTTCCTTGGGCGCGAAGGAGTGTTTGAGGGGGTTATAGGGGTCGATGACGAGGCGGCCGAGGATCTTGTTGGCTTCTTCTTCGCCGGGTTGGTTTAGGATATCGAGGAGGAGGTAAGGCATGTCTGCGGCGCTTCGGAACAGGGAGTCGGAGTTTGAGTCCCTTGTTGTCACTGTTTCAAGTCGAGAGGAGTTTGATGCGGCAATAGATTGAACACCTTGCGGCTCCACTGGCCCTAAGGGTCTCTGTCGTCTTCTTTGCAGGTGGAAGGAAAAGTTGTGGCGTTTCCAATCCGTACCTGCACCAGTCTCGAATCCCGACCCCAGCGCTGCTGCCGCGCATGAGACGGCGAAGCCCCGGTGCCTTCCTGCGACGTAGCCGACGACCTCACAGTCTCTCAATCAGAAGCTGCGATTGGAGAACTTCAAACCCCTAGGAAGGAAACGGTCTAAGAGGGGGCAGCACGGAGCAGCGGCCAAAATTTATACGATATTGAAACCCTCACGTTAGGCGTTTTGTAGACAATGGGAGGTCTAGGAGGCGTCAATTGACATGAGCAATCGTCGCCTTTGAGATCGGAACAGACGAAAAACCCCATTCCCTCCCCGAATGGCGATTTTTATATTCGAGGTCTTCTTCACTGCCCAGTCTATCAAACATGAAAATTCCGTCATACGACAGCGCCTCTTCGTGGGGACCGTTCGGGTCGTATGATCGCGTGTTCGCTGCATCAATAGTTTGCGGGCAAAATTGCAAAACCCCTTCGCCCCGTCGAGTCGCGAAGGCGTCCAGATTCATGTCTCACCACAGGCGGGCCGGGCCGACAAGAGGGCTGTTTTATATCCCCAACGGCTCACAGAACCTGACTTGTCGCAAGAATTGGGGTACCTTTCGTCCTGAAATGAGTGAATCAGACTCGATTTAACCGCATAGGCTAGGATTTCTCAACGCCTCCAGCTGGTTTGGACCATTTAAACCACACTGTCACAGATTCTGCTTCCTTTTGGATTTGCGAGAGCAGGTAGAGTAAGATGGTAACCTTCGATTGGGCGAGATGAGAGTCTCCTGTGAGCTTACCTTTGGTTTCCGGCTCGCCCCTCGATGCTTAATCCCAACTTCTGCATCATCGCAGGGAGTGCTTAGTAGGAGAATCATTTCCAAGTTCGGACTGGGTCTCTCCTCACGGTTGGAGGAGGCACCCGTGGGCCGTCCTCTTTCTCGTCTATACACCTGATGTCCCGCAATCATTCTCTAACCTGCGGGAGGCTCTCTTCGGGTTCATCACATGCACTACCTGGCCCTTTTTCTCTCCACGTTCTCTGGATCATGCTTCCGCCATCTGTCCAGGCACCGGTTGACGTGAGATGGCACGAATCACTAAGACTATATCGAAGGAGTGGACGAAATACATCTGATTGGGACTGGAACCGTTCGGGAATCTAATATTATATATAGCGAAGTTCGGAGTGTCTACCCACTCTCCAGAAGGTATTCAATGTTGCGCACGATGCAAAGTATGTCCACAAACACAGGCAAGTAAACACGCTCTTACTCTCCACGAAATGAAAATGTCCCCCATGAAAACACGAGATTCTTCTCCTTATGCCTCGTCAATGATGATATCGGCAGCAATCTCCGCAATACCATAAATGGCAGTCTGGATATGAGCGGAAATAAGCAGAGGAATAACACTAGCATCGACAACCCTCAGGTTATCGGTGCCGTAAACCTTGAGCTTAGGATCAACAACACCGCCGTCAGCCTTGGGAAGCATTGAGCAAGTGCCGACGGGGTGGAAGATGCTAAGGGCGGTGCTGAGCGCAAAAGCCTTCCACTGCTCATCGGAGCCATCGACGACATCGAAGCCGGGCTCATACTCGTTATCCCAAAGGGAAGCCATGGGCTCAGTAGTGGCAGCGCGACGGCAGTACTTGACGGCCTCGACGATGGCCTGGAGATCGTGGGGGTTGTTGAAGAAGTTGGGATTGATGACGGGGTTAGCAGTGGCGCTGGGGTTGGCGGTGTTGATGTGGATGCTGCCGCGGGCGAGGGGGTGCATGAGGCCCGCGATGAGGGTGAAGAATTGCTGGCCGAAGAGGGGAGAGGTGGCGGCGGGGTATCCCTTGACGCCGGTGTAGCCGTCGGAGAAGATGAGCTCGAGCTGGGGGATGGTGGAGTCGGAGAGGAAATCAATCTTCTTCTGCGTGACGGGATGCGGGTCAGCAGCGGCGGCAGCCTGAGCGCGGGCACGGATATCGGTGCCGTTGTCAGCGAGGACCTGGTCCCAGTTCATAAAGGCGTAGCCGGAACCCGTGTACATGTAGTGGGAGCGTTGACCGGCGAGCCACAGCGCAAGGTGCTCAGCGGCGTAGGAAGAATTGGCGCGGAAGTTATCAAAGGAGATGTATCCCGGCTTGAGCTGGTACGAGGTCTGGATGCGCAGGTGATCCTGGAGGTTCTCTCCCACACCGGGGAGGTCAACGAGCTGCTTAATCTTGGCGGCCTTTAGGACCTTAGAGGAACCGATACCAGAAAGTTCGAGGAGCACGGGGGACTGGACGGAGCCGGCCGAGAGGATGACCTCCTTGTTGGCGCGGACGACGGTGCCGTCGAGGAGCGTGACGCCCGTGGCGCGCTGCTTCTTTCCGGACTTGGCGAGGTTGACCTTGGCGACGGTGGTGTCGGTGACGACGTGGAGGTTGGACCCCGCGATGGGCAGGTAGGCGTTGGCAGAGTATGACCTGTTCCAGGGGACCGGGTCGATGCTGCTAGGCTGGAACATGACGCCGAGAGGATCGCCGCCCAACGACTCGAGGTTGGACGACACGCCCAGGCCATTGAGAGTTGGGATGAACGTGTCCTGCTGCACGGGCACGAATCTGTTCACAACGGCCTGCACGGGCCCGCTGTCTCCCACGCCCTCGCTACCATACGTCTCCGTGTTCTTTCCCGTAAACGTCTCCGACTTCTTCATCGCCTCAATCATCGAGTCCCAGTTCCACCCGGGATTTCCCAGCTCCTCCCACGCGTCATACTCAGCGGCAGCGGCGCGGTCGTACGACATCAAGTTGAGAGCCGAAGACCCGCCGAGAACGCGACCGCGGTTGTAGCTGAACACGCGGTTGTTGACGGAGGGCTGGGCCACGGAGGTGAAGTTCCAGTCGTACACGGTGCCGAGGGTGGTGCCGCGCATGCCGGGGATGTTGATGCGGAGCTCATCGGGGGCGGCGGGCCCGGCCTCGAGGAGGAGGATGCGCGCGTCGGGGAGGCCTGAGCTGAGGCGGGCGGCGACGGCTACGCCGGCTGTACCGCCTCCGACGACGATCTGTTTAGGTTGGTGTTAGTCGGGGGCTTTTGTTTGCTTCATTGGTGCGTGGTTCTTCAAGAGCGGGAGGACGGGAGGACGGGAATTAAAGGTAGAGCACGAGCAAGCTTCGGTTCAGTGAACTCTATGCTTTGCGTGGGGGGAGACGGGGAAAAAGAGAGCGTCATCGCACAGCAAATTGTGGTTGGGAAACTCGACGCGATGGTGGGAGTGAGAGAGTCAAATCCCGAGGCAGAAAAAGGTTAAAACATACATAGTCATATACATCGTCACACTTCTTCTTCGGCTTAGCCAAGACGGCAGCCGATAAGGCTAGAATGAGACCGAGCTTCATGTTTGCCTCTTATACTTTAAACGGGCGAGAACCAGATTGTCGGGAGAAGGTGGATGGACGGATTCCTCCGCTGATTGGAAGCAACACAGGCAAAAAGAAGGTTTTAAGGGAATGTGATTCAGCCAGAAAGAGAGAGAAGCGAATGTATTGGCTGGACTGAAGAGATACCGTGAAGATAAAAAAGAAAAAGGCTCGAAGAAAAGCGGGAGGAGATGGAGGGGATATAGAAGTAGGAAATAAGGGAGGGTAGGAAGCTATGGAGGGCTCTGAATGGATTAGGGAAGGGGGATAGGGGAAATCAATGGCCTGGAGCTATTGACCTTGAAGCATAATTACGAATATTGAACAAGGCTTCAATGTAGTTTTTACAGGCTTCAAGGAGCTCTCACTTTCCAAGACCGGCGGGCTCAGGGCGGCAGTTACGGAGTGGGTTGTTAGTTAGCTTGGTGAAGGGACAATGGAAGGAGAGACAGGTCCGCAGCAGCTTGGGGGGCTGTGAGATATAGAATGAAAATGCTACGCTACGTCCATAATGGGCAGATATGATGCTGTTGGCTTGCTGGGGGGAATGGCCCCAAACAAGAAACTCTCCGTCCGCTCTTCATGGTCCGCTGTCTTACTTCGCTAGAGCAGCTAATGGCTTCGGGAAGCCAGGCGGCTAAGGCGGAGGAAAACGAGGATAAGCTCTGATGGTAAAGGACGAAATAAAACACGAGCCGGGGGGAGTGTAGAGGCCGCACTTTACAGTCGACGCTAATACTTCGAAGGGGAATTTGCATGGAACGAGAAAGTGGGAAGGAAGTAACAGGTAATATAAGCATTGGCCTGGCCCAGTCCTCTTTTGGTCTTACATCGAAAGAGAAGAGGAATCGAGTGAGGGGGGAGCAGCATCATGGACGAAGGAGCTTACTTCGCAGAAAATGATAGAACAAAGAAGACCCAATTTCAATGCTAAGGTAGTAGCCGCAGGTTTGCGGGGTCCAGGGGGAGAACAGACAGGAGTGTCCGGAAGATGCGGGAATATTTGAGAGGAAAAGCCAAGAGGGAACGAGGGAACGCGGAGGGACCTTTGTGGGGGAGCACTGGGCTTGGGTTGTATTATTGGAGGACCGAACACGGCCCACTGCTTGACCTGGAAGGTGTCTACGACCTGTATTATTCTTACGGGTATGCTGAAGCACAGGAATGTATGTGCGAAGTCTGTCGGGGGAGGGCGGCAAGACGGGAATCTTCAAGCGCAAGTTCAGAGAATAGGACCTGTTTCTCAGCTTTTGCACATTCTTGGTTGACGGCTTGCGCGACACAGGATGTGGGGGGCTCGAGCTAAGAAGAATAGGGATAGTTCGCATGCTTTGCCTGTTAGGCAGACCGTAGAGTTCTTGGGGGCGACGACGGTGGGGGAAGGGAAAGAGAAGGGAAACGCAGGGGAAAACGAAAGAAGGAGATCGTTTGACAGGATCCATGGTTGAGCCAGATGAAGGGAGGCGGGGACTGACATGCAGAGACTGGGAGATTCCCTGCAGGAGATTATAAGGAATGGCTAGATAGACGGCATAGCAAGGACTTTCTGGTCTTGGCGAGTCAAGCACCGCAGAGTAAGACATGAGCGGAGTCGCAATGGACATTGATCCTACCCAGACGAGTCGTGAATACTTTGTGCGAGTAATTTAGAACCCGCAAGAGAGAACAGAAAGAATAGGATTCCTTCGTACAACTGGTCAGAGTTACGCGGTCCATGTATGGAATATGTATACGAAGTATGCATGTACGTATTACGAGGTGATCTGTGTTCCCCTCTCCAGTTCTCCAGTCCCCTGGAATTCTTCTTGGAGAATCCTTGATTTGTGAGATGCAGATGCGAGATCCTTGGCGTCGGGAATAGCGGCTGAGATTTCACTCCCTTGTCCCTGTCGACCAGGATAGGGTCGTATTGAGACGGAGAAAGATATTGACACCATTCCTTCAAGTCCACATCCTGCCCTGAGCGACCTTGCACCTCATTTCCCCTCATCCCTCTGGCAAACCAGCACCGAAACTGTCTCCAACAAACATCGCCTAAAATACCTTAAACACGCTAAGCTGGCGTCAACCTCTTCCCACAAGGGAAGATCCGCTATTGGCGGATCTTCGGAGTTAACGTGGGATCCTCCCTTCAGCCCTGCTGAGAAAGAAAGTTTTCACTCGTCCGTCCCGGGGAACTTGATGATGCGCCCGGATGCGCTAGTCGCCCTAAAGGGGGGGACGGCTCAACACTATTGAAAATGTATTGCATAGAGGCAATTGAGGCCGCCGTGTTCCTCGACTCCTTTATGCTTCTTGGTGAACAAGCTTTTCGGCGGGTCTTCCTAAGATGATGTCAAAAGCGGGGAGGGAGGCGATATTGAATGGGAATCTGGAGTAGACAAGATGAAGAGACGAGTGCATTCGAGGTCTCGCAGGCCAAGGGGCGGCAGTGTCGAAGTTGTGGTGCCAGAAGATTTGCATGGAGATGAGAAGAGTGATTCACGACAAAGTATGCAGCCGACCTTCCTTTCACAGCGAAATGCCAAGCTTCTAGGATTTTCAATTGATTCAATTGATTCCTTTCCCCTCGTTGTGTGCTCTGCTGCAGTGCAGCCCTGCATTACATGATTCTGATGGCAGCGTAGCAGTCTGGTTCGGAAGAGCTGCCCTGGAACCGATGACAGGGCCTGGATAGGGCATGGATACACTTGACAGTGACAGGGATCGGGCATGGATTGAGCCCGTGTCTGGCTAAAATGGAAGGATTCCGATCTTATACTTCAGAATGTATGAAGCAGGGGGGCCAAGCTGTGTAATTTCCCGCAATGCGCCGCCATGACGACGCGAATCCCCTGAAGAGATCCTTTCCATTGTCAGCGTTGCGCCGAGAATTTGGCGAGCCAGCCAGCCAGCCAGCTATTGTTCTTGCGAGAGAGCTGCTTGTCCAGGACTAGCGCTATTCGGAGCCGACCGAAACTCTATTAAATGGGCCAGGCATAAAGTAGCGTATACTACAAAGAATGATCGAGTCAGAAATCAAAGCGAAATGAGAGAATGGTACATCAGTATGAAGCTGGCTCATCCTGATCAAACCTCCGAAGGATCCGGACTAGAGCTGGAGCCAGAGGCGAACGTCCGTCGTCCCCCGTGGAATAAGCTATAAACTTTGTTGCCTCGTCCGCTATAACTCGGACGACGCAATGATGCTAACCAGCACGATTGATGATATCGACTAATGTTAGGGTTAGGCAGTTTAGCAGAGGCTACTAAGATAGTGGTGGCCAATGTGATGCGATACCGACCGGGCACTAGGCAATGCCATCTTGATCTTGTGGTTAAAATCCCGGACATGTCTCCACCCTCGATATGACCGGTGGATTCGTGGGACGGTACAAAGTACATTACTCGAAGTAGAAACCAACAACCGAGACAGAGAAGAAGGTGAAGTTGCTTTGTACGAAGTGTGCAGCTTCCGAGGTGAGATGTACGGGCTTTCGCTACCTTTTCGGACACCGAATCTCGACACTTGACTGCGATTCCTTTGACCGTCGAGTGGCTTCGAGTACTATTTTTTTTTTGTCCTCCTTGTCGTCGCTCAACAGGGTCCGTTGGAAGCCTCCAATGTGCCGGAGGCATCCAAGTACGACCAGACTCCACAGTGTATCATCTATACTACCAAGGTTATGAATTGATGCCCCCAACTCCGACATTGCCTCAAGACATCGAAGGATCAACTACTTTGTAGTATCACTGATGAAGCCGATGAAGGAGGCCGTGTGTCCTCGGATCCTGTGCTGTACCTTGCAGGTTTTCCATCGCGCCATGTTTACTCATGGACATTGCAAGGGACCCCGCGGAAGATGGTACACGCAGCCGGACCAGCGGGAGAAGGAAAAGAATGGAATGAATGGAATGAAGAAGAGAATAATCGGAAATGGGGGAGGGGGGTAGTCCTTGTGGTCTAGAACGCAGAAAGAGAAAGCCTGGGAAAGAAGAATGGGGTTAAAAATACAAAAGAAAAGACAAAGGGATTAATTCGTCGATCACATAGAACATTCTCTTTGAGAAGCATCGCATGCATCTTTTAAGGTTCTTTTATTTACAGTCTCTTCAAGTTACACGCTTGCCGGATTCCGATCCATCTACTCTCTTGCATTTGTCGATCGTTGATAATCGATGATCGTCCCTCCACAAGGCAGTCTAGTCCGGGGCGATCCAAATAGACTTTGGACTAGTCGCGTACAAAGGTTAAACTGCACTACATAGAGACGTGGCCGAGAAGAAACGAGAGATAAGAAAACTTGCTCTTGTTGGGGCCAGACAGGGACGACAGAAACACTGAGGTATTTCTCCCACTTACACCCTAGCTAAGGGCATGGGACGATTAGATCCATGTCGACTTGCATCTGGGTAGCGTCCCAATGCGCAATCCTTTCTCTCTCCTGGTCCACACCGGTGAGAAATTAAGCTGCCACGCGGACCATCCATTCGCCAATGTCGCTTGTGTCCTGTCTCCGTTCCACGCAAATTGACCTTCAGTGACCACTAAAACAACAATGCTCACGACTAGTTTCTCTGCTTCACGCTTTGTGTGAGTAGACTACGTCCGGGGCACGCGGCTTTCCGAAGCGAGACTCGAATAGGCCAAGCTGTTTGACTAGTCTATGCCCTTCTCTCTCTAGTCCTGGGCCAAGAACCCAAGGGCCCAGCTGCCCTACGAAAGGATCTCGTACTTCGTAAATTGCCCTATAATTCCTGCGACACTATTACGATAAGTGTCCAGGTACTTCGACTTCGAAGTTTACTTTGATACACCGGCTGGACCGCATTATAGTCTATTCTCCCGCTCCCGCTGGCAAAAGTGACGCCACACCTGGAATCCTGCCCGTCGAGATCGACGGCCGAACATCCGTTTCTGTTTATACCATTAACATTTATCCAGCCGCTTTACACTATACGAAGCACTGGGCCAGCCATCGAGATCCGAGCGGAAAGGGGGCCCCTCTTTTCCACGCTTGGAGATGCTGTCGATCGAGCTGAGAGAAGTGGCAAAAGCAAGAAGAGAGAGTGTGTGTCTAGACTCTGTGATTCGTCTTGAGAAGTGACAGAAGGTCTCCCAAAATGCAGCAAGGGTGAATGAATGTCACCAACCACCCCGGTCCAAGATCGCAGGAATCATCCATCTTCATTGCGACTCGCTTCGGGAAAGCCACCGACAGCCACAAATAATCCTCAATTCACACTCGTTTCCAGTACCACGCTTGCGTCGCCTTGCCTATTCTTCGATACCCCGGATCCCCATCAAAACTTGTCCCATCAATGCTCGAAAGGGCACGCACATACGATCACGCACCACACACACACTCGCAGACACACCCCCCACGCAAGCAGCAAGGGAGCATTAGCAGCAAACAGCTACGGCAGCAGCCAGGCGACGCCCGCCTTTAGCCTGACATCTCGAGCAAACCCCTGCCACTTTTCCGCCGAAACTCTAAAAAATCCTTCCCCTTCATCCTGGAGGCACCCCGACGCTGGAAGACGAGTCCTTCCTCACCCATCTTGCTAATTCTTCAGGTTCCAGACATTCAGGGGTATTCGCATTCTTTTCTGCAGCCACCTTTTCCGTTCGGGTGTGACGCCGTGGATGGATGGGGCGTGCTGAGAGTCCTAAGACCATGAACCCCAGCGCCATGCGATGCAGAATATCTCGCCTTCTCGAACCCCGGCAAGAACCCATTCCCGTTCGTCTGTTTCTCCGTCTCTCTCGTGCGCCACAGAATCCACGGAACTAGGAGAGACGCCATAGCGCCTGTCGGATATCGAAGGCGGGCCTCGCTCCCAAGTAACGGCTCTGCGAAGATCTAAGGGGGTTGAGAGATAACCTTAATAGAATCTTCACGCCCCTCCCGCACCGGTTCAACTCTACACTCCCGGTGGTCACCTCTCGTTGCTTCTCTGATACCACGAAGTAGGTTGCCATCGAGGAGTCTGTTCGTGCTTATTCTTTTTGTTTCTCTTCAAATCCCCCCCTCTGCGAGGTTACATCTTGATTCTGTGGTGTTTGGGATCTATGGTATATCACGGGCTCCATTTCCCGTCTACCTCCCTCTTTCTCTACCTCTTCTTGTTCTTCAGACCCGTCCTTGGTGCCAAGGGCAAAAACCTGGGTCTGAGGATCTGATATAACACATATTAAGACCCGCTTCTCCACACGTTTTGGCTGCCAACGCCCGTGTTCCCATTCTTTCACTTCTTCAGACACTCGCCAGCCAACCCAACAACAGTGTCTCTTTTCCCCCCTTTCCTCTCCTCCTCCAATCGAGCCCATCATGTCTTCGACAACCGACACCGACCTACCCCCTTCCGAAAATGTCGGCCCCCTCCTCATCGCCCTCTCCGGCGTCCTCATCTTCTTCGTCATCGTAACGACCATCCTCCGCATGTGGATCCGCACCGCCCTGCACACCCTCGGCTGGGACGACGCCACCATGTGCGTCGTGACCGTCATCGCCATCATCCGCTACGGCCTGCAAATTGTCCAGGTCGTCTCCTACGGCAACGGGAAACACCGGCCTTACGTCGACGAACAGGACTACGTCATGAACAACCAGCTGGGCTGGTGGGCGCAGATTTGTCTGTTTTCGGGGATCTGCGTGTTGAAGCTTTCGATCATGTTGTTGATTCTACGATTGAAGGATTCGAAGAACTTGAAGATTATTTTGTATTGTGCTATGGCGGGCCTGATCATTACGAACTTTGGCGTTATCGTGATCCTGTTGGCTGAGTGCAGGCCTGTGGGATATTGGAGAGGGAATGGGGAGTGTTGGGAGCCCAAGGTTCGGATTTACTCGATTTACTTTACAATTGGTAAGTTGGGAACGCACACATCCAGGTTGTTGGCTATCTGCGGTGGCGAGGGACGAAAAGGGGGCTGGATGCAAGAGAGACTAACGAATGTGCAGCTTACTCCATTGTGACCGACTTTCTCTGTTCGCTGCTTCCTCTTGTCGTCATCTGGAAGGTTCGCATTCCCTTCAAGACAAAGTTCATGGCCTGGAGCTTGATGAGCTTGGGTCTGATGTAAGTATTAAGGTCCCAGTGCCCCAGGGCGGAAAAACCGGCACCATGGTGGGGAATGCTTTCGGATGCTAACCGGTGTAACCTTCAACAGTGCTACTGGCTTCGGTATTGCCCGTGCCGCCTCTCTGGGTATCATCACGAATGATCTTACATGTAAGAAACTACGCCCTACCCCCTTTATTCGGACCATTGTCTGACGTTAGAACCACCCAGGGACCTACGCCATCGCCGCCATCTGGTCCAACCTCGAATTCTACCTCGGCATCATCGCCGCCAACCTCGCCCTCTCCCGCCAAATCTACCTCTACTTCTTCCGTGGCGAGACCACCCCCCACGACACCAACTACGGCAACCGAAACCAGTATCTCCGCTCGTCCTTTTCGAACGGCCCCCGCTCGGCCCATCGCACCGATAACTTGCGAGGCGACAAGGTCATGGACCGCGCCGCCACGCTCATCGAGGGGAGGAGACGGCCTTCCGTTTCGAGGAGCGATGGGAGTGAGGTTGAGCTTGAGGCTGGGATTAGGAAGAAGACAGAGTTTTGGATTTCGGAGGAGGAAAATGAGAGTCATGGTTCGTATAGTGGTGGTGTCGCTCGATGAGATGGTAGTGTGTGACCTGTTACGATTAGGCGGGGGGGTTGGTCGAGTGTAGGATGAGTTATGTGGCACGACAATGACCAGTGTTGTCTGTAAAAATCAAAGAGAGACGGGGCTGGGCGGTGATGTATTCTTTCCATATGGCTGCTTATTTCTTTTTCGATCCCTTGGCGTGAGCATAGCCTTTTTTGCCGCCTGGGATGGGAAGGGAATCTTGGGGGGAGGTCAGAGTCAGGGAGTGTTCTTCTCTTCTTTTTACAAGAGGGTTTGACTTCTAGACTGGATGCCCACTCTTTACCGACGGACCATCCCACGTCGGAAACTTCTCATCGGTTGCTGCTGGAAGCTCTTGTGTTTACCCAGTTTATTGCCTCTGGGAGTTGGGCGTTATTGTGCCTCATATACTGTCGTCACTTGTCGTTTCAAACTTGTCAAGATGATTGGATATGCAATGAACTTATGACGAACGAATTGATTCCTGTACATAATGCATAATGGAAATGGCATAAGATTAAAAAGGCCAGCGCGAGGACAGGGATAGCCATGCCATGTGAGTCTAGGGTGGTTGTTGAAATTAATCAATCTTAGATGAAACTGCGAACTTAGCTTTCGAACTGGTTCAACCGCCACACAAGAGCGTATAGACCAGCGAGGAGAATAGAACAATACACAAGTACATATACACACAAAACGTACTAACCCCCCTTCAAAACCATGCCTCATCCCAACTAACAGCTCGCCTGACCTGTAATGCTCAACGTAACATCATCAGCAGTGACAACTCCCTCTTGCGACGAGTCCCCCGCCGTAAGAAGAACCCTATTCCTCACCACGAAGCTAATATCCCTCTGCTGTTGACTCACGACCGAAACCCTCGCAGCAACGACGTCGTTCCTAGTATAAACATCCCCATCAACCCACTGCGCGCCACTCAACACCGTCGACGAGGGATTCCCATTCGTAAGGCTGCCCGGCGACAAGTTGTACGTTGAGGCCACCACGCCCGAGACGCCCTGCTGCAGGATGGCGAACCCGTGGTAGGTGGTGGTCAGCGAGGCAGTGGTGCACCCGACAGGGTACCGAAGGGTGACGAAGAGCTCGCAGTGTTTTTCGCGATCGGGCCCCGGGACGCCCGGGCCGACGGCGGATTGGTAGGTGTCGAAGCCAAGGGTTAGGACGGTGCCGGCTTCGTTGATGGAAGAGGAGTAGGTCCCTGAGGGGCAGCCATCACCGGTGGTGGTGATTGCCGTGATACGGACTTGAGAGTCGGATTGGCGGGGGGTGAGGGGTGCCGGTGAGGCGAGAGTAAGGAGGGGGAGGAAGAGGGAGACGAGGCTTGTGATGGGCTTCATCGCGTTTTGTGTTTCTTTTGATGGGTTGGTGAGGTAGTGCTCTTTGGAAACCTGTGTGGATAGAGATAGCTTGGAAGAGATTCTGGGGAATCGTGATAATCAAGGTGGGATATGAGTGATAACTTCGTCGAGGCAGGACTGGGCTTTATAGACGAGCAGCAGAGTACGACAAGAAGTCTCTAGCCTCTCATCTTGCGGGCATGTCAGGGGCATCTACGTAGAGCGTAGGAACAATCCGTTCTGCTTTTCCACGCCGTCCATTTCCACGATCTCAAGCTCCTCTCTATGCACTGTCACCATCACTGCAGCCCTCCCTTTAACCTCACAAGAAATACTACCTCGAGCGGGAAAAGGCATCTGTGAGATTTCAATAGTTCCAGACGGCTCGGCGATGTAAGTTGACGAAAACGAATTGGGTTGCGCACTGGCGCTCAGGACATCTTTTTCTTTTTCTTTCTTTCGCAACGCGAAGAGGCCTTGGTGGCTTTCAGCATGACGTCAAGGAGCTATGCACGAGATGTCCCGGGAAATAATTTATCCTCTTTCGGTATGGGAGGGATGCAGTTTCTAGCGTTGAGCCAGTAAATCGGGTCGCGCTGAGTCCGCCGCATTGGACGGGGAGGCTTTCAACGCGTGAGTGCGGTACACTAAGCCCGGCATCTCGTTTGCCCGAACTGAGAGTTCAGACGAGGTGGGTTAAAATGAGGCCGTGCCGCAGGTCAATTGGCTCCGATGGAGCAGCACGGAGGTTGTCCTGATCCTCAAGGTGGCGATGGGAGATAGTCTTTCCCATGATGACAAGACGCTTCGCTCGGATCTTGGATGGTTTCTTCCGGAGAAAGTCGAGTAGTCTATTTTTGCTTAGGGTGGGAGCGGAGAGCTGTGCGGATGCAGTGTTGCCTGCAACTGAAGCCGTCGTTGCAATGGTGAAGGTTGAGATTTGGAGTGACGATGGGCGCTGACTGAGGACGCATCTTTAAGGGGAAGGTACGAGCGGGCAAGGTAGCATCGACAATAAGTAAATGAAGGTGGGATAAGGATGAGTATTTGAGCTCTAGCTATTTCCTTCTAACGTGGGTATTTTCGAGCAGACTATTTGCTACTTAAAATTCAACGTTAAGGTTGTCTTCATGGTTGCAGAACCCGTGAAGGAATGAATCTGCGTCGATCCTGGGCCCGGCCGTTAGGGTTACGGTTCGTCTCGAGCTATCGCTCTCTGGAACTTCATCTAATTCAATCTCTACAGGGCTGGCATCAATACCCTAGTTCCCCTCTAAGGGAGAGCCGCTCGGCTCTTCACCAGGTTTTCTTCATTTCCCCCCTTTCTCAATTCCTGGTAACGCCAGAGCGGGACGTGCTAATCCTGTTCATCAGAATCGGCACGCAGATTCTTGGCATTCGAGGTCATCACAACCATGGACAGAACTTGTTCGGTCTGCTCGGAAGTGGTTGCATCAAATACAACAGCGGGCTACAACCGGAAGGACTCGAGAGAGCACTAACTTTCGTACACCTAAGAATACCAAGACACGGGACGATTCATCAGGCTTCGCTGGCGCTATTCCAAGTTGGTGAGCAATAAAATATGCAGCCGAGAGATCTTCCCCTCTCTTGACCCAAGAAACCACAACCCCTAGTCCTACCGCAGATTAGGCCTGACATGAAGAAGGTTCAGGAGGTTGAGGATGAATTGAACCACGAAGCAATACATGAACGGAGTCAACGGGCTCTCTCCATCTCGATCTCTCAAAACCGAGTAACAACGCAACGCCTTCCTGTCTACCGTATTTCCAGATCTCTTCTGACTGGCGTCTCTGATCTCACGATGGAGTAGTCATGAGTCACCGATATTAGTGTTACTAACTAACTGCTGGATCCAGCATCGTGCAGATCTTTCTTCTTTCCCCGTTCTATGCCGCCGAACTCGGAGCATCACCGATCCACTCCACCCGGTGCTCCCGCCGATTCACTCCGATCAGATCAGTCGTCACCGATAAACACCAATACCAAGTGATCACTACACCACTTCTTCATGGATGGCCCAGGATGGGTAGTGTAAACTTTATATTAAATGCCGCTTTCTTCCCCGCTTTCAACGGTTGCTCAAGAGCAAGTTTTCCCCTCGGCCATCGACGGCCAGGAGCGGCCAAGGGCGGAGAGATGTGGACCGCGAGTGGTCGTTCACGCTTTATTACGAATTGGCTCACAACTGAAGGGTTCCAATGTCCAATGGTGATGTCCAGAGATGAGGGGGCGACGGAGCTACGATATGACGTGCGTCGGTGTGGGGTTCTTTCCTTATCTCTTTTCTTCACTATTTTTTCCTCCTCGGGATTTTGCGTGATTTGATTGTGGGAGTCGTAGTATAAATAGGAAGTGGAACCTCCGTTGTGGTAGGGTTTGAAGTGTTTACTCTTCTTTTGTCAACGCAGTAGACATTCAATCAATTGATCCTCGCGATTCTCTTCCGCCTTTCGGTCGTCGATCCAAGAAAACGCAACGCTTGACACTTACTGTACTCTAAGCCCCCAGAGTCGTTACCAGCTCCTCACAATGGGCGGGTAACGACAAAAGGTTCTCATGTGTAGAAACACTAACCAGTTTTCCTAGGTCCCACAAAACGGTATATCCCGTCCACGACAACGTTGTTTTTCTCAGCCATGGATTCCTTCGGTGGTGAACTATCCGTCATGGTCAAGATGTCTTCAGGTAACTGTGTGATAAGTCATGCGTGAGCCGGTGCCTGTCCCTACGTTTCCTTCCTTGGCTTGTGCTGTCGTCCATCCATCCTCCCGAGCCCTTCTCAAGTTGAGAAATCACTCGGGAGCCCGACGAGAAGGACAAGGCTGGAAGCGTAGGGATATGGCTGAGATTATACGGCCCTGAACTTGATCTGGATAATACCAGCGAAAGGATCATGCATTCCTCCTCCTCCCCTTTCCCCCAACATAAGAACAGCACCTAACTCCCACAGGTTTAACGTGAAATAAAACATCGCCAATTATTCTTCAGCTTCAATAATGGCTCCCCACGCTTCCACTGGCTCTTTCTCGGAATCCGAGTACACAGTCCCCGTCTTCGCCAAGAAGCAAGTTGCCTCCTCCCCTGATGCAACCCTCACCAAGCCCGTCACCGACATGATGGGCAACTGGGACACCTTCACCTTCGCCCCCATCCGCGAATCCCAGGTCTCCCGCGCCATGACCCGCCGCTACTTCGCCGACCTCGACGCCTACGCCGAATCCGACATCGTCATCATTGGCGCCGGATCCTGCGGCCTCTCCGCCGCCTACACCCTCGGCACCCTCCGCCCGGACCTGCGCATCGCCATCATCGAGGCCGGTGTTGCTCCGGGAGGCGGTGCCTGGTTGGGCGGCCAGCTCTTCTCAGCCATGATTATGCGGAAGCCCGCTGATGTCTTTTTGGCCGAGCTGGGTGTTCCGTTTGAGGATGAGGGCGATTATGTTGTTGTGAAGCATGCGGCGCTTTTCACTTCGACGGTGTTGAGCAAGGTGCTTGCGTTGCCGAATGTCAAGCTTTTTAATGCTACGGCTGTGGAGGATTTGATTACGAGGCCCGAGGAGGATGGCGTGAGGATTGCGGGTGTCGTTACCAATTGGACTTTGGTTTCCATGCATCATGATGACCAGAGCTGCATGGATCCGAACACGATTAACGCGCCTGTTGTAATTTCTACCACTGGTCATGATGGTGAGTTCTTTCGTTCTTTCTACTTTTGTGGGTTTGAGATTAGGGACTGACGGCCTCTTCTTCTTCTAGGCCCCATGGGCGCATTCTCCGTCAAGCGCCTCGTCAGCATGCAGCGCGTCGAAAAGCTCGGCGGCATGCGCGGTCTTGACATGGCTCGCGCCGAGGATGCCATCGTCAAGGGCACTCGTGAGATTGTCCCCGGTTTGATTGTCGGAGGCATGGAGCTCTCCGAGATGGACGGCTCGAACCGCATGGGTGAGTTCATTCTCCGTCTCTCTCTTTTCCACGGTCCATTGGCTGATGGGAGTTGTATGCAATAGGTCCTACCTTTGGTGCTATGGCTTTGAGCGGTGTCAAGGCTGCCGAGGAGGCTCTCAAGGTGTTTGACCTTCGCAAGAAGCAGAACCGCGTCTAGATGTTGGGATGACAGAAATGTCAGCTCGACTTCGTGTTTGGCTCGACGGGTTAGGGATCGGTGTTCGAACACAAGATAAAAAAAATTAAAAAGAATAAAAACAAAAACAGGGAACCAGATTGATCTTGCTCAAGGAAACGAATTTGCTTCTGGGAACGAACTCGAGTTTGATATACAGATTGTCATAGTCAGACTGCACTGACAGGGCCATACATGAGCCCAACGAATGAATACAACATGAAAATCCATGGAGGAACTTGACTCTCTAAGAGAATGACAGTTGATTTGAGCCCGATACTTGTGACGTAGAAATAAGCCCGTTAAGCCGGGTCTCGATTAGAAAGGAGGATTTTGCTGTTCTCATATCAACAAAGACCAAAAGTCTAGTGCACACCCATACCGCGCGGCAGAGCATTTTTCAAATCCACAGCCGTCAACCTATAATGCATTACCCCTTGACATGAAGTGAAGAAGAAACACAGGATAAAAAGCGACAAAAGAGAAAAACAGGAAGAGAAGAAAAAAAAAAAGAAAAAAAAAAAGAAAAAAAGAAACCCAACGCCTAGTCCTTCCATGTCCCTTCCTCGTACCGTTTCCCTCCCTCGTAATCTATCAATACAAATCACACGCGCCCTAATCAACCAGCCCGTTGAACAGAAGAAAAAAAGAGGGAAAACAAGGACAAGAAAAAGAAGAGAAACTCCTTCAACTCCTCCTCGCTCGCTTCTGGGCACCGCCTCCACGTCCACCTCGCCGGCCACCGGGGCCCCTCTTCTTCGAATTCGACTTCGCGGCAATAACCTTATCGCGACCGCCCTTCTTCTCCCAATACTCAGCCACGGCATCAGGAGCCGACTCGATAACATTAGCCTCTGGCTCCCAAGTGGCCTGGGGCGAACCAACCCACGAAACTTGCAGATCGACCTTATTGGTGCTGCTCGACACGCGGTGCTGCTTCACGTGGGAAATATACCACAGATCCGAGTCCTCCATCTGTCCCTCTCGACCGCCCTCAACGCGGCGCCAGTAGGCGAAGAGAGCGCGGGGCGCGTCGCGGTGGATGACATCCTCGGGCTCCCAGGTCTCGGTGTCCTCATCATTTTCGCCCTCGGGGAGGTCCCAGCGGACGAGGAGCTCGAAGAGGTTGGGGTCGTCTGGAGACGGGCGGTGGTCGAGGATGGTGTCAATGTTGAAGCGGCGGGGGCCGGCATCTTGATCAGCGTTTCCCTTTTGGCTCGCGCCGGCTGTCGCCGTGGTAGTGGAGGTGATGATGGAGAGTTTTGTGCCGTTCGTCTTGACGACGGATGACTCTCCCTTCCCTTGGGTCGCCTCCTCGGCTTCCTCGTCAACGTCTAGAATGGGGCTCGAGTGCCGGAAAGTGCGCCGGACGGCCGAGCTGGGCGGGTTCTGGAGGGACGAGGAGCGCGCGCGACGCGTCGCGGATCGCGGGAGAGGTTGTGTCTTCACCTGAACCTGGGGGCTGAAGGGAGGGGACCAGACCGAAGGCTCGCCGTTTCCAGAGACGGGGCTCGAGGGTCGTTCCTGTCCTTCACCATCGGATTCCATCTGCTCGTCCTCGTCCTCATCCTCATACCCGTCACCTTCGACATCGATCTCAGCCTCAATCTCCCCATCTTCGCTCTCGGTTTCATCCTCGTCGCGGTTCTCGCCTTCTTCGTGGTACTCCTCCTCGGCGTCGCTGATGGAGAGCTGCGCCTGGATCTCATCTTCGGGGGACGCTTCCTCGTCAAAGTTGTTCTTGTCGTCGTCGTCGCCTACATCATATTCGTCCGCGACGGGGTCGAAAATGAGCGGTTTACCTGGACGAAGGGTAAAGTCAATTGGGCTCGCATCGGCGCTGAATATGTAGGACATTGTGGAGAAGAAATTGCGAGGACATGAGGGGAATGGGGGGAGTATTCGATGGGCAAGAGGTTGTTGAGCTCTTTTTTTTGCTGCTCCTGGGGATGATGGGAGTTTGGGAAACAATGGAGAGATGAAGTTGAAAGAAAAGGAGAGGATGGGTTTCTACTTTGACAAGCAATCAAGAAAGCAACAAGGAGAGGTGCAGGCGATTCACGAACCTTGGTCAACTATATCCACCTTCTTCTTTGTGGGAAGTGACGGCCGCGATACAATGGATGCCCCCATCGCGGTGGCAGTCGCCATTGAGTGTCTGGTCTTTGGGACCTGCGATGGTACGACAGTTATGCTCCTCCCCTTGTTCAGGGTCTCAGAGGTTGTAGATGACCCAGGTCGAGGGGGTCTTGGTTCCGACTGAGGCGCCCTCAATGCTGTGATGAAAGACTTCGGTTTCGGCGGCGTCGCGATGATGCTGTCTTCGGTCTTGGGCGGGTTGGGCGATGCTGTCGCGCTCGCACTAGAGGGCAGTGGACGGCGTTGCCTGACTCTCGATGGCGGAGATTGGGGCTGTTGGGGTTGGGAAAGGATTGGCGCCGGGTCTTGCTGTCGCGGCGGCGGTCGTTGTTGATTCTGCTGATGCTGGTTCGGGGTCGAGGATGGATTTCGATCCGAGAACCACCTCAGGGTTTTCTGGCGCAATCCTGGGGTTTGTTTGGGAGTGTTGGTCGTCGGAGAAGACGGCTGCGCGGTAGGAAACATGGCGTCTTTTTTTTTTTTTTTTGTGGTCTTCGATTTCTTCTTTCGCTCTGGTTGGATGGATGGATGGATGGTGTCACAAGGGATGCTTGCAGCTGCGCCACGGAAGACACGGGCGTGGGAGCATGGGAGTGGGTGATCACTGCTGGTGTTGGGAGACTGCCAAATTGTCAATGCAATGTGCAATGTGAAATGTGAAATGTGCAATTTGGAGATGGTAGATTGTGAATGGTGGATGATGGAAAGTAGAGGGAAGGTAGAAGGTATCAATGGGTCAATGGGGAGAATAGGTGGTGTGTTTGCTGGTTGAAGGAGCAATCAGAAACGAAACAATGGAAAAAAGACAACAGAAAAAGAAGAGAAAAAAAAAAAAAAAAAAAAAAAAAAAAAAAAAATGCTGATGCTGATCAAGTACTTTGTACAGGGGCCAGCAGCATCGGTAGGGGAGCTTGGGCCAAAGAGGGGAAGATCTGGCGATCAGAGGAAACAGCGCCTTGTAATACGAGGTACGAAGTACCTCTACTTCGTAGGTCCTCGTGCAATACCGATCCGGGTTTAGACTTCGCAGAAATGAAGATACACAGCAGTAAAACTAAAAGCAAATGAAAAGGAAAATTAGAGGTTACAGTAGGTCAACCGAGCTGGGTAGAGCGGATTGTTTTGATATCTTTCAATGTTGAAGCAGAATTGATGAACCGCGCAAGGCTTGTCTTGTCTGGCTGGCTTGTAGCAATTTCGTGGAGCCTGTCGGTGTATATTGTACAAGTAGAGCAGCCTCAACTGTTAAGTAACATTCTGTCGTTACACGCGATTTCGACGCGACTTGACTGTGCAGGACGAAGTATTTCAAGGCTCTAAAGCACACCTTGATACCGTCATTTCCAGCAGCGTTTACTACAATGCTGTAGATAATAGAGTGTATATGCTGGATACTTAACTTAGACTCCCCATTACTTTTGCCGTCCCCTGCGCTTTCTCTATTGGAGCTACTTTACTTATTCTCTAGCGAGCGCGAAGGAGACAATGGGAAGCAGCTTGGAGAAGGAAGTAGCCGGGCAGTGTTTACCTAATAGCTTCCAACAAGGACTTGTGGACTTCCAGTTGGAAAGAGCAACAGACTTGGGTCGTTTACTAATAATATACCGAGGTGAGGCGTTCCGATTGTCATTGTTGCCTTCCACTTCTCATGGCGCATAATGATGCCTCGTGACATCATCATCTTGGCTCGAACGGCTGCGCGGACACATCTTTCGACCTCTTCACATTACATTTCCGCATCAATCCCCTCTACATGAACAGTGTGTTCCGGCTTCGATGCCCACCAACAGCGGAGATACGGCGACGGCGGCCCAAGAGAAAGAAGAATCCTACCGTCTAGGCTGGATCGAAAGCTGGGTTACCGGCATAAGCTCCGAGACGTTCGCATCGTCGAAGATGCGACTGCCTCTGAGGAAAAGGCAAAGGACCACAAGGGGGACCTCACCGGGACCCAGCACGGTGGAGTCAGGCATTTCTCCATCTCCATGGGGAGCGTACTGTGAAGCAAGCACGACAGCAACAAACCCAGCTTTTTACGATTTCATGCCAGTAAACCCCGGCGAAATCAGCAACGGACCCCAAGCCCTCGAAGCGTCGCAGGAAAGTTTGGACTTTGTGAAAGAACACGTACCAACGTTCGTGACTTCTCTCGAAGAGATCATAGGCTATACGAACCAGACGCGAGCATGCGTCCCAGGGGACGCGAGGGACAAGACCGACGCTCCCATCCCAGAGCATGATTTTCAAAGCGAAGACGAGGAGCTATCATTGGCGGACCTGGAGTACGAGCTGCGGGAGATTCAGAACATTATTCGCAACACAACGCACTGCCGGGTGAACGGCGTAAACGAATCCACCTGGAATGCCAGAGTCCACGCGAAGATATTCGACATAGCGGCACGCAACTCGAAGAATGTCGGTGTATATAGTCTCGGCTCCGTGGTGGTTCCTGACGCCTGGCGACCAAGGATTTCACGGCCACGGACACTCAGCGGTAGACAAACCGATACAACGCTAGAGGGTGGGTCTGAACAGTCTCGAAGTCCGGTCACGGCGCTATCAGGCCCGCGTATTGTGGATTTTGTAGATTTCCTTCTGTATCTTGAGGACTCAAAACGGACCGAGAGGATCATAGAGTTGCTAAAGAAGGAGTCCCTTCGGCATCGCACTGCCAACCATTTTGACGAGAATGCGCTCGCCTTGTTCCCCGCTGGAGTTTTTGTGAGGACCAAAGGCCCCAAGGGAACAAAACAGATGAGGAGCTGGATTAGCAGTTGGCACATACGCATGTCGTCTTTCTTCACTGGGTGACCTGAGGATGATGAGTGGCCTGTTTTGCCGACAATACACGTATATGAGGGTATCTGGGAGCTGGAAATCGCCAAGTATGTGTCGGATACTCCCGATGTTCGCATGGCTCCTCGGTTTCTTATCGGACACACCCACACCCTGCCCACTCCGCTTCGCCGAAGGCGGTAAATTCGGTTGGCTCCGGCAACGACCAGCGTACCAGAATCCTCCCTCCAGCGAGAAAGTCTTGTAAACCAAGCGCTTTACGCTTAATTCGACGGTCCAAGCAGCTGAGATTTAAGGAAACCCTTCCAAGCGTACCCAAGGGTGCTAGATCCGATTGTTTTGCAATATCTATCGTAGATTCGCCATTCGAATTATGTCCTCGTACCCGTGGTAGTCAATAGCTTCTCGCTCGAGATCCAGAGATTGCAGAACCCTGGACCAGTAGGGACACGGCCATCTGCGTGCTTAACAAGGAGTGCTGGGTCGGTCTCCACCAGAGGCTAGACGTCGACATCGACGTCGGTAGAAGCCGACTCCAAGGGAGCTGCACTTACCAAAGAATCGTCATCCCGGCGTTCCTTACCATGGGTCTATACCGTGGGGTTCTACGTCTATATAAACCCAGACTTATCCCCTGGGTGCCTGGCGTTGACCTATGTCGCAAGTTCACAACACAGAAAGCTCCATCGCCACTTTCAATAATTTGATACAAACAATTCCTCAGACGGCATGGCTTCATTGTTATATCTCGCCGGAGGCCTCCTCAGCCTTGCAACTCTTGGCGTCGCCAAGAAATGCACCTGCGGTGACTTCTCTGGACTGACCTTGCCGAACATCGAGGTTTTGTCATTGGACGTCGCTGTTAACCGTACCACCGTCGCCGAGTCTCCCGGAGGCCATTCGACCTCTGTACGTTTCTGTCAGGTCTCCATTCAGTACACCCATCCCGGCCAAAATGATGCGATAACAACCTGGATTGGTCTGCCCCTTCGTGAAGCTGAATGGAACGGCCGCTTCTTGATGGAGGGCGGCGGCGGATGGCAAGCCGGTTCCCCCCGAAACGTTCTTGGGCCAGTCTCAAACGGCTACACCTCGTCTTCTACGGACGGTGGCCTCAATACGACTGCCACGGCTGCCGAGTGGGGAATGGTTAGCGAAGGGAACGTGAACTGGCCAGCCATCATTGACTTCAGTAGCGTCGCATTGGACGAGGCCGCGAGACTGGGCAAGCTTGCCACCGAACTATACTTTGGGAAGGGGCTCGAGTATTCGTACTGGAGTGGGTGCTCAACGGGTGGACGTCGAGGACACATGATGGCCCAGAGATATCCGGAGAACTTCGACGGCATTGTGGCCGGATGTCCTGCGTTCAACTGGCATCGTTTTGTGATGGCAGAGGTCTGGCCCCCTCTTCTGGCACAATTCCTTGGTAAGTCATCTCTTTGAAGCAGACGAGAGGACGAGCACTGACGATGTGACTTTAGATACACGGCCACCTTCATGTGTGCTTGATGCTTTCACCGCCGCGGCAATTGAAGCATGCGATGAGCTTGACGGTGTTGGCAGTATGTGGCAACCTATGAAAGCGGAGGTCTGGAGATGCTCTTCTCCGATCAACGGGAAAGGATGACATCATCTCATACCCTGGGCGCTGCAATTTCGATGCTGCCTCTCCAGTCGGCAAAACTATCACTTGTATCGAGCCATCTAGCGAGGTAGTCATCACAGATAAGATGGCGGAGTTGGTGAACGGCATCTGGGAAGGCCCATCAGTGGTACGGCCTCACCCACGAGACCCCGCTCACTGGGCTATTGCCAACTACGTGCTCGACTGTGGATGACTGCACGCCTCGAATTTGGCCCGTTTCTGTCGATTGGATCCAAATCTACCTAGCCAAAAACACATCGTACGACCCTAATACGATGACCCGCGAAGATGTTGATCGGTTCTTCCTCCAAGGGGTGGACGAATATACATCCGTCATCGGAACCGACAACCCCGACCTAACTGGCCTCCGCAAAGCCGGCGGCAAGGTCCTCGCCTGGCACGGTTTGGCGGATACACTCATCTTCCCCAACGGCACGATCGACTACTACGAGCGAGTCGTGGAAGCCAATAAGAACGTAAGCGACTACTACCGCTTCTTCCTCGCGCCGGGAGTAGGGCATTGCAGTGGTGGTAGCGGGCCCAATCCCTCTGCTTATCTTCTCGACACCGTGAGGGCTTGGGTTGAGAATGGAATTGCCCCGGAGACACTTCCTGGTACTGGTGCCGCCGTCGCGGGGACGAATAAAACCGCAACTCGAACTCTGCAGTTGTGCCGGTACCCTAGTGTGTTGACATATGTCGGCGCGGATCCGAACGACAGTGCCTCTTTCACATGTGTGTAAGATCAACTGAATTCACAACTCGATTGGGATGCAGCCATCCGTGGATGATTCGTTAGATGCGACGAGATTTGAAAAGGTTGGAACAAGAGCTCAGATTTGCACCTAACACAGAGCCAAAGAGGGAAGCACCTATTACCAAAGTCAAGTTCAGAGAAAGTTCCATCTTGAATGTAAATAGTAGGCAATTCTATGAGATAATAGACTCCGCCCTGCTTTCGATGCTTCCAACGACGGATAATACATCTCGACCCTGCATTGGCACTTGTGCTTGTATCTTAGTGATGTTGAAGTCCTGGTTCGGTTCGAGCTTAAGAAAGGAGCCTAAAATCAACAAATGTATGCACAGCTTTCCCTAATCCCTAATGGCATAAAATTGATGCCTTTGCTAGATTGCGATGCCTGCCCGTCGATCAAGGGCTTCAAAAATCTTGCTTCATCGGCCTGTGAAGACGACATCTTGAAAGTGGTAACTAGCCCTTTCTTTATTATGATCGGATGGTGGTGCTGTCATTAGGAGGTCTTAAGAAGTGGGAGGGATAAAGGTCCATTTCGAAGGAGGTTGGTTGGTTGCCTCTTGTTCTAAATAATGTACCCTCTCTAATTCGACGCACTGGGAAACCTGCTTTTTGCCATTCACGTGTTCTCGACTGCCATCGACCTCTTTGAAGCATCGCTTGGGACATGACGAGCTGACCGATTTAAGGACTCAGAGCGGTAAGCTGTGGGAGGGAAGAAAAAACTATAGGATAACTTAAGGTAGTTAAAAAAGAGCCCCAGCTAGGACTAACGAGGAGTCCTATAGCCCAAACTGCATTCCGTGTCGATATCCCTCATCCTTCGATGGAGTGAACAAAACTACTCACAGCACTACGCCTTAGACGGGCAGTAAAAACATCCATCGAAGTTGATAGCGAGTCGTTAATTCTTCGTTCACTTCTTCCTAGATCTCAAAAAAAAAAAAAAAAAAAAAAAAAAAAAAAAAACACTAGAAACGCAGTTTATGTGTAGCTTATATTACGCGCCATTGATACCAGGTGATTTATCCTCATTTCATTAATGAATCTTGTGTGGCGGGAGGGATGGCTATTCATAGGTCTAGTGACGTGGTGTTTACCTTTGGACGGGGAGTCATAACTCCAGAGACGACTCCTCACGCAATAGCCTGAACCATAGGATTCCACAACCCTTCTAGCTCATATCAATCAGCACATTATCTGCTTTAGCATCGCCCCAGGTAATCCCTTGCTGGTGAAGATGGCTGATCGTTCGACTTATTTGGCCAGACCAGCGTTGTCGAAGCTCAGTTGAACTACTTAAAGCCAGCGCCCTAGACAGTACACCCCTCTTCTCGACCCACGGAAACAACATGCCGTAGATAACATTTACGTCACGGACAAGCCCATATAGCTGGCATATAAGTGCTTCAGCAGGTAACTCAGCCTTGATGATCTTCTCATGGGTAAATAGTTTGTTCCTTGCTAGCGTAGGCCCTAAATTTGAGCCAACTGGCTTAAAGAAGCAGACCATATCACTGCCATCGGGGGCTTTCACAATCACTTGTGTTGGGCGCCGAATTAGGACATGTTGAGGGTTGTCGTAGGAGAGGTCGACGTTAGCTGGGTGATACGATAGGGTCCAGCCGAGGCTAGCCACATAGTCGTCACCCATCCTGAGCTTAGGCATGGTCCACTCGCTGTCTTGGGTATCAAGTTGATATGGCTCGAGGACATCGTTCAGGTGAAAGATGGCGCAAATAAATATTGAAACAAGGTCGGGCGTCCAGTTTCTGATAGGAATAGAGGAGGAGCTGTGGCGAGCTCGTTGATCAAGGGTTCAAATTGTTTTGCCAACAAGTCGCGGGCATCTTCGATGTAGAAGTCGTCCGTTTCTTCGTCCTCGTGGCCAGCCCGTAAAGTCGTCAAACATTTCAAGTACTGCTTAGTCACCTCTGGAGAGCCATGGAACTGCCGTGGGTCAATCTGGCAGTAGAAAACCCACCCATTATTTGTTCGAATAATCAAGTGGCAGTCGTCTTCAGTTTCATGAGTTTGCCAGAGAGCGACATTGTAGTTTGGAAACATCGCCATGTTCGACGTGATGCCAAAAGGGTCAGGTTTGGTAGACGAAGAGTGGAAGGATCGAAATTCTAGGTGATGAGGGAAGTGATGGTTGGTGGTGAATTGGTGATCACCCCTGGGATCATCCCCGATCACCGAGGAAGAGCTTGGAAGAGAGCGTCTATAAAGTACGGAATCTACCATGGTCCATTAAACACTGAAAAGAACATTTGTCTAGCAGGCAGGGGGATATAGTATCCCGATTGGTCACTACGGTGGTCACGAGGAAAAAGCGGTATGGCATAGCAGGAAGAGAATCACTTAGACGGCCGGCACTGAGACTGGCGACCGGTCCGGACTCCGGACCGCTGCGACTCCACTGGTGGGCCAAGTCTCAGAGCCCATGATCCTGGTCCTCCGATTGGATCTGGCTCGCGACTGCGCATTGAAGCAGTGCTGGAGGAAACTCTCTTCGAGCTGTCCAATGACCTCTTCACTCGACCCGTGTGCCGAGGAGTGGGGCAGAGCCCTTTCAGTGTTGATCTTTGTGCAAGATGCCGCCTTAGTCTTCGAAACCAATGATAATAGAGCTGATGGAGGAAGAAAGAGAAGGGACAGATAGCCCTAGATTAAATCCAAGATTGCACGGAAGAGAGCACAGTCGGCAGGCTGGTTCCTTCTTCTTTGATTTTCATGCGGGCTCTAATTAGCCCGAAATTCTCCAATACCATTAACGAGACTTGTTTTCGGAGACAGAACTTCAACTGGTGTGTCGTCCATGAGCGTATGACGAATGAGGCTGGGGTCTGCGTGGAAAGTCCTCCGGACGATCTCCGGACGATGCTCCTGAGGACTTGGCGCGATGCAGAGAAGTACAATGCTGTTGTAATACCTTACTACCTACTGATGCTATTATCGACTGCACTAATTCATAAGCAAGACGGAAGCAGAGGCATATTGGGCAGAAGTGGAAATGCGATCAACGGAGAGGCAGGGTTTCGACGACGGTGACGATTATCTAGAAGCTGAGTGCGATGATGACCCCTGTGCGGCTGACGAATTCTGGGATGGCTCCATAAGCGGATAGCTTTGGATTAAGCACAATTGCCGTTGGTTGAGGATCATACTTATGCTCGGGGGTTTCCGGGGCAGGGGCGATGTTAGAGACCTTGATCGCCACTTAGACGCTTAATCCTCTATATATTCAAACTCTATGGAGATCTTCATGGCTATCGAAAATAACTTGTCCCTTATGGATAACGCCACAAAGAGTACTCTGAAAATGCGAAGAAGGCTCCTCAAAAGGTCGTACAATCTTGTCGGGCCAGTCCTTGGTGCGGCACGCGTGGTCCACTTCCACTCCGCCTTGCCACTGCCTGCATCGCATGCGCCGGTTAAATATCCGGCGTTGCACGCTCACGTTCTATCTTCCACAGAACTAATTTCATACTATTCGCCGTGTTAGTGCATTTTCAAATAAACAGAGCGGCTGATACTTGCCGTCGTAGTCCTTCTGCCACAATCCTTGGGTCCTGGGTATAGACCATTCTGTACCAACCCATTCCACCATGCTCCTCCTTAGGGTGTAAGAAGACGCCCCCGTCTAAAAGCCTCTGGGAGAGGTCAAACTCGGCATCTGCTGTACCTTGGATTAGGTAAGGAGACAGATCGACATATACGAAGAAGCCAGTATTAGCTGGGACAAAGTCTATCCCCAGATCCAGCAACCCTGCGGTCATAAATGCGTAGGCCTCTCCTATTTTGCGCCGGGAGGTAGCAAGAAACGTGTTGCACCAGTCTCGATCCTCCAACATAGCGTTGGCAATGGCTATAGAAGCACCCGAAGGATTATGGAAGCGAGCCGTCATCTGGATTACCTTCAATATGGAAGCATTTCGCGTCACAATGCAGCCGAGACGCAACCCAGCCGCTCCAAAGTCTTTGCTGAAGCCATAGGTCACGTGTAACAGTTTATCGTTAATAATTCCCGGCTCGATCGACAGGGCGGAAGTAAAAGGGGGAAGGTCGTCGCTGAAGACCGATGATCCATAGATTTCGTCGCTGATCAAATGAATTTGGTGCCTCTGACAAAACCTCATGATCTCCACAAGCGTCTTCCTGGGGTAGCAACGTCCGACTGGGTTGTTGGGATTGATGATGAGAAGGGCACGTATGTTTATTCCGGCGGCGCGAGAGTCGGCCAAGGTTTTCTCGAAAGCATCGACGACTCCCGGATCAAAAGCATTCTGCCAGGTTGTGTCGGCATAAATCATTCTCAGACCAGCCTTATTTCCAAAATCGAGTTCCAGCCGGCCGTAGACGGGTTTAGAAGTCAAGATGCCATCGTTGGGATCTCCTACTGCCCAGCCTAAGATTTCGTGCATGGCGGTTGCCGCCCCAGTTATCCGGATTTCGCTGCCATCTAGAGGTCGAGAAGGCTTGAAATGCTCATTTAGATGCTGGGCTAGAAGCACGGGCAGTCTCGTTCCACCAGCTGTGCTGTACCCATAAGTGAATGCAGCTTGAGATATTGAGACCTGGGAGCAGATATCAGAGCAAGCCAAACTTAGGAAACATTGATCCTACGACAAAATTTTGTTCCGTATGCGGATGCGGGCTCACCTTTTCACGAGTAAAGTCCTCTAGGTCCTGGTGGACGAGAGGCTACATAACAGCATGATCGATCAGTATATGTACTGTATCATAGTAGGCCTCGGAACGCACTTTGCCACCAGTCTAGCTTACATTCTCAGCAGTGGCAAAGCTTACTAGCCCGCCTGGGTTTCCATCAGGAGAATACGTCCCTCTCGGCGCCCATCGCCACGGCAAATCGAGGGCACGAACCAGCTCACTTGCCCGGTCGGAGATGGGTTCGGTCATCTTTGAAAGGTTCGTAAGGCAGTACACCTGGAATGAAGGAAGAGAGGCAGAATTTAGGCATTTAGGAGCAGCGAGTCGCAAAGTCTTTATTTGGTCAGCAGAACGCGAGAAATTGATCCTTCATTTTCTGCAAAGGGATAATGCTCTCGGGACTTCTTTAAAGGGATAATGCTCTCCAAAACGGATAATGCTGATCAACCACTCCGTACAGGGTTCCACACCCTTCTCGCGGCCCCCATTCGCCACCTCGGAAATTGGCCATAAGGGTTTCAATTGCCTTCAGATCGAGTGGGGACATAAGGTGCCAGGTAGACGTTTCGCACGAACTCGCTAATTACAGACTGCTTGGATCTTGCTAACTGCTGGCGACGGTGGGAAATGTCAGTAATTAACTGTTACAGAACGATGCTCTACCTACCTCTTTCCTAGCCGATCCGGCGGCCTGCTATGCATATCGACATTGCGTAAAACCCCCACAGAATATGGATGCGTGGATATATCCAAGATTACTTTGACAAATAACTTTACAAACAGTGACCAGTCACGTCTCGAAAATAGCGAGGCCTTGCTAACCAACGCCGTCTACTCAAAGGCCAACTCCCAAACGACATCAATTGATCAATGCATGAATAGAAGCTTATCCCCTGACTAAGGCTTCAAATTAAACTGGAGCTTTGTACGGAGCTATTGCCATCTTTTAGGGACTGAAACAATCCCTAAACTCTCTATATAGCACAGAGATATTTTCTTACAATGGCCACCAGTAGAGATTCTCAGGGAAACGTTGACTTCCGTGTATCCTGGATATCAAGACAGATCAGTAGATACATTTAAATCTAACGATAGGCTTCCCATTTATGCTTCCCTTCATCTTCCTACGGACGGCAAGGGCGCCTCTTTGCGGTCGTCGTACATATCAGAATAACCATGAAACGAGCCCATACAACTTGCGGACCCAATAGGCGCGAGGGTTGGCCTCCTCCCGCTCTTTCTGGCGAGCTTCATACCTAGCTTTTTCCTCTGCGACAGTAATCGCGGGGACGCCCGTGATAAGATCAGCACCTGCTGCTCTGACGTATGAAGTCTTGGTAATGAACTTGTAACCCAAGTACAGGGCCAAGTAAACCGGGATGCCGATGTAACCCAGGATAAATGTCTTGTAGTCAAATTCGTCACCAACAAAGACCTCGGCTCCCTTCGTGATGATAAGGACAGTAAGGAAACCCAACGCAATGTATGAGCCCACTATTCCGAACGGCGCTCTGTAAGCGATATAGGCAGGATCGACTCCTTGAATCGACTGAGCCCTACGGAACGCGATATGACATAGCAAGATCGACATCCAAACCAGGAGACCTGATGAAGTCAGTGCTTGGAAGGGGCTTGGCTCGGAGGAGGTACTGAGCTTACCAAAAACAGTTACGCAGCTTGTAAGGTAGCCGAACACCTTGGCACCACTCGCTGCGACAGACATGTATGCCAGCCCACACATCAGGATGCAGAGAACGACAGACACCCAAGGCACTCCATTTCTGGTTGTGCGAGCAAAAATGGTCGGACCTTTTCCATCAGCAGCAATGCCGTACAGTCCTCGGGAAGCGATATAGAAGTCCGAGTTGGCGGCGGAAAGAACGAATAGGACTATACAGCCGTTGATGACATGGTCAAGGCCCTTAATTCCTGCGAGCTTGATAGCTACCACGAAGGGTGAGGCGGCGGCAGATTTGCTGGCATGGGTCGCGAATGCGAGCGCCTCGGAGTTGTAGGGGACCACCATGCCAAGGAAAAGGACCGACCGGACGTAGAAGAAAAAGACGCGATAAAAGCTCAAGCGAGCAGCTTTCGGCATGCTCAGGCGGGGGTTCTTGGACTCGCCAGCCGTCACGGCCACCAGTTCAGTGCCCGTGAATGCATAAACGGCGGTGACCAATGCAGACCAGACGCCCAAAAAGCGGCCTGTGTCTCCCTCCACCTTGAACTCGGCGAAGGGACCGGGATCGCGCCAGTATCGAAAGCCTGGTCGATCGCCCGACGGACCGCCGCCGACGGCAAGGATAAAAAGTAGGAGAATAATGCCTACCATGGTGAGGACCTTGAGCAGCGATAGCCAAAACTCCACCTCGCCGAACGCCCGTACATTGACGCTATTGATGAGGATTATTCCAACGAGTGCGACAGTGATGAAGACAGCTGGGTTTACGCTGTCGCCTACCCAGTACTTCATAACGAGAGCAAAGGCCGAAAGCTGATTGGCTGTACCAATCATGTACTTGAAGCAATACGTGTAACCTGTCGCGAAGCCGAGTGCCGGGTCCACGAAGCGCGTGGCGTAGCCGCCGAATCCTTGAGCCAAGGGCAAGTACGAGACCATCTCACCCAGAGCGGTCATGATAACAAAAACGACCCAGCCGACAAGGATGTAGTCGATAAGGACTCCTGCCGGGCCTGACTTGGCCAGTGCAGAGCCGCTGTATCAGTGAGCCTCCGTGTTGAGGTAAAAAAACATAATGGTGTTGGGGCTTCTTACGTTCCAATGAGTAAACCTGTTCCCAGCGCACCGCCAAGGGCAATCATGGTCATGTGGCGAGTTTCCAGCTGTTTGTGGAGCATATGCCCTGAAGTATCTTCAAGGCTGACATGCTTCTCTGTCGGCTCGATATCCTCGTGCTGAGTGGTATTCGGCTGGGAGCCGATCTTGGAGTCGGACATATTTGCATCGGCCATATTTTCTCAAAGATGTTTGTCAGAATTAAGAAGTTTTTGGGCGGAATGGAAGAGACTGCTAAGTGTGAATCAAAGACGAAGGCATGATTGACCGGCATTTATATCCACATTCGATATCGTTGAATCCGGTGCCATGTGGCGGTCATCCTATCTCCTCCGCAATCTTAGCACATCGCCTCCCCATGGGGTTAGTAGTTGGTATATTTTCATCCAGCCAATCCGACCCCAACCTGGAGCTATCATTGCGCAAATTCTCGGCCACGTACTGAAACGGATAATGCTGCCAAACGAATACTAATGACAACATCCACGTAAGTAAAGGTTGGCATATTATTCCATACTTGATAAGGGAAAAGTAGAGTTTGTCTCCTTCGGCCCCAGTTAACTCCATGTTGTCCGCCCAACAATAGACACGATGACCCCCCAACCTTCATGGCTCCATGGAGTGGTAACGGTAACGCCCCATCCCCAATTAGGATAATGCTGATTTACAAGGGTTCCCGGGTGCGGGGCTCAACCAGCCCAAGAACCAGTCATGACCCTAGTGCCGACCTTACCGATGCCGGATTAGGCTTCACTCGTATTGGCTAGATATCAATCTCTTGTTTCGGGGTCCGGGGGAGTAATCTAGCAATGTGCTTTATCTAAGGGAGACCCGTCCTTCCACAGATGCATCCACAGAGGCAAGGTGATGTCGAAAATGATGCGAGGGTGGGTCAATTCGCCGCGAACTAGTAGTAGGAGTAAGCATCACTAACTTGCTCGGCACATCTCCATCTTGTTAGCCTTCTTTCCCCCGCATCCTCAACGCGCTCAATCAGGGAAGCATAGCCCCAAATTAAGCCCGGATGAGAAGTGCGATCGACAAGCAGTTGTGACAAGCACTTCAATGTTGGCTGTTAACTGGGTGTGGATGCTTGTGATCAAGTGCTTGGCGATTCGTGTCGTAGGACGCACTAAACCACTCTCGGTGCCGTTCTTTATATCTTCCCGACCGAAGGATTCAGACTAACAGAGCCTTTTGACAGAGGAGCTACTGTAGGCTAATAAACGCTAGCTTTCCCCTGTTGCGGGAGGCACGATAAGACCTAGAGCAATTACCTATAGTGGTAGGTGGCAATAAAGCGGGGTAATGCATGCGCCTATGTAGGGCTTGACAGGAACATATGTACACCCTGACAATAATAGAAACTTGGAGTAGGCTATCTTAACAGTACATAGTAAAAAGGTCAAAGACAAGGAGCCAGTTCAGACGAATAAAGACGAGTACCATTGCGCTGCGACAAATCCTAAATTCACATGGGCCGAGTTCAGCATTATCTCATTCCGTGCTAGTTGCTGATCGGAAGTTGCAGTTTCCGCCGAGAACGAGGCCAAGATGGAGAAACGAGTAGGAAAGTTGGATAACATGAGCTATAGGGTAAAAGGATGGGAAGTGATGCTTGGCTGTGAGATGTCTACTTAAACCCAAGTTCCTTCTCCCATCTGAAAGAAGTGTCAACAGCTCTCTATCAATCGCAATTTACCAGCGCGGTCCTGTTACAAGTACATCTTTTTCACCTTGTCGCGAAGCTCTTTGACGCTTTGCATCATATTTCAACATGGCTCTCGCATCCCCAAACGTTGTGGTCATTGGTGGTGGCATCGTCGGCTCGTCGATTGCCTGGCATCTCGCCCCACAAGCCAACGTCACCATTGTCGCTGAGAAGCTTGGTGGTGTCGCAACTCCATTATCCTTTGCCTGGATCAACTGTTATACAAAGGATGATACTTATTACCACTTCCGTAACCGTTCTATGGAGCATTGGATGGAGATCAGCGAGGAGCTGCCTGACCTTGACATCAAATTCAACGGTGGCCTGACTTTCAATATGCCCCCTGACGAGCTGGAGGACTACTTCGCCCTCCAGGAAGGGCGCGGTTATAATGTCGTTCGCGTTAACCGCACCGAGATTCACGACATCGAGCCTAAGCTATTAGACGAGTACACTCCTGACTGGGCTGTGTTCGCCCCGCAGGAAGGCCAGATGGAAGCGGAACTGGTCGCGGCCGACTTGATCTCCCACGCCGAAGCCTCAGGCGCCACAGTGCTCGAACGGACGGTGTCTGGCTTCCTCAAGGACTCTCACGGAAACGTCAAAGGTGTTGTTACCCCCGAGGGGCACATCAAGGCTGACCACGTCGTGCTTGCTGCTGGTCTTGGCAGTGTCGATCTTCTCGCGGCAGAGAACATCACGCTGCCTGTTCAACCCCGAGAGGGACTGCTTGTCAACTCAATTCCAGCCAAAAAGGGCAAAAAGGGCGAAAAGAGCCTGGTTCAGACTGTGTATAACGGCGACGTCCTGCACATGCGTCAAACCAGTTATGGGGTTATTAGGTCCAGCCGCGACTTTGCTGGTGGTTCCCCCGGCGATGACCCCCAAGCTCATGCCGATGAGGTATTCGCTCAGACCCAGGATGCATTGGCTGGCGGTCATAAGCTGGAGTATATCAATTACACCATCGGCCGACGACCCCAACCTGATGATGGATTCCCAATTCTTGGAGCCACGGGTTTGGATGGCCTGTCTGTTGCTGTTATGCACTCTGGGGTCACGAACGCAGCCATTGTCGGCCAGCTGATGGCGAAGCTGGTCCTGACGAATGTCACCGACCCTCTCATGGAGCCTTACCTTTTCAGTCGTTTCTAGATGTACTGTATGTCAGTATCATGTATGCTAGACGCAATGGACCACCGGACATCATATCGTCATGTACATAGAAATAGGAATGGGTAGTTGGGCGTGGGTAACATCGAACTAGAAACCGCGACCAGAAGCTAGAGTTTAAATCCAAAGAAAGTTTCCCAGCTATCCACCAACTCGGAATCAGGTCATCCCATCTAGGACGAAAGCCCAGCCGAGGGCCTACAGAGTAAGTATACAAATTTCGGAGTCTTCGCAACCCAGCATTTTCCACTTTTATTTCAACTTGTACGAAGTAACCTCTCGGCCTTCAAGCCGCCCAAACAGGTGTTCTTTGATTAAGAGCTGTGAATTGATTGGTGCCCGCATTCTAAAACTAGGCCACCAAGATTAATCTAGATTACTAAACTAGTTTAGCTGAATGAGATGAGGTGTGGCTCCTGACTTCAAACATAGATTGGTGCCTCAGGCCTTAAGACATCAGGATTCAATCAATGTTGGGTGAAATGCGTGTAAGCGTCGCGCCGGACACCACTCTGACATGTTCCCAAACCGAATCTACCAGCATCAATGCCGGGAGACAACTTTACATTCGTCGGCCTAAGCGGCCAGGCCGACTTAGATATTCGAGCGACAAACAAGCTTGTCAGATCCCATGTGATGCGGAGATACAGGCGCCAGCAGAAAGCGACAAAGCCAAAAGAAGACGACTCTCCACAGAGCGCCGAGGGAGAGTCAATTCCAGACCCGTGGTCTTCCGAAGATTTCGCATCTTTGACAATTTTCCCTTGCATCGGCGCTTCTTCAACCGGGATCACTTGGTCGTCAGACCTTTCGGCTGCATTCAGTCCAACAAGCCTGGCAAAGCAAAGCACAGCCACCAGAGAACAGCAGGCAGCATCAGCATGCCTCTCACCATCTAGTAGCCGAACATGGCTAGATGGCGAGATGGACCCCTTTTCAAGTCTCCCCATCAATATAGACCAGCGTTCACATATGTTGCTACAACGAAGTAAGTGCCCTAAACCTGTCCCCCCACCGATCGTTCCTCAATGTATCCATCAACAAGAACACTCAACCATGGTCTTCCCAGATGCATCATCGCCCCTACGGACTTCAGTTCATGCAGATCCATCAGGCGCCTACAGACGAATTTGCTGCAAGGATCCAGCCTGGCTGTTCATGCATCTGTACTACGCTGCCTGCCGATTTTCACAGTCGTTGAACGGATATAACCGTGAAGCAACGCAATATCTATTGCAGTCTGAATCTGCTATCAGTAATAGCATACAAGAATCACCTAATACGATCGATGACTCGACAATTGCGACTGTAGCATGCCTTGCAAATATAGAGGTATGTACGGAGGTTACGATGAAATAACGCTTCCTTGAGATACTGATCCTGCAGAATCTGAACGGTGAAGCCTCGACTGCGTACATCCACATGGGAGGTTTGAAACGGATGGTGCAAATTAGAGGGGGCCTGTCGAACCTAGGAATGCGAGGCATCATCCGTCGCATGGTCCTATGGTAAGTTGAAACAACTTCATGATTAATCTTGGATTTTAACACTTTACACAGGTCAGATTTACTCACTAGCTTGAACCTTAAAATCGTTCCTCATTTTCCACTTGCTCTTACTAAAAAACCGTTTGAACTGTGGCAATTTACTCCTGCCCTTTTACGAAACAACTACCACCTCACGACCAACCCAGAATTGGCAACCATTATGACCCAAAAGCATGGTATCATTGTCAGCCACCTGCTGCTCTCTCTCCATCAACTCACAACTTTTCTCAACTCGGTAGATGATGGAGAGCTACCGTGGGATGCTTGTTACCCCGATAGAGTGTACGAAGTGGAGTATAGCATAGCGCTATCCCTCTACGACGATCACGTTATCGCTGAAAATGACGACAAAGTCGAAGTCGGACGGTTACTGCTCCAGGCGGCGCTCCTATATATCTACTCAAACTTGCGGCAGACACCGGTGGGTGGGACGATTCGAAAGACTCTGCTCTGGCGTTTGAGAGCGTTGCTGAATAGTATGGATCTGGCATATCACTCTAAAAGGTTCACCGCAGAGATGCTCTGGGTCTTGATCATCGGCATCTCTAGCGCTGCTGGCGCTACTCGGGCTGAGTTCCTGGATGATGCTCGGGAACTATGTGTAGAAGCCCAGATCGGAAGCTGGATGGAGGTAACAGATATACTTAAAAGCATGCCAGTATTCCTCGATACTTGCATTGCAACATGCACAGGTATATTGCCACCCACTTCAACGGGCGAGGGCGGATTTTAGTTGAACAAAGGACAATTAATTGCCTCGCATGGCTTTAGCTCAAAGGGGACAGAATGAACTCGGTTATCCAGTGGCATGCGCGTAAAAGCAAGAATTATGCAGGCAGCATGCAAATGCAGTGGCTACAGCTAGGAGCGAAATCGGTTTCCTCTGTGTCGGATTCTAAAACTATGTTTCGAACGCACAGACCACTTCACACAGTACATTTTGTATCTAATATACACGTTATACATTGTCGAGACTTCTCGTTCCAGATGGATGTTTGTTTCCCTGAAGCCCGAAACCTGAAATCTGGAATCGACAGTTCTAATTAGGCAGCAGTAAGCTTCCGGGAAACATGGAACCGGAAGCCACGTTTTCCATTTTCGACTCCGCACTACTAGACCACCATCACAATGGCGCCAAACCTCGCGCTCTCCACTCATGAGCTGATTGAGAATATGATTAAAAGTACATACAGTTGGGAGCGAAATCGGTTTCCGCTCTGCACTCTTTAAATAATTCTGAGCACGGACCAGGACTACTTAGAGATACCGTATTTTGTATATGGGGAGCCAACTAAGCTATGGCCTGCTACCACACAGTATACGGTTTACGCAGAGACAAACAATATACCGACATGCATCGTTTCCGTGGGGTCGGGCAGATGACTAATCCAACCAAAACGAATCATGCTAATGTTGATGCCTAACTCCTTCACCTTAAGGAATGCCACGCCGTCATTATAATAACGTAGCAATGATCTTTTTGCTATTGCGCCTGATATGGATCCCTTGACCTCATTAAGTGTCGCAAGCAGCGCGATCCAAATCGTTGATTTCAGCGCAAGACTGTGGTCTCGGATTCGCGATGTTTACCAGTCCGAAACCGGCCGTTCAGACGATCACGAGAGGCTGCTTGCAGATGCCCAGAGGCTCCGTAACATGAATTCGGACCTTAGGGATCTTCTGACGCAACAAAATCTAGGCAGAAGTCTTTCCCCAACTGAGGAAAGCATTGTTTCCACGTGTACTGAATGTGATTCGGCCGCGAGGCAGCTACTTGAGGTATTGAAGGGTCTTTCTATACATGATGATGAGGTGAGGCCGGGAAGATATATAACTCGAATGTCCCCGCACTTACTCGTAGCTCAAGGGAGATAATCTTGATCCGTTCAGGTCTGGATCATCTGGCACTCATGCCACCCGTAGAGGCAAGTCGGTGCTAGGGTCCTCCTTGACGGGTAGCCTCGACTCCTTTAGACGCAAATGGAATGCAATCCAGACTGTCTCTCGAGAAATTTGGATGCGACGGGACATTGGCAAGCTTCTCGAGCGAATTGAGAGCCTGAAGCAGTCCCTGGCTAGTACCATGCTGGTAAACATCCAGTAAGCAATAACCTTCCCCCTGTTACTGTTTTTAGAATTCTAACGCGAACATAGACGAGAAATCGTAAAATCAAGTCGGCTGTCCCTGACCCCATCGGCAAGAGCACAGTGGAACGGCGCGAAGCCCATTGGCGAATGGATTGAGTCAAAGCATCTGGATACGGAAGATTGCAAAAATAAACTCATCAGCTCAATAATTCAAGTCGGTTATCATCGGCTGGAAAATGACGCAGTGACCGGGCCTGTGGTAATACAAGCGTGGTCCAACTCCCCGGCATCTAAAAGAATTCTCGACACGATTCTTGGCGTGTTGGAATACGAGCAGATGACGCATCGTGAACAACGAATCTCGGAGAATTTTGCTAGTACGTTCCGATGGATATACAAAGATCCGTCGTCCCGAAATCAACCTTGGGATAACTTCGTGGCATGGCTTGCCTCAAATGAGGGGATATACTGGATAACGGGCAAGGCTGGCTCGGGCAAGTCCACGTTGATGAAGATGCTTCATCGCGATCATCAGACGAAGAGCTACCTTCGTCGGTGGAGCAAGGATGCCCCGCTCATTTCCGGAGCCTTTTTCTTCTGGAACTCTGGATCTCACCTCCAAATGTCTCAAGAAGGCTTTCTCCGTTCCATTCTGCATCAAATACTTACGCAACGACTCAAGTTCTCTCTAGGACCCCTCCAAACGAGGCTGGAAGCCTTTGCTTTCTCAATCTACCAAGCCAAGATGACTGAATTGCCACGAAGCGAACTTATTCAGATTTTCCGAATTCTGGTTGAGGAGGATACTTCAGCCAAATACTTTTTCCTCTTCGATGGCCTTGACGAATTCGAAGGGGACAAGTCCGCACTGGTAACATTGGTACACACTCTTGGTTCACATGCCAACGTCAAAATATGCGTATCGAGCAGGCCGTGGAATGTGTTCGAAGACGCTTTCAGACGACAGCCAAGCTTGATGCTCGAGCGCTTGACTTTTAACGACATTGCGCTCTATGTGCATGGCACTCTGACCACGCACCCGGCGTTCAGGGAGCTTTCCTATGGAAATCCAGAATATGCAGCCGAATTAGTACGAAGCATTACCACTAAAGCTTCTGGGGTATTTCTTTGGGTAGTCCTGACAGTTCGGTCCCTGCTCGAAGGCCTTGCTGATGGCGACCCCGCCGCTGATCTTCAGGCACGGCTGCGTGAGATTCCAGATGAACTAGAAGAGCTGTTCGGAAAGATCCTACATGGGCTGAAAGGTCGATACTTCAACGACGCCGCACGCCTCTTCAAAATATACCAAGCGGCGGGCGAAATACCTCTCACAGTCTTGACTCTATCATTTGCGGATGAAGCAGAAGTCGAGTCGGTTCTCTCGCAATCTATCAGGCCACTGACTGCCAAAGAACGATTTCTCAGAGCGACATCTATGAAACGACGGCTAAACAGTCGATGCAAAGGACTCCTTGAGATCCAATACCCCCAAAACGAGCAGCATAGTGCCGCTGGTCTTTTGGACCAAAGAGACATCGACCATCTCCTTTCAACTTCGGCACTAGGGCCTAAAAGCACATCGGACCTCGAAAATTACGCCCAGGCCCTTGGTGATCTTACCATTCAATATCTCCACCGAACCGTCAAGGACTATCTCGAATCCTCGGACGTTTCACGCATCATTCAAAGCGCATGCTCCAACGCGACGTTGACGCCACAAGTGTCACTTTGCCTGGGACAGATCCTGCGGCTAAAGACCTTCGAGGCTTGTGATAATTCAAGATCTCTGTATCTTGATCGGTTGAAGCGAGCCTTGGTGGAATTTCTCGACTTCTCGTCGAGGTTATCTTTGGAAGATAAAACAATACACGTTCGAATGATGGACGTCGTCGGCGAAACAGTCGAAGTCGTCGGCATGCTGGCGCCCTATCCCTCGACGTTTTGGTCACAGTTATGTGACAAATCAGTCATTGGGATTAAAGTACCGGATTTTCTAGCCTTCACTGTTTACTATAACTTTCTTACATACGTCGAAGCCAAGCTGATACAGTCGAAGACTCGGAGAACACTCGCAACTCGGCTTCTCCACACGGCAGTCAGCAGATTCGACGAAGCTTATCAGATTCCTCTGCCTCCTTTTGACCCTAGAAGAGTTAAAATTTTGTCTCAAGACCATCCACAGATGGACATGATAATGCTATTACTTCGGTACGATGCCGACGCCGATATCGATTTTCAATCGAGTCCATGTGCAAGCATCATACATCGACGCGGAATGGATGCGTCTGAGGATGCAAGGAACTTCTTCGATGGTATTCTGAAAGCATTTGAATATCACAGGAAACCTAAACTCTTGACTAGGAAAATGGTGAAAGGTTTTTTTAAGTGATGAATGGAGGTCGCGAATCGTTTGTCCTTAGTTAATATCAAGCTAGCTATAATTATTTAACTGGGCGGGCTCTTCACTTACAAACTTAATGTCTCATCTAGAAACAACATTGACCTCACTCACTCAATAAGTTGTTCCGCCCCAATTCCACTTCCACCCCCAATTGACAAATTCCCAGTAATTGGTCCCATAGGGATCCGCATCTTGCCACCCGCCACAAATCCAATACCCACAACCCTCTCCACCATTCTCTTCGTAGCCAGTGCCCCCGCCATCACTACCGCTACCAGTGACAACGTCACTGCCGAGCCGGAGCGGCTTCCAGAATCTGCCACGCCACGCCATGAAATCGTCCGACTCGAATTTTAATTTGGTCCCCTCCAGCTGCATGTACTTCTTCAGCAAGGTAAACCACGCGCCCCACTGGATCGCCGCATTGAGCTCCAAATCACCGTAACCGTGACTGAGGTTGTGGCCGTGGTCGCGTCCCTCCTGCCTTGATCGCTCCAGCAAATAAGCCCGCATCATATCCTCCACAGGGCCGAGGAAGATAGTTTCGACATCCGATATGAGATCCGCACCTCCATGAGAGCCCGAATCCAGCCAGCACTGAAACGAGATGTAGAGGCGGCGGAGGCGCGGAAAAGTCTGTGGTATCATCTGGCAAAGGATGTGGAGTGGGGAGTCTGGATGACCCTGAAAATCTGGACCGGCGTCCCAGAGGGGCTTGACATGGTTCGGAAGTGGTACTTCGGGCCTTATCTCGGTGCTATTCAGCTTCCACAGGAGCTCGAGGGATGTAATCCTCTCCAGATGGTGACGGGGAATAAGGCGTGTCAGGTTGAGTTGCAAATCCAGGCTCGAGAAGTGGAGAGTGTTTGTGCTGTAGAGGACGTCGACGCCGTCGGCATAGCTGTGTGCACTCATTAGTTTCAATATCCCGTTTCCGAAGAGGTAACAACGACAGAGACCGCGGAGGGGCATGAATAACCTACGCCTGTCGACAAGCCAAAAGCCATCCCATGACCCCCACGAAACAAGCAGCACCGTCACTACTATCCGACTGCTCCACTTGACAGCTGCACACTGATTCGGATTCCTCGAGGCACTCGTCGTCACAAGGCTCTATCGTTCTCGAAAATTTGTTAGCCGCGTATCTCTGCTCCACCTCGATTTCGGAATACCCAGTGCGCCTGTGGCAAACGCAGCCGAACCACTGCCACGCCCGAGGCCGAGAGGTATCGGACACCAGTTCCGAGCCCAGATCGCAGTGCCGATGATGCATTCCCCGCGCCGCTACTTCTGCCCTCGCATTTTCTCCGGATCCGGATGTCCCCGCACTTCGTGGCTTCCGAACAAGCGGGTGACGGTACGATAAATCCACGTGCAACGTCCGCCCGCCAAACGCTTCGACGAGGATCTGGCGGCGTATTTCGTACGGCACACGGCCGAACAGCCCGTAGTTTTGCAGAAGTAGTGAAAAATCCGGTTCCTCATCCCCATGAGCTGACCCTCGTGTCAACGGTCGGCGTGTCTCAGGAAGAAAGGGGAGCGATTCTTGATGCTCGCGCACTGGCTGCTGCACTCTTTTCTTGGCCTTGGGTTTGGAATGCAGCTTGCTCCGGATCCATTTCCTGATGCCGGCCATTGGCCTTGTCGTAATGTAAGATGGAAAGATCGTGGTTTGCATGGAAGGATGGAAACGAGGTTTTGGTTCACCGGTACGAAGTACATGTCCAAGTCGAGCTGCCTTGCATCAACTGTCGGCTGACGTTCGATGTCGCTCCACGCCATTTCCACACGATCCGGGGAGACTCGGGAGTCCAAGCTCAAGAGTATACGGTGGATATACATCTGAACACTGTGTCAGGGGTGCTGGAAACGACGGTGTCTACAGTGCCTTACACCCTTTAAATACTGTCCAATCTCCGTGCTTGGCCCCCTTCGCCCTTCCCTGTCGTCGCTTCCTTGCTCATTCATTCTCCACTAACCGTGGAGGACAACGTACGAACTACTTCATGATGACAATACGAGTGAAGAATTTGAAGGACGCCGCAACCAAGGAGAAGGATTTGATGTGCGAACTAATCTGTCTTATGGGCGATCATCTTCACTTTGGCTGGGGGTTGCCTACATAACCCCCGAGTTCCTTATTATTTCCCCACCATCGACCTGGGTCAACCAGGTTGGACTTGATCCTCTTACCTTTGTAGTCTGTGAGTGACTTTCATTGCTTGCGCCCGTCAAGTGATCATTCTGACAGAAACTTAGCTTGCTATCTTCCATCTCTAGACCGCATGTATCGGCCTCCTCGGTAATATTACATATCGCGTTTGAATTTCGTGAGGCTTTTGTTAACGGAAACACTTCGTTTTTCTCTGCCTTATCGACCGGGTGTAGACCCCTGAAGCAGGACCAGAACCCGGACGTAAACTGGGACGTCCTCATATTCTCTCGCGGAAAGGAGCCCTCCTGCCTGCCAAGAGAGATATCAGCTCTTTGTGATCCTACGTCTCCTCCTTGAAACTCCGCGAAGCGACCTGGGAGACCCTATGGAATACATGGTAGGAGAAAGGGGCTCTCTCAGGGTCATCCTCCCCCCGCCCCCCCCCCCCCCCAAAAAAAAAAAAAAATACCCAGCGATTGTGTGGGCCAACTTGTACGTCCCAATTGCTCGCTCATCGACCATCTCGGGCATCCAAGTACCCCTCGTCCTAGGAATCAAAAAGAGAGCACCTCCTTCAGCCCATTAGCCAGATAGACTTGGGGGACATGGGGCTCATGCTTGCAGGCAGGAGAGAGACAGCTTGAAGGCTAGCAGTGCCCCTTAACTTGTCCCTCGTGTTTTCGCTCGGGTTGAAAGAATTATCAGCGAGGTAAGGAGAAAAGACAAAGGGAAGATACGGCAGACTTAAGGAGTATTTATCTCTGGCATATGCAATTTGGCTTTGCACTTCGCGACCGCCCTGATGTCGCTCGGTGGGAGATATCTTCTCCACCGCCATGGGCTCGTGTTGCTGGAAAGAGAAGAAGAAGGAGTTGTTAAACCGTGGTCTCACCATATGAGACATATGAGCCCTGGCCCAAATCGATGTGTGGTTTCGCCATACTTCAAAAGTTCCATGTCTCGACTCGGCTTGCCTGCTTGCCTCACTGCTTTCAATTTCCCAATCTAATACAGAGCTCGATGCACTCTGAACCAAGTCTCACCAGGTGGAAAGCTCCTGACCCCCAATAGCCAGATAATTTAACTCCTTTCGTTGCGGATTTTTCTGGGTCTCTCGAAGTCTCATGCAAAGCCTATTCCGGTTTCTCGATGTGCCGATTTCATCCCTCGGATTTCGGACAGAAGATTCGATGACTGGTACTATTACAATGTACAGGGATCACCTTAGACATACGAACATTCCCATTCCCTTGTGTCTCTGCCGATCTTGCATACTTTGTATCCGACCTAAACTGTAGGGCTGTCCACGGCGACACTGCGACAGGAAGAACCAGGCAAAACGCACACGTCCTGCGTTTTGCCATGAGGGGAAACCGCTGGAGCGCCTGCCTCTCATCGTCGATGACCTAGGAGAAAACATCAGGTTGGGTAGCGTTGACATTAATTCCTAGTGCAAACCTTGAGCAAATCATTGATGTCGCGGAGAAGGGGACACCAGTAACTTACTGGTAGTAGGCGATTTCCACGGCATGCTCATCTTCAAAAGAGCTGGGCTCAGGTGGAAAGTTCCCAGTCTTCATCAAGGATCGCCAGGGTCAGGGGGGTAGGGTCTCACCTGGCAATATGATGGCCGTTTGTGTCGTTGTGTCACACCTTCATCGATCGGCGAAGTATTATTCTCTCGTTCTGAGATACGAGCAAGAAACCCGAACAAAACTTCCCGATCGATCAAAAAAGGTGCTTCGGGTCCGTGGATTGTCCCACGGCTCTCGACAACAAATCCGAATGGCGTTGTGAGTCGCTTGTAATATTGCCGGTCTCGGATTATTGCCATGTCGATGCTATTTTGAGAACTTGGCGTGCGTCCAGATTATACGAAGTACGGAGCTGCTGCTAATAATCGAAGCAAGCAGCAATACATCGCAATTTTAGTCATAATATATTGGAGGAGACTTATTTGCTGAACGCGTGAATCCGCTGGGTCGATTAAAACGAAAGCAGCATGTCTCAGATGCGACGCGCCGCTGCTTCGGTTTGGCTACTCGAACTCGGGTGACGTCAAGAACGAAGTAAACGACGAAAAGTTGGCTGGCGTGATCTTTGGAACGAGCGAGACGAGGTTGGTTTTTGCCCAGTTTTTGGTCACTTCGGTGAGTTTCCAAGTCTCGGGCGCATTCCTATTGCTTTTTTCCCAAGTGCTTGCTTCTTGGCCGGCTCCCACAGTTCAGAATTGACCAACTGTCTGGCTGCTGTTTCTCAGCTGTTGCTTTTGGCAATATAACTCTAAGACATTACCCCTGGCTTTAGTCCCTCAAAACCTGCCTCATTGGTACTAGCGAGGGGATTTTCTGGTTCATAACAATGGGACGAATAGACCTATCGGAGGCGCTTTCGACATTCGGCCTCTTCCACAAAATAAAGTCTTTTCCAAACGATCGGTTCTTGTTCTTGTTCTTGGCCTCAGCTAGAACTCGCTCTCAACCGAGTGCCCGCAGATAAACCCTCGCCCCGATTCTTACTCATGGCTAGACCAGTCTGGGCTAGACAGCCCACTTGAGGATGCCGTCGCGCTTTTTTCTTCTTTTCTGGTCTAGACTCTAGCAAGGCTCTGGTGGTACCTGTAATTCGAACTGTCTCACACATTGTGTCACTGTCCTGACAGAGCTGGGAAAAAGCGTGCTTTGCGAAGTAGGCCGAGCTACGCACCGCACCTGTCCTGCTGCAAGACGGGCAATATTACTCCACAATTTTTCGCATCGCTGCTGAACGGCTCATCGCAATACCTCTCGCTGAGCTCTCTCCTTTTCGATTAGGCCGGTTTCACCCAGCACGCTTATGGTGCATGTTTCTACCTGCCTGGCACTAACCCGGGTGCTGAGGACTTGATCGAGTGTCACCAGGCCAGGCCATGGCCAAGGACACAAGCTCGGGTCCTCAAGCTTCGGCTTCTTTCAGAGTCAGGAAAATGTACTTCCGACACGAGACATACAGCACATCATACGAACGAGGGTTTTTGCCCGCCATGTTGTTACATGATCGCGCGTCCGCGCCCAAATGAAGATGGAGATTGGTGTCACAACTGCATGAGAATGTTTCTCTGTTGCCATCCGATCGAGATTTGCGTGTGTTTTCCCCCCTCTCCTCCTTATCCGCCAGAACCGGGTATAAAGTTGATGGGATCTCCCAGCTTCTCCATCGGAATATTCTTTCTTTCTCCATCACCAAAGCAAGCACTTTCAAAGCAATCCACTCGTTTCGGCTCATTCCTTACAGAGGCTTTGCCAACCTTCCACTCGCTTACAATCCTTTCTCATTCCCGACCTATACACTCTTTTTGTATACTGCGTCCTTGTAGCACACTCATCTTGTCAAAATGAGGCTCATCGACGGTATCTACGTGGGCTTGGCCCTCCCGGCTCTCGCCGCGGCTGCCAACATCCCGAGGGCTAACGGCACCGTCACGGACGTCGAGACTGTCACGACTACTTTCACCACCGTCGTGCCCACGACTGTCGTCGACTGCGGCACCAAGGGTGCTTGCACTACCCTCACCAGTACGGCTACCCAGACTGTAACTACCACTTACTGCCCTGAGGACTGCAAGGGTCCTTGGTGCCCTAAGCCTACTCCTAACCCCCCTAAGAAGCCTACGCCTCCTGGCTGGCCTCACAGTGGTGGCAACGGAGGCAATGGTGGTAACGGCGGTAACGGAGGAAACGGCGGTAATGCTGGCAATGGCGGCAACGGTGGTAATGGTGGAAACGGCGGCAATGGAGGGAACGGTGGCAATGGAGGCAAATGGGGCAACGGAGGAAATGGCGGTAACGGAGGTAATGGAGGGAACGGTGGCAACGGCGGCAGCTGGGGCCATGGCGGGGGTAACGGCGGAAATGGTGGTAACGGTGGTAACGGGGGCAACGGCGGTAGTGGAAGCAGCGGCGGCAATGGAGGTAATGGAGGCAATGGGGGAAACGGTGGTAACGGCGGCGGCAGCTGGGGCCATGGCGGTGGCAACGGAGGCAACGGAGGCAACGGAGGAAACGGAGGAAATGGTGGCAGCGGAGGAAACCGTGGCAGTGGAGGCAACGGTGGAAATGGAGGAAATGGTGGTAATGGTGGTAATGGCGGCAGTGGAGGCAATGGTGGTAACGGTGGCAACGGTGGCAATGGTGGAAATGGAGGCAGCGGAGGTAATGGAGGCAATGGAGGCCAGGGCGGAAATGGTGGAAATGGTGGCAGTGGCGGCAACGGAGGAAGCGGTGGCAACGGTGGTAATGGAGGCCACGGCGGTAACGGGGGCAATGGAACCAGCACCGGCGGCGGCAAGCCTGGCCAGCCTGGCCAACCCGGTCAACCTGGACAGCCCGGTGGTAGTGCTGGAGGCAGCCAGGGTGGTTCCAGCGGTGGCCAGGGCGGCTACGTCACTGCTGGCGCCGCCAAGGCTACGACTTTCTTCGGCGCTGGTGTCCTTGCCCTGGCCATGGCTCTCGTCTTCTAAAGAAGCATTATACGGGTTCCGGTGTGCGAATCTTCGGGTAGCATAGTCTATTGGTCACACACAGAAGACCGCAGACGGGTATTTTGACATTTACCTTTAATACAACACTTTTTTTTGTCGCTATTTTCTATTAGAATGTTTCAGATGATTGATTCCTCTCGAGTCTCTTTGAGACCCTAACATACAATCTTAATCTCCCCTTCCTGTCTCGTCCTTCCTGCCACCCACAGGTGCGGTGGTTAGAGGTAGTAAGAAAACTGCGCTTGGTTGGACCTGACCGATAGGTCGACGCGTTTTCCTTTATTAATTGGACTCCAACGGAAGCCTCGCCAGAGGCAACAAGTCCTCCGTGCTTGCTTTTTCTGGGCATAGGGCGTTTGACTAACACCTACTAGGTCTCGTCCCGGGACTCGGCATATTATCGAGGTGTACCTTGATAGAACAAGACTCAGCTCTGCTAATTTCCGCATGTCTAGGCTTACAGGTTCAAAAGATGCCGATCCCATATCACGAGCCCTGACATTGCTGGAAAAGTAAACATGTCTGCAGGGGGAACGATTGCCCGTACGCCTTAAGAAGTTTTCGGGTTTTAATGACGCGACCGCCCACGTCGCCGATATTATTCCCGTGCAATGATGAAAGGCATTTAGAAAAGCAAGGTTGAACCAGGCCTAGGCGTCCTACATTCCACTCTCCCTCATGGAGGTTCCACCAACAGGTGTTGCTAGGTCTATTATTCCAAGGGCATGGTTGGCCTGATGGTATCAACTGTCTTTACGGATGCCTTGAGGCATTGAGTCACCGAAACGTTCAATACGAGATATGTTCCGCTGCAGCGTGAGCCTCCCGTCCCAAGTCGACGCTTCAGAAGTGGTACGTACCAGCATAGTGGAAGGCCAAGTCTCCCTTTTGTATTGACTCCTTTAGACCCGTGAGAATATCTACAAGCTCATCCTATATCCAATTGTTTACTCCACTGCTACCAGTTATATCGAGAATAATTTCCCAAACCACACATAGATAGTCTTTGGCCTCCCGTGCGTAGAAGGCAGAGACGGCCGAGTTTGTGAGTGTCCTCCGATGCTTCAGTCTTTTGTCTTCTAGCAAGTCCATTGATGACGGCGCTGTCCTTGATGAAGGTTTATCTCTCTTCCCACTTGGGATTGAATAAGCTGGTTAAGTCTTTACTCGTCGCATGCCCTCTAAACGGCGTGTGTGCTCTGACTTGGGGAGTGGGGTCCCAACGTCACTTGAATGTGGTTGAAGACCAATATTTTCTTCTCGCATTTCCAGCCGTAATTCGGGATGGAGGCCAATCCGGTGGCGCAACGTAGGATCCGGCCTGTTCCTTGTCCTACCAGGAGGAGTTACAACGGGACCCTAAATGGTCATATGGCCCGCCGTAAGTATTGTGCCAGCTGGGCGGAAATTGCGATACCACGTCTCGCAACGCATTGGTGCCAAGACGATTCCCACTTCATTCCGGAAACTCTGGGAGAAAGGAGACTGTGAGAAGGTAATTCCCTGGGCTCGGCCGGGCTTCGTCCTCCTATACGGCCTGCATACTGAAGTCGGTGGGGAGTCAAGGGCCATGAGCAAACGAGGGTGTAATAACACTTTGGGCACTTACTCGTTCGTACTGGGAAAGGTAAATAACAAGGCTTTCGCCTTTGAAATGCTGCTAGCTACAAGTTAATAATGCTAATCTGTACGCCAGATCACCAATATCGGCCACTTGCATCAAGCCTCCTCGAGGTTTGCCGGCAAACGCAGTGGACGTCACACTCAGTGGGACATGCCGTGGACCCGCGGCGAACTCAAGCCGCCGCTCCACGCTTACTCCAGTGAGTGAACGCAAGGGCCACTGCCGGGGCAGCTATCTTCTCTTCTTCCTGGTTGAGCTATTCTATTAATGACCAGCAGGTGGCTCTTCCACCATCACGGCCAGTAAAAAGCCCAGCCAGAATTAAACCATAACCGCCCAGAGAGCCGCAAGCAATGCGAGGACCGCGGTCGAGCTGATGGAGTTGACGGCCGAACCGTTACCCGAGTCACCCGTCTTCCCCGAGTCATCTGTGTTCCCAGAGTCACCAGTCTTCCACGCCCCGGAGGGTGCATCGCCCACTCGGAGACAAGCTGTGCTTATAGTTGCGTTATCCCGACCTCCTCCTGACAGAGACCAGCCCAGAGTAAAGGCGACAATGGCGGTGGATTTTTGCTCCTCGAACGAGCGGTAGCGCAGGCGAGGAGCGGTATGTGTGTATGAAGCGTTACCAGAAGGCAGAGGGTCGTTGGTGATGGCGAAAAGGCTGCTCAGCCTCGCAAACCATGTACCTAGTATCCATCGTTAGCGAGCGTTATCGACAAGATACACACTGGTTAGTACTATACCGCCGGCCCACAGCGGAGTGGCGTATACTCCACCCAAAGCTGAACGGGGAGCTCCGGAGCCATCATCCCAAAGCACGTTCGGACAGTTGATCTTCGCAGGTGGCGAGTGGAAGAACTCGACAAGACTCTCACCGACTTTGTCGCCTACGCCAGTGAAAAGAGACTTCAGATCGCTCACGCACTGCGCACCCAGCAAGTTCTCACATCCGCCGTCGTTGCCCCCAATATCGTTCGTAGAGTTGGACTCGAGCGCCCAAGCATAGTACGCCCTCTCTTGAGAGGAGTCGAAGTTGACCGTGCTGTTGTCGTATTCGAACCAGAAGGCAATGGCCTGCGCCGGGTCGTCACCGGTGGGAGCTTTCAGTTGTTTGTCTGCGCTCAGAAAGTCCTGGACATCCTTGTCTTCGAGATTGTCGATGGCAAAAACCAAGGTCGGCGGCGAGGTGAATAAGGGCGCGAAATCGATCTTGAGGGACGCGCTCGCTTCGGCATTGATGCAATTACCCCGTTTTGAGTAGTCGCAGGTCTGGGCCGACGTCGAGCTCGCGAGCAAAGCCCCAACAATGGTAACGAGTCGCGATCGTCGTCCGGCAGCCATGATTTACAGGTGGCTTCGACGTTGGTGTTGTGGCTTCGAGATAGAAGAGTTGACCAGGAGGACGCCAAGCCTGGAGAGCGACGCAACACTCAATAAGACTTAAAGCGGGTTGCACCCGTGACTCTCTACTTCGATCCCCGTCAACAAGATGGGTTCTGCCATTGCTTGAACGGTGATAGGCTATCTCGGGGTAATGAGCATGCAGGCTTATGTGCAGGGGCTTGTTCTTCCCCTGAATCAACGCACGGATTAATAAAGGGCTAGCCCGAATTCCGGTATGCCTCGGATGCGAACTCAAGCAAGATGTGGAACTAGAGATCGTCGATTTCTCATTGGCTTCTCTACCGTTACACTTGCTCCCGTCATATTACCTCTATTACATTGGATAATGACGAAAGACGGGAGAGATAAAAAAGAACGATCAAATAAGTCTATTTCTTAAAGTGGAGTAGTGCTGTTTGAAGGTCGACGCCACTTGCGCTCAATCTCTCAAATCGAGTCTGGTGTGTTTGTCGTCGGGCTCAAATCCTGCATGATCCTGTGCAATTTGAGGACGGGAAGTTTGATTCCGCTCCAGTGGGCTATTTTTAGTGAAGTGGAATGGCTCGGTCCTGCCCTCCCGCTCCGCTCATCATATTGTGAGGAGAATGAATGTCCAGATGAGGCCGGCGATGTTGACGCCCAATTCTGATGTTGTCCTATTACCGGCAAACGCGTACAAGGTCCCTCAGCCTTGACATACTTGTAGATAAGGTAGATTAGATTGAGCTTGGCCTAGCTTCGATTAAAGCTGCTGGACGACGCTGCTGGAAGAGACATTTTTCTCGGTTGATTTAGAAGGCTGCCAATGACTTAACCACTTCAATTTCTTAAGCTGCTGCAACGCTCTCTATCTAGGCTATGCGTTGCGTTCTAATGATAATAAAGCCCAAACTTTGGCGTTGTCCCCCCTTTAAGGCGAGCCTTTTTTGCCCTGGGCCTCGCGCTATCCAGCTTATGTTCCAATACCCCATCAAGTAGTACAATGTCTCTCGTCGTTCAGGTAAACGACAGGTATCATCGTCGCGTGCAGCTGCATCGCTTCAGTTTGCGAGTGCCGTTGCGGCCGCTGTCATGGCCTTCATAGCTTGATCGACACTTGCCCGAGCTTCCTCACCAACGTCGTGGCGAACCTCTTCAAGCCTGCGCTTCCAAAATCCCCAGCGCTCCAGATTCAGTCCTGAGTGACCAGCAAACAATTCACCGGCCCTGTACGATACCTTCACGGCTTCATCGACGTCGTTCTTCTCGAGAAGACACCGTCGAAGGAGGTCTGGTGCCGCTTGGATAATCCACTCGCTGGCAACGGCGACTTTGCAGTCGGTGGCGGTTCTGTCAAGGCTCGGGTCCTCCTTCTGTTCGAGACCGTGCCTCAGCTGCCAAATTGGAAAATTTTCCCATCCGGCTAGGCCTACCCCGAAGATTCGTGCAGCAAAGGAATTCAGGTTTAGCCACTCACTGTGTGAGTATGTTTCCTCCTCGCCCTTTACCGTCTCAAATGTCGGATCTAGGAAAGGGTGTCAGAAATGTTGAGATTCAGGTTAATGATGCATACGGATGTGAAGAATGCCCGTACCTATCCAATTATCCCTCAGACATCGTCCTAGGTAAGGAAACTTGGTCCCAGTCTCCACGCGGTCAAGCTCTTGAAGGGCCTTGGTGATAAGTAATTGGCCCCTGTGGCGATAAGGAACATGCTTTGCAGCGCCAATCAAGCCTTCCCATATGATCTCAAAGAGATACTCCTTCCGTTCCGCGGGTAGCTCTGGAGAAACAAGATTCTGCAGCTTCAGGGCGATGGTCTTTGCTGCCTCATCCAGAGCTACCTCGGAGGTAGTCTTGGAGAGGGACTCGAATGCAGTTTCGAAGGTTGCGACCACAGCCTCTTCTTCGTCTCCAGCAAAGCCCTGCTCTTTGAGGGGTTGGAGGTTGAACTTATCGTCGGCCATGGCAATAGTACGGCTCTTGGTTTGTTGGTCAATTTGTCTTTTAAATGGTTGGGCAAGAGAGAGTTGGCAAAAGTGAGAAATATCGACGACGTCAACAGCCTTGGCCGGTGGCGACAAGAATATTTGGTTCTAGGGATATGGGGAAAGGGAAAAGGCGTACGAGGAGCGACTGCTGGTGCGGGGTTGTGAACTTGTGAGCTTGTGTCACGCAAAATGTTATGGCTGAAAACGCTGTTTGAGCTGATAAGCCTGGTAGTAGGATGGTGTATAATCCAGGAATTCCTAGGCTTTCCAACCGGATTGTTCGTTCCATTAAATATTAGCTCTTCCCTGTCAGCGATCACTGGAGCTGTGATTCACTGGAGCTACGGTTTACCATTTTATGGGTGGACCATCGAGAAAAATCAAAGTTGCCTGCTCCAGTTTACACAAACTTCTGATGGGTTTTTGAAAATAGCTGGAAACGCTATCTGAGTCGAGGAGCCCGATGGATATGATGATGTAGAATCTAGGAATTCCTAAGTTTTCCAGCCGGATTTTTTGTTCCACTAAATATTAGCTATTCCCTGTCACCGATCACAGGAGATGCGGTTCACTGGAGCTATGATTCACTGGAGCTATGATTCACTGGAGATATGATTAGAGAGATTAACAAAGGTACCTCAGAGAACCTATCGTTTCCGGCCTAAGAGGAATGATGCCCAGCCACAACCTAGAGAGGGAGACGGGACACCGCGACCTGGAGCAAGCAAACTCGGCGAGCAAGGCAAGGGCAGTATACAATAACATCGACATGGCTGCTTTCAATGCCAGAATACCAAGCGCCCAATACGAGAGACATACTAAACTGGACGAGAAACGTTGCTGCTCACCAAGGGCGAGCTCGGTCCTTTGACTCCTTTCAGCGGCATCAGCAGGATGCAATTGTGATCAGTCTTAAGACATTGGCGCTTCAGGGGCATATCAATGATGCTACCGCCGAGCTCGCCCACACCGGCGGCCGTCCCGGTTGTGGCGGCGCTCTAGATTGAGGCTATTCCCACTTGGCTGATCTAGGCATGTATGTTCCCTAGCGTGTCCTAGTAGCATGCTAAGCCGTTCGAACTGAGGGACAAAAGCCAAGCCAGGCCGTAGTGAATTCGCGGCCCTTTGACCAGTTGACCCCGGCGGTTACGGCTGCCAAGGCGGTAAGCGTGCCTCGACTTCGGACCCCTTGTTCCCTTTGGGCCCTGGTTGTGGTGGGAAATAGTGGCGTATGGCCCATGAAATGTGCGTCACAACAGTGTACTCGGTAGAGAGAGGTTTGCGATAAAAGGATAGAACAGCAACGCTCGATAGAGAGGCCAGAAGGCAGCCATCATGTTCTTCCCTGTTTAGCATTATCATGGACTACTTTCACCTGACAGTTTTCGATTTCTCAATTTGGTTGAATTTGGGACATTAATATTGAGGATGAATTCAGCAAGTGATTGGCGAGATCATAAATCAAGTCTTTTACGTTCCCTAGTATAGCTAGCCATAATTGGAAACCGTATCCATTGTGGTGTGTAACATTTCAATGTTGGGAACCATTTCGGTTCAACGACGGACCTGTGAACTGGCACTTTGACACGGGAAAAATGCACCCATGGAGAACTTGCGAGTAGTTGGGCTCCAAAGAGGTCACCTTGACACCTAGAATGTCTATTTCCGCGCCGCCCTGCCTTTCATCAGGCAGCGAGAAGGCGAACCTGACGAATGTGCTAAACATGCCGGCACATTGGTGTGACACCACTGGCATCAACAAATAAGAAGAGTAGAAATTGGTATCACACCGGTAGGCTCAAGCCACCAACGCGATCAACTGACTATAATGCATACATTTATGCTTCATCTTTTCACCAACCAAAAGCCGTACCAGGGAAGTCCAATATGTGAAGTGTCGGATGCAGTGTAGGGGGCTAGGTTTCGCGAACTGTTCAGGGATTGTCCGTTCTTCCCTTGCAATATTGTTGGAGCCGGCGCCATACCAATCGAATCCACTGGCAACCCACCATCGTCCGGAATCTTGGGATCTTAATGCAATGACGGCCTACGCGCAGTCGCCTTGTTTTAATGTCACCATTGTCCAGATCTGTGCTTCGGTGATCTATATAAGGGTAAGGCTAGGAGCACTCGTTTTGCACTTTACGCCCTGAAGCCATCGCCACATTCTCATAGCCATAATCCCTTCTAAACCGTCCGACACTAGAACCTCCTCATCCCACACTGAGTAAAGATGACCGGCGTTTCAGGAGGCACCGCTACACATCCGGAATTCGTCGTCACCGTCACCGACACCGACGGACCGGCTAAGCCGCACAGCCCCAGCCCAAATGAAAGGAGCACCTTCAATGGCAACGACACTAGTTTATTACCATCTAACAAGGGAAACATTCCCCTTCGCCGGTTTCTCAGACAACACGAAATCTCCCATCATGGCCAGCGGCATTACTGGACAGACAAGTTGATACGCCACCTCATGACCAGGGAACAAGTCGAAAATGAACTAAGCCGGAGCGAATATAATAAAATCAAGGACCAGGCGAAGAAGGCCTACGTCGACATCGTTTGCCCACCAGAAGGCAGCTCAACATCTGAAACGTATTTCAAGATATTTGCAATCTTGGTTCTAATCGAACAGGTGGAAGCCTTTGACGGTTTTGTTCGAGATCGCGTCTGCGACCAGAGCTTACCTCTTGTGCCCATGAAAGGTCCATGTGGGGAAGAGGAACTCTGTCTCGAAGCAAATCCTGAGAGCCCTCTCAACTGTTGTACAAAATGGAAGGACTCTGATAAGATAGCCTTCGAGAGGACTCAGTGGGGGGTTTTGACTCCATACTTCGACTTGAAGAAAGATGGGTCATGCAAAGAGTTCGATCTCAGACCGGACACAATCCTCCCATGGAAAGTCTTGCCGGGCGACGTTATGTCCGGCGCATATGGGGATGTTTATCGAGTCGAAATTCACCCAACAAGCCATGGGTTCAGCCAAGTCCTGAGAGGTGTATGTTTGCTCCACGACAGCATCCCCCACGGATCTATCCATCCGAGGCTAACATAAAAATTGAAGATGAAATTAAGCGAGAGCATTTTAGCTATCAAGAAGCCGCATAAGAAGAATGAAGATCACTTCCGTAGAGAATTCGAGCACCTCCAGCGGTTCAGCGGTCGTCAGAACCCGCATCTGGTGACTACATTGGGGGCTTTCAAGTTTCAGGACCGGTGGAACTTCATCTTCCCAAGCGCCGATTACGATCTTGACACCTACATGAGCGAGAAGCATCCAGCGCCGCCTCCGTGGGAATGGGACACTGTCTGCTGGGCTTCCGAGCAGCTCCACGGGCTCATGGGTGCTCTGGACACGATCCATAATCCCGTACATCTCCATCACAATCCGGTCAAGCTATACGGGAGGCATGGTGACCTTAAACTTGACAATGTTCTTTGCTTCCAGTCCTCCGCAACGAAGTGGAAGATGTTAGTAATCACCGACTTCGGCCATTCCGCCTCACATCGCGACACGAGCCGATCCAACATTCCCGGTAAGGAGGTTCCCGGTGTGCCCGGTTATCGGCCCCCTGAATGCGATATCGAAGGAGGCACTGTATCTAGGGCCTTCGACATATGGACTCTGGGGTGCCTATTTCTAGAGTTTGTGACTTGGCTTCTCGGGGGCAAGGAACTTGTCGAGTGGTTCAATGAGAAGAGGACAACTCTATTCTATACGGGGATAAAGAACAACGTGTTCTATCAACTAAGGAGGGCCGACGAAGGCGGAACTACCTATGTGGTGCAAGTTAAGCCCGAGGTGACGGAGGTGAGTTTCAGGCACCCCCCAGCCCAACTCGCTCCCACTCATGAACCCTCTGTGTGCCGGATTCACGCTAACTAGTAGTGGCTAGTGGATTGGAAACTTACGCAACCATCAAAATTGCTCCCGCTTCATTCACGATATACTGTCCCTCATAGAAATGGAAATGATCGTCGTTCTCGAAGCGAACCGACAACGGTCTTCCTCTGGTATGCTGCAAATGAGGCTACAAGAAATTCGACAGAGGTGTGAAAACGACAAGGCATATGCCCTGAATGGTTGTCCCGAGCTTAAAGGCCCTGAATATGGGCCGGCCGTCGAGGTCACACTGAATGAGATGGCTAGGCATTTGATCGGTGATTATGGCTCTGCTCTACCACTTCATGAAGGACTCGCGAATAGGGCCATGTCGGAGATGCAACTGCGCGATCTAGGAGACAGTTGAGGCCTATCTCCCCCACTTTGAAGACAGAATGACGATGTATTGCGATTTATTTGAGTAGATTCGAACAACAAGACTTATTTTCATCAGATAGTATTCCAATCAACATCTTTTGATTCTCTTTAAATCAGTATGAAAGCCCGGCGACTCCGGCCACATGCAGTCAAGTAGGCGACAACTTGAATTGAATGCGAAGTGCTAGTAATGCTCCCGGTCCTTGACGGCACGTTGCATTACTTCCGTTTCTCTCTGACATGATATGTTAGACAGCACTCTTGTTTCTCGGGCAGATCAAGCTACAACGAACCGAAGTCAGTTCACGCGGGATAGTACATTGAAACCTTCCTCGTTTCCACTAATGCTCAAACATTTAGCGACCGAAAAGAAATCTGTGGGATATCGTGGCGGGTCATACTATGACCGTTGATTTTCCAATACCGAATATGCGCGTGAAGAATATCTCAAGAGCGTTTTGCTCCGTGTAGGTAGCACGAACTAGGACAACAGGCATGACGACAGACGGCCGCGGGTGGCACTTCTCGATCAGTTTCGGGGTTCGCGTATAAAGTGCCAGCAAATTGAGATGAGGTGAGAAGTGAGGAAGACGGGGTGCTCTTTTTGTCGATCACGAGGTTGCCAGCAGAGCAGGTGAAGTTAGCGATCTGTCTGATAAGCTAGTGATCCAGCCATATCTACGACGAGCAGAGTAGATATAGTACTTAGAGGCGAAGGGGGAAGCGGCGACACCCTGCTGCTGACCGCTCATCTGCCGGAGTGGGCGCTCCCAGTCGGGTCGAAATTCGAACCGAGGAATGGAGCAGCGCCACGTTGCCAGCGCAGCAGCAGGTTGTGTGCAGCTCTTGGCTCGGGGCGCTGCTTGAGCATATCCGTCCCATGCGCCATCTCCATTGATCATTGTAGTACCTTGGCCCTACAGTTCCTTTCCGCATAGTTCTGATCCCTGAGAATTGGGATTCGACACCTCGTTGAGGCTTCTCAGTGAAGTGCGTGTCTTACGTGCTCGCCGTGGGCCTCCAGACACGTATTATATACTACTAACATTGTTTCTCGTTAGTGTAAACAGCTTGAATAGATATTAGTTCTTATCAGAGCTTCTTATGAGAGTTAGCTTATAAGTATTATTTATTAATTAAATTTCAATATTATATTATAATTAAATATAATATTATAATAATTAGATAATTTTCTTAATAGTTAAATATATAAACTTTAAAAATAAAATATTATTTTATTTAAAACTTATATTAATTTTTTATATTTATATATATATTTAATAAATTTTCGCTTTATTTTTCTAGTGATAAAGCTAAGTTAGTACCTTATAAAAACCTGCTGTTCTCCAAAATTTCATGGTTAGACCGAGTAAGTCCTCTCTCTGTCTGTGGTACAAGTAAAATGCAAAAATAGGATCTTGCAGAAAGGGTGGAGGCATTGGCTTCAAATTTCGCTGGTCGCGGGCTGCCAAGATGGGGCGGTGGATGGCGAAGCCGGTGTTGAACTGCCCATCGTCGCCGCGTTTACGAAGATGGTGTGTGGCACTGGGAGCCCATTGGGTGTTGGGCTGTTAGGTGAAGACTGGCGTACGTACAGTAGGCGGGCGAAGAAGGGGTGTGGTGACAAAGGGTGGGCAGCTCCGATTTGGGCTTTCGAGAGGCATTTCTCTTCCGAAAACCCCCCATCTGCATATATCATACTGTGAAAGCGTATAGAAATCTTTAAAATCCCTGGCGATCCATGAAGTCGACGAGCTTGCCCGTAAACTTTATGAATTGAGAAAGTCTACTATGTACACGTGTATACGTGTTTTGCGGGACAACCGAGAATCAAGATCTCTTAATTTAATACCTCGTTATGTTGAGATAAAGCGGCTTGGACACCTCTCACTGTGGTCTTAGCCCTGAGAATTTGAGGTCCTTGTGTACCTGTACACCCACGTGACGAAAAACGGCGATCTAACTTCGCCTCCCCCAAGAACGAGGCGAGTGAAGCGAGGGAGGAGATCTAGGAGAAGAGAAACTTGTCAGCAACCCATTTTCAGAGAATTTTTCTTCCTTGCCCCTGTGGACATGGACTGGCTTCAAGATAATGATATTCTCGATGTCGATACATCGGGACATGTGTTCAAATACCAGGAAGGACCAACAACACTTGTGCGCCTGTCGCCAGTGCATACGGTGAGTAGATTGGATGGCGGAGGGTCCAGATGAGGATTATACCTGGTGCGTACTCCTGACCATCGTATAGACTCCTTTGGTATGGCACATGCACAATAAGTGCGACTGGGATGACTGGTTTGAGACGGTAAGCGCCCAACCTTGCTCATTTATTTCAAGTATACAACACCGAAGTAGGAGATCAAATCTAACCTCTTCGCAGGAGCATCCGGGGCTAAAGGGGTCCTCCTCTGCCCCCGGGCTAGTATTGGTGTACGTGATGTGACGCACCTGGTGGCTCCATTGCCCGATGCTAACTTGACAAAACCGACCTCAGTCTGGCTAAACGCGCTGGGGAAATGACCTTTCCAAAAATCAAGAGAGCTAGTTCCGGTGTCTGGCTAGAAAAATTAGACCAGGCACCGAGTAGCCCCACAGAAAAGTCCCTGGTAATGTCGGATCCGAGTAAGAGTGGCCGCAGAACCATGCAGATTCTTCCCTTTTCAAAGCAGCTGTTTGGCAAGATCGCGCGTGAATTCTATATCCACAGTTCGATGGCGCGAACGGTAAGCCGGGCTGATGTCTCCTCATTCTCGGCTGCTGATCTCGTCATCAAAGATCAGAATGGAAGCGCATTCCCAGCATTTGGTAAGCCAATTGTTGCAAAGAAGATCAATATCCCCGAATTTTTAGCTCACCAATCGTTATAGTTTATACCTGCCGGACGTCCAATGCTTGGGACAGAGATCTGGCTTTGTCTGCAACGTATTTCCCTCATTGCGGCTTAACCTTTGCGGTCATGTTCGGCTGCACGGTGTCTGTAGAACAACAAGTAATCAAGCGCTTAGAAAGGGCAGCTCTTGAATCGTGCCACCCACTTTTGGTTCCGGGGATACTAGTGGAACTGGAGAGATCGCGACATATCTCTATAGTTGAAGAAAGCATCGATGAGCTCGAGACGCGAATACTTGAGTTGAGCTCATTCTCTGAACAAGTGGAATCCCTATCAGCCCAAGAGCAGCTGGCGCGAAATGAAGCGAAGAGATCAGCATGGCTAGACACAACGTATCTACGCAATCACCTCATTACATGGGTGGCACAGCTCGAAAAGCTGTCACGCTGTCTAGACGAGCTGAGTGAACACGGTTCCCGGCGTAATACAGCGGAACGGATCAACATCGGTGGTAATATAGTGCTCATCGAGTCACTGGGTCTAGAAGACCGACCGTTATCGAGGCTCACACTGTCTGAGAAAGCCTTCGGCTCGTTGAAAAGAACTCTATTTGATACACTGCCGGAGAAGGGGATTAAGGGGACACAACTACAGACACACTGCTCTACAGATCTCTCAGGTGTGACCAAAGACACGCTGTTGGAGAACAGGATCAAAGGAACAGAACTACAGACACACAGCTCTCCAGATAAGAGCCCCAACATACCCGAAGACACACTGTTGGAGAAGGAGATCAAAGGGACACAGATACAGGCACACTGCTCTACAGATCTCTCAGGTGTGACCAAAGACACGCTGTTAGAGAAGGAGATCAAAGGGACACAGCTACAGACACACTGCTCTCCAGATAAGAGCCCCGACGTGCCCGAAGACACGCCGTTGGATCATAAGGTTGTCACCACGGACTCCAACACAGACCTAGCTCAAGAGCAGATGAAACGGATCGGAAAGAAAATCAAGGCTCGCGTGCTAGATGTTATTGATGAGTACAATGACAAAATCCGAGACTGTACTATGAGGGTCGATGGCATGGCCATGTCGACGCAATGGGTAGTGTCACTGATTCCCACACCTTACCTGTCCATAACTAACCCTTTACGTGAAAAAAGGCACAAGGTGAAACTAGCGTTGAGATTGCGACCGCCACTGGCCGAGATTCTCGACATATGAGGTCTATTGCGCTTGTTACAATGATTTTCCTACCAGGCACATTCTTCGCGGTACGTTGTGTTATATCATTTCAAGACCAACTTGACTGGAAGTCAAGTCACCGACTAGAATCACATTAACTGTTGCTGTTTTACTGCAGAGCGTATTCTCCATGACCTTCTTTGACTGGAACGGCTCTGGAGACGGCAATATCGTATCTGGGTATTTGTGGATCTACATCGTCATCGTTTTCATCTTTACAGTGGTGACGCTGGGCTGCTGGTGGTACTTCGGCGTCCACCGTCGTTTACGACGACGCAAGGTTGAATTCGCTTAAATTGTCTTGGGATTGTACGGCCAATTAAGTAGTTGATAAGGGGGCTGTTCCTATCTCTCCCCACCTGGGCCTGTATATTCACGTTCTTGATGGTCACTGACTTGATCGTGCCCAAAAGTCGTCTCCTCATTCTCGTGGACGTTCCGGCTTTGATAGAACGTGACTTTCTGGCGGCGATCGAGTAGACGATATGCGCATTCTACTATTGTGAATTAAAACCTACGCATCGGAATGATCGGAGGACATCGAGCTTCAAAGTGTGCAAAGGCTGGATTGAAAATACCATCCCCCCCTTGACCCTCTGGCCCCTTGAGGCCCTAACGCCGTCGTTTCTGTCCTCGTTATAAGGTCATCTTTATGTTGAGCCGAGTCAGTGCAGCTCTGACAGCAACACCCCAAACGGAAAAAGAAACAAGACCTCGAACCTACAGAAAGCAGGTACAAAGCTGCTGCAAGAACTGACGGACATCGATACGCAATTCACTGAAAAGAGCAGACACTGAGTTAGATCCCAGTCACTTGGAACGAGAACTAACGGATAAAGGGCTGAAATAGCAAGAACTGTAGATGACTGTGTACTTGACTACAGGAAGCCGAATAATAACATGATATTCATGATGAGCCGTGAAACCAAGAAGTGAAGGAAGCAAGAAAAAGAAGTCTTCACTCTTCTGGATCCGGTTCTTCTCCCCTCCACCCAGAGTTCGTTCCCTTTCTTGGGGAAGAACAAATATGTGCCTAGATCAACACCTCGGTCACTGTCCCGATGTTTTCATCATATTTTGCACAAGACTAGTGGTTGACTATGTGTACTGAGACCCTTCCGTTGCGGCTGTCGACATCGCTGATATAAAGTTTCCTATGCGAGGAGAAAATAAAAGTAAGTAAGTGCAAAGAACAGTCGGTGGCAATCCTAGATGGTACTGACCAAGTCGAACTCCTCTTCCGTCTCGATATAGTAAACGTTGTGGAGCATCTTTACTGTTAGTTCTGGCATATTAACCTAGATCGATTCTTCTTGGAAGCCAAAGGATACCTTAACGTTGAAAGAGGCATCCTGGCCAAGTAGCCCCTTCAACTCCTGCAGCAGCCGATGCGGTGTGGCATGATGAGTGTGGAATTGCGTGCAGACAGTCATTTTCCACGGGTTGAGGTGATGTGACGGAGACGAACCGGAAGTGGCTCGAATAATTCGAGAGACTTGAAAAGAGTATTGAGGTTTGAAGATTAAAGCGGTGGATTCGGTGCTCCTGCCACCGAATAATGATGTGAGAATAGAGCGGAGACGCGACCTTGCAGATTTCTGGGTATCCCTTCGCGAAACACCACGTAGGTATATTTATAGCTGTCCCACTGCAATGTAGTTCCATGCGCCCACCTTTTCCAGCTGATGCTTGACATCGGTGACACCCTTCACGCGCAAGCCGAACCAATCACTCCTCACTTTCAAGGGGCGAGAGACGAAGTGGAAATACTGTCAGGGCGAGGAGCGGAGTGATTAATAGGGCTTAACCACTCAGAATGATCTGCCAAACTTGTGGCTTCTGGAGTCAGTCACCAAGACCTAACAAATGAGAGACAGAGAAACAGACCTCTCACCCATCTACGTAGGACTCAGGTCGAGGAGGGGGAGTTGGGGGGGTGGCCAGGCTAGGCAAGGGAGGGTGTCTGAGCATTGCGCAGCGCCACCGCCAAAGTCCTTTACGAGCAGACATCCCGATTTACGAGCCCGGGTGGCCAAACCGGCCTGGGCGTATTAATGCTTCGCCGCTGCAAGGACGCTACCTGAGACGATCCCAGCCAGTAGTTTACCTGTATCCATGTCAACAGATCGACGCCACGACAGAATGCTGCAGAAGATACATAGCAATTTTTAATACACATCGAAGAGAAGAGGAAGAAGTCCAGGCTGGATAGCGACAGGCACTTCTCAGGCAGGCTAAGCCATCTGCAGTATCCAGAGCCTGACCGGGGTTTGGGCACATCATCGCAAAAACACTCAAACATGAGGCGAGAGATAAATGGGGGTATCAAATGATCCCTCATCAATCCTCCATTTGCTCACCGTCGACTCATGGGAAGACGAAAACATTTTCCTTGAACACCATCGTACTGGTCAAGAGTGCCCGGTATCAGGCGTCAGAGCTGACCTGGACTTGGACCTGGCAGCCTGGCAGAAGCCATTCAGTCTCGAACAATCCTTCGCATGACCCCACAGAGATATGGACGACGAATCAGAGATGGTAGCCATGGCGGGTCGGATCGCATCAACGAAAATGGAGTCCCACAGCGTAATGGCCCAAGAAGACCTCATGGCGTCTTCCATCAAAAGCATCAATGCCCAAGGAGCTCGCGACGATAAATTGACTTTATCGAATGGCCTGGCAGAAACCATTAGGGCCAACACACGTCGCTCCAACCGGCAGAACAACCACCGTGATCCGGATCGGGCTCCAAGACTACCATCGGAAGAGACGACGAAGGTTGTGCAATCGTCGGCTCGCTTGATCAGAGACTCACTAGTTCCATCAAAAAAACTCGATGGCGGTGAGACCGAATTTCTACCACTTGATAGGCTAGAGGAAATTGTCACAGAGGAGCAAGTCTCTTGCGCTCTTGCTGATATGCTCCCCGCCAGCGGAAAGCCACCCACGTTTGCAAGCATCGCACGGAGCGTTGTGTGCCCAGTCGACGACACAGATGCGGAACGACCCCGGCATCTAAGAACAAGGAGACAACTATTTGCTATCCTCTTATTGGTAGACAAGGTCGACACCATCAGCGATTTCATTAATGAAGGTATATATGATAGCGATCTCCCTTTTATTCTCGGCAAGGATGAAAGGGAAGGAGACAGCATCCGGACACTCAGCCGCATGGTCGAAGGAAAGAAACAGACAATCGAACTGTTTCTGAGATGGCGTGATGTTGACATGGAATCATTTCACCATCAGCAATGGAAGGTCAATATCCCCGTTTTCCACGTCGACGAGAAAAGGAATTCTAAGGAACCCCTCCACACTCTCAGTGACAGAGCTATTTTGCCTTTCTTGGACGTGGTGAAGGCGGGCAGGGGATATTCTGGTGCTGTTCACAAAGTCGAAATACATCCCAGCCACCACAACCAGCCATGCGAACCAGTAAGTAGGAGAGGCTTATTTCCTAATCTTGGCTGCCTGCTTCGTCGGAAGAGACTATTAATATAACGGGACAACTGACAATATATCTCAGGGGAAAAAGCTGTATTACGCAGTCAAGAAGATAAGCTCGTTGAGCCAGGAGGTTAATATCACTGATATCAACAAGGAAGTGTCGAACCTCGGTCGGTTTGCCGACAGCGACCACCCTCACCTGATTAAGCTTCTCTGGACCTACAAGCAAGGCGACGATTTCCACCTTGTGTTTCCGTGTGCTGACGGAAACCTGTTGAACTTTTGGGAGAAGCATGACTCCCCGGTCAAAGGCAAAACTGACGTTGGCCGTCGTGCTGGGGCGCTTTGGGTTGCTCGGCAGTGTTTAGGCATTGTTGAAGGCCTTAGCATGATTCATACCGATGACCGCAATGGACCAGGCGAAACGGGCCGTAAGAAATATGGCCGACATGGAGACTTGAAACCGGAGAACATCCTCTGGTTTCAGGACCCCGACTCGCAGGCGCAAGAAGGCGGCTACAATCCTGGCGCGCTCCAGATTTCAGACTTTGGGTTCATGAGATTTAACAGCAGCTACTCGAGACTTTGGATTAACGCCGAGACTGTGGGAATGACGCCGACTTATCGTCCCCCAGAATACGACGTTTTCAGAAAAGTCTCTGCGAAGTCTGACATTTGGTCGCTCGGCTGCGTTTTTCTTGAGTTCGTAACTTGGTACCTCGATGGTTGGGAGGGAGTTAGCCGGTTCAGACTCGCAAGGGCAGATGAGGAAAATCACAATATAATACCAGGAGACACGTTTTTCAGCGATCTAAGAAGACCAGACACCGGTATTTGTGCGAGAGCTAAGAGGTCCGTCGCCAAGGTAAGCACACACCCGTTTATTCATCGCATCGCCACATATCTAACGAAAGCCCTTTAGGAGTTCGAAGCCCTGTGCGAACACCCGGATGGATCTGACTTTACAGACGAACTTCTGATGTACATAAAGGAGCGCCTTCTTCGGCTGGAACCAGATAAACGGGCGGAATGCGACGAGATCTACGCTCAATTTGAGATGTTTTACGAAGCTTGTGAAAGCAGGTCCGACTACTGTCTCAGTCGCTCAAAGGAGCCCCCTTCCCGAAAGGCTACAGATCTATCACTTTTAGTGTCACGAGAGATAAAATTATCACCTCAATTAATGTCATCTCTCCGCCGGGGGCATCTATGGCTGCAACGACAGCCCGATCTCAAGGAGGAAGATCTTGACAAAGATCTTGGTCTACGAGAGCCCGGCGCGAGCAACCGCATTCTTTCGCGGTCGCAGTCCGACAACCCAATGGATATCTTGGAACAAGCCGCCAAGAGGGAAAATTCTCCAGATACGCACGAGTCAGTAGAACGATCTGGCGGTGTTGAGTCGGAGAGTACACCTTTGACATCGTCGCTGCAAGCCGCGCAACCCAATCTCGACAATGCGCTTGCTCCACCTGCCGCCGCGAATCAGTCCCTGAGAAGTTCGATTACAAAAACCTCCAGAAACGACATTCATGACCCACTGGATGGTTATAACAAAATCGCAACCGAGAGGCCCTCGAGGATCAAGAGATTCAGGGCCAAAGTGGAGGCATTTAGGAGGCGAATCACACTGAATCTTGGGATCAGTTCTCGATAAGTGATTCGGGAGATGGCTCACCCGGAACACGGCGGAGAACCATCGAGACCTACTGTTAGAGTTTAGGATTGGGGAAGGTTTGCTCTTGTTTGTTACGGACTTGGCAAGAAATTAATTTTTATGGGCTCGGCGTTTTCTAATGGGCTGTGAGCGTGCAGCTACTCTTTCTCTGGGACGGTGTAGGATTCTTGCAACAGCCAATTAGTCCAATACCTTATTAATGCATGTACTGTTAGTTCGTACCTTTGCGCAGTGTCTCGATAAACTAGAATTATTCGGCCTTTACTACAAACCTTACCGAAATCTTGAACCACCTCTTTGACAGAAGATGTGAAGGTTTGGTAAGGCCAGAATGGTGGCGTCCGACAGGTTGTCTTGGGCCAACCGTGCCGAGCTGAACTGGGACACGGCTGAAGTTAACTAGGGCTGTTCTGAGCTGGTCGAAGCTATTTAAGTAATTGGGCTGGTAGGGTGGGTATTCCAGTTGTGGACGCTCTTGTTTCCACATTTCATAAAATAGGGGTGGGTGAGTAGGCGGATCCAGAGGCTGGTGGGAAGGCGTTTGGACCTGACAACATTTAACAGCAGGCACTACGTGTCGCCGTGGGGCATATGTTTGGGGCTGAGTTTAATCATAAAGCCTTTGAAGTCCCGTTGTAGCCATGGTTGATATACATGAAAGAGTTCGAAACGGTTCTTAACGCGCCTGACGCCGGTGTGCTAGTTGCCCCCGTTATCTCGGCGAACAACCCAAGGATGCAAGCCAACACCGATCATTTCAATCCCCAGATGCAGGAGACCTTGAATGAATCGAGACAAAAGCAGGGCAAGCATATCCTCTCAGTGCATATTGGCATCAACGTCAGCGATCTAAAGGACAACAAACACCCCAACGACAAGGGTTACAACAAAATGGTGGATGCCTGGCTCCAGTCTATTCTCGAGGCCAACCTTCGAGGCTGGTTGAAGGAGCCTGTGAAACGTACCAGGCGAGAGGCACCAGGTACGGGGATCGGCATCCACTCGGACCAAGAGGATTCACGCATGTCAGATTCGCCAGAACCGAAAGGAAGAGTCTGGGAGAAGGAGGGCTGGATTTTTGGCATGGGAGTCGGCACCATCTAGGGAGCGGTTGAGGACGGACGTCGCGATAAGGTGGGGCTTGCCGACCTCAACGACGACGGGAGGGCCCATTAAATTATCGCCGACGACGACGGAACCGTGCGGGCTTGGATCAACGGCGGCGACGGCTCCTAGACAAGTCTTGGCAAGATCAACCCCCACTGGAAGTCGATGAAATTCGCAGGTGAAATGGCCTGCCTCGCAGACGTTGACAGCGACGGTAGGGCTGATATCACTGTTCTGTATGAGGATGGCGCCGCGGCGCGCGTGTGGAAGAATGTGGACAATGGCCGCAAGTTCGAATCGCTCGATGCGAAGTGGGCAGCGGGTCTGGCGCCGCGCGTTAAGGTAACTATCGAAGACGTGGATGGCGACGGGTACGCAGACTACGTCGTCGTCGTTTGGGACGGTGACACCGTAGGTATGTGGCGCAACGCTATCGGCGAGGGCCGCGATGACAACTGGGAGGATCTTGGCACCATCACACCTAGTGTACAGGGCGTAACCGGACCCATGATCCGATTTGCCGACATGGACGGCGATGGTCTTTCAGATGTTTCTTGCCGTTAATGATGACGGAAGCATCCGTATGTTTAAGAACCTGGGTATCATCTGCGGCAGTGACAGCGAAGGTACGACTATGTGCTTCGCCGATCTCACCGGCGACGGTAAGGACGACGTCATCTCTGTCGTTGCCCACGATCGCATGTGCCTGGATCAACCAAGGCCAGGCTTCTGGGACTCCATCGGCGAGATCACCACCGGCCTCCCGGATCAGGATCTCTCGACCTCGCGTATGGAGTTCGCCAACGTCAACGGCGATGATAAAGCGAACTACCTCATCACCTGCGGAAGGGGTGCCGCCAATGCTTATATTAACGTGAACAGGTGGGGGTTTATCGAATCCCCACCTGAAACCGGTAGTGGCGACGACAGCGAAGGAGGGAACGGTCCTCGGTTCGTTGAAGAGGAAGATTGGAGGACGGTGCCACGAACGGATTTAGGTGTGATTAACGCCAGCGATGACGCGGCGTCGCGGTGGAAGGAAGTTCATACACTGATGTTGCTTGGAGGGATGTTGTCCGGGAATGGAACCTGAACAAAACCGATTCCGACTGCGAGTTCCTATTTGCCCGGTCAGTTTCCAACTTCTCCCATCGCGTAAAGAATATGAAATGTGAAAAATTGGTCGGCGCAAACGGCTGCACACTTCGCCTTGAGAATGTAAGGATAGCCAGGACGCCTCAGCGCCTGCTGGATACTTCATTCTGAGCTCCTTCATTCGGCTGGAAAGTGTGAGTTACAACTGACTAGATTATGCAGTCTCGTCTGTTGTTCGGTCTTCTGACTTGATGTTCTGAAACAGTTGCTGCTCAACTTTCACAGTGCTCTCAATGATGGGCAGGGCAATATCGGCAGTCGCATGGGCAAGTCCGCCGAGCTTTTCGTATCGAAAAAGGAGCCCAAGCTCGATATCCTCATCGTTCTCGACATTACTAGCATTGGATACGCCAGTCTTGCCGCTTCGATATGGAACAAAGTGATCAAGAACCGGGACTTTTCAAAGAAGCGCCCGGCCCATTACGACACAGCCAAGGATTTTACCAACACTTGGCATATCAAGGCATCACTTTGGCCAAGGATCTGATCTCTCTGAGTCGCGACGAGATAGAGGCGAAGAGCGAATTAGAATACCGCATGGCGCTTATTGTCAGGCTGTGGAAGAAGTCCATCTCCAACTTCGCCGAGTTGATTTTTGGTGGTCGTGACGAAGCCGCCAAGATGCTTTGAAAGATGACCGCCAACAGTAAGATGATGTCGGCGAGGATTCAAATAGCCAGTGCCGACGAGCTCGAAACTAGTATTGAGCAATCGATCTACTGGACCCTGATCCCGGTGACGTGGAAGATCTCGCCTCCGGACTTGAATACATTGTAAGTTGAACACAAAAAGAAGGGAGAGTTAAAAAAAAAAAAAAAAGGAAAAAAAAATTTACAATCGAAGGAGAATCCTAGCATGTATTTGACTAGTCTCTTTGATACTGAGTTGAGCTACGATGAAGCAACCAAGGACCAGTGGATCCAGAGCTGCGGAATCTTCCTTCGTCTGTGATAAAAAGAACGACCGGGGCTACTATCTCGTCCCTTCAGAGGATCCGAAAAATAACAGCTTTTCGAGGTCCGGACGGATTGACGCTATCGGATGCCGCGAGTTCGAGATGCTGCCCGGCACGGACGAGCTGGGATGTGTTTGGGGAGGCATCACCAAGGAGGACATCGTCATGGGGTAAGTTTCCCTTGATTAAAAGACGTGCTCGCCTCTTCTCAAGCTAAATTGACAGTTGCTCTGCAGCTCACTGGCGACGTATAAAGCTAACGGCAATAAAAACGTGGGCGGTTCCGAACCGTGGAGCCTCAAGGAGTCAAAGGCTGATTAGGACGAGCTGCTCGGCAACCTCTAGGATTTTAACCCTAGGACGCCGTACGTGTTTACTTTGCCTGTCTGCACTTACGGAAATGCGGTTCGGTGGTCTGTCTGGTACTCCAATACTCCCGCGGACGAGAGGCTATACCACTTCCCATGCGGATGACGGATTGTTCTCAAAAAGTCCCAAATCGCAAACCAGATTCACTTCTGAATCTATAACTGGAATAGATAGTCATATATATATAATCAAATTTTTGTACTTAAAAGTCTTGGCCCTAGGCATGTCCACCCCCTGCATCGTCTGACGCATCGAAATGAGGCTTGAAGGACATGGCAACGCCGCATTGCGGCTTGTGCTAATTGGAAATCGAAGTTCTGCGCAGCCGCGCAAAACTAATCCCAGCCACCGCCCCAACAGGCTGGTTACGAATTAAGATCAGCACTTCGCCCTTCCCACCGCATCTGGCATTGGATTTTGCCCGACAACATCACCTCTAGTCATCAAGTATTCTTCAGCGTGGACTAGACCTTTTATCTATAAAGGCGGTCCTCTTCGAATTAGACTCACTATTCCCAGCTCCAAAGATTCGTCGGAAGTTGCTATCTCCAACGTATTGGCTAGACTGAGGGAGCTCTGGCAGTAAATGGATGCTGATATTTCAAGCCCTCAACGACCTAGTGAGGGTCAAGGAAGCGGTTCAAATGTCCCATGCGGCTCTACTCCTTCGCTAGCCAAGGAATCCGATACTCGAGACAATGTAATACTCGGGGGTCCCATACCTGCCTCGAGCAATGACGGGTGTGTCGTGACTGAGTCTGAAGACGAGTTGGCCCCTGACACGGAGTGGGTAAGTTTTCTTCCATTATCTTACCTTGGGAAGATAGAAAAGGAGCGAGGCCCACGCGTCAAGGTACCATAGGCTAACGGGGTTTCCCAGCTCGACCAGGACATAAATTTAGTCGGCCTAACGCCTGATTCTGGGTTGAAAACCTCGCCTCCTCCTCGTCCGCACTCCACGCCGCCACTCGAGGCGGAGGAGGAAAACTCCATGCTACCACTCGAGGCGGAGAAGGAAATAATAAAACGCATCCTCGCACGCTTTAGAAATGGCAATTTTGCTCCGCGGCCAGTGCACAAAGCGGCAGCCCCTCGTATGAGGGCGCGACCGCTCTGCGCGGACGATGGCAAACCTCGAGCCTGCCATTACTGTAAACGTAGGAAATCACATGCATGGAGGCTCGACGAGAATGGACATGCTCTATGTAGCATTTGCGGTGTGTCACTCGGCCTGCCTCTATACCGATGGCCATTCCTACCATTCCGCTTCCTTACTTTTCTATAACTCCGTGACTTGAGGAAGGAACTAACTTTTGTAGATTCGGAGTATATACGTTCTGTCGCTCACCGCCCCGGCGCAAAAAACGAGGCGACAACAGAAATACCGACACAGAAACATCCTATACTTGCTCATGCTCAGGACGACGCTGAGAGTGCTTGTTACGATGGCGCAGCCCACAGCAATGAACGAGCTCCTATCCGTCGAAGGGTTCCGGACGAAATTGAAGTGTCGACTTCTGGTCGACCAGATACTCTTACCCACAATGCCCCCCTCCCGACAGTAGAAATGGACCCGGATTCTGAAGAAGTGGAAACGGTGAGACACGAGTCCCGGAGGTGGCTACAAATCTTGACCGAGATATGTGTGCTAACAACATAACATAGCATGGCCAAGGCAACCGAACGGAAGAGCTGGCTCCATCCATGCGTAGTTCCTCCAGCGATCAAAGTTCCTCACAAGACGGTGACCAGGAGAGCTTGCAGTCGAGTGACGAAATTTTAACCCTGAGGCAACGATTGGATGCTTGCAAGACTCGGCTGATCAAATATGTCGTTGAAAATACCCTCTGCTGTCTGGAAAGGAAGTTTGTATCGATGCAACGCGATGGTGGCACTAGCGCCTCGTTTAATCCCGTTGGGGATACAGGAGCTGGTGCGTGCCAAACATCCAAAGGAAAGCAGCGAGAAAGAAAGAGGAAAGTTGGGCAGGCTGGTGGCAACGCAGAAGACGACGAAGATAATACGCTGGAAGAGAGAAACCCTAAAGGACTGACGGAATTGGATTCTGGCGGGCTACTCGCATGTCCGTTCTTCAAGCACGACACAGCGAAGTACAAAGCACATAGAGCCTGCTGTGGACCAGGGTGGAGTACAGTTCATCGCATCAAGTACGTAACAACTCCTCGGAAGCTCTCTCTTTGGCTTCTGCTAATGTTGTCTATTGGCACGAAGGGAACATGTTTACCGAAAGCATCGCCAACCTAAGTACAGGTGCAACCGCTGCTGTATCCCGTTTGACGATAACGAGTCCTTGAGAGAACATCAGAGGTCCACAACGCCTTGTGAGCTTCAGCCCCCCACACCTGTGGATGGAATCGGCGAAGCCCAAGAGAAGGTACTTCGGAGTCGCAAAAAGGCGTGTCTGGGGCTTAGCGAAATCGAAAAGTGGAGGACAATGTACAACATCATCTTTCCCGACTTGGCAGAGGAAGATATACCCTCTCCGTGTAAGTTCTATAATATGTATGCTGACAATTACCGGGCGTTAACAGTTGGGCATATTAGTCTACGAATACGAGAATTCGCATGAAAAGTACTCAGGGGGCAAGGAACGATCCGAGTACTTGGCTGAGTACGAGAAGTACCTCGTTCCCCGCCTTATAAACAGACTTGAGCACCAATTCGAAACGGATCTCCGCATTTTCGAATCGGGAATGAAGAAGAAGGCCATCGAGCTTGTAATAGACGTACAGTTGGAGATACTGGACGAATTCCGGAAGTGGGCGCCGGGGCCGTCACATCAGAGAGAGCCGCAGCACCAAGCGAGGCCGGCAACTATGCCCCATGATGCTGTGGTGGTCACGCGGAGCGAGGACGTCCAGTCGTTGCCCTTGCCTGCATTCGAGCCGCAAGACCTCCAGCTGGCGTATGATGATCTGGAGCTCCAGTTTTTAAATCCGTTGGCGTCAATAATGGATGGCAATGTCGGTGATGGGTGGGAATGGAATGATATGTGTGCTGGTCCGTCTAATTCTCGAGGTCGGCAGACTTCTGATCCTGGCTACGAGTCCCAAGAGGGGGCGCAAGAAAAGCCAGATTATCAATGAGGCGAAACAACAGGTAGAAGGCCTTATTTCCCTTACTTTTGAGACAAGAGTCTGTACAGATACTTTCCTAAGTATAATGCCGTATTTTCTTATTACTACCGCGCGGTTCGCGTCACAAAAGCCATTGCGTATCAACGACTCCCTGTATGTGATAATATATATATAAATTGACCTAATAGCATCACGGCTTCCATATCTCCAATTAGTTACACCCTCTCTAGTCTAGGTAGGAGTCGTACCACGCAAATCCCTTGGCTCATCTTAACATGTGAGTGACGTTGAAAAAATTGTCGATAACCCTTTCATCAAGTGGCGTGCCCCTGCCGGCCTTTTCCGACAAGAATCCAGCCCTTTGTGATGCCGGACAGTGTACTGGATGGTATTAAGTTCGACAACGGGAAACGTTCCTAGTGAGGGGATGATGCTAAATGTGGTAAATGGACAGTCACCCATCGATGTGTTATTACGGCAGAACCGAGCTGATGGGGGACATTGCTAAATTTTGGTTCGGACGTGACGGGGAAATCTTTCTCTTAACCCAAACCCGGCTCTAGAGGGTCTAGTCCGGCGCCTCGACGGCATCGACGGAAGGACCTTGAGTTTAAAAACCTCAAAAGTGAAGAGCCGACAGGGGAGAGCCGATTCCTCCCTCGTTTACCCCACCCCCGCTCTTGCGTCCTCTCTCGTCCCCGTCTTTCCGCGAAGCGGCACTTGATATGCAGAAGACCCAAAGGCGACTAGACAAGGTGTGGGGGACGAGGGGTTGAAGCGTGACTAGTCGCTACACTACTTCCCCTCAAAACATGGGAGGCGGACCCGTCCGATGTGGCCTATACCAACCATTAAAACCTTGGATTCCCTCGGAAATATACATAAACATGCGAATATGTATTTACATCACTCTCCCTAGGAAAACGAGAATTGAATATATTAAAGACACAAGGCATCTTTGAATATTTGATCTGAGAGCAGTTCTATCCAATTTCCTCCGCCGTCACACACGAGCTCATTGAAAATCGATTCGCGCCTTCAGATTGTATTTAGACACTTCTCTCTTACCGACTGTGCCCCCCATCTGCCCCATCACGATGGCTGGTGTTCTCTATATCGATACTTCCTTCACCAAGATCACGGTGAAGCCTGTTCACCCTACCTTTGGGGCTGAGATTCAGGTCCCGGACTGGAATAATCTCGATGATGATGCTGTCCGAGAGATCAGCAACGCTTGTAACAAGGTAAAGCTCATCGTGCCCTGGACTCTTCTTTCTTTCGCTCTTTTTACTTTTTATTTTTATTCTTCTTCGCTCCTTGCTGACGATAGGCTCTTATCTTCAGTATGGCTTCTGTATCTTTCGCAATACTGGGCTGGACGACAAGGGTCATGTCGAGTTCTCTTGGAGACTAGGGGAACTCGACAACATTAAGCGCTTTATCACCGGCGAGCGCAAGCTACGATACCAGTACTTTGAGCTTTTCGACGCTGGGAACATCGCCGACGACGGCTCTCTCCTCGATCCCGAGAGCACTCGTGCCCACACTAACCGAGTAAGTTGATTCGGATTGCACTTGCGGAGGATGATTACCACTGCGAAGCGAACCCTCGTACAAAACTGACACTTTTTCTAGGGCAACCAGCTTTGGCATACCGATTCTAGCTATAACTTCCGTAGAGCCAGCTTCTCCCTCCTCCGCGCCGTCGAGCTTCCCCCCAAGGGTACCGGCGGTCACACCGAGTTCGCCGACACCCGCACCGCCTTCGTCGAGTTGCCGGATGAATTGAAGAAGGAGCTTGTCAAGAACAATTACGTCGGTTGCCACACCCTCGCTCACTCCCGCAAACTTGGTTCCCCCGAGTACTTCAAGGACCTGGATCCCAGCAAATTCCCCATGGCTCGCCACCACATTGCCCAGATCCACGAGGGAAGCGGCCGCGTGAACCTCTACGTCGGCGCCCATCTCCACCATATCGAAGGCCTCTCTGACGACGAGTCTACTAAGCTACGCGACACGCTCAATAAGCATGTGGCGCAGCCTAAATACACCTACACCTTCGAGTGGGAGCAGCCCGGGGACATGATCATGTGGGATAATCGTGCCACCCTTCATCGGGCCATGGGCGGCTCTTTCGCAGGCAAATACCGCCGTGATCTGCGCCGGACGACCGTTCACGATGACAGCGCCGGCGCCTGGGGCCTCAACAGCACTGCGGGGGTCACTGCGCTTGGCTATCAGCTCAGCAATAAGACACTGGGCACGCCGGAGATGACGCCCGCAATTAGCACGGCGAACCCTGTCGCTGTTGCTGCGGCCTCGTAGATTGAGACCGGTGGGCTATATTTCATGTGTATCCTTGATGTACAGCAGTCTTTTTCGACAATTCTTCCTCGGGATGTTTCTCTCTCTCTACAAGGTCTATCCTTGATATCAAATTGATCACTTAGATTGCCAGTTAGAAGAATAAATATATTTACAAGCATGGGTTTTGATGTATTATCAATTGTGTTTTGATGTTGAGAGGGGCCGGAGATGGAGAGTAACACGGCTACAAGAATAGATTGCTATTTCTTTCGTCATGTTAGCAATTCACAATTACACAATTGAAAAATACATGCAGTTAATCCTCAACCAGAGGGTTTAAGGATTAGTCTGGGAGACCAGGTCCGCTACCTGGCATATCTCAACACAAGTCCTAGACAAGTATTCCCAAATATAAAGTATTAGAAAATATACCCATCTAATACTTGATCGATGATATGTCGGGAGGAGGCTGCTGATTTCCATCTCCACCGCTAACGTTTAAACCCCCAGAAGAGGTGTCCGCTACTTCGTACTATTCGCTGAGATCGAAAATGTCGGGGAAACACGCGGACAAAGATAGTGGAGAAAGGCGGGGGGTATGAGGTTATTCCCTGTTTGGGTTCAGTATCACAGGTAGATTACTGTAGTTTAGATTAGTATGGGTTCTGTGGGGGCTCCAATCCGGCCCCGCGGAATGGCGGGGAAGATGTTAAGGTGGAGTACGGGTCTGGTGATGTGGTTGGCTGAAGAATACTGTGGAAGGGCGAGAAATGACTTGTCTGCTCTGTATTCCTTGAGCAGCTATTCCTAATCTACGAAGTACTAATCTAGTATTCAGGGGTCTTTGTCAACCAGGGGTCCAGGCGTAGGTTTCTGCTTGGTAAAACATTGACGAAAGGGACCCAATGCATCAATCGACGTCGTTTGTTTCCAATCAGAGACCCCGTCTTTAGAAACACGAGGTCTCTGGTTGCTCGGCGCCGGTTCGAGCCCACTGGGGCCCTAACCGATCGGTAGTATTGGGGGGACCAAACTCATCTGCCGACACAGCAATAGCGGGCAGCCCACCCCCGTCTTTCTCCACAACTTTCGTCCGCGTCTTTCCCCGACATTTCCACCTCGACGATCTATGCACAATTCGGCTTAGTCTCGTCTCTTCCCCAGCCTTCTGTCATGTGGGGGAGACCATTAGAAATGAAGGGAAAGAACCTTTGCATCTTGCCGAGTTAAGACACGAATAAGCCCAAGGCCATCTGCACCCCAATCCCCGAGTCACTGCAGGCGGTAAGGAGACTAGCCTGGCGTCTTAGCCATTGCGGGAAGCTCTTGCGGTGTAAAGCTTCCAGGTCAGGCCGGCCGGGTAGTTTAAACCACTTTACGTTTGTGGGGGGAAGATTAAAACCGGGGTATCAAATTGTCCCAAATTGTCGGCGTCCCAAGCTGGCAAATGCGCTAATGCGTCTTTCCCCGCATTTCGACTATTTCCTGGGGAAAGGAAGTTGGGGTGGGATTTCAAATAGCTCAGAGCTTCTGTCTCATTTGCTCCCTGTTCAAGATATGCCCATTGAGCAGCACAAACCCCGGAGTAGACGTCCGATAGACACAGTCTACCATTTTGTCCTTCTCCTTCTTCTTCTATTATTTCCCGGCATTTGTTTTTTGAGTCGGGAGATGCACATGATTGTTGATCTGCTTCCTGGTCCATGAGATATGTCCAATTCTATAAAATCCCATCCCGACATCCTTTGTATTATATAGGGCTTGTTTTGCTTGTCTTCCTTCTCTGTCTCCGCCAGTCCTAATTTTTAACTGGACGTTTGCCCAAGAGGAACATTCTTCTCGTTGCTCTCTGCCATTTAACCTCTCCCTCTTCTACTGGGACGGCGATCTCCCCGTCGTTCATTGACAAGGGCCTGCGACAGAACAGCCATTTATTAAATCCCCTCTTCAAGATGAAGGCCGCAAGCGACGCGGCGCCCAACCTCGCCACGCGCGAGAGCCGCACGACATGGCAACAAAATATCCGCACCATCATAATCTGCTTCATCGTTTCCTTCGCCACCCTTCAGTACGGTCTCGATATATCCATCATCAACGGCGCCCAGGCCATCAAAGGCTTCCTCAAGGTCTTCGGCCACCCGAACCCTAAGGCACCCCAGGGCTACGGTATCTCCCCTTCATTCCAGCAGTCCATCACTAGTCTTATGAACATTGGCGTCATTGTCGGTTCCTTCACGCTCGAGTTCTTTTCCCACCGCTTGGGTCGCAGGAAGAATTTCATCGTCGGTTCGCTGGCCTCAATCGGCGCAAATCTTATCCTTGTCTTTTCTACGAATAAGAGCGCTATCATCTTCGGCCGGTTTCTTTTCGGCGTCTCCAATGGTCTCTATATTGGGTTTACGAGTTTGTATATTTCCGAGGCGGCACCATCGCATCTTCGGGGTGCGCTCGTTACCTTCGTCCAAGTTTCCGTCTGCATCGGCACTATTATTGGCGCGGTAGTCAACAATGCAACGAAGAACATCCAGTCACGCCTTTCCTATCAGATCCCTCTCTTCACTCTCTTCCCCATTCCAGTCTTCTGTATCCTCATGTCTTTCTTCGTCCCCGAGTCTCCTCGCTGGCTTCTCCTGAAGGGCCGCCGTGAGGATGCCCGGACCCACCTCTATCGACTGCGCGGGTCTTCCTTCCCTGCCGAGCTCATCGACGCCGAGATCGCTGCCATTGCTGAGGCTATCGAGGCTGAGAAGGAGAACACACTCCGTGGTTGGGGCGCTGTTCGCCTCATGTTTAGTAGTGCCGAGCGCCGCCGGACCCTCCTGACCATCGCCAGTGGTACTATGCATGGGGCGTCTGGTTTCCCCTTTATCTCCAGCTACAAAACCTACTTCTTCCAGATTGCAGGATCTCAGAGACCTTTCGTTGACTCTATTATCGTTACCACTGTGTCCCTCTTCGGAGCTATCTCTGGTGTCTTCCTTAACCGCTTCGTCGGACGTCGATATGTTCTTCTATTTGGATTCAGTGTCCAGGCTGCCCTCATGCTCGTCATCGGCACTGTCTGGTCCGTTGATCCGGGTACAATCACAACCGGCAAAGTCATCGTCGGCATGGTTATTATATTCCAGTGCCTCTATGCCGCTATCGTCGGGCCCACATCGTGGGTTGTCGCCAGCGAGATCCCTAGCAACCGTCTTCGGGCCATGACCTTTGGTTTTGGTAACGGCGTTGGTTTCCTCGCCTACTTCTTGATTGCCTTCACTACGCCTTACTTCATTAACCCCGAGGCTTTGAACATTGGTCCTAAGGGTTTGTTATCATCTTGCTCCAACTTTCCTTGTTGCCTCTCCTCGCGTCCATTGCTTGGAGGAATATCCTGCGGCTAACATATACATCTCGCAGTCGGTTTTATCTGGTTCGGATCCAACCTGATCACCGCCACGTTCGTTTTCTTCTTCCTTCCGGTAAGGCATAGCCGAGAACTATACGAAGCTCGTCAGATGGAATCCCTCGCTAATTACGTCCCTTCAACGCAGGAAACCCACCGACGCTCTCTTGAAAATATTGATGAGATGTTCTACAATAAAGTTCCCTCCCGCAAGTTTAAGAGTATGGGCACCACGGATCTCTCTTGTTATATTCCCTGTTCCTCCGGATGAACGGCGTGGCTAATTTTCTTCTCTCCCTCGTATAGGCTACCAGTGCACGGGTGTTGTCCAGCTCCCGGAGGAAAGCGAGAAGGCCCTTGCAATTGAGTCCGACTCTGGTACGACCTCGCATATTGAGAAGCGACCCAGTCGCGAGACTTAAGTTGTTGGGTCTGCATTCTTGTCTTGGTGGCCTTTGTCGTGTATTTTCTAAAGGAGCCACTCGGAATACCTCCAGGGGGGAAACGTCAGGGTTACGGTCACTACTTCTGAGGGGTTGGCAGCAGACGACAGCCGAGTTGCGATTGTTATTCGGTTCTGCCTGCCGTGTGTCTGGAGGGGTGGCGGCGGCTTCGCACTTTTGGTTTGTTAGGCAGTCTACGAAGTAGAAGCATAGCGATTATTGTCTGGCAAAACAGTAGATTCCGGCTAACTGAGCAGGAAAGGGAAGTCGCTCGTATTAAGCACAGGCAGGCCTATAAGCTACCTTCGTATGTTAACAGAGTTGAATGTTTAACGCAAACGGCGACTGCGAGGAAGCAGGTAAACATACCAGGGACGGGAGGCAATTGCGTCCGTCAGAGTGGAGGAAATTCCAGGTTTTTTTCTTCTTTCTTTTCCTTCTTTTTCTCGGGATGCGCGTGTATCTGAGGGCGAAACGATTTGAAGGAGGTAAAGGGCTGTAGATTTCCGAGGTGTCACAAGATGCATGATTCTTCCTAACTACTTCGGGTTAGACATGGTTGTTGTTGTCTGTTATGCCATTCGTTCGGAGCTGGCTCATCACTCCAATCCCCATGGCATCGGTAGTTGGAACCTATCCTTCTGTCTTCAATCGGTGTTAACTCACCGAGGCGTCCAGAGACGGCGAAGGACAATTGCGAAACGGCAGTTATCGGAACCGACACAAAAATTGAGTAACAAACATGAAGAACCACCCACTTCCATCCTTTTACAGCGGCCCTTTGCTTCCCCCACTCATGCCCGTGCGACTTTCGCCCCTGTCGCCACCAGCAAATGCCCCATCGTCGGCTTCGACAACCGAAAACCCCGCCAAACGACGTCACTCGTCTGAGCCCGACGGCGAGGGCAGCCCGCATCCGACTCAGCGACCTCGGTCAGATTGGCTGACGCCGCAATCATCACGGCCCAAGGCGCGGACCGGACGACGACACATCATCACCGAAAGAACGGCAACCAACCATCTTAACGACGCCGACACCGGCCCGGTACCCATGTCGACCTCGACGGGCCCCACTTCCGCAAGAGCCCTCGCGACAGTTCCAGCTGATAGCCCGTACGTGCGCCGCAAACGCGCCATCGCCGCTTGTCAGTTGTGCCGTTTGCGCAAGACAAAATGCGACAATGGGCGTCCGGTATGTGGGTCGTGTCGCCACCACAAGGCACGATGTGTTTACGCCGATGGCTCGGAAGCGGATGGACTGCAGGTGGGGTTCGATGAGGCTGCGAGCAGGCACCGTGAAGTCCTCGAGCGACTGGATGACATCCGAAACATCCTGGCCCGCTCATCACCATCAGATGCGCGCAGTAATAGCGCAGCATCCGAGATGGGCTCACAATTATCTGTGTTGAATGCTTTAACCAGAAGCGGCCTTAATCATGAGAGTGCCGGTTTCAGTGCTGTCGAGACAGAGACTTTGTCCGACCGCCAACCCTTGTCCTCGCCCACTGCATACCTCCAGTACACGAAATGCGAGGCGATTCTCAAGTGGCCTGTCTTCAAGGGCGTTATTTCTGACGAGGACGCCGCCATCGACTCGTTCATTTTCGATGGGCATGTGCGCGGCGACGGCGAAGAACACGAGGTAGGCCCTGCGACCGTTAGCGACTCGGCATCGCCAGCCTCGTGGGGTGGCACTACCAAGCAGCCCAAGAGGATGGCATCGTTCTTTGATCAGAGCATGCACGAGCAGGCCTTCGTCCCGTTATGTCAGAAGTTTCTCGTTGTGGTCAACTGTCGAAATCCAATCCTGGACGACCATGATCTGCTCTCGTATGCGAGGTCCGTGGCGGAGGATGGACCAGGCTGGGATGCGAAATCTTGCATAGTGGTAAGTTTGACACCAACTCGCCCCCTACCTAACCATGCCCAGCACCTATCCAGCCTTCTATTCTTTGACACATACTCTATGACAAAGCGGCACCCCTTCCACTAAGGTATTCTTCAGCTTCTCGCCTGCGCTCTGGCCAGTTATTCCCGCCCCTGGGAACCTCCGCCGTCTGTTCGATCTTCACTATCCCCTTCCGCGCGCCGTGACTCAGCTGTTTCTCCCAACTTCATGTCAGAGTCGGACGACGAGGCCGCCGAGGCCTATTACGAAGCTGCCCAGAGACGCTTCGGATTCCTGGGCACGTCTCTCGTCGATATCCAGTGCTTCTACTACGCGTCTCTCTTTGAGAGATACGCCTTCCGGCCGCTGCAGGCTTGGATGTATCTACAGCAAGCAGCTACGCGGCTACGTGTTCACAACATGCAGCGGCACGGGCAAGAAAACCGTCTTCGCATGGGTGGCCAAGGTGACTACCCTGTAGAATCTGAATCTACAGGAGCAGGATCGGCTATCAGCTATCACCTCGAGCAAAGGGCGTTTTGGACCATTCACAAGGCGGAAAGGTATTTATATCTCGATAGGGCTACGGTTGACCTCCTGCTCATTGTGCAATTTCGCCTTGCTAATTGTGCTATTCATGATACCTCTAGAGAGTTCGCCACGGCACTCGGCATCACCCTCGCCAGTGACCTCACGGGATTCAAGTCCCCGACCGCCTTCCCCACTCCTCCGGAATCCCTAAATAACCTGGCCCCCGGTGATGACGGCGATATGTCAGATGTGTTTTCACCTCGGCGGAACGAGTTTATTTGGTTCTTTTATCTTGCCGAAATCTCACTCCGGCGGACGCTTGATGAAGTCCTCTCCGTCATATACGAGAAGGGCGAGCAGAGTTGGATTGAGAATATTGATCTGGTCTGCCGACAGTATTATGAGTCTGAAAAGCAGATTTCTGACTTGTGTGTATATCACCTGCTTGCCCGCGAATCTCCCAGAAGCTAACCACCTTTCCAGGCAATCTCATTTCCCTCCATCAATGCGCTACGACCCAGCCTCTCAGCCGGATAACGAAATGGGCTACTACTTCGAGGGCCGCTTCGAAGAGTGGAATGAAATCATTCTCCGGCCCCTGGTTTACTACTGTCTTCACCACCCGCCCACAAAACCGCCGACTCCATCTATTGCGACCTTAGCACAACGCCACATGACGCTCTGCGTAAACTGCATCCTGCGCTGCGCCGACCACGGCCGCCACGGCGCCACATGGGTAGTCCTGCGTCGAGCCTTCCGCTGCACACTCATCATACTGGCCGCCGTTGTGGCCGATGGACCCGTTAGGCCACCGGAGAATTGGAAGGATCTGACGAGCACCTTGATTGCGACGCTTGCACGCTGGTCTGTGGGTGTTCGGGATCTACAACGAATGCGGAGGGTTCTGGAGCGGGTTTTCCGCGCGGTGTGCGACGTTGAAGCGGCTAGAATGCCGGTTGAAGAAGGGGGAGCGTGGTGACCTGTACGAGGACCGTCTCATGTTTCGCCACTCCACATGTCGCGCGTTGACCAAAAGAGCATGGTTCCTAATATCAAGACTATAGGTACGCTGGCTATTGATACCCCAAGCTTGCTTACCTTCTATATACGTGGAATTAATTTTCGCTGCATTCTCTCCTTAATCGTCTTCTCATCTATATCCGTACGCGGCATCGTAGAGACGCTTGTCCTCGAAGCTGTCACACCCCATAGTGGCCGAGAATGGGTACTTTGGGTCAAAGGTTTCTTCGTACCTGTATGGAAAGCGAGGTCCCTATTTTGAGTCGACCTGCGTTCACATCGTGATGTCAAGGCCATTTTTTTTTTGGGGGGGGGGGGGGGGGGGGGGGGGGGAGAAAGACACTTCGCCTTGAACTCATTTTCCTCTACTTAAGAGCATTGTTAGTGATAGTTATTTCTTCGCGGCCCGTCCCAATAGGTCCGAGATGCGGAGGAACACCAGTCGCTTGTCTGGCTAAGACGTCACAGCTGGGGATCTGAATGCTGTCTGGGCCCTTAATAGATTATGCGAGAGACGCCGTTGGAACGAAATTATAGGACAAAGCCATGGTTATCAGCTCAAACAGCTATCTAATCTACACCTTCCATCATACATAGCAAGAGTGTCTGTTGCTTTAAAGTAAATCATTGCCACCGCATCCATGAGTGAACCCACTAGTAGGACGCAGGACAGGTCGCACAGACAAGAGTTGGCCCATCTTGCTAACCGGACTCCTTTTCCTCGCAGCGGCATCATGGGGGGGATTATATTGTCGAGTTCCACAACCACAATGCGCTCGATGATCGCCAAAACTCAGTAGATAGGCGGCCGACAAGCCGCCGAGAAATAAGCTGACCCACAGGATCCTTAGCCAGCATTTTGGCAAAAGTCCAAACTGTCGCCAGCCATCCACCATCACGGAGTTGAGCATGGGAGACATAAATCACCATGACTGGCTTGTTAGATAACACACACTTGCAGACTGGAACTTCTCTCTCCAATCTTGTGTGAAATGTTATGAGAGATCGATGTCAACTCTTGCGATGACCATGGAAAAGTGTTGTGCAACTACCACTTCTTGCCTTTGAACAAACACTTCTCCATTGTGATTCAAATCTCCAGTCTCTTTGCAAGAGTCTCTTCATAGACTACAAGAAAAAAATGGGGCCCAGAATGCCACTCTACTTTTCTTTGTCTTCGCAGATCGGAGAAAGAGGAATTGCACAATGCCATTTCCACTCAAGACTTACTTCCTTCCCCTCAGATATAGCTTATTTCTGGTGCCATGTCACTGGCCTGTCTTATTTGCAGCGCAATCGAGCCAACCATGCTCATCCAGCCAGCCACAACATTTGCTGGTGATAGAAAACGGGAGCTTCACTGCCATTGGAGTATCCTTCGTTTAGGCAAACACCATTCGCAATCAGTTGTATCATATCTCGTGCACTGGGAATTGAAGATATAACTATCCCCTTCGTTACCATGGATCCATTTACATTTCTCATACAACCCAAGTCGAGCTCATCTTCCCAAACATCTTCAGAATACAAGAGCAAAATGCCAGTGCAGGATGTCCGTCACTCAGCGGAACGGTACTTATCAACATCCCGATTCCCTACAAGTCTATTATGGTAGCTATATCTTAACAGCATCTAGAGGGGCAAGAAGTGCTAGAACATGTCCGATCTTACCTCGACGAGATACACGGAACTGCTAATGCTGCTAAGGCAGCAATCAAAGCCAAAAACACTAAGTTGGCAACAGAGCTGAAGGCTAAACCCAAGGGATTTGTTCGAGAATGCTCCCAGAGGAAGCCAAAACTCACTGTCTCATCGGTTCCGGTAGTAACACACCCGTACCGCCAAGAGACATTACATATCAGTATTCCTACATACATATATTATATGATTACCCCGCTCTGATGTTTCAGCTGGGGTGGTGCAATGGCTTTGCTTTTTCGTCTGAAGCTAACGATGCTTGTGCCTTGATCCGGGTTCCTGGACCGTGTGAGCCTCCCCTAGTTCGGGGAATTTGTTGAGGGTGAGATGCTTTCCATGTGGACGCAGCAACGGTTATCAGGTAATGATCATATCATGGTTACGCATCCACTCGCCGCGTCTGTTGTGACCCACTTCTTGGCGCTGTACAAGCCATGCTTGGAATTGTTTGCACGTTAATATCAGATACTAATTCTGTTCGCAGACACTTGTATAATAACAATATTGTTGTTGACCTATTTTCAACAACCGCATCTATTTCTATATCTTTACCAAGTGTGCGATCCAAGCCCCAATCGCCTATAGAGTATTGGTTTTGCTTAGTTACGATCCTTCAGAACCTCATGATTCGTCGTCGACTATTACTCGGCCACCCGGCCAGGTTGGGGCTCGCCTGGAAAGCCAATTCAGCCGATTTGGTCCTTCCAGCGAGGTCTTATTTCAGAGGCACCACAGTGTCAAAGCTCCCCCGAGCCTTTTCTACCACTACGTCATCGCGCCTTCGTGACTTCTTTCCCCAAACAGAGACGAAATTGATCCGGAAGACGCCGTCAGCCTGGCCGCACAAGGGATGGACCGACGAGCAGATGTTGAGTGTGCAGGTCGGCCACCGCGAGCCGAACAACGTTGGGGACTGGATCGCCTGGAGGCTGATTCGGCTTGCGCGCTGGTTCATGGACAAGGCAACAGGGTTGAGCACCAACCAGCAAGTTGATAAGAAGAACCCGACGACAGCGGTGCTGGCCGAAAAGCCACTCACTGAGGCTCAGTGGCTCGTGCGATTTGTCTTCCTAGAGAGTATCGCTGGAGGTTCGTCTTTCCCTCTTCGCGCATATCAGCAATTGACTGACTGACTTTTACTCTTTACGATGTAAAGTCCCAGGTATGGTGGCAGGCATGCTTCGTCACCTCCATAGCCTCCGCCGCATGAAGCGTGACCAAGGCTGGATCGAGACCTTGCTCGAGGAGAGCTTCAACGAACGGATGCACCTGCTGACCTTCTTGAAGATGTGTGAGCCTGGATGGTTCATGAGACTCATGATCCTGGGAGCACAGGGCGTCTTCTTCAATAGCATGTTCCTATCGTACCTCGTATCTCCGCGTATCTGTCATCGCTTCGTGGGCTACCTCGAGGAAGAGGCTGTTCACACGTATACGCGCTGCATCCGCGAGATGGAGCTGGGGGCCACTCCTAAGTGGAATGACCCCAATTTCCGCATCCCAGACATTGCGGTTGAGTATTGGAACATACCGGAGGGGAAGCGCACGATGAAGAACCTTTTGTTGTACATTCGGGCAGATGGTACGCCATATATCTTCCAGATGAAGCCTCGTAATGGCGAAGTTGTTTGGACGATGTAAGGCTAACTTTCGTTCTTGCAGAGGCGGTTCACCGAGGCGTTAACCACACGCTTAGCAACTTGAATCAAAAAGAGGATCCCAATCCGTTTGTCAGCATCTATAAAGATGGAGGCAAGCCTGAGGCGGCTTCGAAGACCGTTGGCTTCGAGCGATCCGAGGTCATTTGAGAAAATCATGAGCGCCATCTGGTCGCGACAGCGCTGCAGGTTGATGCAATACATACATTCACACATAGTCAAGGATTATGCGAGGCATCTCGCAATGAATATAAAAATTACTATCTATCCTGAATCCCTAACGCCACTCATGCTGTCTTTTATTCCTTCATACCTTCTCCATGCCCATGTTGATGGACATGCTCTTCATGGCTGTGGCTCTCGCCCTGATGATGCGGGTGTCCCTTGTGATGCGATGGGTCGTTGAGGTCAAGACTTTCACAAATCTTATGGTGCTCTTCGTGGTGTTGTTTTGATGCCGGATCGTTCTCGTGGTGCTTGTGGGCCTCACGGCTCTCAACATCAAGGGTGTTCTTGTGGTGTTCGTGACCCTCCCCGTGCTTCCCTTCGCCATGAGGGTGGGGTTGTCTCTCAGCCATTTCGGAAATTGAGGTGTGTTTTTCCCTTAGCTAAGCTGTTTATTCAAGATGCGATTCAGATTCGAAGGGATTGCGTATTTTGGTACTTTTATTGCTGTCCAACGAAATGATTTCAAAAGCGACGATGTCGGGCTCTAAGACAAGGCCGTATTGTAACTTGGAGATTATAGCATGGGGATGGGACAATCAGACCAGATCCAGATGCCTCTCTTTTATGTGTTTCGGTACGTAACTTTTTTTGCTCTGGAAGCCCGGGCAACTAGTACCATATGATCGGAACATCGGTCCAGGAAGGGAACATGAAAACCCGATATCTTAGAATGCATGATTGTCAGGATACACTACTATTTTATGATCATGATACTTAACTTCTTATCTGAATCGTTCGATTAACATGTACCAGGTACTGGCCTACGACAGATGAGAAAAGACTACTCCAGCAAGACGGCGGCACTACCAGCACCTCCCCTAGCCGGCGCTGTGGTCGTTATTACTGGTCGCCGAGGTCGCCTTCGTGATACAAGTACTGTGTATCGGGCCTGCGCATCGGGGACCGATTGTGGGTACTCGTGTGGAGCGCAGCGGAGGCTGCCGAAAACCTAGTTTAATATTCCGGTTCGGAAAGTTTTGCCTGTAACGAGCCTGGCTCACCTGGCAGGTACACCACGCCCACAGGAAGATTGCTCCGGCCATCACGTCACAGTAAGGTTTTTGAAGTACCGCGCGGCCGTCATGTTCTGAATCGGATGCCAGGTGCAGGTCCCTGGACAAGGTGGATGGACTAGTTATGGATGCCGGGAATAGGGAGGCGTGATTTACCATGCAACTTGGAAAGTACAAGTCCTGCCATGGCTTCGAGTTCTCCATACAACAGATCGGGCAAACGGCCCGAGGGCAAGGAGAGTAATATGTTGCCCCGAAAATCACTAGTTCGTAGCTGTACCTCTTGTGACATTGAGGATCAGTTCCTCATTGTCAAAAGGAGCAGGGCGATTTTTCATACCAAATTAACGCACCCAAGATTCGGGAAGCGGTAGCACATTTCTTCCATGGTCCGTTAATTTAGCTTCCAGGAGTCGGTCCTGCACTTTGGACCCTGCCGTCTCGTCAACAGTCCTATATATGACATCTAGCTCCTTTGGTCTCAGTAGGCCTCCAATGCCTAATACTCTGGTCGACGTCATACTGAAGCCGTGTCCGGTGGCTAACGTCATGTTCTTGACGCATATAATTATAATAAGTATGGCAAACGACAGCCTGTTTTCCAGGAAAGAAAAAAAAAATGCTAGACCATAACAGAACATAACCAGCTATTCTTAATAAGATATGATGTTTTAACCCAGGACACGTCCCCGATACCCACGCTCTAATATATAAGCTTGTTCTGATCCATCATGGAGAATCTACCTGGAACCTAGAAAACCACTTCACCGGCTGGGCTGATATTGACCTCACCCTTACCGGCGTGTCGCAGCCTCGCAGGCCGTATCAGCGGGCGAAATTCCCAAGGCCGAGGGCTGGGATTTTGACCTGTGCTACACAAGCGTGCTCAACCGCGCCATCCACACGCTGTGGGACATGCTTAATGAGATATATCGCACCTGGTTGCCAGTCGTCAAGGATTACCGCCTCAACGAATGCCACCACGGCGCCTTGCAGGGACTGAACAAGGGCCGGGATGGCCAAGCAGTACGGCGGCGAGCAGGTGCTGATCTGCTATACCGCCAGCTCTGGAACCCTCCGACCCTCCTGGCCAGCGTGCCGACCGTCGCTATGCCCATTTGCAGCCCGAACAGATTCCCGTGACCGAGTGCTTGAAGGACGCGGTCGCCCGTGTCGTGCCCTACTGGAACGAGACGATTTCTCCCAGCATCCGCTCGGGCCAGCGCGTGCTGATCTTTAAGGTCAATCAATCAGTGATCCCCTTCGCACATTTGTTGAATTCCTTGAAATTGACGTCTCTTTATCCGCGTTTGCTCGAGGTCCGTCATGAAATTCCATCTCTCGAAGTCGTGGTATTATATATCACGCCTGGACCAGTTGGCGTGTACTATCAAATCTCTTCCTTGCTATTACCTGAAGCTCCTTTGAATCCCTCTCGACCACTCTTCCAGCGAACCCTATCAATCTACTCTCTAGAGGCGTCCGTTGCTAGATGTCTTGAGGGGAGTCCTTCACGGGGCTCTTTCTTCTAGATGACTGGGACTTGTGCTAGAACTGAGGTCGACGGGTGGGGATCGTTACCGGGGCCGGTCTTGGCGGGATTGGAGTATTATACCTGATTGACCTATGTGGACCGGAAACATTACCGACTGTCAGCTGCATGAGGCTCGCGAATTTGTCGCCAGGCCTCCACTAATATTGTCCGATTCGCTGACTTGGCCCTGGACGTTTGCCATCTCAGTATCATTACGGGATATATAGACTCAAACTTGCAGAGGATTCTTCTTTTCATAGTGACCTTGGTCCAGAAGAGCCCACTCGTCTGTGTTGCCAGCAGTGACTGGTATTGATAACACATAACAATGTTCCCGTCGTTTGTCCGGCCCCCTTGAAGGAAACGTCATCCGTGATCACGCCCTGACCCTATCTAAGGTGGTGAGCCCTGGGGGGAGGGGGAGGGGGGATTATTATAGATGGCATCCCACCCAGGATGCTCGGGATGTTGGCAGTCCTTTCAAGACAGTCCAATGTCAAACCCGCGCTATACAGGAATAGGAACTGAGATGGCTCCGTATGCGTCGTGGATAAAAGGGCGGTCATGTTGACCAGAAAACAGAATGAGGAGAAGGGACGGCAGGCTATAAGAGCTGGGTCGCCAGCATATGGTATATCTGGCCTCTTCCCATAGTCTATAATGCCATCGTGCAGTCCCTTAGAATTCGTTGAGCAAAAATCATGTTCATCTCGGTCTTGGAGAAAAAAAACAGGGCACTGCAGAACTCTCCCGATCATCAGAGGCTATTCAAACTTCAACCGCACCCGGAGGCGGGCAGGCTATTGTACCTCTGAGCACCAGCTTTTTCCAGAAAGAATCAGATTCGCAAATGGCCCTCATCGGAAGTTCACGGCACGGTTGAGGAGATCATAAGTCGTGAAGTGAAAAAGAGAACATTCATCAGGCGCCCGAGGATGGGAGGGCCCTTAATAATCCCAGGTTGTTGGCGGAAGATTGGATTTGTCTCAACACGACCATGTCAGGCATAAAAGCCGACCCCTCCGTCCACATCAGATTGCATTCAGTTCGAATGTCCCAATGTCGCTGCATTGCGCGTGCTCGGTTGAAGATGCCAATGTTGCAACTGTCAAACAAAACGAGTGCCGCGCTGTCATACGCTGCAATGCTGATCTTGGGCGTTCCAGTTCCCTCGAAGGCGGCGGTAGTCGCAGCCGCACTATGACCCTTAACGAGCTTGGTCGTTACTTCGAAGGCCGGATCCGATGATAGACTTATATAAACAATATATAAAAGTAGAGAATTATATCTCATAAGCATGGGGTATATATGTAAGATAGGTTCAAGGAGGGCAACATCGGCGCCGTTCCGTGGGATAGTGGACAAGGGATATGGCTGAATGAAGAGAGGATGGGCAGGTCGGGAAGGTATGCGTGGTTTTATAGCTCTCGCAAGACATGATCACGAGCAACTCATCTCCATATCGATGGGCATGATTCATGCAGCACATTCACTAATCGGTGACGATGCCGCTCAGTTGGCACAAACAACATCTAGCCTAGCCGGGAGATTTGGCTTGCAATTGGATGAAATCACCATCGCTTCAATGATTTCATCCATTCGTCCCCAATGAAGTCAGTACCTAAAGTTACGTCTCATAGTTTGCTCGCAGCAGAGACGGGCCCAAGTCAATCTCAAGTGAGCTTTACGCGTTCCAAACTCTGCCAACTTGACAATTCCAGTAGTTTTACCCCCAACCCATATGTTTCCTTGTTTGTCTGCCCTAGATAGTTTGGGCTAGCTGATGTTTGGTGGCTATGCTATTTAGACACTTCGTAGGCAGCAATCAGGCTCTCAATGCGCATAACTGCGTTGTAATCCTCCACGTGATTATGATGTTGGTTCGCGAAGTGTAAAAAAGGCGGTGGCTTTGCTTTAAGACGGATGGCTTTCCCAATCGCAGGCTTCCAACCCCATGTCCCAAACTTTTATATTAATGCATCGTCGGTATACCTACAAAAAACATCTCCCAGCAAACCGCCGCTTCACAAGATGGATACAGTGCCATCGTCGTCGCCGCCCCTCGATATGGAGCCTTCCACAGGGTCAAGGGACTTTCTTTCCCACATGCCTCTGGATATCATGTTTATTATCAATAAACACCTTCCCCAATTCTCTCGCGTTTGCCTTGCCCTCTCAAGTAGGAGCCTTTGCACAGCGCTCTATCCATCATCCGAGCTCCCTTCCATCACTGCCCCGGAGAAGATGGCATTGCTCCAGCCATTGGAGAGGAAAATCCCAGGCCGCTTCTTTTGTTTCTTCTGTAAGAAGCTCTGCTTCTTCGAACAGAGTGTTGGATGGCGAGGGCAGAAGCATCACGAATGTCCTCTGACGATCGTCCCCGTAAAGGAGTTGCGGCCATATGTTCTCGGGGGAGAAAACTACTACGAGATGTATGATGGAAAAATAACGGGAAATATGTTCGAAATCGCCAAACTGATGGCGCTTAGCCGGTGGGAGCCACCGCAGTCGCACGCATGGGCGAAATCTCGGCGCCTCTTCACAGATCGAGTAGAACTGTGCTTTGGGGAAGCCTATCTCGCAATGAACCGGCATCTGTATGGTCCGGGATACGGGATTCAACTGGAGCGGAGCAGCACTCATGAGGCGTACATTTCCAGGAGGTTCAAGGTTCGTTGGGCCTCCCGCCGCTCTCGGCGAGGAGGCCCTTACACCGGGCCCCAGGACTTACCCAACGCATCTTCACACAAGGTTCACTTCACAAGAGGCATGCGTAAACGCACGGGATACCAGTCTGCAAATGAGGCGGAGCTGTGGAAGTTTCACCGTCGCCTTCAAGCCAAAGTCATTCACGATAACCTCTACCTCCACGTATTACACAGCATATCGGCGCCTCGGGTTTCAGCGGAGCAATTCAAGTATATCCTTAGAGACTGCGGGTTGCCAATCTGCCGACACCTACAACTGGCCTCTAGTAAGAATTACACCGCTGATATCCCCGGGCTTCAGGAGGCCTACAATCATGCTGCGAGTAAACGAAAGCAACCCGTTTTCCAGTTTCACGACTTTGAAGACGAAGTTCGATCCTGCACCTGCTGTTTCACCGACTTTGCCGTCTCACTCCAGACAGGTGATGATTCCCGGGGCTGGAAACTGGAGCTCTCGACGTACCACTTTCTTGGGAAGTGCAGGACTCCAAGGGACGTGGAGTGGAAGGCCTTTGTTAGTGTAATTTCCCGGGGCGATCTTCATCAAGTTCGGCATCTTCGCGATACCGAGCCTAACTTGAATTTGGGTATGATACGAAAGCAATGGGATGAAAGCTGCGGTGTACCGGTGGATGGTGATGGCGAGGCGAAATGGGCCTGCCCCCGGCAGAACCAGTATTCGAATTTCTCGGTGTTATATCGTGGGGGTTGGAGTGGATTCTGACCTTAGGTAGTGGGAACTGGGAAGTCTGACAAATCTACTTGTAAGATCCCAGGGATCAGTCGGGGAAAACATTCGCTATGTGCTAACCACTCTCTAGCATGTGTAAAAGGTGGGTTGCTACCACTGTTTACTCATGTGGGTAGAGTAGGGCATCGACATACTCCTTGGACGTCTGGAATGCCTTAGCAATCCCTAGACTAAAGAGGTTCCGAGCTTCCCGGACCTCACCGAGAGGTCAACTTGCGTATACTATGCTAGAATCATATCTCACTCAACATTATTCTCCGTCATTCCTCCATCATTTCTCTATCAAGTGCCTACTGTGGGAAACTTGACCTTTTGATCTGGGAGCGTAATAGGTGGCCTATCTTCCGGGATCCTACAAGAGCACGTACAGTTCCAATTCTCCTGGGCAGTGCAATCACTAAAGAAGGTTAGATGTCGGCTCAACAGGCACCCTGCAGTCTCAAAGCAGGACGTACAAGATCTCCTGGTCAGGTTGCAGGGCGCAAAAGGCCTCGCCGAAGGTTGCAGCGCAGTTTTCGTCCGTAAAGGCTCGGATCTTGCAAATATTCGTGCTCCCGAGAGTAGGGCATACGCACTACAGGACGCGGTTAGTCACCTATGAAGTTCGGAGCTGAGATATGGACGTTGCCAACCAAGTTCAGGGGGTAAGGGTCCCACTCCGGGTACAGCTTGGTGACGCCGTAGGTGCCGGAGGTCTTGCGGCAAGTAGGATCCGAAAAGTTAGTTCTAGTCTCCGGATTGACGCAGGTGCATACTTCGATGAAACCACCAGACAGATACACAGGAGGCTAGTACCAGAAATGGGACGTGGGCTCAGTTCTTTTGACTAACGGTAAGATGCTTTGTGATACCGCGATATGTGCGAGAGATAATGGATACGCGGCTGCGAGTTGGCGAATTTGTTTCATCGTGGGTGGCTGGGGTTATAGACCTTCGGACGGGGCAGAGAGAGGAACTCAACGATGGCTAAGACAGCGACATGATACGCAATGCAACACCACGAAGAACTCTCAGGGTGGGTGCGACCACGAGTTATATGATCGATGAGCAAAAGCACTGCTGGAACGCGCTGCAGAAAGAATTGCCTATTGTTGAAGGGGTTCTTCCGGGCAGTCGGCTGTTCATGAACGGCGCCCCGACTAATCAATCTACGCTAGGCCATTCGCCAGCGAACGGCGAAATTGAGCCATACAGGGTTCTCGCATGCCGCCGAGGACGAATGATCCACACGTAGCTGACTTGTCAATTCAGCTCTTTAATATATATGTTGGCTACTGTATGAATAAAAGCAGAGGATGCTTTGAGGTCTCGGATATATCCGGTTTGCGATCTAACTGGGCATTTAGGCCTACGAAAATATTTGTTTGCAGGTATCTCCCGTTTTCTCAATATGCGACTCCGTTATTTGGTTCCGTCCTTTTTCCATGCTGCTATCAGCGGCGCCACAGTTCGGCAAGGATAGTTTACCAGGTCTCCAGCGTCACCGAGTTCGATATAGCTAGTTACTTTACTATTAATGTGCTGCTATAGAACCCGGTTCATTGGCACCACCGCATTTCGGGATCGAAGGCCGCCATGTGTGGTTGGCACAAATCTGCCAACTTCGGAGCCATCTAAACCCAGCCTTCGTGAATTAAAAAGGAATAATAGTGCGCCGCGAATGTCGTTCTTGTCGGGTCTCGAGTGGATGTTATAACATGGCTAGGCGAATACAGCTGAAGCAGGAGGGTTTATGGAGCCTGATTCGTCTGCAGAGTTGCATCCATAAGTCTGAATCAAGGGAATCTCAGCAGGGTTTGTCTGCTCTTATCCTTGGCGGGTAAGGCGGGTCAATATTGGTCCGAGGAAGCTGGGCAAATCAACTGACCCAAGTTATTTATATTTATATTTCTATTCTCATCAACCCTGCCGTATCCGCTTCCGCTTCCGCATGGTCGCGTGCCTCGTCATCGACTTCTTCCATCACATATGATAAGTAACCGACTCGTCTCTCTCTGTTTTACGCAAAGAAAAGAGCCTCCCATAATGGATCAATCTTCCGTTGCCGCCCCTCCCATGCCGACCCCCACCACCGAGAAGACGACGACAGCCGAGACAACCGCAACAACCCTGCCGATAATACAAGAACAAGAGCAAACACATTTGAAAAATCATCCGGCATCGTCCCCGAGAGAACAAGCATACTCCCGCCCCAACGCCAGCGACCAGTGGAGCCTTAAGAGCGTGCTTTCCACCGTTGGCATCATATTCCTCTGTCTCAGCCTACTTCTCATCCCGGCGTTCCTTGTCACGAGGAGTAAAGACGAGGGCCATGACCATGCTTCCTCTACGAGGCGGCCTGATACCAGCAATGTCGTTCCTGCTAGATCGGCCTGGTTCATTCCAATTTTCGTACTTGCCTGGGTCGCGTCTCAATTCGGCGTCGCTCGATTGCTCGGGCAAGGGATGCAAGCGATGCAAGGACTCGGAGTCCAGCTGCGGTCTCCGCTATTGCTAGCCGTTGGCAAGGCACTCCACGTCAAAGAACTAAGCCTGATTTCAAACTGTACCGCTTTGTCGCTTCTGATCATTGCATTGTCGGCTTTCTCCAGGAGCTATGGTTGGCAGGCCGCCGGCCATGACATGTGTAATCGCACTGGCCTGGACCAGATGGTATACAAACCCATTGTGGAGCGCCGGAGTATGTGGTCAGTCTTCTTCGCGTGCCTTCACGCCGTGGGCCAGCACGTACAGATCTCAGCACTGTTGTTTAAATATGGTGGCGGATGGATAACCATGAGGGGGTTTGTTGTCATGGTCGTGTCGGCCCACGCGATTCTTGGCCTGATGGTATTGCTCGGCCTGTGCCGCTTTGCAGTGGTCATGCAGAACGCGTCGTTGCTGATATTAGGGGTGCATCTGGTATCTTGGCTCGTTGCTAGGGCCGACATCTTCTCTGGTTTCCTCGGAAGCAGGTTTGACCCTGAATTTCGGCTTTTTCGGACACTTGGGGAGTTGGTACTCTATACGTTGATTCTATGGCTGGTGAAATCGGCCCCCGTGGGCTTGTTATGCGAGCCTGATAGTTGCGGGAGTTAGAAAAGCCGGCTAAGGTCTCCGATTGATGCATGATCCAATAGAGATGTGGTTACGATTTTTGGTGAAAGGGCGTGGTTTGGAGGTCGCAACCCAGCCTAGCCTCCTTGGAGTTTGGCCAAGTTCTACTTAGTTAATCCTGGAGCTTCTAGATTTTAACGCGCTCACGCGCTGCGTAGAAAGCGCAACAAGAGTCTGTGCCGCCGAAGCGGAAATCGTGGGTTTACGATGGGGCATTCCGGTTTCGTTTTATCGATTTCTCAAATTTTACGATAGGTAGTATTGAGAATACTATATGGGCGGATTAAAACCAGAAAGATGGACGGCTTGAAATCGCCATCTCCACACACTTCAGTCTTGAAAAAAAAGCATATGTACATCGAAACAGTTATTCCTGCCACAGCTAATATTATTCTCAGGATGAGACGTGCGAGACTGCGATCTCTCACCACTGAAAGAAACGAGGATGGGAATCAGGGATCGAAATGTTGGTAGCCCTGTACCAGCGCCATTCCAGCATCTTCAAAAGTCTTGCACATCGTTGACGTCCATCAACCACTCGCATTCGTTCTCTGCCTCCAGAGAGATAACGTCATCAGGATGGAGATAACCATCAAGAGCAGTACTCCTCATGGCGCACGTCATCACTATCCTCACCTGTGCCCCCGACGGGCCCAACCAATTCAAAAGAGGGATCATACGGGAAGGGAAGCCGTTCTGAATCTGCACTACTTCTGTGGCCTACATACCCACTCCAGAGATCCACTAAGCGGTCCTCGAGGAATGCTTCGCAGTCTCATCGCTCAGCTATGTATGCACTTGGCTCGCTGGGGCATTGATATGCAGCTCGTCGACCAGAATTGTGTCCGCGATGCGGGCGAGATGAGCGGTTATGACCCGACCGCCCTCTGCGCGTTGCTTGGCCAACTCTTAGGGAGCGTGCCAGCGGGAGTGACGGTGTTTATTATTCTTGACAACGTCTCTCACTTTGAGTCGACCGCGTTTGGGTGGTTGGATGACATGCTGGTCGTGTCTTCGCAGCTCAAGGGGATCGTGATCATCATCGATATCAGCGTCGCGCAGAAGACGGACAGGGCTGAAACGGAGTTGTTGAGGTCCTCGTCACATTGGCCATTGATGAGAATCAGATCGGATTGTGGGCCGCGATCTCGTTCTGTGTCGGACCGAAGCCATACTAGGAACCTATCGGTGGCCAAGAGCCAGTTTGTGCGACGAAGGGCGGACTCTTGTAGGTCACCACTTTGGCGTAGGACATGTTCCATGTCGTCTGCGACATGGCCAATATTCGGTAAATGGGAAATTGCCATTGGTGTATTACGACCGCCTATGACCGGATCGATGTTGATAATATCAAAAATCTGCTCTATGCTGACTTCAATATGGAGATAGGGAACAGTGGGCTGAGGGGATTGAGAGTAACCTGGCGATGGCGGTAGAGCCGGGTCGTAGTACGAGAGACTGGAACCGGTGATCTGTCTCGTTATATGCTGCGCCTGTAGAATATTTTGAGCAAACAAATGGAACACATTCGTGTTCAAAAAGAGGGCCTCCTCAATGCGGCATGTATGGACGCTCGCTTCGATATTGATCATTCTCCTCTCCATCGCCTCAAATCTGTCGCCGAGGGATTTGAGGTGTTCGCTGCCTTCGCCGAACTTGCGCTCGATGCCTTTTATCGCTTCTCCTGTTTCGACGACAGTGTCTTGTATTTGCGAATTCCTTTGGTCTCGGAGGTGCCTGGTCCGAGTCTCCACGGCATTGCATGCTCTGTCTATCAACTCGAGGGCTTCGTTTATCACGACGGCCTCTTGTTCTGGGTGTTGACGCATGAATTTACGAACGCCTACGGCTCGACCGTCAACCCAATGTCCATACGTCGAGGCAGAAGAAAAAGAGAAAAGAAGGAAAACGAGGACGTCGAAAGTAAGCACGGAGGAGAGAAACACACCTGATCCTTTCTGTTTGCGAAGCAAGATCCTCAGCAACATGGCAATCTGCCGCAATAACACAGAGTAAAGATCTCTGACTCTCGTGACGAGGACCTCGTCGGCTCCGAAAGACAAAAGGTCATTACATGCCCGCTCGAAGATGAAGGGGATATCCCCCAGTGTCTTGAGGATCCTTTCTTGGTTTTCGATTCGACGCTCGATGAGCTGTTAATGTCAGTTTTAATCTGTTAGCTCGAGGAGTAAATTGATTACGGACCCTAGGAACCACCTCTAAAACAATACCTTAAACACAAGAGTGAGCCCACCTCTCAAAACACTGAGGCCGTCCTGCTCAGGTACGACTTGAGAAAGGGCCTGGAGCGTCTTGATAGTCGCCATGTTGCGTAGCACCGCTCGTCCTTTATTTGTCGCTTTCATCGCATATGTTTCTTTCGCTGTCTCGATGGCGGCCATGACATCCTCCCAGCGGCATGGCTGAGGCTCCATACCAGGCTCGATGGTTTCCCAATTATTCAGGATCTCCTCGAGATCACTGGTAAGAAGTAAAGCCATTCCATCTTATCAGAATATTTTTCTTCTCATTTTAAAAAGGAGGAGCTAAATGGTATCTGTTACCTACTGGTGCGGCTTAACTTCAACATATTGACAAGTCTTCCTGTCAAATTCAGCCTCGGTCCCCTCCAAGGCAAGTGCAGGCAGCCTCTTTTTCCCTTCTGTTTCTTTCCAGTGGTCGAACGTAGCTATCTCGCGGTCATCTCGCAGTATTTTCGTAAGAGATGAGGGGAGAAACTCCCTCTTCTGCTGCGATACCCACGGGAGAGGCATAGCGGCATAGCTATTCTCCGGACATGAAACCAGATAACAAGCTACTAGACTTATAGGTAAATTGATATGGCGAAGGAGGAAGAGATGGCGAGAAAACAGGTGAAAGCGAGAGCGAGAGGGAGATAGCGAGAACAGATACAATCCGACGATGCGGGCTTACTTCGATGAAATGAAAGGAGACTTGGACACTCGACAGATCACATCTACCCCGCTCCGCAGCCTTGCCAGCAGCGCATCTGGGTGTAGCTTTCTCTTCTCTCGTTGGCTCGTTTGCGAGTTGGACTGTGGCTTGGGGACGGGGTTTTATTTCGGGGTTATCCGTTGGCTTTCTTTCCTTCCAGTTCATGGATCGCTCTGATCCCCCTTCCCCCTTTTCAATCCATTTTCTGCGGCGTATTTTTCGTCTCTCGCTCTCGTTTCACGCCCTTGCTCACAGAGAAATCTCGTTCGTTAGCCCGATAAAATGGCATCTACTTCAGTGGAGACGGATCAGGGAGCTCCCATCTCGCTAGTAGATCTAGCGGACAAGGGCCCCGATGCTGAAGCCTCTCCCAAACCGCCCGAGTCGGAGGCACCGACTGACACAAACTCCTCTACTCCCCCACCTCACCATAGCCGGCTCCTTACACCACTCGATATAGCCGACGTCAACGCCGCATCCATCGCTACGGAGGAGCAAGTGATATCCCTGGAGACTTCTGACAGTCCCCCTTCCGACCCCGCTAAGGCAGATTGCGTCTGTGCAACCACAGAGACCGCCGCTCGTTGCGCAAACAGCTGGCTACGGCTCGAACGACTGATCAGCAATCTCGAAAATCGCGTGCAAAATGCCGGCGGAGGCGGCTCTAAGAGTAGTGGCCAGGGACAGGAGCGACCATCGCCCACGAAGCCCAACGACGACGCGGCAGAACCGCCGAAGCTACAGACGAAAATCATTCCCAAGATCCGAAAGTGCACTTTCTCGCAGTTTGTCAATCAGTTCGCCTCGGAGGACACGCACGCGATAGAGGTGCTCGTGACTGGGAGTCGATTGGTCAAGGAGATCTACGATGAGTGGGAAGAACGATGTCGTCTCGGCGTTGAGGGTTACAGCAAGAAGGACGACAATGAGAAGCCCTCGTCACGAAGGTACGGCGCCAATTCGACTGAAACCTGGATACACGGAGTCCGCATTCGATCTCCCAAATTGATGGAAATCTTCGACAAAGTCACGGATTATCAATGGGGCACGAAGCCTCACACGTTCCTTCGCCCGTTCCGGTACTTCATACATTTTCACGACAAGCTCAAGGCGAAGCTAGAGTGGATGGAAGAGCACATTAAGAACCTTGATTCAAGCGACGACGCTGCAACCGCTTCGAAAGAGACCAAGGGTGAAGAGGATGTATTCAGTTCGGAAAGCGCCTTGGAGGAGTTTCGGTGCTACATCAAGTTTGCCGAAACTGAGATTGTGCCATCGTACTCTGCCTTCGAGGATGCCGACTTTGGAGCTTCGAGGAAGATCAGGTACCAAGATCTATGGTGCCTGTTCCGACCGGGCGAATTGATCTATATCCCGCAGAGTACTCTCGTCAACTTGTATCATACTGGAGGTGTGCTCGATCAAGCCGCGAACAATTCTTCCACCAAAGGCCACGGCGCAACCACTCTCCAGCAGGTGTGGCGACTGATCCATACCCAGCCCACACACGGGTGGGAGTATTTGATGGAAGAGTTCGACGACAATGATTACTTCCGGGCGTCTTGCCACTACCTCGACTATGATGGTTCGACATACGCAGGGGTTATCTATCCTTTCAACATCCCATATTTCAAGGACAAGAGGGACATTCGTGACCTCCCCTTCTATCCCATCCGCTTTGCCGAGGATTGGAAGTTGTGCCTCGCCGAGGGACGACGTTGGGGCGCAAAGTTCACCGAGTCCGTCACGACTCACCCCGTGGGTAGTCAAATTGTGCAGCCGGTCAAGAAGCCCGACCATATTGAAGGCGACGTCATCATCGATTTCCAGGAGACGTTCAACAACTGTCCTGAATGGAAGAAAAATTTTGCCGACGAAGAGCCCATGGCTGTTAGTCGCGGAGGCTTCTATGCAACGATGGCTGGGAACCATGCCATCATCACCTGGTCCGATGTCCACCGCACAAAACAAGTTTCTTCGTTTACCGAGGCTGTGGTCGATGAAGACAACATCGACACGATTGAACATGACATATTCCTCTCCAAAAGCTGCTTCTTGACCCGCAAATCGCAAGCTCTGAAACCTATACCCACTGGGGATGATCTCGCGTTGTTGCCACGCCGCTTGTTTTCTTACGCCATTAGAGACCGCGTATTCGTTCCCATTAACGTCTACGATTTAACGCCTATAGAGCGACAGGCTGACGTGTTCGACAAGCTCGAACTTCGCCCCGAGCATAAGCGGCATGTTGAAGCCCTCGTACGCACACACTTTAGAAAGAACGAGCTGGACGCACACGGCGAGCTCCGGACCCAGGACCTAATCCGCGGCAAGGGAAAAGGTGTCGTATTTCTTCTCCACGGACCTCCCGGCGTGGGGAAAACGGCAACAGCCGAGGCCATCGCCCAAAAATTCAACAAGCCACTGTTTCCGATTACCTGTGGCGATCTTGGCTTTTCCCCTCGGGACGTCGAGGAGAAGTTGACCGAAGTCTTCCGGCTTGCGCACCTTTGGGATTGCGTCCTGCTTCTTGATGAGGCGGATGTGTTTCTCTCGGCACGGAATGCCAACGATGTGAAGAGGAACGGCCTCGTATCAGGTTGGTCAACGCTGAGATAATAGAATGTTTAGGTCTTATATATGCTAACATCAAGACAACGCTTTAGTGTTCCTCCGCGTTCTCGAGTATTACAACGGAGTCCTCTTTCTCACGACGAACCGCGTTGGGAAACTGGACGCCGCCGTCACTTCTCGTATCCACTTAATCCTCCACTACAAGCGTCTCAAGGGCCCCGAAATCCTCAGCATCTTCAAGCTTAACATTGAGCGCCTAGAGCAGATCGAGCAGCAACGCCACGAGATGTTCAAGGAACCCAAGCTCTTCATCCTCAAAGAGGAGATCCTTCGTTTCGCAGAGGAGCACTACCATGAGAGCGAGCGCTCGCGATCGAGAGAGCGTTGGAACGGAAGGCAGATCCGCAACGCGTTCCTCATCGCGACCTCGCTTGCCCGGTACGAGGTGGAGAAGCAGGGTCCGGGGTTCCAACCGCAACTCCGCGCTTCGCATTTCCGGGAGGTGGAAATGATGACGAGGGAGTTCGATAGTTTCCGGAGACGTCTTAATATGGGTGACGATGCTCAGGCTGCAAGGAGGAGAGGAGAACGAGATGATAGCTGGGACGAGGCGGAGGATCTTGATGACAATCCTGTTGCTCCGCCGTTGAGCCACAGTAATAGGCCATACCAGCCACCTCTGGGTATTAGTCGAACGGGCAGCAATTTACGCGCTGGATATCAGCCGTCTCCTCGAGGTCTCTCACCTCACTCGACACCCACGCGGGTTCCATTGAGTGGCACTTCGCCCTCAGCTCCAACTCACATGGCGTCCGAATACAGTCACGGTGGTTATCCTATGACACCGCCGATGCGATCACAAGACTCGTATCAGCGATCACCGAGGGAATCTCATTTTACGCTATACTCCGCGGCTCCGCCGTCCTCTTCCCATCGAGAATACCACAATCCGCCCATGGAAAGGCAGACTGCGATGCCGATTTCTGACCCTCCGGAACTGCACCCGAGGGACATTCCCGTCTTCAGCACGCCGGGTAGGACCTCGCCAGGAGGTGGTGGCTGAGGTGCTTGAGGTTTGGGTTCGCCTGAGAAAAAAAAAAATGATTGGAATCGGTAATCTGTCTTTAATTTCTCCTTTTGCCCTCCTCTTCTGGTTTTTTTCGTACTTTATACGAGTTTGTAATTATGAATCATTTCCTTTTTCAACATCACAGGGTGGCTCTCCTGTTGTCTATTATGAGAGACTTTATCACTTGCTAGTGATTTAGTGATTTTGACATGTCGGTCATGTCTGTTTGCTTGTCATAAATGTCTGTTCCATTACTTTTATTATCAAGATATTTTCATGCGATACAAAGTAAATTAATGCCAATATCACAGGATCGTCACTCGCGATCATAAAATGTGAACCAAGATGTGAGCCCACTTCATTATTCAACCTCTACACCCATCTCCCCTCTTACCAACATAACTCATCCATACCACGACACTCATGACGGTTCACTTGGTGCTCTAGACCTGCTCCGTGCCCGTGCTCAAATAATCCTCCTCATCACCCTTCTTCGGCGCCAACCCATGCCTCCTCAACCACACCCTCTTCCCCCACTTATACGACTCAGCCGTGGCGAAGAAGAACAGGTTCGCAATAACGACAACAGCCCACTCCCACGTAATACCCTTATGCATAAAAACAACGGTATTGATAACAGGGATATACAGCGTAGCGATAGTAATGAAGAAACCCACGGTAACAGACCAGAACAGGAAAGGGTTGCTCCAGAGACGCAGGGCCCATTGGCGCGGGCTCTTAGCGATGCCGTCGAAGAAGGAGCGGCGCGAGTCGACGAGCTCCCAGGCGAAGAAGAGGAAGACCCACATCATGGTCGTGTAGCAGGTGGCGCGGGCGCGGAAGACGTCCTCGCAGGAGTCGCTGTACTCGAGGTTGCAGTCGTGGCCGAGGTTGCCGTCGTAGAAGCCGAAGAGGACGATGACGAAGGAGCCGAGGAGGCAGGCGGCCATGATGAGGCCGTAGCAGACGAGGTCGGTGATGAATTCGGGGGTGAAGACGCCATATTTGAGCTGGGAAAGAGAAAGAGAGTTAGTATTTATTGTTTCGATACGATTGGTGAGGGTAAGAGAAGTAACTGGGGAGAGAAGCCTACATTGTGAGGAGGTCGGCGGAGGACATCAGGCGACGCCTTCTCGAAGCCAAGGCCAGTCTCGGTAAAGGCACCGGCGACGAGCAACATGAACAGAATCTCAACTGGGGTAATCTGGAAGATGGAAATTCCAGTAGCATCCTTGAAAGCAAGACCAGTAAGAAGCGTAATGACCAAGCCCACGTTGGCGGCAAGCACGTGCAGAATAAACTTTTGAATGTTGTCGAAAATACGGCGACCCTCGTCGATGGCGTTGAGGATGGACGCAAAGTTGTCGTCCGTCAAGATGATATCCGAGGAGTTCTTGGCCACGTCCGAACCGTTCTGGCCCATGGCGATACCAACATCGGCATACTTGAGACTGGGGCTGTCGTTGACACCGTCACCAGTCATGGCGACGTAGCGCTTGCGACGGTGGAGCGCGGCAATCATTCGGACCTTGGTGGTGGGCGAGCAGCGAGCGACGACGAGCGGCAGTTCCTTTAGAGCATCGATCTCGTCATCGCTCATGGCGTCGAACTGGTGGGCGGTCATAACCATGGTGCGGGTGACTTCGGCTGGCATCTGGGCAATCTTGGACTCGGGGGGCAGGATGCTAACTTCGGAGGCGATGGCGCGGGCGGTGTGGGGGTGGTCGCCGGTCAACATGTGCACGTTGATTCCGGCACGGTGGCAGGCGCGGACGCTGGGCTGGGACTCGGGGCGAGGAGGGTCGTAGATTCCGACGAGGCCACGGAGAATGAGGTCCTTTTCGTAGGCGACGCGGTTGAGACCTTGCTTGGCTTCTTCCTCGGTGATGGGAGCGAGACCGGACTTGCTGGCGAGTGCGAGGACGCGAAGACCGTGTCTGGCGAGAGCCTCCATGTTGGCGTGGATATCAGACAGGATCTTCTCATCAAGAGGGACGGGCTCGCCGTCGCCGAGGGCAATCATGGAGCAGCATCCGACAACACGCTCAGTAGCGCCCTTGGTAAACATGTGGATTTCCCTAGTGGGTGACTGAGTATCCTCGCAGACGACAGACATGCGCTTAACCTCGGAATCGAATGGGAGTTCTCCAACTTGCTTCCAGCGCGCGTTAGGGTTCGCCTCCGTCGAGAGCGTCAGTCTGTTCCAGCCGAATCGCGTAACGAACACCTGGAGGGCAACCTCGGTGGGATCTCCGTGGGCGGTCCACTCGCCGGGCTTCTCGGCGCCGGCGTCCTCGATGCGCTGGAGGGTGGCAAGGTTGGCGAGCGAGGCGATGTTAAGGTAAGTCTGCAGGGCGGGCTTGCCGGCGGGTTCCCCCGCGGGGTCGATTTTGTCGGCGACGGCCTCGGCGCCCTTGGGGGATTGGAGGTCCTTAGGCTGGACGTGGGAGGTGAGCTTGAGCTCGCCAGAGGTGGGGTCGTAGGGGTTTTGGCTGGTGTTGACGGAGTAGGTGCCGATGCTGGGGATCCAGGCCATGCGGACGACCATGCGACCTTGAGTGAGGGTTCCGGTCTTGTCGGAGCAAATGTCTGGAAGAGAATTGAAGTTAGAAATGAACAGCTGATGAGTCATGCGGAATATGAAGAGGGGGCAAAAGGGAAAAGGAAATAAAGGAGAGACAGAGAGACGAAGGGAATGAGAAGAACTTACTGGTAACACCGCCGAGTGCCTCCAAGCTGGACAGCTGCCTGACAACAACATTGCGATCAACCATGGCCTTCGTACCAGCAGCCATGGTAATCGTCAAGACAAGAATCAGCGACACAGGCAGCGTACCGACGGCCACGGCCACAGCATAGATGACCACATCACTCCTAGTGCTAAACTTGTTCGCCGCGAGCACAACAATAGCGCAAATGACAGCGATGCCAAAGATGTACAGAAACAGCCTCGACAGCTTTCGCTGCAGCGGAGTTCCGACGGTGACGCCCAAGAAGGTACCGATGATGCCCACGACGACCTGGAAGCCGAAGACGATGTAGGACCAGAGAGTAATCTTGCCCTCGGCGTTCTGGTGTGCGTGGACCCTGCTCCCCGAAGACGCCTCGCGGAGGGCAGCGGCGATGAGGCCGATCTCAGTACACATACCCGTAGCGAAAACAACGCCGCGAGCGCGACCCTTGGTGACGACCGTAGAGCTGAAAGCGACGTTGATGCGATCACCCGGACCAGTGTCATCGTCAAAAGTCATCTCGGGATCCTTCCGGATAGGCAGCGATTCACCAGTGAGCAGGGCCTCGTCGGCCTCGAAGTTGACGGCCTCGATGAGACGCACATCGGCGGGGACGGAGTCACCCATCTTGAGCTCGACGATGTCGCCGGGGACGACCTTGGCGGAATCGATGACGACGGTCTTACCCTCGCGGATGACCTTGGCGGTGGGGGAGGTCAGGGCGCCGAGGGCGTCGATGGTGCGGGCGGCTTGGTAGTCTTGGAAGAAGCCGATGACGATGTTGAGGAAGATGATGGCGGCGAGGACGCCACCTTCGACCCATGCTTGGATACCGAAACTGGCTGCCAAAGCCAGAACGAGGACCTGTAATGATGGTGATGATGTAAGCAGGATGTCTTTGAAGTGGTGATGCAAGACGAGGAAGGAGCTATGACAGTCATGCCAGGGAGGAAGGTGCGATGGACGTGGGGGCACAATCCCCGTGCTTCTGTGCTCTGTGCTTGGGAGGTTGGGGTGGCTTGGACCACGAAAAAGCCAAGACGAAACAGATGAAATAGGGATTCAAACGTGACTAAGAAAACAATGGAAGAGGTAACGGAAGAGGAGTGAATTCGAGGTACGTCGATTAAAACTGAAAGTCTGGGACCTACCAAGGTCATGGCATTGGCAACCTGCCTGATGAAAATCTTGAGGGGTTGGGCATTCTTCTCTTTAAGCAGCTCATTGTGCCCATACTCCTCCGAACGCTTCTCAGCCTCACTGCCATTGAGGCCTGTCTGCTCGTTCACTTCGAGCAGCTGGCAGACCTCGTGGGCTGGCAGTGCGTGAGGCGGCCTCGGCAGAGGCTTGTTAGCCTGGCCGGATACGTGCGGTTGCGTGTCCATTGGTTATTTGTTTTTGCTCTTTCCAATCCGAATGTATGTAAGATGCTTTGCGTTTTGCTTGTGTTGTTTGTTTTCTTGGATTTGTCTTCTTCTTCTTCTCTCACTCTCTCTCTAGCAGAGGAGCTACGGCGAAGCAGAGATCATGCACCTGGGGGACTTGGACAGGAAAGGACGAGACGGGGGGACGGCAGGCCGACGGCTTCGGCATCAAGGTCGTGATTTACGGGATCGCTTGATGAGGGCCAGGTGCTGGAGAGCTAAGCCGAGGCATGTAGGAGAGGGAGAGAGGGGCGGCCGGAGGTGGTAAATGGGTAGAATGGCCTAAGCTTAAAGAGAAAGAGGCTTGGGTTGAACGAGGGGAGGGAAGAGAGGGAGCAGGGAGCTTGGAAACGAGCCAAGAGGAACGGACGTATTTATCTACAAAATTTTTTCGATTTTTTTTCCCTTGTCCCTTCCATATTTCTCTTATTTTCTTTTCTCGGCGGCAAAAAGCCTGGGGTGGTACCTTGGCGAGCTTTTCGGGTTTGGAGCTAGGTTCCCAAGGCGTGAAGTTCGAGAATCGGCGGAAAAGGACTGGACTGCACAGAATCCTGAACCAATTAGCGAGAATCAATTGGACGGGAAGGGAAAACTGGGGGGGAGGGTCCACGGAGTGGAGACTCGGAGGAGGATGGGGGTGGATCGCTGGCAACGAGGGTGGCGAGCAGCCAGCGAACCTGACAAGCAAGGGGGTGTGTGTGCACTGGCTTCTGGTCTGGATCTCGCTCATCGGATTCCGGGTCTGAGAAACGGATGCCAGAGTGACGCTGGGAGAGCGTCTGAGGCCCCGCCGATGGCTTCATAACGTAATGAGCAAGTTGTGGATAGGCTGGAAGGGGAAGATCAAGGATGCAATGGTGATGGGGACCTAGGCCTGATTGGGCAATTAGATGCCGTGATCACGACGAGCTGGGGAGACTGTCGGGACGGAATTGAAGAGGATTGGCTATCGACGATCGATCGAGGTAATATTGAAATATCGTGTGTGTGCGAATAGTACAAATTACGGTCTATTTACGGCGTGACCTAGAAAGGCGATCTGGGTAGGTGGGACTATACGCGGGAACTTGGGCGACAGGCAGACCAACACAATTAGGCTCCGTTGTCCACTACGAACAGAGAAAAGAGAGGATGAGGGGGCCTTGCAGACAGACTCGCATCAAAGACACACATTAAGGTCGAGCTGGGCTAGATCTGCGAGCGGGGGCATCACTGCTGAAAGGTGGAGGGCCAAGAACCAATATGAGGGGGAATGGTGAGCAAGATGATTCCTTTGGTTCGTCTAGGCATCGTTCTCACCATCGCATTGGTCTGACAAGGGATTCTAGAAGCGTGGGGAAGAAGCTGGGTCTTGGCTTGCTGGGAACACACGAAGGTACGGAGAGGTGGGAGTGGTGGCACTAAGAGGTAGATCAATCAAATTGATCAATTGATGCACTCACATCCTCGTCCTTCGTGTTCCGTTGTTGGCAAGACTCGCAGGCGAATGGGCCAGATGGAAGAGGCTATTCGCCAGCCATTCGCTCTCTCATCTCAATCCATCATGAAAATGGCCTGTTGGGTTGGGGAGCCAATGTCCCATGTAAGTTGTCGCGTGAGCAAGAAGATACTTCACGCAGAGGGTCAGCTGGGAAACCTGGGACGGTGGAAAATCCTGCAGTGCCAAAAGGAAATGAAAGCAAAGCACGAAAGTATGATTGTAATCGAGTGAAACAAATTCGACATCCTCGCCAAGGCTTTCTCGAGCTGCGCCAAGTACCCCACCACCTTTCGATAGCCGGGAAGGTACATGTCCCGCCCAACCCATGTCCAAAAACGTGGAATCTGCCATGGAAAACGCATTTCGGTGCGGGAAAAGTAAAAGCAAAATGCCAGGAGAAGGCCCCAGAAAATAATTGCGAAAAATCATCTTTATTCTCTGGCTAGAAATCATATCGCCGTGTCGAGACGCCGTGATCGGGACGTCATTCGGTCGCCGGAACCCGCGGGTCCCCCGGGGATACATTGAAAGGTACATTCACACACTCACACACTGGAGCCGGAACCTGGGCTGAAAACAACTAGTTTCCTTTCAGCACGTCAAAACAAGCCTGAAAAAGAGAACTTGAAAAATTCCAACACTGGAACCCCACCCGAAAAAAAGTTTCGCCATCGATTCTCGCCAAGAACAGTACCCCGCCTCTCGTTTTGCTTGGCCAAGGCGATGCCTAGAAAGAAAGCCCGCCCTAATGACTCTTTTCGCGATGGACGAGTGGTTCCTCGTGGAATTTCGTATTGCCGTTCGTCCATTTCCTGGAATTGTTCTACAGAGTCTTGGAACGCAGCTTGGCGCGCGGACGACAGGAAGCAGAAGAAGCAAACAGGAACATAAAATATGACAAGCGTCTATTTAAGCTCATAGTCACACGAATGAAGGCACACCTAGTGGACGAGGGAGTCTGGGGAAAATGGAGGCGACGATGGACACTGAACGACGGGGGTCAGAGGGGTTTGCCGCTCGGCGCTCGGCCAGCGGGAATGTATCGATGGCGAATAGACTTTGCACATTGACGAGATCTCAAGCCAAGCCCGCTTGTCCCCGTAAATATGAATTTTGCACTAACCAGTCCAACGGCGCCATTCCCCCATTCCCTCCTCCACAGTCGACTGAGGATTGAAATTGCTCGACTGCCAGATCCTGCCGTGCTCCCCTTCCTTCTCCTTCCCACGCACGGAGATTGATGACCGGGTTTCAAGATTGGGTGGCGAGGGAGTGTGGAGGGCTAAGCTTTTCGGCATCAAGCGGTCCAGCACAAATCAGCCATGATGCCAATACCAGACATTGTTTTCGAATTGGCCTCAAAATGCAACCTCAACATAACGCCCGCAAGCCCAGGTCCCACGCCGTTCCCCTTGCTGTAGCTCATACAGAGCGTCGCGAGTCGGGAATATCACCCTAGCCCAACAATTTCCTCAATCTCTCGAAACGCCTTGGCGCGTACCCTCGAAGGAAGGTCTCTACCGAGGAAGCCCGACCTTCCCGGCTAGGAAAGCCAGCCTGACCATAGTGCGCCCCGTCCATTTCTCCGGTGGATCAATGCCCCCTCCATCGCCAAGACCGCGGTAACGATCATATCAGAAGGCGGTGAGACCAATGGTTTGAAGCTCTACGAAGTATGCCTGGTCGGCTCTACCTAAAGTCATGGCCGGGATTGAATCCCGATCCAGACCAGTTCACCACACACAAGCGCAAACAACATCGTGGAGTTGGACTTGGGGATTGGGGGAGAGACTAGGAACTTGACATGGCGCTTCTTTCAATTGATTGTATGAAGTAGAAAACTAAGAAAATCGAGCCTCCGTAGATGTTGGCTCGGACTCCTCGCCTCCCTCGAATCAAGTTGAACAGTCCCAAAAATGAAGCCATTGACCAATCGAATTGAAACACAAATTTTCCTCTCTTTTCGAACTCCCTCTCTTGTTTTGTTAATTTTGCAATTTTCAATTTCTTCTCCTCGAAGCAAGACTCCCTTGGGAAATGGAGAAAAACCAGACAACCAGGACCTTGGCTGGTAGAACCCAGCAAAGGCCTGATCAACCAGACGAATCTGGCTATGCCTGCTCCTTTCGGTCCGTCTAGAGCCAGACCGTTTCCGTTCACCGAAACCGTGTCTGAAGTAGTATATCACATCGTAGTGGGTCTCTGGATCTTCTCTCCCCTGCAGGAGCACCGACATTCGACATTCGACAGGTGGACGGGTGGGTTTTGGGCACCGCGCGGGGGTTCGAAAAGGCAACGCTAGGAAAAAGCCACAGTTAGCGCTTCCGCAGGGGCCGAAAGAATGTCAGGATTGCGGATTGCGAGAAAGTTCGATGCAGAAAAGGGAATGCAGTTGCGAGAAACTGGCATGCGCATGGTGCATTCAGCCGCTTCCTTTCTTTTTTTACTCACCTCCGGTCTTAGAAATCGGAGCCGACAGCAGACTTGTCATTGGCCGACTCGTCGCTCTTGTCGCCGTTCTCGGTCTTCTCTTCGTGCTCCACTCTGTCGCCATTTTCGACCGTGTCGTTCTGCTCAACTCCGGGCTCCTTCTCAATCTTGTTGTCACCCTGCGAAATGACTGTCTTCTCTCCCTGTTCAACCGCATCACCGTGATCGTCCTTGATGTCCTGCTCAGCAACATGCTTCTCCTCAACCCTGCTGTCATCCTGCGAAATGACGGCCTCACCCTGTTCAGCTGCAACGCCCTGCTCGGCATCGGTGTGCTGCTGCTCCTCGTGGTCCTGATCGTCCGAGCCACCCCAAATCACCTCACCAACCTCGGTCTCATCCTCAGTATCTTCCTCCACACCCTCCTGAAAATCAAACGAGAAATCAGGATCCGCCGACGCAGAAGTCTCAACCAGCGACGAATAAAAAATGGGCGAAATCGCCGCACGAACAGCATACTTGCGCACCTTGTCAAAACCCTTCGTCGTGCTCAGGTAACCCGTAGGGAACACGCCATTTCCGCAAGAGCAAAGGAACGCGTCGGATCCCTCTAGCGAGAGTGGGATGGATTGACTTCCCTTGCGCGAATACTCGCAATCGGCACGATGGGACCAGACGCGGCAGCGCTCGACCCACGACGCAACGGCGCGTCGAAGGACGCCCATCTCGGTGGGGTGAATAACAATTCTCTCGGCGTCGACCTCCTTCATGAAGCTGACAAAGTCCTTGAACTTCGACACGTTCTGCTTCGTGACGGAGAGGAGCGCCGCGTCGAGGACGAGCGAGCGGTTCGAGAGGTCGAAACGGGCCGACGAGACGACCAGGATTATCTGCATGTGGGTGCTCGAGTAGGGAACGAGGTGGAAGACGAATGTGTGCGGGATGCCTCCGAGACCCATGAAATGCTGGAACAGAGCACCGATGGTCTCCTTTAAGCACATGCGGGCGTTCTCGACCTTGGGCCGGTCCATGTAGGCACTCGCGGGTTTGCCGCGTTCGGACGCCTTGCATTGGGCGTTGATGTGGGCCGGGAGCCAGCCCAAAAGCTGTCCCTGCGTGTTGTCCAGCATAGGGCTAAAGGCGAGATTGATGTAGGGCGTGTTCCAGGCGGCGGGGGTGAACTTCTGGCTCAGCACGGTGTGGTACATCATGATGCCCGCCGTCTTCCAGGGGTGCGAATCGGCGTCTACCCTCGTGTCGATGAAGTAGTGGCCCTCGTCATTCCTCGAGATGGTGATATGGAGTCCGTCATTGAACGGGATGGGGTAATCCACGACGATGGGATCCACGCTCTTATCTTTGCTCGGCAAACTGAGGCTGAATGCAGACACCTGCTTGGGGTAAACAAGTTGTTCCGGGTTGAACGTCTCTCCGAAGAGTTCCTTCGCCTTCTCCGGTTCCAACTCGATTTGGCCAACAAGCTCCATGATCTTGGTGCCGCCAACTCCGACCACGGCGCGCATCGACGTCTTGTAGCCGCTGCCCTTGGTAATGTGACGGTCTCCGGACTGAAGCTCGTCGGCAGGAACCTCGGTGACGCGGCAAATTGACATGCGGCCGGAGAGGTTGGGCATGTTCTTGCTGATGTGGACATGCTCGGCATCATCCAAGCTCGCGCCAAAAATTCTCAGGCTCTCACCGAGGATGGGCTTGTAAACTTCCTCGTTCAATCGCGTGTTGAGAGCGTTGAAACTCAGATAGATATCGGACTTGTCGCCCAACAAGATCCAGGTGGGAACCATGAACGAGACGAGCAGAGGTGACTCGCCACCGTAGCCCTCGGGGTCTGTAATGACCCGGACCTCGTACGAGTCGCTGAATGCCTGGCCGGAAGTGACGATTTCGCCATAGCCTAGCTGGAGACCGGCGAATCCGTCGAACCAGTCGCTGTTCTTGACGTTCAAAACGTGGACTTGCACCGGAGTGGCTCCAAGCATGGAAGCTCTGCCCTTCTGAAAGATTCCGAGCTTCTCGCGGGGGACCTTGATCGTGACGGCAACGGAAGTAGGGGCGTCCTCCTAGCCGCCCAAACTCTTGTCGCCCCTGAAGGCCGTGAGGTTGTCCTCGCGCAGCATGTCGGTGGTGTGAACGCCAAAAATATCCATGTAGAGCAGGGTCTCCTGGAGACGGAAACTGTCCAACAAGTTGGAAATACCGCTGATGAGGCGAATCAAAATCTCCATGGTGTTGTCCCACGACTCGGTCGCGACGCGGTCCTTGACGAGACGAAGAAACGCGACGTAAGTGACGCGATTGTTCATGGGGAACGAGGTCTGACGCGCGTTGACTTCATTGACCATGGAGACGAGATGAATAACATTCTCGCGCTGAAACATGATCTCGTAAATGTCAGACAGGATGATGGCAAGCTCGTGGTCCTTGAAGGCGGTGATCACTCGCTTGTGGGGCACGGCCATCGTCTGGGGTTGGCGCCAAGTGATGCGTACAGCAGGCTGGGTGCTGCTGAGTTCGGGCTTGCTGTCCTTGCCGGCGAGCTTCATGAGGGTATCCTCGATGGCGTTGCAGTACGACGTGTTGGTGTAATACTCGACGGGGACGAGACCGACAAGCTGGGCGACAGTGGCGAAGTCGCCACAGAGAACGTTCCTCATGAACTCTTCCATAGTCTTCTCATGCTGGGTGATGCACTCGGTGTACATGGCCGACGTCAGAGTATCTTCGAGCAAAGCCGCGGCGGCGACGAACAAGTTGATGTGGCCAAGATGGTCCACGAGGTTGGATGTGTCGATGACATTGAACGAAAGGGGAGCTCGGTCTCGGGCCCTCTTGACCTTGGGGCCGTAGTCTCGGCCGTCGAGAACAAGCTTGTCGAAATGCAGGCGATCGCGGTACAAATTGGCAGAAGAAGTCTCACCCGTAACACGAAGGTGCTGAAGGGCGTGGCAGAATGAGAGGCAATCGCCTTGAAAGAACCGAACCTTGACCTTACGGTCGAATACCATCTTTCGAAAGACGAAGCACCAATGGTAAAACTCCTCGTGAACGTAGTCGACAAGCTTCTGGGCCTCAGCGGTGCCCCTCGGTCGCTCGGGATTGACGGGCGGGGCTAAATACGAGTGCGGGCGAAGAGCTGGATAGGCCGCAGACAAATGGAATCCCAAAAGGGGGTTCGTATTGTAGTGAAGCTCCAAGCCAGGATCGGGAGACGCATACATCAAGTTGGGAAAGGTGGGCTGCTCGCAGTTGCCGTTCATGTTGGTCGTGCCGGCGTTCCAGTAGTGGTAGTGGACGTCGGCCAGGTAAATCTTCTGCACTCCGGTGACGGGCGCCATGGCGCGCATGCTGCTGAACAGGTTCTGGCGAGCAGCCTTGCTGGTGGTTTTCATGGCATTGGAAATAGCGTCGGCGAAGATCTTGGCGCCCTTTCCCTCGAACCTGGTGCTATGGGCATAGAAATCCCAAATTGCAGAGACGGCTTTGAACGTACCCGAATCGCAGAACTTGATGAACACACTGTACTCAGTGGACTGCCAAACATCCAGGGAGCTGGACAGGCGATGCAGCTTCTTCGCCTGCGAACGAAGGAGGTCATATGAGGCTTTCTGGAGGTAGAGATGATACTGGATATCCCAGATCTTGTTAAGTTTCTTGGTGAGACGGTCATCGTAAATGAGGGTAAGAACCAGGATGTTTCGAGCTGTTGAGGCGTGAGGTTAGCGGCATGGACTATTGTATATGGGGGAGTCGTCGTTCCAAATAGGAGAAACAGTGGCAGACATGATACTTACCGATGATCTCAGGTTGGATATCGCAGGCGGTAAAGTCCATCAGGTTTCGTGAGTCTGTCCATCGAGTCAGCCTCCAAGATCTCAGACAGAAGACTCAAGGCCATGAGCCCAAGGCAACCTTACCATCACAGCTGACCGTGTACAAGATGTTTCTCAGGTCTCCACAGCCGAGGAGAAGAAGCTTGGCATCCTCCTCAGGGGGGAGGCCCTGGGTCAAACGGATGGCGGGCGTATTGCCCACAGGATAAAAATGGGTTCGCGTCATGGTGAAGTTGGTGCAAAGCATGATTGCCAGCAACGATGAGAAGCCAGTGGCCTCACGATAATGCTGAAAATACGAAACTGCTTCTAACGATAGCAGATAGAAGATGATCGCAGAGGCTGCTGGAAAAGGGATGATGATATGGAAATGAAGATGAGATGGAAGAGTTAGATAGAAACCGCCCAGACACCTGAGTGTGTGGTGATGTGTGGGTTTGGGTGCTTGGGAAGAGAAGAAGGGAAGGATTTCCAGAGCTGGACGCGTCAAAGAGATATTTTTCATTTTGCTTGATTTGGAATCAGGGCTTGTGCGGCCCTGAGAAGAGAAGCAGGAGCGATCATCTTAAAATTTGAGGCTCAAAATGGAATTGCACAGAAAGGAAGTGGCAAGGGACTGAAAGAGTACAAAGCTACATGCACGCTGATCCCCAGTTGCCCCTGCCAATTTTCTATCCAGACCAAGATCGTCAATGGCATTTGACTTAGAGTCCACAAAGCACATTTGTCCCGCTCCTTTGTCACTTTGTGCCTCAGCAGGTTCTGGTACTATGCAAAGGAATTGGTCCAGGACACTGAAGAAGCAGATCTGGATAATTGACCTGGTGCTGAGGATGTTGCATACTACAAATGGGCCTGGCTGTGAGGTTCGAGGGGGAGACTGGAGAAGTAATGAGTGGCCGGCAAATAAGGACAGTAGACAGCCAATGACCTCGAGGCTTTCTCGATTCAAGATGAGGAAAGTAATTGATAGAATATTACCATTATCATCGTTCACCTATGGTTAATATCTCGGACATAGTCTTGGGTGGGACAGCAATCGATGTTCTTCTTAATGACAACAATAGGAGCCCGGAGTGAGAATTCTCCTCATCAAATGCCCCTGCCTAAAGCAAATCTGCGCTAGCATGTCAGAGGACAGATACTAAGGTGCTTCTATCAAGCTCTCTCGTTACACCGTAGAACAACCGATAGCTTGACCTCTGAATATATACTTTGCTTCCTCACACGAACCTCATCCAAGTGACTCGCACCTCTTTGCGAACTATCTAAATATCGCTCCAAGGGTTGATCTTGATCTTCTCACGGGGGACAGTAGCCTGTTCCATCCACGCTGGCACCCCAGCCGATCTCACAATCTGCGTCAGCTGAATCTGGGCAGTCGCTAGGCGAGACGAGCCATCCATCTGCACACTAGCACCAACGAACGCTGAAATAGCAAGACTCTCGAAAGTAGCTATGTTCTCGGCACCGTGCGCGAAGGCGTCATAAAAAAAGTCGGGTTCTGTCCAGAGCTTCTCTTCTACCTGCTCCATGGCCGAATCCAAGTTCCGACCCGCCCATAGAGCAACAACCTTCACCACTTTGCAGCACCACTGGGCTTCCGAACCTTGGATACGCACGCCGAAGAAAACGATGGCGGCCATATCTCGAGCAGGATCTTTGCTAGTTTCGGTCGTCGTTGCAATACCAATTATCCGTCCAAAACACATCGGTTTCCCTCGAGACCGAACGGAGAAAGTTGGCAAAAGACCAAAATCCAGCTCGGGGAAAGAAACTGGCGAGTCGCCGGGGAGATTGCCGCTGCTATAAGTTATAAGAACGCCGTATTGGAAGTTTTGCGTCGCGATTGTGGAATCACCCAAGCCCTCCCCGTCTCGTGCGACGTATTACATATTTCTTTCCTCGATCCCCGACTTTGATAAGATCGGCATCGGGCAAGGCGGCAAGTGGCTTCTTCTATACCAGTCTTTTATCGAAAGTCCGGCTAGCGGGGTAGCAACTTGCTGCTTGGAACTCTCGCAGCAAACGTCCAGGATGGCCAGACCTAGACATTGGTGTTTGGGGCAGGGTACCTGGTTCAGCACAGGTAGCTTGATAGACAATGCAGTCTTGGCCATGGTGTATGAAAGCGATTCATAACGAGTGAAAACTCCGAAAACTTTCCCGAGTGCTCGAACGTCCTTGGCGAAGGAGACAGCATGCTCGCCCAGTCTGAAGGAACGTGATGGCTATCCCATGTCCAGCAAAATATGGTATGGTCATTGGAGACCAGCAAGATTTCTTCCTGAAGTCATATGAATGCTTTAGGCCCCTCCCCATAATGCAGGGGCATAATATTCTAAGTAAAAGCGCCGTAGGTATAGAATTGCTCTGTCGTCCATCAACCCAGTATTAATAAAAGCTTATGCGCCCGAGATATAAGTACGTTTAGTCATAACAGGCGACCTTTTGCCGAGCAGCTGAAAGGGAAAAAACTCCAGGCCCAAAGAATTCCTACACCGCTACATCAAGGAAGTCAGAGTACTCTTCCCATAAACAATGAAGCGCGAGAAACAGCAATAGAAACGACACCTTGACCGTCAAAACCTGCAGAATGCTACGGCGTCCCCATCGTCTCCATTGCGGTAGAGCTACTCCTCCAGACGAGGTCGTGCGCGGAAACAACCATATTCGCAAATAATGTCTTCAGTACAGGTCCTATAACATCGTTCGGTGTATCTCGCTCCAGGTGAAGCTTGCAGGCTCGAAGGTGCTCGAGGTCCGCCCGTGCGGACAGATGAAGTGGGTTTTTACAGATGTTCCGGTACAGGACAGCCATGGCGGCTTTGTAGTTTGTGGTTTGAAAGCTGTTCGCAAATCGCACTATCAGAATAGTCCCATGGCTAAAGTGCACGAGGTGGCGAGCTCACTAACCTAATCACAAACACTTTTTCACCGAAGAGATCCCCAGCGCCACTGCAAGACAAATGTCGTTAGTGTTAGCCATATGCCCTCGCCCCCCGGTAGAACCTACTCATTTAATCCTTTGACGAAAGACCGCGCGCTGTCGAGGCATAAGCGCTCACTGGCACGAATACGGGAGGGGAACGCCGACGCATCCCCTGTTCCTGCGTGCGGAGGCCGCAGAGCTATCACGGCCCAGTGGACGGCCCGTAACAGATTGAAATATTCCAGATGCATCAGAAGTACGTGCAAATAGCGATTTTCGGATGCTAAAATGAGATTACCAGGGCGACAGGAGGTTGGGAGTGCTTCTTTCCATACCATGAGGTCGCTATCGACCTTCAGTATGGCATCTAGGCGAAATAGAATGGTGTCCTTGGAGTGCATTATATTACAAAACCGACTCTGGATCTGATTGAGCTGGTAAGACCAAGAGTAAATCTGTGAAAGAGTAGGGAACGAGATGTTAGTTCCGACTTCGGGCTCCGCGAGCATCGTGTCCTCGTCGAAAGTCGCGTCCATAACGCCGGGTGGCCTCCCCTGGGACAAAGAAAGGCTCCTACCACAACAGTTAGCGGACGAATGCTTGCCGCTATTTCGCAAGGTAATGGCAGGGCTCTTACGCGTCGAAACTGAAGGCGATCCACCACAGACGAGAGCGTAATCTTAGTTGAGATGCCGGAAGATCGATATCTAGAGGCGTTTTCCTATGCAGCCCCAAGGACAGGGCGATACGAATGGCGAAGCCGCAAAAAACCCAAGCCATCCCACATCTTCCGAAGTACAAATTACGTACGACCTATACCGTTAATTTACCGAAAATATTGGCTCGACGACTTTCGCGTACATACATGAAGTAGAAGTACTTGCAGCGAGGTCTCACAGGGCTTGGCCATGGAGTCGTGTACCATGGACCAGGCCTTTTGGTAAGTCCTTTCGGCAAGTCCATCGTCGCTACCGGTGCCGTCGGATTTGTGATTTATGCTTAGTCTTCCGATCGACACGACAAGGAGGAAAAGGGAATAGTCGAGGACGCCAAACCCTGAACGGTCGGACGAGTAGAGGGTTTCGGTGCGGGCGCGAAAAGACTCTTCGTCGACAATGGGGTAGAATTCATGGAGATTTTTGAAATAGGCTGCGAACGCTGTTAGCCGCCAGGGCCCGCCTGGCAGTAGCTGGCGCAGAATCGGAATTGGAAAATTTACCGTTAATGCTCTCGAGAGCCCCCTCCCTAGAGGGAAGCTGCTGCGATGCGACGTCGAACAGTGACGTTAAACCAACTTCATCCACATGGGGCCCGGCCTCGATCAGGAAGCCCATTGAGCTACTGCTGAAGAGGGTGGGCTGACTCTCGAAAGCGTCTTTTAGACAGAGCGCTAACGTAGCCCCTACCGAACTAAGACCTACTATCTGTAAGCATAACGGTATGCGCCTGGGTCAGAGCCCTCATATCTTTACTAACCGATATAGTTGGCTACGGTCTCGTCCTTCCGGATGAAGACCCCGAGAGGGACCGATCGCTCTAGACTTTCCACCCCCTCATCTCTTTTTGTCAGGGAGCGTATGCTCGAAACCTTGCCGTTCACAGAGGTGGTTGTCGACCTTGGGGGGGATGCGAAATAACTAGTACACGCTTGCCCTGTGCCCAGCGGGGAGTGGCTTGACAACGCCCGATTCGGCTCGCCCGGTCCGTTGGGGTGCCCAAGGGTGGACATAGTGGGTGCAGCCATATCTGGAAGATGAGGAAGCATCAACCGCTCCATCTCCCAAAAAGCCGAGGAGACTCCGATTCCAAGCTGGCGCAGAACGTAACCAAAGTCCTGCGTCATGTTATCGTTATCGTGACTATAGCTTGGATCAGGGGCCCAGTTAGATGCTGCCGCAAGATCGTCTTCCAGGCTACATTGGGGCGGAATGGTAGCGTCTAGGTTCGGGTCGACGCTCGGCTCGTCCGCGACGGTTGGCGGCGCTGACACGGCGACTTGGATTACGGCGTCGGCCTGGGGATTGACATCGGGTTCACTGGCTCGACTCGAAGCTGTCACGGTGGTGGCACGTCGGCCACGGTCCCGGTCCTGGGTCGTGCATTCGGCACTATATAGTTGGCAGTTTAAGCACGGGCGCTGATTCGAAGTACACTTGAGCTATAATAAGGGAATATACAGAATTGTCAATTCCACGAGCCACACCCGCACACACGTGTTGATCAGCAGCTTGGAAGGAACCCACTCTCTTTCTACGGCAATAATCGCACGCGCGAGCGACTCGTTTTGCCCGTGGGGTCCGTAGAGGCGTCTCCGGCATGATAGCTGATTTTCTTCCCTCCGTTTTTTGCTTTTGTATGATAATACGGAATGGAGTAAACGAGAAATTGCGCGCGTGAGCTCCCTTCTAGGTTGGAGTTGGGTCTAGGATTGGGGTTGGTGTTGGGGGTGCGCGGGCACAGGCGAAGCCGGACTTTTTGTACAATGCAGTTGGCGCGTGCGGGAGGGGGGGGCACCGGGCAAGCAACAAATTGAGGTTGACTTGCCCCAATACCCCAAAGTCTAGAAATGTACTGATACATGAGACGGAGGGGCTCCTACCCTGAACCCCGTAACCGAAGCATTTGCGGGGGCGGGGCCGGGATACATAATGTGGAGAAGGGAAAAGACTTAGCCTCAGATGGCCAAGCCACTAGCAGCGAAACAAGCTTACTATCGATTCTGACCTAGCCTAGCGCGGAAACACTCCGGGCAAGGGGTGCAGTGACTACGATCTCAATGTTATTATTATTTCCGGCACAGCCGAGCTAGGGGGAAAGCCCGTGGATTCCCTAATAGCTTCCCACCTACCACCATCGCTACGCGTGCTCCCCCATTTGCGCAAGCGTCAGAAGCGCCATCCCGTAATCATTGCCATTGGGAAGTCGTTGGACTGTATGGATGTGGTGCTTAGCGGGCTGCCTGTTGGTAAGGAAGACGCCCGAGTGATGATCGAACTCAAATAAGGCGACTGGGCTCTGGATGCGGTAGTAGAAAGGTTCCTCAGGCCCGTAGCCACCGATCCATGAAAAGTACGTTTCTGGCAGCCAGTCGCGGACCTGCTTCAGCCTGGCTTCGAGAGGCTTCGGCGGGAGAAGCATCAGGAATGCCTCCGCCACGGCCATGAGCTTTTCTTGCTGCTCCCTCGACATGTCGGATGCCAGAATCCCCTCATACGGAATCACGCGATTGTCCTGAAAAGCGCCGGCGAGGTGTCTCTGGACAAATCAATAATATTAGCGGAATTTTGCACATATATAAAAGTGGCGGTGCGCGTCATCCATTTGGAGCATAATTCCAATTACCTGATCGGCCAAATTCCAGCGGTCCTCGGGCATGGCATCGTCGTGCATATTGGCGTACGTCTGCGCCTTGCGCTGAAGGTCAGCGGGGAGCGACCGCATGAACTCGAGGCCTAAGTCTCCTTCCTTGGAACAAATCTCTATCCCCGCATCCGGACCCTCGTCGATAAGCTTGAATCCGTCCGTCAACATTAAGACCAAGAGACCAAAGAAGGCGAGCGTTGACCAAGATTACGCACACAAGGTTCGGCTCCGATGAATACGGGTCCAATGACCATTTGCTGGCCAACAACGAAAGTATTGAGACACAGGTGATGGCCGAACAACATGTATCGCCATGGTTTCGTTTCCGAGGGTTCGCCAAAAATAGTAAAACTAGAAAAGGGAGAAACAGACGTCGTTAGACCGCGAACAAATTATGTAGGGTCAGAGCGACTGGTGGTCTCGGCTCCAAAGTCTTTGTTCTCACGAATAGCTCTTCTCATTCAGGATAGCCTCGCAGCCGCAGAGCTCACCGAGGAACTTGTTTGTCTTCATGGCGCCGCGGAGTTTTTCGAAGCCCTTTTCACTGAGCGACTGCCTCAGGAGATGCATGATCCGTTCGACCTTTGTCTGCTCAAGCTGCTCAAGGCGGACGCCGCACTTGAAAAGCACCATTTCGGGATTGCTCCACTTGCGGCTGAACCGTGTCGAAAACGGTAGGGTTAGTCTCCATGTACGCATTCTGGTCAAGATGGTTCACGGTCAGGACTTGGGGGGGGGGGAACCATATTACTAGTCTTCCGATTCAAGGGCCAGCACAGCCAGACTCCGCTCGCTTGGGCTCAAAGAATCGATAACCGCCTTCGCTGCTTCAACCTGAGAGTATTTTAGAAGTTGTGAAACGTTAGGTTCTGCTGGCCACATTGCGTACCATGTTCCGGGTTGGTGCACCTTCGTACTGCAGGCGATAGATCCCATCCCGCCGAACACCATCGCTCGTGATACCGTAAAACGGAGCGGCGAGATTGGCGCTCCATTTTTTCCAGATGTCTTGGAACAGCGGACTGTCCACAATTTGTTCGGAGTAAGTGTACGGATCCCGGATGTCAAGGCCTCGTAGCTCTGCCCAACCTGCGGCGAGATGATGAATTGATACGTCAGCTACACGCTAGCTTGGTTTCTTGCGCTTTCTGAACGACAATTTACCCATCAGGTTCAGGGCTTACCTTTATCGGGGACGAATTGGCGATATCGGCTCTTCTCTATATCCAGATTGACGCTCATGTTGACTCGGTGCGGTGAAGTTGTGCTGTCGGTTTTGAATGGCTCGCAATTTGATCCGTACCCGGACTCTTCTAAGTGAAGATGAAGGGAGACAATAAAAAAGACTAGCAGCGGCTGCCAGAAGGCTGGGGTGGAGACAGCGATGCCAACACTCCCCGGCTTGCTACCTCCTAGCGCATGCGATCCGCGAGCATGCTTTCCCCTACCCGTGGTTGTTGCCTCCACGGAACCGGCCGCCATCTTGGAAGAAATGTGTGATTACGACGAGCTAGCGCAACGATTCCCCGGAATACGCATGGACGCGGCGGCCCATCGTATGAGCAACCGGGGTGCTATATTACTATGGCGCCAGTGTGGCTACCGCGGGCGACGGATGTTGAGAGAATTAAGTTCATCATGGATGGCATGATTGATGCAGTTACTCTAATACCCTTCCTTCGTGTGTAACTATAGCCGCCGTCATGTCTGAAGACTTCAGCTCCAAGTATACCAACGCCAACTTGGCCTCGGACGCAACACCATATAATTCCTCACTCCTTTGCCATCTAGTGCAGAAACTCAATGAAGCTGACAACGGGAGCATCAGCAGCGTAGCTCCTGCAATACTCGTTTGAACCCCCCGCCAACGGCACCTCCCAAACTCCAAAATACTAGTATACACTAAACTGAAACTTCCGTGCAGGCCGGTATGTTATGTGCGCAAAAACGCGGCGACGCGGTTCCCAAAATTTTCCGCGATCTCGTCGAGGGCAAGTCCACCGCGGAGAAGCGAGACACTTTTCTCTCCATAAAGCGGGCCATGAACCTCACGTGGCCATTCGTGGGTTTACCGAATTCGATGCCAGCGTGTTTGGGCCTCATCGACGAGTTACGCCGGGACAACATTACGGTGCTGAGCGAGGTCGACCGGTTCGTTAGATTGTCAATCCTGGGGCCTCTCGGTGGTAGCCTCTCTCGGGGAAGCACCTAGACTAATTCAAAGGCATTTATAGGCCGCCATTTAGCGAAAGAGACTGGTTAGCCGTCGGGAAGCAGACGAACCAGGAAATCTACCGGGCAGCGGGAAACTCCGAAGTCGGTTTGATGATCGCTCAGTTCTTCCCCGAGCTCTGTACGTCGTCGCGCGTGGCGCGCCATGAACCCACGGCACGATCCATCATCGTACTAACAGTTTGTAGCTTACATCGCCAACGCCTCCGTGTTCGGATATTTGATTGGGGGCTCCGTTCAGGACCTGGCGTTGCCTCTCTGTGAGATCATTGTAGCCGGGGCAATCGCGGCAATGGGGGCCACTAGGCAGGCGCGGAGCCACTTCAAAGGTTCAATGGGACTAGGAGTCTCCAGGGCTGCCGTGGAATCGGTATGGGAGGTCGCCCAAGAGGTGGCGGATTGGAACGGGGCCAAGCTGCCGGGAGGTATTGACGTAGCCAGCCTTGCAGAGGAAGTAAAGGCCAACTTGGCAGAGATAGACAAGACCTAGGGAGAAATTGGAAGGCATAGCGAGTGGACCGAGTGCCACACCATCTTAGAATCTCATTATCTACCTCACAAGCGCCTTGTATTAACTACAACAAGCTTTTGGTCGGAACTATCGCAGCCACTACAAAACATGTTTTATATATTGTTACTTTTGACCTACCTAAATATTTTTCCTTTGTTTTCTTTCTCTCTTCTTCGAGGAAGCAGCATGAGAAACGATTAGGGGTAGAGAACGATACGATAGCCAGGTCAAATTGTAGGTTGTGGGAGCCGCTAGGTTTTGACTGGTGTTATGGCATTTTCATTCCCTGCTCGCACTAGCCAACGCATTTAGACCGTGGTCGGAATTCTATGACAGAAACAGTTAGGTTGGCGTGAATTGCTCTCCGCGCCACCTGCCCACAATAAGCAGTAGCAAGTCAGAGTACATCCGGTGAGGCGGAGTGGTCCCTTGTCCCCAATGAGTATCCACACATCCCCGGAAGCGAATTGGTCCCTAAGTTCCCCGGAAAGAGCGAGATGCGGAGATAGAATTGATCTCTTCCGGGGAAGACACGCACGGTGGCCTTAGCCCGCGCTATTATTAGCTGCTGACGAAAACAGTGTAGAGCTCGATAGCCCTGGCCCGCCACCTACTCCAAAGACTTTATTCGTGCCCGGAAGTCCCGCCCATGAATAATCCCATCTCTTATTAGCACCGCACATTGGCCGTCGGAATTTCCTGTGAACCATTGACCAGGGTCATTGATATAGAGGTCCGAGCAGCCTGGACCGGCGACAAGTATCTTTTGCATAGGGAAGAGCCCAATAATGACAGGGTTTATCTGTGCTCGTAAACCCGTTCTTAGAGTATTTCTCAATGAACTTCTTGGCTCCATTAAGTCTACTCTATTCGATAAGATCATCAACTTAAATAAGACTTCTACCTCTTGTGTCTCGATCCTTCTTACTATCTATAATACTTCTAAATTTAGATAAAATTATATATTACGATCCTAATACTAGTCCTTATATTATTAAGTAGACAGCTATATGAAGGGGCCGGTTCAGCTCCGAGTCCTCATCAATCACAAATCACAAATGGAGCCTAAAATACTAGGGGAAAGTCCCCAAGGGAAATTGGGGTAACATTGGAACGCCTTGGCCCACGCGCAGCATCTACTTCCGGTGAATCTGGCTCCTAGTCGTCGGTAGCCGTTCTGACCCGAGGCGCGCGAGGTTGAGGAAACCCGTGTCTCCCAATTATCCTCCCCAAGGTCGTTCTCGGCTGTGCGCTTCAAGGCACCCTGGAAACTCGAATCCTTCGCGCTTCATATGTATGACTGCAGGTCAGCTTCCGTGCGGTCCCTACAGTTGTCTAACTCCGTGGCGGTTCTCTACGAGCATGATCTAATACAATCTACATTTGTGGGTTATTTTTAACAGAAGCAGAGAAAAGGAACGAGAAAAGGACAAAGAGAATGGCTTCTTTTGGACCATCCACACTATTTTCCGAGCCTCTCTGGTACTCCCGCGGCATCAGCCCGTATTACCAGGACTCCCATTACCGACTGAGAGCTGAAGTGCGCAGTTATGTGGATACGAGTCTATTGCCGTTTTGCGACGAGTGGGAACGGGCAGGATCAGTACCTCCCGAGGTGGGTTTCTCATGATGAACGGAACCATAACGATCGTATAAAACCTGATAGCTCATATAATTAAGTGATACTTAGGTGATCAGACGACACTCGGAACTGGGTTACATGGCTGCGTCCGCGTATCCATTGCTCGAGGACTACCTTGGAGACCAACGTCTTCCCGCGGACATCCCCGCCTCCGAATGGGGAGGATTTCATGACTTGATTGTGATTGATGAGATCGCTCGATGCGGGTATCTGGGTATTATCTGGGCCCCTGCATGTGGCAACGCAATCGGAGCGCCCCCTGGTGGCCAACTTTGGCGCGCCCGCCCAGAAGAAACAGTTTCTTCCCAACATCCTAAACGGCACCGTTAGATTCTGCCTAGGAGTGACCGAGCCGGACGGTAAGTATCCATCTGCTACATTTCAAATGCTGAATGCACTGCGACCCGGGATGTTCTGGACTGACGCATGGCGGCAGCCGGTTCCGATGTCGCTGGCATCACGACCACCGCAGTCCGCCGCGGTGACAAGTACATCGTAAACGGGGCCAAGAAGTGGATCACCAATGGGATATTTGCCGATTACTGTACTACTGCGGTAAGAACCGGCGGCCCCGGTGCCAGGCGGATTTCAGCCCTGATCATTCCACTCGACGCTGTCGGTGTTACCCGTCGTAAGATTGAAAACTCGGGTGTAGCTGCAAGCGGTGAGTTCATTTTGCCGGGTTATTCGTTTGGACGATAGCCGCCTGCTGACTACCGACTACCAGGGTATACATACATTGAGTTCGATGAGGTTGAGGTACTGGTTAGTACCGCCTCGGCGAAGAGAATCGTGGGTTCGAGATAACGCCCCTTCGCTTCAATTCGGCGGCCGATATCGTTCTTGCGGAAAGGAGGGCTTTCCTCGCGAACGGGATCCCCAATTCCCGGACTACATACTCAGATATCGTAGCGGCGGCCAGACCGAGCTTGGCTTCGCTAAGCGTGATGGTGGCGTTGGGGGGAAGCGATTCGGACGTCACAGGCGAGTGCGAGCCCGACTCCACCACCGAAACACGGGCCGTTAATGCTGGAAATTGTAACTTGAGGTAAATAGTCGATTTCCCCAAAGAGCGTCGTCAAGACTTCGAATTGGCTAGTGCTGGCATTTCCTCCTTTACCCACGGGGCTGCTCGTCCTGGATAGGTCCAGACCAGTGCAAAAGAACTTTCCCTTAGCTGTGATGATAGTTAGGGTTATAATCATGTGGGTGGTGAGGGCGTTGCCGTTATTGAGCCGATTCAGGGTAATTTTGGCGGTCTTCCCGTCACGAAGCACTATGAGGCCGCTGCTGTCTCTCACTTGGGTCCATTGGAATCCATCGGTGACTTTCTGCGGTTTTGGCGCGGCATTCCTGGAGATCGAGGCCCTCTGTTTTGCTAGACATGCCACTCCCGCCCGGCTACTATTGGCTAGGTTTAGCTAGCGCGAGATGCAGTCCCCCGACCTCGGCCAGTCGTTCAAGGTTGACGCTGGTCGCGACGCCCGACCTTTCAAACATGTAGACGAGATCCTCCGAGGGTAGATTTCCGCGTGCCCCGGGGGCATATGGGCAGCCTCCTAGACCCGCCACGCTGCCGTCAAATACCCTCAGACCGCAGCTATAGCCTCCCATGCATTTGCCAAAGCCTGTCCGTAAGTGGCGTGGAAGTGGCCGGCAAGCTGAGAGGCTAGTATGTCTCTAGATAATAAGAACGATATCAGGTGGCGTGTTTGGCCAGGCGTGCCCACTCCAGTTGTATTGCCGAGGGATACTTCGTAGCAACCAGCCTGCAGTAATCCTTGAACGCACCTCAAGACAGCTTCAGGTGGTGTCGCTCCGTCATAAGGGCAGGCGAAGAGGCAAGACACGTACCTAGCCAACGAGAATTAGAACGAGCGACTTTGTCCGGTCTCCATGTTTGGCTTCCTTACCCTCGCACGGCTAAACCATCTTCCTTTGCGGTCTTTGCCACCTCGGACGCTCTTTGGAGGCCCTGCTCGACGGTACAGTTGATATTGGCTTCGCTAAAACCCTCCGTTGAGCTGATGAATACCGCAATCTCTCTTACCCCGTAGCCAAGTGCGCGCTGGAAACTTTTCAGATTCGGGACGAGCACGTGAAGGCGCAAGAGCGGATTTTGTGCGAGGCTTCGGACGCCTGGGTGGTTGAGGATTCGCTCGTGGTCAGCGAGCTGCGGCACGGCTTTCGGCGAGACGATGGAGGTAAGCTCTATGGACGAAAGTCCTGTCGCCACGAGCCGCTCGACGAGGACTACACCAAGGGTTGTTCGGGGGATTGCCACCAACCGTGGTTAGAATCATCCGGGGAAAGTGGCTTGACCCCTGCTGCCAAGTAAGAACCGTCCGTTCTCACCAATATACAAGGTGTAGCCGAGGTAGGATACGCTCCACTGGTTACTGTAGGTCGATGGTCCAGTGAGAACCGCCCCGGTCGCACTTCAAATTGAGAGAAGGGGCCAAGGCAAATCTCTCCAAGCTATCATTGGAATTCCTCTAGGCCGTGTAATGAGACTCTTCCAATTATGGATATGATGGCCAGTGTTTTCCCGTCCCAGAAATCAGACGGCGCCCTAAGCCAGGCGAAACAGCAGGCATGGGAGGAGCTGCGCGACAAGCATTACAGGGCCCCTGAGGCAGCGTGCAACAACGGCACCAGGAAAGAAGTCAATTGCTCGGTATGGACTACTTCGTGCCGCCGCCTCTCTCCCAGCACGATTATTACTTACGAATGTTGTTTTAGCACGAGATCGTGTTAATCTCTTACTTGACTCAGACTCTCCGTTCCTTGAGCTCTGTGCCCTCGCCAGTCATGGATGACTCGTCTCCGGCGGCCTCTCTAGTCGCTGGTATCGGCAAAGTTTGGTATGCCCATATATGCAACACCGCCGCCCGAAGGCCTCACCAACTGACAGATTTCAGCGGAAGAGCATACTTGGTCCTATCTCACATTCCGACGTTGAGTGAGGGTGCACGAAATGAGCTTACTGGTATCACATTGGTTTTACACATATACCATCTGCGTCATGGATCAACTAACAACGCTGGATTTAGTATTGAAACAAAACCGAGTCACGCAGATGGCGACGGAAAATGATCTCCCAATGATCGACCTGGTTCAATCGGTGCGAGCAAGACCTCCCTTCATCCCCTGCTCGGTAACCATGCAGGCACTAACGAAGCCTCTCCCAAGGCCGGTGTTTTCTTACCTCAACAATTCAAGGTCTTTCATAAACGAGGCCAGATATTTCGCGACCTAGCCATCCGGAGCGCACAGGGTAAGCCCAATTGTACTGTGGTATTTGGCTCATCAACGGCCGGCGGCGCTTACCACCCTGCCATGTCTGACTACACCATCTTTGTTGAAAATCAGGCGCAGGTCTTCCTGGGCGGCCCTCCCCTAGTGAAAATGGCGACTGGAGAGGTCGTTGACGCGGAAACTCTCGGCGGAGCCAAGATGCACGCGTCGATTACTGGCCTCGCCGATAGGACCGCCTCGGATGAGTATGACCAGACGCTAACACCCTCGACTGTCCATCTACGCCCAAGGGGACATGAAAGACTAATCCTGCGGTAAAACTAGATTTGACGCTATAAAAGAGACACGGGACTGGGTCAAGACCCTTAAGACACCGCTGCAAAAAAGGCCGTGTGCAGCATCGGGCCCCTGCTGCCACGTTACTTGCCCTCTGAACTCTTGTCGATTGTTGACCCTGATATCCGCAAAGCGCTCGATATGAGAGATGTGCTTGTGAGGGTAGTCGATGACTCGACGGCTCGATTTCAAACCCAACTTTGGTGGAAATCTCATCACGAGTTGGGCTGATATCCACGGTAAGTATTCTCTATATAGTGATCTCCGCGTTCGTATTAACCCTCATGTTGTAGGCCATCGTGTAGGAATCGTGGCGAATCAAGTTCCCGTGATCAATGCGGAAGAAGCGATGAAGGGCGCCACCTTTATCAGGTTATGCAACCAAGAGCAAGTGACAGGAGTCGCCTTACGGAGCCTCACATACTGAAAAGAAATGCAAATGCTAGGAATACCCCCCGTCATTTTCCTCCATAACGTCACCGGGTTCATGGTCGGCCAGAGGGCAGAGCATTCCGCCATCATCAAACATGGCGCTCAGATGGTATCCGCCGTCAGCTGCTCTAGTGTGCCTCACATCTCAATAATTATTGGCGCGTCGTATGGAGCCGGAAACTACGCCATGTGCGGACGAGCCTACCAGCCTCGGTTCTTGTTCTCTTGGCCGTCTGGGCGGTGCAGCGTGATGGGTCCGGATCAACTTGTCGGCGTCATGGAGTCGATCGGAGCTCGGAAGGGTACCGGCAAAGCCGAAAAGTCCGGAGAAGAGCTGCGACATGATGTCTTGAGAGATGGTAGTTGTTATAGAACGAGTGCCGTGCTGTTGGATGAAGGCGTGATTGACCCTTGGCATACAAGAGATATATCGGGGATGTGTTTGAATATTGTACGTTGCTCAGAGGTAGAAGGCGCGCCATCTCATCGAGGCCTAGCTCGGATGTAAAACGTAGATACGCGCGAGAAGCTACTCTGTATTGAGCTTCTTTTCGAATGTACGATTTGCAAATACTAAACCTCCTTGGGCTATTAGAACTGGCGTCAAATAAGGCTGTTTGGCAACATTTTAACATAGTCAGCTGAGCATATTGCTACTGGTAGAAAGTAACACACAGTTTCTTCCTTTATCATCAACCTATCTATACTGAGGTGAAGCTACTTGCATCAATTCTCCGTTGTATTGCTATAGACAACTTCATGCTCTTCATGACTAGGGTTTATCCAATTTACCAAGGCCCTACCTTATTGACGTTCGACGCAACGGTTCACGGTCCGTAAGGGCTTTTATGCCCTGCTCGGTCAGATCAGAGATTGGGCTTGGTTCCTTTGAGCCCTGAGACATCTTCATTGCCTAGCAAGAAATCTGGGTAAGCGAAGGAACCGACACTTGGCTGGAAATTCGTATGCCAGGCACCGCCATCGACTGTCTCTTCAAGTTAGCAGCGATCTTGTCGGGACAGTCTCTGGGGAGTGCCGTGATGACACTATATACCTACTAACCAAGACTTCACCATTGACGTAATCCCCGGCACTGCTAAAGAGATATATAGTTGCATCTGCAATATCCCTCACGGATCCCAGTCTTCCACAAGGAATCTGTTTCACATTGGTTTGTTTATCCTCTGTGAAGAGCTGACTGGTTCCCTCTGTGTTTGCCACCGGACCGGGGCTGATGTCGTTACTCGTAATGCCCAAAGCACCTGCTCTAGGCATACGGCATGTGCTAAAGCATCGACGGCGGCCTTGACAGCGCACACATGTACCTGGAGGGGGATTCCTATGTAATGCATTGTCGCCGAGACAAATATGATCTTACCCCCCGATCCTCGTTGAATACCTTTAGTGGGATCGACTTTGAGCCGTGCGGCGCTGTTGATCAAATATGGGAGAGTAGCCTTGAGGGTGTTGTACGACCCGAGGACGTCAATGTCCATGACGCTCTTGAATGCGTTGACGCTGAGGCTTCGAATTGGAGCTAGAAAATTTCTGCGGCGCCAGCGATGACGAAATAAATCCCGCCAAGATCCCGGACACATCTGTCCGCCGCGTCCCGAAGAGACTTTACGTCCCGGACATCAACCGCGACGATTCCGATGACCTTTGCCCCCGGCCTTGTCTTGGACAGCTCCCCAGCAACTTTTTCTGTCTTTTGGGTGTCACGCCCAACGATACAAGCGTTGGCGCCGAGGTAGACGAGAGCTCTCACTTGCGCGGAGCACGTGCTACTGGAGCCTTCCGGTACAGAAGATTACCTTGCCGTCTACCACGTTCCGCGTCAAAATTAGAGTTTTGGGGCCAGGCTAAACAGAACGAAGTCTTGGGAATGAGTATACCCATGAGTGAGCTGGGAGTGACGCACCAAAGAGGCCATCGCGCCACGCCTCGCTGAGCGTCGCTTCTCTATTATAATCCATGTTCCGGGCTTGCTGGGCCGAATATTTAGTTGTGTGTTAGATAGCTGGTGGAGTGTAGCCTATCCGTAGTCTGCGACTTGAGGTGAAGGTAGTATATAGAACTCTTCATCTTTTCTGTAACTTGTAAAAGGAAATGCTGCTTTAATAGGCTTCGAGAGCCTTTTTTAATAGTTTCTTCTACATACAGTACTATTTCGCGACCTGGGAATGGCTCCTAGAATTTTTTTTTAACCATTTCTAGCTGACTTAGGGAGGTGATGCGGGTTGGAAGTGTGTAGGGGTGCGATATGTTTGTCGTGGTAAAAGTGCCTGGTTTACAGGGGTCTGGACTTGATAATAATATGGGTAAAGCCGGACTCTCGCTATAATCCAATAATATAGAGGCTTTTGGCTCCCGCACGACCAACGGCTTAGTGGTACCGAGGGGTTCCCCGGAATCCCAGACCCGGGGGCCTCTTTCGACCCTTGTGCAGGGATATCCGAATACAGTCAACGGAATCCAGACCACCTCGGAAATTGCCTAAGTCACATCGTCTATTTCCGAACTGGCTAGCCCGAGGCTCAGTCAGTTAATTACTCCGATTCGACTCGTGCCCGACGCACGAGCATCGCTTCTTCCCCGGGTCTTGCCAGTTGCATGTGGAACTCTACAAGGCTTCGCCTTACCGACATAGGCCGGACGTCTCGAACTGGGGATCAAATTCTCTAGGCTAGTTCCTCTTACTATTGCCCAGATGCGGAAGCCATGCCCTTTACCCTTATGCCCAATGCTGCCCCATGCTGGACCTTGCCTCCGGCGGGTTGCGGCTGGTTATGGGCACCCCCACCACATCACCGGCGGATCAATGAGCGCTTGTCCTAATATCCAATGAACCGTCCATAGACGGCTGACTGCCTAAATATCTTAAGTATACGACACCTATTCTTGTGTCGTCGAAACTTTTTCGGCTCCAGCTTCTCGTTCCAGCGCTGTAACATCATCACCCAAGGTAGAGAAAGTGGTCCAATCTCATCTTCTGCGCCTTCGACCATGACAGAAGACGCGGCCCAACAGCCTGAACACCGTAGCTCACTCTCATCGGGTTCATTCACCGTGATTCATTTTGGCCAGGCGCGACCGCGAAAAAGAGCTCTTCGGGCGTGTCTCAGGTGCCGCTCTCGCAAGGTTAGATGCAACATGACGGAGCATGGAGCACCTTGCATAAATTGTCGACTCGACGAACAGGAATGCATTGTGAGAAAGGACACCAAGAGAAGGTATTCCGCCTCGGCTCTCGTTTGTTTTCGATTGAATACCTGACTTTCGGCGTAGAAGACAGCCGAAACAACTAGAGAGGTCGAGCCAGGTTAGCGTAACAAGGACTGCACTGCCTGCCCACCCAGAGGAAGTTCCATATTCCCTTTGTAAGAAGAGTGACAATTAGGTTAGGATCACCCGAAGAGTAAGTTGGACCCCCCACTTGTAGCCACCCCCCCTTTTAGCCACCCCAAATTCCACACCACCATTTCAACATTTCCCACATTCCAACTACAATTTCTCAACCATTCCAATTCCAATCTACTTCAAATTCAGTATCCAGCTTTTCCTACTAAAAATAAAGTCATATACTAAAAATAACCTTTAAGATACCCTCAAAGCTATCATAAATAGGATATTAACTACCTAAGTAGCTAAGGAATAGAATATTCCAAAAACAACTATCAGAAACTATATTCTTAGCTATCAGCTAAAAAAAGAGGCCTTTTCTAGTATATAGAAACTTAATACTTCCTAGGAAACCTACTTAATAGTATAAGTTCTAACCTAAGGAGCCCTAGAACTTCTTCTAACCTATACTTAAGTCTACTTTTTTATAAAAAAAATCTTTAAAATCTAAAGAGATATATAATTATTTAAAAAGAAATAGATAAAAAGATTTTTAAAAAGAAATTTATTTATTAAGATTATAAAAGAGAAATTTATTAATTTTATTTATATTAATAATATTATAATTAAAATAATAAAATCTTAATTTTAATATTTTTAATTATTTAATATTAAAAATATTAAATAAAGAAATAGATAAAATATAGATAAAGTAAAAATAATAGAAAATTATATTAATAATAAACTTATTTTTAGAAAAGTTAGAAAGTATTTAATTTAAAAAAAATAACTTAATTTTTAATTATAAATATTATTTATTAAATATATTTTAATTATTAATTAATTTTTTTTTATTAATTATTTTTAAAAGAAAATTAATTTAATAATAATAGTTTTCTTTAGATTTAGCTTTTTTTAAAGATTAATATTTTATAATAATTACTAATAAATAGATAATTAATAATATTATTTTACAATAGCTTAAAAAAGTCTTTATTTTTTATATTAAGCTAGCTTATTACTAAGAGGCCTATCTTTTTATCTTAGATAGCTATAAAAGCTATATTATAGAGAAATTTATATATAAGTACTTCTAATATAATATCTATTTTCTTTTTTTACTTTTATATATATCTTATATTTTCTAATTATTAGATTTAGCTATATTTAGCTCTCTAAAGATAATATATTAGAAAAAAGTTAACTTC